TATAAGATAAATTAAACTCTTTAATCTAGCGTATTCTAGCCTTAAGATATCCCGTCTATTAAAGGCGCTTCTACTAAAGGGGATTCCGTATAAGTCTACGTCGACCTTATTCTTTAACTTTTACTTACCTTCCTAGATTATCTTTTCTTACTTCTCTATTTCGAGCTAACTTATAATACGACCTCGTAAGACTAATAGAGATAAAAGCTTTAGCTATATTAAGTCGCTCGCGGCCTATCCGGATCGCTATAACTCGTACTCGTATCTCGAGACTATCGAAAATCCTATAAATTAATAAGAAGGTAGTATTATCGATCGAATTAGGACTAAAGAAGCGTAAATTCGATAAGGACGACGAGAACTATTATAGCCTTAAAGTTTCGCGTAAGACTAAGGCTTAGTCTACTATTCCTAAACTTCCTACTAGTAATATTTTCAGTGGCGGCGATAACGACGACAACTTCTATACTCTTCTTAGCGATCTATACGAAGGTACTAAAGCTAATAAAAGTCTATTCGATCTAGTAGTACGTCTCTATCTAAATTAATAATTAAATAATAACTAATTATCTTATAGGCGTAGCTAGAGTTAATATAAGAGATTCTCTAGAGTCTAACGAAAGATAATCCCTAGAATAATCCTAATACGAATATTCTGCCATAAAATATAGACTTTAAAGACTTATAAAATAGGGATAGCTATAACGTAATTAAAATAGAACTAGATCTACTTACTATTATTCTAACGATTAAGTTTATCTATAATAATAAGGCCGAAGCGGAGAATAAGAACGAAATAGTATAAGCAACATCTACTATTAGTATACCTAGTATTATGCCTACTCCTCCTTCTCGTCGATAATCGGCACTAGACCTATCCGAGCCTATCCTATATAAACGTATTACGGATACTCCCTATAAATTTAAAATCGCACTTACTATATAGTATAAGGAAACTAGTATATCGCGAAGCTAATATATAAGTCTTCGAGAAATCTTACGCCTCTTAAAGCCGTATCTATCCCTAGAAGAAGTATTACCTAATTTACTTACTATATTAAAATATTATCTTCGGGGTTAGTTATCGTTAATTAAGATACGGAAGTAGACTATTCTATTAATCCTAGAAAAATAGGCTACTAGTACTATAAATAGACGTACTATAGATAGTAAGCTTCTAACTAAAGACTTAATATTTATCGACCTAGGCGATCTATTTAAGTTATTTATTTTAGTTCTAGAAACTCGGGCTAAGATATATATAGGATTTATAGAATTTCGAGATACGCCGACTAAGCTTTAGTACTCGTATAGCTAGAGTTTATCGTTACGGACTATATCCGGGTATTTTACGCACTTTCTTTCCGAGAACGACGAGGAGTAGCCGATCTTTCTATTAGAATATCTAGTCTACTACTACGGAGAAGAAGACTATTATTAAGAATATTTTAGACTTATTTATAGTATTAGTCGAGACTTCCGTTCTATCGTCGAGGGTTCTAATCGATATAGAGTAGTTACAGTTCGGATAAGAGAACTATATATATTAGCTAGGACCACTACCTTTATTATAAAAATACTATATATAAGATTATAGTTCCGCCCCGGGTTCTAGATAAAATAGTACTATCGCCCACTTACTACTATATCTTAGAGTCCTATACTATTCGACGTTTCTATATTAAGATAGATTACTTCTTTAAAGAACTATATAGATATAGCCGGGTTCTTATACTATCTCCGAACTAGCCTATTCTTCGACGAAGTATTAATATTATAGGGGCTAATCGCTATAGTCGTAGCGTATATAAGTTACGGCTAATTTATATAACTTCCCTCTTACGAGCTAAGCTTAAGTTACGTTAGTATACGCGTTCTTACTTCGTTAATATTATAGATATCGGGCTCGATTATATCTAACTTCCTACTAGCGAGATTCCGAGGTATATCTCCGTCTCGCTCCTAATATTTATTAACGAATTTAGTATATACCGAAATAGTTACCGAAGCTTAATAGATATATATATTATTAATAGTGTACTAATCTGGCGAGAGAGAATACGCAGAGCTAACGTCTTTTCGATTACCTTAAGTCTATATAGTAGTAATTTTACTAAAGTGTATAAGGTTCTAGAAGGAATATTAGTACCGCTCGAGTAAGGTTTCCCTATTAATCTTAACGACTAGGATATCTTTATAAACGTTTTTACCTTATACTATATAGGCGATATATCGTAGTAGTAGGTGAATTCGGGCTATAAGACGTAGCGTATAGATCTCGGATACCGATTTTGCTTTATTAGTACTAATAAAAGACGATAGCTTAAGTATAATATTGTTCGAAACGGCCGTACTTATCACTAATATATTTAGATACGTAAGTATATATCTTTACTTACTCTAATAGCTCGAGTAGTATATATAAAGAGATATAGACTATTAGAAGAGGAACTACTATTAGTAAAGTTATCGCCTACTCTCGATCTTCTCCTTAGCCGTCCCGCTAACCTAGTATACTCCGAGTATTAGGGAATAAGTCGGCTTATATATAAGATACTAATCGAATTAATACTAATATCTACTATAGCGAAAGAATACTATACTTTTCTACGAGTCTTTCCTTTCCCTCCCGAATATACTCGACTTTAAAGCTCTCTCTATTATCTAAAGAGCTATTCTCTCTCTAATTATACTCGTTAATCGATAATTATCCCTAGTCTTCTTCGCTACTAGCTACGACTAATATATATAAAGCCGCTTTTCCTCGAGGCTTTAAAATAATTATAGTCCCTAGTATAGGTTACCGACTAGGACGTTACCCTAGTAGTCGTGGAAGTATACGCTATTCTAGCGAAGAATAATAGCCTTCTAATAGGTCTATCGATACCGTCTGCTAATCGCGATAATATAATGAACATTATTATTAACTATCGAAGAGGATTTTAGACTCTAGTTAACTATACGGCTACTATCCTTAATAATAGACCACGTTTAAGATCCTAAAGTATTACTAGATTAGTAATAGGTTCTCTAGCGCTAGCTTCTCGATATGCCGAATAGATATATAAGTCAAAAGCTAGTAAGGCTATAGTCTTAAAAGAGAACTTATTAAATATCTATATAGCCCTTTATTATATAGATATAACTAATAAATACGGTCTTTCTAGTTAAGTTAATACTCTTATCGGAGAAGATAAATATAGATAGTTTAAGAAGGTTATATATATAATAAATTACTCTAATATCGAACGCGTAATATTAATTAAGGAAAACTTCCGTTAAATACTAAGATTACTACTACTAGATACCTTTACTAATTTTAATATAGTAATAACCGCCCTAATTACTAAACTATAGAGTAACTATCTATCGTTATTTATCTCGATTCTTACGAAGTCGGAAATTAAAATACGTCTTACTAATAAGAATAAGGAAGAGAACTAGTTAAATATTATTACCGATAATATATATCTTCGTCTAGCTATTATCGATCGAATTAAATTAATATATACTTAAAGCTCTTTTAACTTATCTACTAAATCCCGTAGCCTTCCTAACGATTATAGAAAGGTATTAAGAAAGGCTTATACTAATATCTACTAGATACCTAATCTCTTCGACTTCGGTAGTACGGTACTATAATAGTATAAGAAGGTCTCGTATTACGATCTAGTTACGGAGAGATAGATAGTATTCTAAATAGGCGATTTCGTTAAGTACGGCAATTAAAGATTCGGCCGTATCGACTAACTACTTATATATATACTAGATAAACGATACCCTCGAGTATTCTTTAAAATCTTCGCTATCGATCTAACTATTATACGTTAAGACCTAATCCTCTATATCTCGATTATAAAGTTATAGGCGAATAGAGAGATTATATTTATTAGCCTTCCTTAGATTATCTCGAAGCGCCTTTATATTATCGATATTACCGACTATAGGATATCGGGTAATATAGATATATTACTCGATAGACCCGACTTATTATTTATAGACTAGATAGTCTAATTTCTTTAACTACGTCTATAGTATAACTTATAAGTACCTTAGTACTATATACTATTTTATTAGCTATAGTCTAACTAATAGTAGGCTTACGTAGTTCCGTAATATTTTAGGTCTTAAAGGTTAGTTTCTTCTAAAAGTAAGCGTTATAGCTTCTAACTTACTATAGTATCGTCTTATTATTATACCGTCGGCTCTAGCAAACTATCCTATATAGCTATAAGTACTATATTACTATATTTAAGCTTATATTAACGTCTAAATAGGTATTATATCGCTAGAGCGCAATAGATATACTTATTAACTAAATAGAATAGATACGTTTAGAAGCCTCTATTATAAAGATATATAGATAGCTAACCGTTCGGTACTATAAAGGATTAGAAAGTTAATAGAGAATAAGGTAGACTATCGACGTACTACGTCTAGAAGATAGTCTAAGCTCGACGCGCTACTATACCTAATAATAATAAAGGCTAAGTTACCTTCGAAAAGCTTTCTATATATCTCTAACTATTATTCTAACTCGAATTCTACGCGTTACTACTATTACTTTTATTAATACTACTTTAAAAGCGGCGTCGCTCGAGATAGAGGGGTAAAGAGAGATAATTAAGAAGATTATACCGGATTAAGGGGAGGGGTTAGTTAGGGTAGTATTAGAGTCGATATTAATAGAAATTAAAGTATTTTATACTATAGTAAAGTAAGGTTCTATCGTAGGAATAAGCACGTAAGAGCCTCGCCGAATAAGGAATAGTATAGTACTAAATTTATCGTAAGGATAGAGTTTCCGTTAAAAATCTTTTACCGTAACTAAAATTTAACCGTTAAATAACGGAACGAGGTAAATAACCGTAAATTTAAAATTACCGTTACCTTACTATACTCTTATCGTCAAAAGTTCCGGGTGCCCGCCGCTACGGTATCGTAGAGCACAGGGGCCTTAGGCGCAGAGTCTGGGATCGTTTGCTGTAAGCGGTCTGGCTGAGACATCTCTCCGCTGTGCGACCTCTCATTTCTTACTGAGCGGACAACTGAACGCCAGACCGCTGTGGTCTCCATTCAAACGTCTTCTTTTTCCGTCCGTTGAGCCCTTTCTCTAGTGTTGAGTGGCCTAAGGGCCCTCACTGACCCACTCTCTGGGTGTAGAAAGCCGTAAGACGAGGGGAACATAGGGTGCTAGTATGTGTCCCTTGGGCTTGGGGGTGCCAGTCGGGGCCAGTCGGTGCCAGTGAAAGGGTGAGAATTGACAGTCCGTCCGCTCAACAGGCCGAAGATTAGGGGCACTATGCCCCTTTCAGCCCCAACACGGGGCAATGAAATAATAATGGCGAGGACCCCAGGCGCCGTATGCCTGCGCCCGCAGCCGCAGCCCCAAGAACTGACTCCGATAAGAATAACAACAATCTACCAGGCACTGGCACCTACTGGCCACAGCCTGAGGTCTACAGCATTATCATCACCATCATCATTATTCCCACCTCTGTTCGCGTACCATTGCAGTCCAGCTGAACACTGATCGTCCGACGTAGATCCTTGTCTTGTTCCAGGATCGTCCAGCGCCCAGTTTCAGCGCCTCGGTCGCCCAATCTCCGCTCGTCGAGTACCTTAACCGCTCCTCCTGTCTGATACCAACCGGTCAAGAACCTTGTTTCTTACGGACCTTTTGAGATCTTTCTTTGGAAGATAACCTTCCGATATATCAATCAGCATCCATAGTATAGCATACTATTCACAACTTCCCAGCACCCCCCTTCCAGTCTAACCCTCAAGGCAACGAAGCCGACCTCCTCCCTTGGTCAGGGTAGACAAGAACCCTCACTACCTTGCGATGTCCGCCCAAGCAGTGACCGGGGAACCGACCCCCGTGACTCCCCATATCGAGAAGAAACCCGTCAAGTTCAGTAATCTGCTACTGGGCGCCGGCCTGAACTTGTTCGAGGTCACCACGCTGGGACAACCGCTGGAGGTGATCAAGACCACCATGGCCGCGAACCGGACGGATAGCTTCGCAGGAGCCATGGCAAGAATATGGAGTCGTGGGGGTATTCTTGGATGTAAGCTCAACTCCCACATGTGGCTGTCTCGCAGCGATTCCTCGAGCAGCCACGCGCAAGAACGCAAATACACCCCTCTGATTCCCCCTACCACCCGTATCCGTCAGCCCGATGCAACTCTTGATGGGCAAAGCGATCCATTATATTTTACTGTGTCTGGTGACTGACTAATTCTTCGTCGAGGGCAGACTACCAGGGCTTGATCCCATGGGCATGGATCGAAGCCTCGACCAAGGGCGCGGTGTTGCTCTTCGTTGCCTCTGAAGCCGAATACCGCGCGCGAACCTTCGGCGCCAACAACTTCGTGGCAGGAATCGCTGGAGGCATGGTCGGTGGTGTCGCGCAAGCCTACGCGACCATGGGCTTTTGTACCTGCATGAAGACCGTGGAGATTACACAACACAAGCTGGCGGCGCAGGGCGTGAAACCGCCATCGACATTCAAGACATTTGCCGACATCTATCGCAAAGAAGGCATCCGAGGCATCAACAAGGGCGTCAATGCCGTAGCCATCCGTCAGACCACCAACTGGGGTTCTCGCTTTGGACTGTCGCGCCTGGCCGAGTCCGGAATCCGCAAAGTCACCGGCAAGGAACATGGCGAAACGCTTACTGCCTGGGAAAAGATCCTCGCTAGTGGTCTTGGTGGTGGTCTGTCCGCCTGGAATCAGCCTATCGAGGTCATCCGGGTTGAAATGCAGAGCAAGACCGTGGACCCCAATCGTCCAAAGAACTTGACCGTCGGCAAGACGTTCAAGTATATCTACGAGACCAACGGCATCAAAGGTCTCTACCGTGGCGTTACTCCTCGCATTGGCCTTGGTATCTGGCAAACCATTTGCATGGTTGCATTGGGCGATATGTAAGTGTTGATCTTTTTTCCGGTCTCTCTTGGACCTGTTTTATCCTCTTACCAAAACGGCATACTGACCATGGTCGTGCAAAAACTACAGGGCCAAAGAAGCGGTCGAAAAGCTTACCGGTGAAAAGGTCACTGCGAAGCACTAAAAGCATGGCGTTTGTTGGTTTCAGTGAGAAAGGGTCGGCCAGGCATGGCCCCGGGAGACAGTTCATGCTATAAGAACATCTACCACCTCCTACTGTACCTACCTAGGCAGGGAGTAGTAGGTAGTCAGATTGTGGCAGGCTGCTGGTAATTCGAACAGTTGGACAGAGCAGGGCTGGTGGGCATGCAAAAGGCGGCACTCCAGTCTCCGGCTTTCTTCCTTGCATGAGCGAGACATCCCCAGCCAAGAGTTTTTGTTGTTGGGAGGTGACAGTCCCACGGCTATAAGCATTTCGGACCCTGAACTCTAAACACTTCTGATTTGGGGGATTCAGAGTCACGCTTTCGATTATTGATAGATATTGATATTGGCTATGACCACGTGCGCCAGAGAGAAAATGGACGACATAAGAAGGTGTCATTCGACTTGGGCATCAGCATCTTTACAGTCTCTTCTTGTGCTTCATGGTAGTAATCACTCTTCGGAGGAGTCGACACAGAGCACCGGTAGGGAATTCAAGGTCTATTTGAAATTTTGGCCAGGGCCTGCTTGGATGATTTTTTTTAACATAACAATTTTTCTCCTTTTATTTTCCTGTTTATGGCAAAACAATATATTTCTCCAGATGCTTGGGAATCGCGCCTCTGAGATTCTTACTCCTCAACCACTTATCGCTGAACAGACGGTCGGCATACCGGTAGGCGCCATCACAGAGAATAGTGACGATCGTATGGTTGGGGCCCAATTTCTCCGCGACTTCCTTTGCAGCCACGACGTTCAGCGCACTGCTGGCACCGAGATACAATCCCTCCTCGTCGAGACAACGATAGACCATTTCAATACTCTTCTCATCTGCGATCTGCAGGGCGCCGTCGAGCAATTCAACATCCTGCTTCAAATTGTCCGTGACACGACCTTGGCCGATTCCCTCTGTAATACTGCTTCCCGTGCGCTCCTTGAGCTGGCCGCCCGAGGTGATGTACGAGTACAGCACCGAACCCGGCGGATCAGCCAAGAAACACTTGACGGAGCCGTTGCTGACGTCCTTCAAAAACCGCGTCGTTCCCGCCAACGTGCCGCCGGTGCCTGTAGCACAGGTAAAAGCGTCGATCTTGCCGCCCGTCTGCGCCCAGATTTCCGGTCCGGTCGTCTCAATGTGTGCGCGTCGGTTGGCCGTGTTGTCGAACTGGTTCGTCCACACGGCGCCGTGCTCCGGGTCCTCCTTTTGTAAGCGCTCTGCATGTCGTTTCGCCTGCCAGTTGTAGTTCTCTGGGTTTTCCCACGCCACCGCGGGAACAGGGTATACTTCGGCCCCCAACAGGCGCAACAGGTCGATCTTGCCTTGGGATTGTGTGTTCGGCATGTATATCACCAGGTTGTAGCCCTTGGACCGACACACGTGTGCTAATCCGATCCCCGTGTTGCCTGCTGTGCCTTCGACCACGGTCCCGCCGGGTTTGAGCAGGCCTCGCTCTTCAGCGTCTTTTACTACGTATAGTGCTGCTCGGTCTTTGACGCTTCCACCGGGGTTCTGGAACTCGGATTTCCCGAGGATGTTGCATCCTGTTTGAGCGGATAGCTTTTTCAATCGGATTAATGGCGTGTTGCCGATGGCTAGCAAATACACGGCTCTCGTTAGCGGAGGTGTCAAGAGACTGACTTGCGGGAGATGGCAAGATTGTGGTAATGCCAGTGGCCAGTTCAGAAATATAAAACGTACCTCCAGTCAAGCCATCGACAAACCCTTGAGCTTGTGACACGCGGACGCCGTAGGAATTTATGGATTCGGTCGCTGCGGCTCGCACGGCTGTGGTTGCGAACCGCCGCACAGAGGTCTTGAGGACATTCGCCATAGCACCTGTATACCTGTACTTCCCCGGAAGCCGTAATCCTTCTGCGATGAGGTTATGGCACTGAAGGAGCAAGGGGGGTTGTCGGGGAACTTCAAGTTGAACGCTATCAATAATGCAAGAGCCCGAAGCGTACCTAGGGAAAATAATGATGATTTGCACCCCACCGCGTCGTTCAGTGGCATCATGGAGTGGCCGTCTCTTACATAATTCACATCGGGCTTAACGTGACGCGGACAAGGCTGGGTTTGGTCGGTTCTCCTTTTTGACTTTTTGTAAACTACTGTTGCTTTTTCAGCCTTGTGACAATGCTTCTGTTCTAGAAAATGAATGTGTAGTTAGCAAGGTTTGCTCGCTCGTAGGACAACTCGACTTTCGAGAAGATAGGTTGGCCTAATAGTCCATTCTGGAGCATATTATATGGCAGAAAGTAATTCTAAGCATGGTTCAGGTGTGCCGGAGTGTAGAACTCCGGAGAGTTCAATCAATGTGCATTACCTTGGGTCATGCTGAAAACTAAAGGGAGCAGTAATGGGTCTTTACATGTGCATGGCGGGGGAGCAGTAAATCGGGAAAACATTGGTTATGATCGAAAACAACAAGACTGCTTGGACATCAATCCTTTTCCTCATCTATCTGGCTCTTTCATTGTCTTTACTGTCATGGTATTCGAAAGGAAAGCCCTGACCTCGAACAGCTTGATGCTGCGGGTAGGGATGCAATTCGAACTTTCTATGACCACCTGCACAAACGAGACAACTATTCCTTTCCTGTTGGAATTTTGAAGAACTCGGCCGGTGAGTCCTTTGTAGCAGCCTTGTCACAACGGAAGTATCCCTTTCTGTCAAACTGGATGATGTCGTCAACCTTGACGTCCCAAACATTGCAATCTGCCAGTGCGGATGATCTGAACTCGGTCTTGGGCGTCAAGAAGTCCTCCCAGTGCTCCTCCTCCTCCTCAGTCAACTTATCTTTGCTCAACAAATGATCGAAATCGACCAGATCAACAGGAACGAGGTCCTGATCTGTGGAGAGCCAAGTGATCTTCTTCTTGGTCGCTTTGAAATCGCCATCGAGATGCAATTCGAGTTCTAGAGACCTGACGTTGCCCAAAGCGTTGACACCATCGGCAATGTCAGCCTTGTCTGACGTGTTCTCGTACTGAATGTCTCGAATGTAAGCGTTACCCCAATTCATCAGCGTGATTTCCTCGTCCTTGGCGAAAGTGCGGGCATCCTCTTGCTCGATGATGATGTTGGAGCTGTACACAACCTTCTTCTGTCCTAGATCATGCTTGGCATGTTTAGGCTTCATCTCAGAGTAAGGCGCATCGTCCTTTAGGCCTTTGACTTTGCAAACCACATGGTTCTTGTCAATGGCAGTATATCGGCCGGCAATCAGATCGATCACCTTTTTGTTCATGGCCCAGATAGTATGCCAGTCCATGTTCACCACGTTCTTGCTAGGCCCTTGGCTGACCATGAAATCACGGAGACCTTCGACAGTCATGCCCCGCCGCCTGATTCCTCGCACGGTGGGGAATCGTGGGTCGTCCCATCCAGACACAACACCGGCATTCACGAGCTTGGTGAGCTTGCGTTTGGACATGAGTGTTCGCACAAATTGGATCTTGGAAAAGGTCCAGATGAAGGGGGCCCGCAACTCCAATGCCTTCAGAATCCACTTGTACTGAGCATCTTGATCGTTGTACTCGGTCGTTCTCAAAGCATGGGTCACGCCTTCAAGCGAGTCCACGATGGGGCATGCGAACTGGTACGTGGGATAGGCCTTGTACTTGTCGCCGGTTCGGTGATGAGGAGTCTGGGTCTTGGGGCAACGGAAGATGACCGGATCTCGCAAAGCTGCATTGTCGTTTGCGTAGGAAATCTTCGCTCGAATGCACCATCTTCGTCCTTCATCTGTTCCCTTCTTCATCTCTTCGTATCTGGCAAGGTTGTCCTCCACACTGTCGTCTCGGTGCACACTGGGCTCGCGAGCCAATCTCTGGGCACTCATGACATCGCCGGGAGTGTCGTCTGCATATGCTTTTCCTGCCTGGATAATTTTCACGCAGTACTCGTCGATCTTGTCGAAGTAGTCGCTTGTGTAGGAAATCATGTCTGGCGTGATTCCCAATAGCGCCACATCCTCCCGAATTGCCTCCTGATACTCCTCGTTCTCTTTCTCGGTGTTTGTGTCGTCAAATCGGAGGATCAGCTTCCCTCCCGGGTATTGTATGTGAGCGAAGTAGTCATTGAGCAGGGCGGCTTTGGAGTGACCGATGTGTAGGTAACCCGATGGCTCTGGCGGGAACCGGGTGACGACTCCAGCAGCAGCATTGGGGAGTTCCATCTGCTTGACCTTGGGGGCCTTTTTGCCCTTGGGAGGGTTCTGCTTCTGGGTTGCCATGTTGAGCGACAGAGATATGTAGTAGAAAAATGTACTGGGAGAGTGGACTGCACTTGATGGCGAAGGCGGGATTTCACACCTTCAAGTTGTCACCGACTTTCGAACTTTTTTCAAATGTACGCAACCAACCAGCCTTGCGCGGGGAGATGATCTGCCGCACTGCAGCCTTGCAAACAGCCCGCAAAGTCAGCAAACGTGCCAAGGCTGCAATTGGCCAGGCTCTGGACTTCAGTAGCTGCACCCGCGCCGGGATCTTTCAGGTGTATCGCAGTACTAGTAGGGCACTTCAATTCGAGAACGTGAACGGTTTCTTGTTTGCCCTCGACCGTCAGCGGCCATGGAAGTGTCGCGAGGTCTGTCAATGGCCTCTAGGAGCCTGTGCAGGTCGACTACATCCTCGTTCCTGGCTCCCTTGACGACTCTGTCACGAGCAGGATGTCGACCATTTTCATCGGTGCCCGTTCTTTTCGCTCCCCGGCAAGGCGGCGCAGGCAAAGACAAGGCCGCTAAAGAAAAGGCCAAAAGAAGAAAGAAGAAGCATCAGATGTATAAGCAATATGACTTGAAGGAAATGGAACAGTTCACCCTGTGTGATGCGATGCGGTATGTGGCACTCTTCCTATTCATGCCACCATTCGTCAACCTCTCCTAACGCCAACAATAGGTATATCAAAGCTTTTGAAGTCACGCATGACCCCGATGTTCCCAAATACGACATACACATTAAATTGCGGACGAGGAAGGATGGCCCGGTTGTCCGAAACCAGATACGACTACCCCATGCCGTCAAGACAGACATCAGAATCGCCGTCATCTGTCCTCCCGATTCAGCCGCGGCAAAGGACGCACGGGCAGCAGGTGCGGCGGTAGTGGGCGAGGATGAGGTGTTTGCAAAAATAAAAGAAGGAAAAATCGACTTTGATCGATGTCTCGCTGTCCCGGAGTCGCTCCCGAAGTTGGCCAAGGAAGGTCTACCTAGGATATTGGGACCTCGGGGCTTGATGCCCAGTGTGAAACTCGGTACGGTCGTGGAGAATCCCGGCCCCGCGGTGAGAAACATGATGGGAGGGAGCATGTACCGAGAACGGTCGGGTGTTGTTCGGATGGCTGTCGGACGACTCAGCTTCACCCCAGAACAACTGAGGGACAACGTCAAAGCTTATGTCAACGCGGTGAAGAAGGATGCTGCCAATCTGAGTGACCAGATTGTCAAGCAGATCTCCGAAGTGGTGGGTGCCGAAGTATTCAGTTCATGGTCTCATGCTGATGAAATTGCAGGTTTTGAGCTCGACGAACTCCCCCGGCTTTTCGCTCAATGGCGAATTCTACAGACCTGCCCCTGGGGTACCGACTCCGCGGGAATTATCAGTGGTCTAAACACTCGGCTTTGAAGGACACAACTTTTCTACTGTACAGCGTGTATTGTATATCAGACGGAAGGGAATCCACGACTTGTCATGGCCATACGTTTATAGATTGGGCTAACTGGGAGGGTCTAATCTTCCACCGTTGCGCGAACCTGCAGCAATTTTTGCTTCATCTTCACCTCGGATTCTTGTTTGATTGCAATGTCGAGGTCGGACAATAAAATGTCTCGAAGCTTCTGGATCCGGTGTTGTTGGTCGAGTATAAATGGATGATGCGGACTGTGTCTGCTGATGAGATGCTTCAGGATGAGAAAATCTTCGGTCCTCCTTTTTAATCGCGGTGGCATCCCAGTGCCATCGTCGGAATCATATTCATCGTCACTTTCATCAATGGTCGTTTCTGTCCAGTCTTGATCCCATTGTACCCCTTCTTCCTGTGGTTTGACCTGTTTTAGGACCGCAGTTTTGCCGCTGCCAATGTTCAGCTGCTCTTCCAACTGATCCAAACGCTCTGCTATCTCAAGCAAGGCCCGACCGACGCCAACTTCGCGCTTGAGGTCTTTCTTTTGTTTTAATAGTTCTGCCACATCGTCTCTTCTAGCATCAACCTTGTCCCTCACCGCTTTGATGTCTCGTTGTAAGCCAAGCAGTCCAACTCGGATGTCCTCGACCTTTTCGTCGCCCCCAGACAACGTGGTGCCCAGTGACAAGAATTCTTCGTAGTTATCATTGACCAGATCGACCAGCTCTTTGTTGACCGTGTGACTGAGCTCGCGCAACTCGGCCTGGAGGTCTTCCAGAGTCTGGAAGCGATCCGACAGACTGGACAAGAATGTAGCAGCGTCGAAGTCCGGTGTCAGGAAAGCGGCTCGGTCTATTGGCTTGGGAAACGGTAACGGCGCATCGTCGTCGACTTCGGAGCCGGAATCTGAGCCACCGAACTAACATTGCGGTCAGTTTGCATGGCAATTAATTGTTGGAGACGATCTCACGGACATAGAAGCGGCTACTCATCTTGACTCAGTCAGGGATGTGTGGACAATCACGGCCATTGTTGGGTAGACCGCATGTGGATTCAGGAGGATCTTGGTGGCTGGACTTGCGCACCAAAGAAAGTCGCGGTCGCTTTCGTGAAGGGCAGTCTTGTGATACCTTGCTAGAGATCACAAATTGAAGCAGGCCCAGTCAATGTGGATGAGCCGGTCTTGAAGAGTATGGTGTGTGCTTGGCAGTCAGTAACCGTGTTCTTTGTTGTGGTGAGGCCAGAAAACCATAGAGCGGGACAGAAAACGTGGAGTAGTAGTGAACATGTATGTAACCACTTCAGTGAGGGTGTTTATAGATCCGCGTCAATCACATTTCATGTCTAGCAACTCTTTTTGACCTCGAATGTCAACCCTACATTGTATAATATCACTTTCCTGTCCATTAGTGATCCGCCAGAACTACACAGCCAGTCCCCTAGTGTCACTACCACTGGCAACGTGGATACTGTCTCGCAAATATAAATAATGGCGCATGCAGCGCGAGGGGCAGCGGCTCTTGCAGCCTCAGATGCTCCCACAGCCTTAGCGGAATACACACAGGCACTGATTGAACACCCCAAATCGCCAGACTATCTCACACAACGCTCAATCGCATTCACACGGCTAAAACCGCCGCGGTACGATCTCGCGCTCCGAGACGCAGAATACGCCGTTCTTCTCGGATTCCAGCGAGCAGTGAGAGAAAAGATCCAAGCGGCACAGCAAAGACGCGTCGTGGCACTTTACGGGCTTGGACGGTACGCGGACGCAAAATACCTATTGACAACCATGGAGCGCTGGAGGCCCAAGGACAACAAGCCGGCCAAGATGGAAGGTGACATGTGGATGGCAAGAGTGGAATCCAAGTTAAACAGCGTCCCCGAGGCAGACAGAGTGCCGACCGTGAAAGAACGTCCTGAGATCGAGCTGCTGTCCGAAGATCAGTTGAGGGCGCAGTACAAAGCCGAACTGAACCCTGATGGCTCCTACAAACTCGACAACCAAACATCTGAAGGCCAGTCGTCGACCACGACCACCACTGGCACCACCTCCGGCACCGCGACCACCTCGAACAACGACAAAGCAGCAACAACATCAACCACTGCTGCCAGTACCGAACCGAATTCACCGCCTTACAAGGAGTATCGCTACGACTGGTATCAGAACGCCCAATCCGTCATCGTCAGTATATACGTCAAAGGCGTGTCGCGCGACAGTTGCATATTCAACATTTATGATGACTCGTTCTGCATCGAGTTCCTGGACCGTGGACGAATTTTCCTTCTCGACCCAATATTCGCCCTCATTGACCCTAGCCAAAGCAAAGTTTCAGTTTTTCCAACCAAGATCGAGTTGACGTTGCACAAAGCCCAGCCAGGACAGAAATGGCCTTCTTTGGAGGGTACAGAACCCTTGTACACATCGGCAGACACCAAGACCAACTTTTACAAAGATGTACTCGCCAATGCCGCTCCCGCGTCTGAATCCTCTCAGTCCAAAGCAACAACAACACCGGCAACAACAACAACAACAACATCGAATGCACCACCTACGTATCCGACTTCGTCTCGTCATGGGCCTAAGGACTGGGACAAACTAGCCAATGACCTGCATGCCAAATCCAAGAAGAAAAAGACCGACAAAAAGAAGGACGAGACGTCTGCCGAGAACAATGACCCCGGTTCCAAAAATTCAGATGACGCTGAGCCCGTCGCCGACGACGACGATATCGACTCAGACTTTGAGACAGGTGACCCCGTCGACGCGTTCTTTAAGAAACTCTACTCCAACGCCGATCCGGATACCCAGCGGGCCATGATGAAATCCTTCATCGAGAGCAAAGGAACCGCACTGAGTACGAACTGGTCGGAGGTTGGAAAGGGCCCTGTCGAAGAGGTCAAGAGCAAGAACGAGGATTGATGTGTCAATCCGTCACTTGCAGAACATAGTAGTCGTACTCATTGCCAAATGACTAATCCAATCATGACTCTGTGGCAAAATTTGAATGAGAATGATACCAATAAAAGGTCATGAAGCTTTAATATTAAATGCAGCTTTCCTTTATACCCCGGAAGTAGCAATCAATAATTTAATAAGACCGCCTTGGGCGGTACAGTACTATTCCTATCCCTCCGAAAAACACACAATTGCCCACAGTACCCCCTTTTCGTCGCCCAACCGTCCAAACAATAACGCAACGGCATTTATAAAGGTTACATTCGAGTAGTAAATTCAATAATATGAAACCGAAACTGTTGCTGTCGTCGCCGCCCTCGTTGGCGTCGATGGCCCAGTATTTATATCTCCTCCGACATCAGTTAGCATGGCCGAGTATTCCATCCGGCAGTTGCAGACCGAGACCAATGCCAACGCCAATGCCAATGCCGCCATTATTGTATCCGGGATTCATTCTATCGTTGCCGCCACTCAAGTTGTCACCGTCGTTATCGTCATCATTTTCGTCCACACTGTCACTGTCCCCTTTGGCTCGGGACGGTACAGATCTATGGCTGAGACGTCGACGGTCATGCCTATGTGTATCTGTGAAGGACGAGGATGGCGCGGCCTGATGATGCTGACCATGTCCTTTTTGAAATTGAGTCAAAGGATTCAGCGGGCCGTTAACAGCGACCCAACCACTGTCTGTGGTACTGTGTTGTATGTTATGGGTATTCAAATTGTTGGAAGCGGAACGGGCTCGTAAAAGGGCAGAAGGAATAGGACCAGAAGCACGATCACGATCAGGTCGCTTCGAATGATCCAGAACGACTTTGGAGTAGAACGGCGGTTGATCGACATCGTTACTTCTCGCTGGTGAATTTCTCGTTGCTGTCGAGGTGGACCAGTGAGTGCCGGTCACGGCTTGTTCGAGACGTTGGACGAGAGAAGATTTCGGATTCAGATTCGGACTCGCAGTCGAATACGATTGCGAATACAAATGGGAAGATGGGTTTTCAGCGTCTGTGTCGGTCTCGGTGTTATTGTTATCGCTGGTCCCGTCACGCTCATGCCGGCACAGGTTGTGTTTGCTATTTCCATTATCGGCCAGTGGTTGTAACAACATGTACATCCCGGCTGAACTGGGACCAGATCTCTGCCTGGGACTGCTGGTGGTGGCTGTGGCTGAGCGCGGCGATGGGTAAGGGTATGCTTTGTTTGGCGTCTGTGGGCGACATATTGATAAGCCGTTGTAGTTGCGGGGAGGGCTAGAGAGTTGTCGGGTTTGTTGCTGGTGTTGATGCTGACGCTGCTCTTGCTGTTGTTTTCCCACTGGGAGGAACTGACTTTCTGGATGCATCTGGTATCCACATCCTGATCTTCCCGCAGGAACATCCGCATCTCTTTTCGGCCGGAGAGCCAGTGGAGTGACGTGCAGAGAAGACGAATCAAAACCCACACCCGTACCAAGCGTTGGGGGTGTGCGGACACCTTCCGGTTCGGGGCTTTCGGTATGTACGCTGGCGTCTTCCCAGATGGAAATGCCGGACGGAGACGCTGCGATAGGTGTAGTACTGCCAAAGGGAAAAGCTTGCGATGGAGGAAAAAGTGCCACATGGGAGGCTGCACCAGCAACGCCAGCCTTGGACCGATTCATGGTCAGGCTATTCGCGCTGTTTGCCATGTTGATGGATGTCGAGTGGACCAGTGGACTGCATCCGCGGCTTGTGGCGGTCGAGGTGGACCGGTCTTTGTCGAGCACGGGCGATATGGTCATGGTCGACGAGGCGCCATATGCGGAATTCCGTAAGCCACTGATCCGTTTGTTCAGGGGAGGAGTGGCGTTGGCGCTAGCAACGACAGTCCTATATGGATCAGGAGTAGAACTATTAGATTCACCACCGATGTTGCGGTAGAATCTAAGGCTGGTATTGCTGCTGCCATTGCCGTGGCTCTGATCGAGCAACCCTCCCTCCGAGTTCATGCTCCTGAGCATCATGACTGATTTGCGAAGGTCGATCTCTCTGTCTCTATCTCTGTCTCTGTCCCTCTCCCTTGTAGTGCTGGATTCACGCTCCTTGCTGACGCGGAAGTTTGGTCCTTGTTTGTTCTGTAACGGGCTTGGAGAAGAACCAGATCCACGCGGGTTGCGCGGTCCTTTCACCAGAGATTTTCGCGGATACAACGAAGACGAGTTCAAGGTTGGAGAAGGGAGAGTAGGCGAGTCAAATGGATGTATCGCAGAGGGCCGGCCCGATAAAGGACTACTGTGGACTCCGGTATTTACCTTTGAGTCGGGCGAGAACATCCATTGCCGAGGCGAGGTGTTGTAGTTGCTCGAAGGCGCCGCCCCCACATGTGATGGGTTGAAAATGTCGGAGTCGGCTCTGGGGATGCCTAAGGAGGCACTGCTTCGGGGTTCATTATGCTGCCTGGGTAGCGGTCGAGAGCTCGGCGTCAGCACAGGACGGTTTCGGAAGGGGGAGATGCTGTCCACCGTTGATGCTGGAGCCATCACCGTTGTCTGCGTTCTGGGCACCGGCACTGAAGATTGTGGAGGTTGGAAGTTGTCGGCATCGTCAGCGTCGGTGTCAGGGGCATCTACATTTTGCAGCTCTTCTCGAAGTTCCGGCATCTGGCCTAGGATCTTCTGCCTTGGTTCAATTGCTGGAAGGTTGGTGATGCGAACACAGTTTTGGCGCCGGTGGCCTCGACGGGGCCCGTCCAACGAGGAGAGAGAATGGCGGTTGGTCGCAAAGTCGCCCTGCCGATCCCACTGTAGAGGATTACCCGTTGCGACTGATGCCGGTCTTTTGATGGCATTGCCTGCTAGAGACGCGGGTGAATGGCAAAGGTCTGTTGCCATGGGGTCGCTGACTGCCCTCCACTGCTGAACCTTCGAGGACTCGTACATGGAATGTCTGGCAGGATTAGAGCCTGCAGAGCGGATCTTCTTGATGCGCAAGGGAAGCGGATTCTCCCACTGGCTCGCATCAATGGTTTTGAACGAGTCTTCTCGGGTCATCCTGGCTGCTGGTCGCCCCTGACGTGAATCATCTCCGCGGGGCTCAGGGCTTGCTTCGTTCACATCAAAGCTTGGGTGGAGTGAGTGGAAGCTAGGTTTACTCACACAGAGACCGTGGATCGTTTGCTTCACTGGAGGCACTTGAAGGCGAGGTCCCGACGTTTTCTGGCCCTGACGAGAATCCAACCCTCGAAGTCTCGTGCTTATACCCTGGTTGGAAACGTTGTTCTCTCTAACGTTGCTGGAAGGAGAGCCCACAGCACTTCCTAGCACAGAGCTACCGACGGTGTCCAAGCTGGCGTTTGACGCCCTCGCCCTAAGCTCCTGCGTTCTTGGGTGCTTGTACACGTCTATAGTCGGCAAAGGTGGAAGAGGGTCATCTGGAGCGGAGGATGTTGTACTACTCATGCTCACAGAACGGGGAACCGTGGTGTTCACTGGTGTCGGGCGGGAAGAATTCGAAGTATGTGTGATGCCTCCGCCCATCCGCATCAGCATACTTGCTCGTGCGGCCATGGACATGACTTCGGTAGGTGTGACATCCGAGGAACCGCGCGTTTTGGAAATCACCAGAGGCCACTGAAGGGAAATCTGTCGCTCTCCTTTTGACCCGGGTGCCACCGAAGTCACAATTCTCGCTGCACCCTCTGGAAGAGATTCAGTGGCTGCCGGCGAACTGCACGGAGGAGAATCTGTAAACTCAGTGATCGCGGAGAGAGGAGAGTGTTGCATCTGGTTGAGTGGCATCGCTTTGCGCAACTTGTTCTGCCGGCGCGTTTTGGGTATGTTCAGCGGCTGTCCGGTGAACGAGCGTCGTATTGATCGTCTTCCCTTTGGCTGCAGCGAGCCATGGTCATAGCGCAAGAGTTGCGCGGTATGATCGCCTGCTTCCTCCTCCTCAAATATAGCATCGGGGTGCACGCGTCCAACTGAAATGACACCGTACGGGAGCTGCACGCTTCGCCTAAGATATGTCGTCGGTGCCGTGATGTGAGAATAGTTGTTTTCGTTCGCGCTGAGCTTGGCTCGATGATAAGTGCTGAGGCCTCGAGATAGGCCATGAGTCTGCATAAGATACCGGTGCCGCCGTCGCTCGATGCTGACAGCAAGCAAGACTCCCGTGATGAGCAGAACCACAGCGCCGGCCACCGCGACGCCAATGATGGGCGCTAATGACCACATCTTCTTTCTTCAACGCGACTCTCTCACCAACATGCAGCATGCTGAAACGTAGAAACAGGGTGGACAAGGGGCTGTCGCGGTGACATGCGAAGGCGGCTCTTTTGGGAAGAGGGCGGATGGAATGCGGGAAATTGGCCAGCCTTGTGCAAGGGATAACAAGACACAAACGGAATGAGGAAGATTGAGGGCATGTTTTTGGAGGCACCTGGTCCAGATCCAGACGCATTCGAATACTCCTGGTCTGGCGTTCCTTACCTGTATAGAGCTCGTGTTGATGGCATGAACACGGGGTGTTTGCTTACCGGAAACTCAGTAGATAGCTGCCTCAGTTTGGTCAAATTGCATGACTTCCCACTTTTCTTGGCCGTTTAAGGCGTTCAAGATCGAGCAAACGAATGAACATGGTCAGGGGGCGACTGCGAGTTGAAGTGACTGGAGGACTCGCGAAAAACAAACTGCGAAGATGGTCCTGGAGGTCCATGGACATCATGTACTGGTAGCGGACACGGGTATCGAGTTAGTCCCCGGTCCGGCCGCACATTATGACAATCAGACGGGGAAGAGTCTGGGGTCCCCGTCACCCCAGAGTGACTGGTAATCTGAAAGAAGCCTCCAGCCGGGTAGCAATGTGTAATAATTGCTGTGAATAAAAGAGGCAGATTGAGTCATTGCAAGAGTGGCTTCTGTAGAGGCGCGGATACGGCAGGTTTCCGGTGGTCATGTCATTTTCTCTGCCGCTTTGGCCCCCACTACTGGCGAAGAACAAACAACAAGCGAGTCTTTGGCACTAGGAACAGGTACCAGTACCTCTAGCAAGAGAATTCGACGTCTCGACGATTGCCGGAACTCTGAGCGCGGAGCAGAACGTCGATGACACCATCCACTTTTGCGATGGCCACCAAACGCCACAGCGAGCTTCCTGGCCCGCCACCGGCAACAGTTGGCGTAAAAGCCCAGGGCAACCAAAGCCAGAGAGCGATGGGGTCAGGTCCATATAATAATGTTCCAGAGTAACAACGTATATATTTTATCCGGGCAGACACCGACCGACCGGCAGCACTTCCGTCATAGGAATAGAGGCGGATCGTCGGTGGAGTTCAAGTTGTATAAACAGTTTGATCCTGCCAGAGTGTAATTTATCATCCATATATCAAAAAATATATTCGCCCGCCGTACCTTACCTCAGCTTGTCACAAGGCTTTCGTCTTCGTCTGTTATATTATTCCTCGACTCAACCATATCTTTCTAGCATCAAAGAAATTTAAACCTTTGATCTTGTCAACATGGACGACGCAATGAACGGAGGTGCTTTCAAGCACTACAACACAGAGGCCCCCACGTCCAAATTGGTGATGCCGCTCTTTTCACTCAAGGGAAAGACGGCCATCATCAGCGGAGCAGGTGCCGGCATTGGTCTGGCCGTGGCACGGGGATATGCTGAAGCCGGTGCGAACGTCGCCATCTGGTTTCACAGCAATCAAAAAGCCCATCAGCGGGCCGAGGAGATTGAAAAGGAATTCGGTGTGAAATGTGAGCACGAATCAATAAAAAGATTAAAACTTTCGGCTTTACTGAAAATATGACTACTAGGCCGAGCATACCAAGTCGATGTGAGAGATGCCAAAGCAGTGGACGAGGCCATTGTTTCTCAGGTCAAGGAGTTCAACAACCGCCTCGATATCTTCGTGGCCAATGCCGGGATCCCCTGGACCCAAGGGCCTATGATCGGCGGTGAAATCGAGCACTACCAGAACGTCATTAAGACCGATATTGACGGTGTCTTCTACTGTGCCAGAACGGCCGGGAGAATCTGGCGAGAGCAGAAGAAGAACAAGCTCGAGGGATTCAATTACGGCAAATTCATCGCCACCGCCAGTATGAGCGGCCATATCGCCAACATTCCTCAATTGCAAAGTGCGTACAACGCAGCCAAGGCAGCGGCGAAACATTTGTGCCAGAGTTTGGCCGTCGAATGGGTCCAGTTTGCCCGTGCCAACAGTATCAGCCCGGGTTACATTGCCACCGAAATCAGCAACTTCGTCCCTCCTGAGACCAAGAACATCTGGCGAGACAAGATCCCCATGGGTCGAGAAGGCGAGCCGATCGAGTTGGTGGGGGCTTACTTGTATCTTGCCAGCGATGCCAGCTCGTACACGACCGGAACTGACATTATTGTCGATGGTGGATATTGCGCCCCTTAAGGGGTAGTTAGTCGTCTTTAGGGAGAATCTCATATGTGTTGTTTGACAACTTGCTCTTCGATGATTCTCGTTGGTCGTCTGTCGGATCGTGCCTTGTCTCCGTCCCAATCTGTCTGTTTCCATATTATTCTTCATCTTCCCGGGCCCGGTTGATCTCCCCCTATTTGCACGAAGCCGAAGCTCTTCTCTGCGCGATTCTTCCTTCCCGTACTTCTCCAATTGTGACAATTCGTGTAAGTTGCGCAGCTGCGGGACGCCTCCGTATGCTAGGTTCAGGATCGTCCCACAGGTGAGAGTCTGATGAGTGGCCGCCTGTATTGTCGCCGGTGTTGTCGTCTTCAAGTTGTGTCTCAGCATTTTCGCGCTCTTCCCCTACATTCGCTCGCTGTGCTTCTAAGGTCAAAGGAGCGTCGCAGCACTGTCTGTAGCGGAGGACCTCTCTGTACCGTAGTCCCAGGAACACCGATATCCCAGCGATTGCCAAGAAGATAATCACAAACAGGATGGTGGATGGCCATGTCTTAAACGGGTCATCAAGGAATCGAAGCACTGCGTCAGAAGTAGGCGATGGCACAACAGAAGCCAATTGTTGGTCTGCTCCTGGGAGGAGGGCGGAGGTGTCCAGTGCCATGACCGTGGAGGACATCTTCCCGCAAGAGGTTGAGTTTAATGGAAGGTCTGACAACGCGCTCTCAAGTAGAAGATAGTTGACAAATGGGTCATGGTCGCGAGGAAGAGTGTGTAGGCCGTCTTCAGGCATTGGGAGGACCCTCAACACAAGGAGCAGCAGAAAAGATACCATATCGTTCACTTTGTCTTCACTTCACCCCCAAATTACCGAATGCTCGGTCAAGTTCTTCGCCTTCCCGGCTAGGTGACATTGCTGGTGCAGATATCACAGTCTCTGACTGTCCATCCAACAGGTCGTGTCCAGGGCCACGGTCGTTGGTCGCTTTGGTAGGTTCTAATATCTTCTCTTCTCGGTCTAACCACCCCGGTGCTACCCTCCGCTTCTCTGCCAGATCACGGGCTTTGATGTCCTCCTCCCACTCTCTAATAGCTTTCTCAGCAGCTTCAGCGGTTTTCCTCAGATGGTCTTGCAGCGCTTTGCACGAGGCTATGATATCGTCAGGGTGTGCAGAATGTCCCGAGGAAGCGACCACATATTTCGGCTTTTCTGGACCATTATCTGGGACAATGGAAGGAGGCAAAGAAGTGGGCACGGAGCGAAATGTATACGGCAGAGTTACAGCGGTAGGGATGGACAGGAACGGTGAGACAGTCAAGGGCACCTGCGCCAGGAGCGGATGAGGTTCTGGCAAAGACAGTCAGCATGAACGAATCTCCTGTCATAGAAGGACTTTGAGGCTTACTGGTTGTGTCAAACATGTCTGACCGCGAGCACGCAGAAGACCCGAGGCCGCTCAGAATGAGTGAGATTCAGTCAAACACGAATTCAAGTTGTGACAGAAGTACAACTTTCACGATCAGTGATAGGGTGTGGCCAGGAACATGCGGTGGTCAGTGTGATTGGCAAGCGGTGGGAGAGGCTGATGATGCGCGTGCTTGTCTTCCTTCTTGGACCGGGCTGCTTGTCAGACACGGGCAGGCAGTTCGTTTGCCGCTGAGCTCGTGTCAAGCACCGTGGCCAGTGGGATGTTGGCTGAATGGCCGCAGTATTATTTAGTAGTACGAGTACCTAAGTTAGTTGTAGCACATGGTAAGAGAGTAGCAATTGACCGGGAGCCTGCGCCAACAGCAGCCATCACCACAACCAACGGTCTTCTGCTGTGTGCCCTCTTCCACCGCTGCAGACTGGCTGTCCACGAAAGAGCCTCCAAAACTGGGTCTGTCGTCGCCCCTCTATTTTCCATGCTCTGCTTCTAGCCTTCTATCTTACACTTTGCATCATGCCTTACCTAGGTAGGAACTGAAGCCCAATCATTCGAACCTATTTTCGTCTTCGGTGGATATTGAGCTACCACAACAATCATACTGCCCCGACCCCGTATCCTCGACCAAACAGGCCTTGGGCTTTTCAGCCCTGACAAGTGCCCAAACCACAACGAACTATCCAATTCACTCTTATACAATATCACCCCCCGGAAGTTCATTGTGCGCCTTACTGAACGCAATCAGTTTGAGTCCAGTTTCGCATTCAGGCACAACGCCTTGGACGGGTTATTTGGCCCCCAGTGACGCTTCAGTGGCCACTTATAGCCCCTGGCACTCCACCAAAACCGCCTTCACGAATCGCACCAGACGGTCTACCTACATTTGTCGCACTTCTTCCAGCTCTCGAGTTGCCACTGTTCACTTCGCCGCTTGTCGCTCCTATCGAGCGCCCAGCATTCCGATACCGTGAGCAGTACTCGTGGTTAAATCATACATACCGGGTCCAGAATCATTCTCGCGCCGTGAGCGCAGCCATCATTTACCATGGACGGTCCGTTACACAAGGCGGTGGTGAACAAAAAGCCCGTTCCCGAGATCGACTTCACCCTGCATATTATGGAAGATGGCACACAAGTCAGTACGCAGGAGCGAGTCTGCAAGGGTAGGTAATCGTCAGCCTGATATGTGCGCGTTTCTGATTTTGTGGCAGATGTCCAGGCGCCTGCTATGCAGCGACCGACCGACGACCAGTTCTGGTCACCGATAGACCGATCGAAACCTAACTTGCCTTTCCTTAAACAGCATTTCTATCGTGAGGGTCGCTTGACGGAAGAACAAGCCTTGTGGATCATCCACGAGGGCACAAAAATCCTGAGGTCGGAGCCCAACCTGCTGGAGATGGATGCCCCCATTACCGTGTGTGGCGACGTCCATGGTCAATATTTCGATCTCATGAAGTTGTTTGAGGTTGGCGGTGACCCAGCCGAGACACGGTATCTCTTCTTGGGTGACTATGTTGACAGAGGATACTTCAGTATTGAGGTAGGTCCACTTTGCCTTGATGGATACCTATAGCAGACTGCTAATCTTCCCAGTGTGTTCTTTATCTTTGGTCGCTCAAGATCTGGTATCCCAACACGCTGTGGCTTCTACGAGGGAATCACGAATGCCGTCATTTGACAGACTACTTTACATTCAAACTCGAGTGCAAGCACAAATACTCGGAGAGGATATATGATGCCTGCATGGAATCCTTCTGCGCCTTGCCTCTGGCAGCGGTCATGAACAAACAATTTTTGTGCATACACGGAGGTCTGAGCCCGGAGTTACATACATTGGAAGACATCAAGAGCGTGAGTCCCCGATGCTTTGACAATCAGCGACGCGGATTGAGCTGACAATGGGCCTAGATTGATCGCTTCCGCGAGCCTCCCACGCATGGGCTCATGTGCGATATCCTTTGGGCAGATCCGTTGGAAGAGTTCGGTCAGGAAAAGACGGGCGAATACTTTGTGCACAACCACGTCAGAGGATGTTCCTATTTCTTTTCCTATCCGGCCGCCTGCAATTTCCTGGAAAAGAACAATTTGCTGTCCATTATCCGCGCCCACGAAGCCCAAGATGCCGGATATCGCATGTACCGCAAGACTCGCACAACGGGCTTCCCCAGTGTGATGACGATTTTCAGTGCCCCCAACTACCTGGATGTCTACAACAACAAAGCGGCGGTCCTCAAGTACGAGAACAACGTGATGAATATCAGGCAGTTCAACTGCACCCCTCATCCGTATTGGCTCCCCAACTTCATGGATGTGTTCACCTGGTCACTTCCATTTGTGGGAGAAAAGATTACAGATATGCTTATAGCCATTCTCAACACCTGCTCCAAGGAGGAGCTGGAGGAAGACACCAGGACCTCTAGTGCCGAGCCGGAGACGCCACCCTTTGCGCCCGATGCCGAGACCACCGAAGCCAAACGCCGAGCCATCAAGAACAAGATTCTTGCCATCGGTCGGCTCTCCAGAGTGTTCCAGGTGTTACGAGAAGAATCGGAGCGCGTGACTGAGCTCAAGACCCAGGCCGGAGGTCGACTGCCCGCAGGCACCCTTATGTTGGGTGCAGAGGGCATCAAGCAAGCCATCCACAACTTCGAAGACGCCCGGAAAGTCGATCTTCAGAACGAGCGGCTGCCACCGTCGCCAGAAGAGATCGAGAAGAGAAGTGCCGAAGATAGAAAGGCCGCGCTGGAGAGGGCTGCCACCGAAGCAGAGAATGATACCACTCTGCAAGGTGTGGCACGGAGGATTAGTTTGTGAGTGATGTGAATCATGCCGCTGCTCTTCATCTTTGCTAACCCAGACTAGTGGTTCGTCCAATCCACGCGGTCATCGCCGAAAGGAGTAGGCTTCTGGTCAGGTCAATCTCGGCACTATTAGTGGGTTTGTGCATTCTCGACGAAGGCATCGTATGCTGCCATAGCGGGGTAGCTCTGAAATGATTCCACTGCTAGATGTAGACAAACGTGGTGAGCTCTGCGGTTGCCACCTATAACGCGGAGGAGGCGTTTCAGGTCCAGCAACAGCCGGCTATATTGTTTGGCTGGCGCTGTGGGACTGGAGCCTGGTGCGACTGCAGTGATGCCTGAGGCATGAATACACTCAAGTTAGGACGAACCTGTCAGGCTGTTGCAGTGGCCAACAAACGGCGGACCGCGCTTGCCTGGGGTTCAGTTTCGGCGTGGATCATCCTCGAAGGATAAAAATATCTCATGCCCATGAAATCTTCCTTGTTGATTTATGTTCCTCCCTAACCGATAGTCCTCTTGCAGCGGGACATAAGAGCCATTTACCGCTACCTGACGAGCACGAGAAGAAGAGAAACCAGGGTCGCCATGCACACCTGGATAATTAGTGCAGAGTAAGGGAAAGAAACAGAAACAGAAACAATCGCCCAGAGCAACAGGCACGAAGGACGCCCGGTTTATTGTGGCGTCCAGCGAGATGTCGCAGTTGTGTGATGGAAAACCACTTTACGCGGTGGACGATGTGATGTGATGCAGACGCCAAACCGCGTCTTGCACACGCCGTGTTTTGCAGTAGCTCAAGTTGCTCGGGAGATTGGCGCAGCTTCCAAGGCTGCAAGTCAAGTTGCCCGCAATTTCAGCCGCAGCCTCACGGCACCACGAGAAGGGAAATATACAGTAACTTGAAGCTTGGGGGCCGGGAAAAGGACCGAGCCGCTCGCCTCAGCCGGCAGAGTGGAACGACCTCTCTCTCTTGGAATGACCCTCTATCCCTCTATCTCCCTTGCAAGCTGACATCCGTCTTTGTGCTGACTTCGCCCACCATTGCTTTCCATTCCCGAGCTTTCCTTCTGCTCCGAGCTGTCAAGACAACATTTTTGGAAAGGTCACCTCGTCATCAAGAAGTCCCACTGTTGTCATTAATTCACCGCCAGCGATCTTAGGGTGTTTGCAACGGTAAACAGCTGGCACTGGGCTTTGTGCAACGCCAGACTTGACGGCCCCTCGGCTGGAATGCCAATCAACAACGTACTGCAGGGTGCCAGTCTTTACATGAACTCATTGTGCCAGCTGCGTTAACACGGCGCCGGCACCGTTGCTCATATCCCGGGGCGCTATGCAGAAAACACCGCAGCGTATCGGCTCAAAAGTGAGCGAGACTATCGACCGACTCAACACCCATTGGGATCTAGGTCTTCCTCGACTCCACGGGGCGGAGGCTGTGGAGGCTCAATCGAAGGGGCATCTTGCTAGGAAGTGTTCGAGCAAGATCCGCTTTTTGTGCTTCAAAACGGACGAAATCGAGCAGATCCTCCAGAGCTTTGAAGAGAGCGCCCGGCAGACACAGTCGCGATGGGTCTGGAAGCCATCCCAGGTGCCTGGCACACTACCAGCCCTTGCGGTCACGAAAAGCCAGCTGGCAAAAGATGTCCAAATGAAAAGTGCAGCCGGTTTGATACGCCTCACTGAGAGGCAAAGAGAGGAACTTCTGCAGGTCCTGCACCGGATTCTCGACGAGCATTATGAGCTGGCTCGGATGTCGAAGTCCTATTCCTATGAACGGCCAACAGCGACGAGCTTTGCGGCAGTGTCTCCCATGCGAGCTGTTGACGAGCCTCAGGTTAAGGACCCAATGAGCAGGTCTGGGAAACGATCATTGAGCTCTCCACAAGGAGTGCGTACTGCGTTCCAGGCTTTCTACCCGGTTGACTAACCAAGAGTTGCAGGAAAACAAGCGGCAATCGACGCTGTCGCAGTTCCTCAAGCGAGGTGCATCCCCTCCTCCTCAGGTTCCAATTATTCCACCAGACCCCCCAAGCTTTGAAACCATGCCATCAGCAAGAGTCTCTTCTGTCTTCACGACTGCGGATGAGGCTGACGATCCCTTAGCTTCCAACGACACCTCGATGGCGAGCTCACCTGCCGATGGATCTCCAAATTACTTTACCCAAGATACTGCTGACCTCATGAACGATGAAACATTCGAAATCTCCTTCAATGAGGCATGTGCTACTGTCCCTGATCTTCGCGACCCTTTTGACCTCAGTCACAACTCACCGTTCAAGAGGACTGCATTGCTTCCGTCAACTGTTCCTTTTTGGTATTGTTGGGAGATACACCGCGTTGCAAGCATGGCTGGACTCGTGCCCATCGACGTGTACAAAACTGTTGCAAAGAAAGTGAGAAAGACCAACCCTACCTACGATGAGATGTGGAACGTATTGAAAGATCTGTGTCATGACAATGGAGTGAAGACTATCGTCAAGTCAGAGATCCCGTGTTGGATAACAAATGGAAATCGATACGAAAACCCGGAATCCAACCAGGTTGTCTACCTGACAGGAAAACTCGACTGGGATTCTTCACCACAAGCGCTGTTCACTTTTCACCCCAACGAGACCCATCTGGAGAAATCTTGCCGATTGCACCGCAAATTTGGTGCTGATAGGTTTCTGGTCGTTTCTGCTCCAGACTTTTCACGATGTCCGAAACAGACACGTCCTCCTGACTCAGAGAAGTTGCACAGGAGGATATGCGAATTCCTTGTGGCAGGGCCTCATATTATTGCAGGCAGAGAGTGGAAAGTATTCTGGGTGGAACAAGAAAAGAAGAGGAAAAAGGAGGAACCTCGCCTTAAAATTCACATGTTTGCCGAAAATGGGTATGATATGGCCGAGCATGGCTCAGAAGCTCTCCAGCCTCCAGCTTCTGATTTCAAGATTAACGGGCAACATCGGGCGATCAGCCTCGAACAACTGATGGAATGGCACATGCCCATTCTGCCCAACATCAAGACCACGGACTTGAAGCTTTTCTCTCGGTGGTCTATCGGCCTCTCAAAAACCACGCCTGCTGTTGTACTGGAGCAGAATGAGTTTCTCTATCTTCGTGATGCTCCGGGCTCCGTGGTCATGAATGACGGCTGTGCTTTGATGTCCTACAACCTTGCCAAAAATATCTGGCAGAGATGTGGTGGCCAAGGTCCTCCGCCAAGTGCTGTGCAAGGTCGTATCAGCGGTGCCAAAGGTCTCTGGCTAGTCGATTACCACGACTCTTTTGCCGACGTGAGTCAACGTGGATTCTGGATCCAAGTTTCAGATTCTCAGCTCAAGATCAAGCCCCACCCCCGCGACCGGTCTGCAGATGAAAGCCAACGAACGTTTGAGGTCTTGAAATCTGCTGGCGAATGCAAGGAGGCTCACCTGAATATCCAATTGATCACAATCCTGGAGGATCGAGGAGTTCCCCGAGCAGCTCTACGCAAATTGTTGGAAGATGACACGAAGTCTTACTTTGAATCCCTAAAAGAAGCGATGGAAGACCCCAAAGCACTCCGTGCATGGATGCAAGAACATGGTCTGGCTTCGCGCACGGAAGTAACCAGATTTTTGGGCTCATTCCCGTTGGATCGCAGGGACCAGATGAAGTACCTGCTGGAGTCTGGATTTGATCCAACAGAATGTGCCAGGTTGAAAGATCTTGCGGCGGGATTCTTGCAAGAGTATATGACGAACTATGTGGAACGGCTGTGGATCAATGTTCCGTGTTCGACCGTTGTGTTCTGTGCGCCGGATCCTTTGGGTGTGCTCGAAGAGGGCCAAGTCTTCATCAACTTCACGTCACCGGTATATGACCCTGTTAAGGGCTATCATGATACCGTTCTGGAAGGTCTGGATGTTCTCGTCGCTCGAAACCCAGCGTACCTCGCATCAGATATGCAGCTTTGCCAAGCGGTTTACAAGCATGAGCTTCACCTCTACAAAAATGTGATTCTGTTCCCTGTCAAGGGTAAACAACCTTTAGCATCGCTTTTGTCAGGCGGTGACTATGACGGAGATACGGTGACGGTTATCTGGGATCCCGATATTGTGCGAAACTTCAGCAATACTTCACCCCCTAAACTGCCAACCGAAGAGCAGTGCGGAATGGTCCAGATGTCGCGGCCTTTGTCCAGCATTTACGATGGCGTCCAAGCCTTTCCGATGCAGGATTTCCTCGAGCATTGCGTCTCCTTTAATGCTCGCCCTGGCTTGATGGGGGTTTGCTCCAGCGAGCATGAAAAGCTTGTTTATTCACTGAGCCTGAAGCGCGGATGCGATATATTGGCACATCAAGGGGCTATCAAACTGGCAGCACTTGCGGGTTATCTGGTTGACTCAAGCAAACAAGGATGGTATCTCGCCCGGAAGGCCTTTCACGCCATCCGCCGCGAGGCTTCCGGCCCTAAGGAACTTCCAGTTCCTGCTTTCAAAGGAGACATTGCGCCGCTGAGAATGTTCGGTACCTATCTTAATGTTATAGATTTTCTCAAATTTGAAGTTGCTGGGACATGCAGAGAACAGGCGCTGACCGTTTTCGGGAAGCTTCGTTACTGTGTCAAGTATGACTCGGCTTTAAGCCTGAGCTGGAAGAAAGAAGTGGCGAAGGCGACCCAAGAGACGGCGATCATAAAATCAGCGATACCCACGAGGAGGAGCACCTCTGCCGGGAAGTCGAAAAAGGTGGGAGGTCTCCTTAAGGATGCGACTGAAAGACCAGGTGAGCAAGGCCACAGCATGCTGAAAGATCTTTTGGAAGGCCCAGATGGCTTGCTGGGTCAAATAAAAGAAGTGAAAGAGAGGGCAAACAGACTGGCCGTGATGAGGAATCTTGCTGATTCTACACCTACAAACTCCGTGGACCGCGGGAAATTTTATGCCGAAGTGCTTGCGATCCACGAGCGATACCAGGCGATTGAACCCAAGGATATCGATCACCCTCTTCGCCGCCAATTTGAAGAGGAGCAAAATCATCCTTACTCCAAGTGGGCTTTGCTTCGCGCCTCCTGCCTCCACTACAACGTTTGCTCGAAGGGGCGATTCCCAGTCTGGGTCTGGTACATTGCCGGACGTGAGCTCTGTTATCTCAAGACATTGAGCCATCAGGGCGAGATGCGCGTAATGACGATGGAGATGCACAGTATTCTCAAGGTCGATACCAAATTCACCAAAAGCCTGCTGGAAGGAAAGTCTTCTGAAGGCGACGACGTCTTTTACGATGCTTTGGAACAGCCAAGCTTGCATGATGATGACTCGGATTATGATGATGAAGATTAATAGGGTTGTTCCGATGTGGAGGGAACGGCCGGTGTCTGCGGCTGGACATGTTCCCAGTGTACGATGTGATTGCGACCCCAACTGGTTGGACTGCGTTTTCTGCTTCTGGATACCCTATTCACGCGTTGCGTTTCGTGTTGGATTTCTATAGGAATTGGATGTCCTTCAAATTGGTGTTCGATATTGAGGAAAGTGAGAGCTGCCAGCCCGATATTGCTATTCATGGCATGGCATGCAATGCAATCCTGGATGTTGGCTGCATGGCCAGTGCGCTTGAACAAACCCCCTACTTCCAACCCCCTTTCCTCCCCAGCTCCATCTGCTGACACACAATATTGCCGACAGGTCCACTTCAGGAATTTGGCCTCAGCCTCTTTGAACCCTCCTCAGCGCGTCACCCTTGCTTCACATTCGTATAGCATTCTCAAAGGAGGGTTTGGCTTCGAGGAGGATTCTTCAAGATGGATTTTTTTCGTCTTTTCGTCTTCAAGGGGGTTGGTTTCACTAACTATGCTCTAGGTTGGAATATGATGGGCCGGCTGGTCTTGGTTCATGACCATGATGTCCTTCCTAATCCTCCTTCTTTCCTCTCATCGATGGTACATGCATGCTTAATCTTCTCTTGATTCCTCTCAGTTTCTAGCCTGGTCGACCGATCTGCTTCCTTCTACAGACTGTACGCCTACTGACAAAAGGTTTCGCCCTTTTTGACGGTTATACCCATCAGCCATGCGCGAAAAAATTGAGCTCGCAAAGACGACAAACAGCAGGACAGCGACCTTAACCGTCCACCGGAGGCTCTATGTCTGCCTGATTCTCGTCTTAGTGCTCGGCTGCAGCATTTTATTTGTCTCGGTGGTGGCCAGGGCGAAAGGGGCTGCGTGCTCAGCGACGGCGCCGGGGATCGATTTTTCGATTGGTTTTGTGAGTATACTTTACTTCAGTATCCGTCACTTTTCTTCTTTGTTCCATCGCAGAGAACACCCTACTTGACCGACATGGCAAATTTCGTTATCTATCTGACAACATGCACATAGTCCATCCCCACCATCCTTCTCGTCAGCCTGCGAAGCTACCTGTTGCTTCGCCAGCGACACCTGTTCAAGTTTCGCGACGCCGCTCCCGCTCAGACAGAGACGAAGCGCGGTGAGGCGCAGACTGGCGTCGACACTACTGTGCACAATCTTCCTCCGCACCCGGACCCGCCATCTTCTTCGTCGTCATCATCCTCTGCCTCGGTCCCTGATTCAGATACCACTTCAGCTTCAGCTTCAGTTGCGGCTTCTGATTCAGGCTCTCCACGGCTTCAGTGGCTATGCACAAGAGGCGTTCAGTGTATGCTGTTTCTGTGGTGTATTCTGGCATGCTGTAATCTCCTGGTGGCCTTGCGGGCCCCGATATGTCGCGATTTACCAGTCGCAACGAGTCAGTCACGAAAAGCGCTTGAACGTGATGAACAGAATTGGAAATATGGGATGCACTGCCGGTTACATAGAGCCATTGTTGGCCTATCGGTTGTGATGGCGTGAGTATTGTACCGCATACCTTACCCAGGGCTAAATCTACCTGAACCTTGGGTTGCTAACCTGCATACGTCCTTCGAAGATTGTCTATGTGTCTCCTCTGTCTCCTGGACCGCCTACTCCGCCGGATAACCAGCGCACAAACGGACAGCAACTCTACATCAACATGCAGCCGCCACAGCTACAAATCCCAGTTCCGCAACTCCTTCTGGTGCTGGCGGTTCGGATTCGGGTTCGGACCGCGAACCTCTATCTCGCGCGAACATAACGCCGCGGCGCACCACGGCTCCATCCCTTCTCTCTCCAGCACAGGGACCGCTGGATCACAGATTTACAGAGACGACAGTGTTTTCCCCGTCCACGACCGCCGGCCAAGCAGGCTCGAACACGAACAGTGGCTCCAACGCCGCAACAGCTTGTCGTCTCAAAAGGCGATCTATCCGCATAAATATCACCACCATCACAATACCACATCGTCCTGGCATCTTCGTCACCCTTACTCTCCTTCTCCACATTATCATCCCGGCTATTTCCCAGCTGCCACAGCTTCAAGTAGTCGATACTCCAGTACCCTCCGGTCCGTGTCCGAGGGTGCATTACTCGACGTGGATTTGACCGATAGCCACTTCACTTTCAATCCATCGCTGTCTCTTTCGCTTTCGAGTTCGAATTCGAATGATCGGTTGTCTGGACGATCCTTGTCATGTCGGACTCCAGTGCCGCGTCGACCATCTACCTTGTCAATGAGCTTTTCAAGCTCCAGTTTGCGTCAGACCCAGCGTAGAGGCTCGAATCGTTATGGGTACGCAGGCCCCCCTGGACAAATGCAATCATGTCGTCTTCCAGATCACCTGTCTACACCGACGATTACTACGAGTCTTGTTTCTTCGACGACTCTTGCAGACGGCGGTGGTCCACCTCTCCCTGCTGCCCCTGCACCCACATGGTCTCCGGCTCTCCATCACGCTCCGTTGAGTGCTGATCCGACGATTCGGGCGTTAAGTACAGGCGTCCGAGTTTCAAAGCTGTCCGGCCACGGGGGTCTCGGTAAAGGGCCCGTTGTGCCGCCACGGTCTACTTCGGCTATGAGCTTCCCTGCCCAGGGGAAAGGTACGCAGCCGGTTGAGGGTGGGAACCGACCTCCTGCTGTTCGTGGTCCTGTGCAGGAGTCTGCTTCCATGCCTGCATGTGGAACAGCAGCAGCACCACCAGGGCCACAACCAGTTCCGTCCATCACACTTCAAAGACCTCCTCCTATTCCTACCATGTCTATGGCCCGGCCGTCGCGACAGCGCGCGTGCCGATGAGATCAGTTTCATAGCCAAAGACCGGAGTGCGATTGACCTAGCCACAAGATGAAATGTCATTGGCATGGCTATGGCGAGTTCAGCTATCTTGTTACAACAACATCTTGGTCACCCAATTACACACCGAAGCAGCATGGACTGAACGGGTAGACCACGCGGCTCAAGTGATACAAGCGTGATTCACACTGGCATCAGGGTTTCTGCGGGATCATCCGACTGGCAGTTTAAGTGCTCCCGGCGTCGGATAAAGAAGGTAGGTGGTTGCACTTTGTGTAACAATCAAAAGCCGAGCCGGAGCATATGTTTATCGGGCAAAATCCGTAGCAGTGCGCCATCATATTAAGAACACCATTACTATCTCGTCCCTTTTCCTATCCGGTTGACTAAATTACAAAGCCTATACGAAGTTAAGTATACTATTCCGAGAGATAGAACTATAACGTAGGTACCGTACGTTATATCTATAATACTATATAGTGATACGCTACGATATCATAATACTACTAGTAAAGCTCGCACAAGGTAACTGTTAGAAGGCTAAATAGAGGGAGACGTAATCAATAGAGATCCGATGTAGTAGCTTATAGCCTCTGGTATCGATCTACCAACATAGACTTAACGCCTTGAAGAGATGTTGAGTATACGCACTATATGCGCACGATATATGGTTGTGCGACGGTACTAAGCCGCACCTAAGGTGTCCTACGTGACTCTATCGGGTCGGATCCTAATAGTTACCCTCTCCCCCTATAAGACTCGTCCTCGAGTCTCGTACGCTAGGGTTACGAGCTACGCCCGTAGTCTTAGCGTTAATTCTCCCTAGTTCTTTTTATTTTCCCTTATCTACGCCGTATCGTCTCCTCTCTCTTCTTTATCTTCTACTACTTCTCTTACTCGACTTAGCGAATATACTTCTCTAGTTATAACGACTCCTCTAAGATACGTAGAACCTATCCGGCTAGAATACTCGTAGTACTAGCGATATATTCGCGTAATTAAGGTATAACTAAATCTTACGCTCTATATTACGCCTACTAGAAGCTCGAAATATATACGTTATAAGAGTAGATATATCCCGTATCTTAAGATAAGCGTACTCTTATCGTACTCGTCGCGTATTACTAACGCCGATTCTAGGTTTCTAAGATATATATCTCCGCTACCGTAGAGCTAGTAAATATCTAGAAGTCACTTAAGGCCGAAGATACGTATTCTTCTCGTTTTAATAAGTTATTACTACGCTAGTCTACGCTTTTCTTACGTTTTCTCTACTTATCTATATAGCCGAGAACCTTAAGAGTACCTCTAAGTTTTTATCTATCGAGTTATCTCGTATAGGCAAAATAGTAGCCGAGTCTCTACCCTATATTAGAAATACGCCTACTACGCTATATAAGAAAGAGAATATCGTAAATCCCTCGCTAGTTATCTCCGAGGCGACTTAGTAGCTGCTTATTAATACTATACGGACCCTAGTCGAAGTCTAGGTATAAGTAGTACGTACCTTCCTCGTGCTTACTTCGTATACTAATCTATTCTAGAACGATATCTTCTTATCTATCTAGTCCGATAAAGAGACTATTTAATTACCTACTACGAACTAGCTAAATAGTCGTTTAGGTATCCCTACGCCGTCTATATCGTCTATCTCGTAGCGTTTATTTCGTAATTCTAATATATAACTATCTATACTCGAGCTACCCTTAATATCGTCCGCTTCTTACTAGCCTTAGATTAGTAATCTAGTCGCTCTAGGAGAATTATCGCTATCGTCTTCTAGCTCCTCTATCGCTAGGCTCCCGGCTTAGCGCCGTACCGCTAACGTACCTCGTGCGCCTTCCCCTCGTCGCGCTAACCTACGTTACCGTCTTTTATTAGATTTTAATAACGACGATAATAATACTAGTATATAGTCTAGGCCGTCTTCTCTAGTGCTCCGTCCTCGTAAGAGATGTGCTCGTGGTAGTAGGCGTGGTAATAGACGTAATAGTAGGCGTAGTAATAGGCGTAGCAATAGGCGTAGCTAATAGGTCGTTCTCTTTTTTTCCTTTAATTATAGTAGTTAGGCTTTTCTCTATTTCTATTTTATAGCTTCTATATATAGGTACTATTAGGGGTACGTTTCTAGGGCGCCGGTCCTTACCGACTATTAAATACTAGTACTTCTTCTTCTTATTTTAAACTCCTAGATCGCTTTTTATATATTCTATAGATATTCTAGGGGCTTCTAGATATCCTCTACTTCTAAAAAGCCCTTCTATCTAACGAGGTATTTCTTTAGGCCTCTTCTCGTTACGGATACGTCTAGAATACGCTCTATTTTCTATTCCTTATCTCTCGATATATCTATCGGCTCGAGAGTTATTCTCCCTTCTCTCTAATAATATAGTTCTAGTAGCGATACGTAGAAAGTATAATATAGACGCCTATATTTAATCGGTAGATCTAGCTTATAGGTATTCGTATCTATCCTTTCTAGTATCTTAAAGAGTTCTAGAAATCGATTAGATAGTTTTTAGCTTACGCGTCTAGTACGTATATACTTCGCGGCTAATATTACCTTATTATCTATCTAGTATACCTTTTCTTTATATCTTCTATTATAGTATTCTATTATACTTTCCTATATTTACTACTAACTCTCTTGAGCTTCCTTCTACGTTTCCGTATATCGTTATATCGCGTTCTATACTAAGGTACTATAGGACTCCTACTCCGAAGGTGCGATATTAATATATATCGATAGTGTAAAGCTATAGACTAGGCTAAAAGGAGTCTTTTCTATTATTACGCTAATTACGTTATTATATACGAACTTAGTACTTACTAGAAGGCTTATCTAGTTATTCTGTTCGTAGTTAGTATAGTATCGTAGATATACTTCTAGAGTCTGGTTTATCCTCTCCGTTTATCTATTAGTCTATAGGTAGAAAGCGGTAGAGAAGCGTCTTCGAATCGCTAGATAGAAGTATATACTACCCTAGTAGGTAGACGTAAATATAGTATCTCTATCGAAGATAATTAATCTAGATATACCGTATTTAGCGAAGATTTTAAGTACTAGTAGTTCCGCTATTTTAATTATATTAATATTCTCTATATAGGCGATATATCGAGCTATTTTAGAGTATCGATCTACTATTACTAGGATCGTATCGTATACGATCCTATTCCGTTTCGAGAATAGGAGCCCTACGACGAAATCTATCGAGATATCCTATTACGGCCTCTCGAGCTAGAGTAGCGGTACTAGTAGGCCGTATAGCTTATATATCGAGATCTTTATTCGCTAGTATATATCGTACGTCTTAATATACTATCGTATATCTTCGACTAATATCGACTACTAGTAGAATCTATATATTATATTCGTTATTCGTTTTATCTTAAAGTATCTATCTTACTACGGGTTATTATAATTAGTTTATAAGATCTCTTCTCTAAGACTTACGTCCTCGAGTATATATACGACGTTATTATATCGTACTATTTACGTATCGTTAATAAACTACTTATCTTAATCCGAGTTTCTAAGAGTTAGTTCTTCGAATACTTTCTATTTTCGATTCTTATACTAGTTATCTTCTACCTAGAGCGTCCTAATACGCGCCGCTATCTCGTTAGATAAGCGTTTAAAAGATACCTCTTCGGCTTATCTTACGTACGTATCGTCTATTTAAGTCGAGAGAATATCGTATCTTTCCGCTCTTAGTACGACCGTATTAAGCTTACTTGCTACTACGTTTAGGGGTCTCTATACCTAACTACAAGTTAGGGCCCCTATAGTAACTATAAATATACCGTCCCTCGCGGCTATACTCTATAGCGTCTTCTATTTAGATACTTTCTATATACGCTTTAGTATAAGATCTTTTAGTAGATTTCCTCTCGACTCGGTATCTTCTATATAGTCCGATCTTCTTAAGAGCCTATCGGCGGGATTTTCCTTTCTCTTTCTATATTAAATAATAAAGTCGTACGCCGCTAAATACTCCGCCTAGCGTACTTATCTTCTACTTAACTCCTTCGTAGTTATAAACGATTATAGTATCTTATAATTAGTAAGAACTATTATACTCTCTATAAATATCTTAAGATAGTATCTTTACTTCTTAAACGCCTAGACTATTACTAGTATCTCTTAGTCCGAGGTCGTATAGTTCCTCTACTTCTTTAATATCTTATACGAGTAGAACGTTATCGACTTCTATATATTTTACGTACGATCTAGTCCCGTCTTATATAGTTACGATAGAATTCCCCTTATAGTCTATACTAATACGTCTATCTCTACCTTAGATTATAGTATAAGGTTAAAGTATACTAGTAGAGGTATTCTAATAAATAGATCTTTAAGTAGTTTAAATACTCGGTCTACCTCTAGCGTCTACTTAAACGGTCTAGTCTTCTTATCTTTCTATATTCTCTTTAGAAGATTTATAATCGAGACCGTAACGGCTAAGTAGAGATAGATAAACGTACGGTAGAAGTTAGCGAACTCGATAAATACCTAGATATCCCTAAAGAACTTAGATATCGACTAGTTAACGATAGCTTATACTCTTCGAGAGTTAACTAATACGTCTCTATTACTAATTCTAAATTCTAGGAAATCGATACTTTAACGGCTAAATTCGTACTTTTCTAACTTTATAAAAAGCTTATCTAATTATAGTCGCTCGAGTACTTAGCGTACGTATTACTTATACTCTTCGAAGTTTTCGCTAAAGATAAGAATATTATCTATATACGTAATATATATAGTATTAAGAAGGTCTTTAAGAACCTCCTTAATATATATCTAGAAAGTAGTAGAAGCGTTCGTAAGTCTAAATAGTATAACTAGATACTTAAAGTATCCGTATCGAGTACGAAATACGATCTTCTAGCGATCCGATACTAGTATTATAATTCGATAGTATACGTCTCTTACGTCTAATCGAATAAATATCTTTACTCTTATAAGTTAGTCTAGTATCTTCTTAATAAGTAGAAGTAGTCTACGATTCTTAATAGTAATCTTATTAAGTACTCTATAGTCTACGTAGAGGCGAAGCTTTCTATTCTTCTTAGGTACGAATAGGATCGGTACTCTCGCCGAGGACTTACTCTTCTAAATCTAGTCCTTTACTAGTAACTCGTTAATATACGTACGAAGGGTATATAGTTCTTCTATACTTATTAGATAGATAGATCTATAAGGAACGGTCTTACCTTCTTCGATTAGGATTAAATATCGTACTTTTATATACTCTAGTAGAGTAGTCTCTACTTCTTTTTCTAAGAAGATTTCTACGAAGTCCCTATAGGCTTCTAGTAGTTTAATCTCCCCTACGTTCGCGTAGTATAGGGCGGCCGAATCTAGCCTATTCTCTATACTCGATATAGGTATAACGAGAATTATATCTACTATAGACTTCGCTAGAATCTCTTCTATACTTACTTCTTCGATCGTAAGTTCTTTATCTCTAAATCGCTACTCCTTTTTAGTCTATTATATATCCGGGTTTACTTTTTCGAGCTACGGGTATCTAAGAATAAGATTATACTTCTAGATATCGGTCGCTATAAAGCTTATCTTATACGTAGCGTAGGTATCTCGAGTATTCTATATATCTATCTCTAGTAAGTATAGTCTATATACTCGTAAGGGATATCTATCGATACTCTATACTTATATAGGTTTATTAAGAGGCTTAAATTCTCTATCTATAACTACTAGTTATAAGATAAAGTTTTCCTCGGCCCCTAAGTCGATAAGTACGCTTAGAGATCGCTCTTCTAGTATATCGACTATATTAGCTTCGATACGTAGATAGTTCGATTTACGCGCGCTTTTAGTAGAGACCTCTAGTATTATAGAAGCGCTTATAACACTAGGTTCTAGTTTTTTAGCCGAGTATCGTTTAGAGCTATAGCGAGTACGTACCTTCTATTCTATTAGCTTAGTCGGGCGTTCTATTTCTACGAACTACGGTACTCTCGTACGATATACCTAGATTTCCTATAATTATAGTAGCGACTTAAGAATAGCGCTCGCGTTTTACGCTAGTCTCGCCGATTATCTTAGAGGGTAGATCTATATAAGGGTGCGCTATTAGTACGGCCTTCTAGCGCGAATTCTCCGTATAACTTACGTCGTAGCTCGGTAGGCCGATCTTACTTCTTCGGGAATTAGCCTATCTTTTAACGTAATAGTTTCTTCTACCGTTAGGCTACCGTAAGAACTTATTCTCGGCTATTAATCTTCTTATTCTCGCGTATAACTTCCGTACGTATCTCGAGGCGTAGACGGTTAAGAAACTACTATACTCTACGCTATTCTTCGGATATCTTCGGAACGTCTTTCTTAAGACTCTCTATTTTCTCGAGAAGCGCTCTAGTCGACTAGTCGCTACCCTACTTCTTATTATCGAGTAGTAGAAGAGCGTTTACTATACGATTTATAGAGTCTAGAATTACTTCTTTATAAAATATATAGAATACTTTCTAGGTAGCGATAGACTTTATCTACCTAAGTTGAATATCTCGCTAGCGGCGAACCTATACGGATACGACTATATTCCGTAGGTACGTGGCTATAATATAGATACGTTACGGCTACTTCGTTAGTTCGACTCTATCTACGGTATTTTAGATCCGCTACTCTATATCGAACTTATATAGTTTCTTAAGGTTCTTTTTCGAAAATATAGACGGATCTAATTTTTTAAGCTTAACTCGCCGATTAAGTATACTATCTTTCTCGTCGTCCCTAGTACGTCTATAATTAGGGCCCGGCGAAGGTTTAATACCGTTAGTGCGTATATAGTACGCGGATAGCCCTTTTATAAGTTCGGCCTCTAATACTACTAGGTCTCGTATCTAGGCCTTCTAGCGGCGCTTTTCCGCTACTAATATAGTAACTCTAGTAAGCCGCGCTTCGAAAGTCTCGTACGTAGGATTCTCGTTCTCTAGTTCGACGAGAGTCTACGGCTAGTCGTACGTTTCCCCTATTATTAGGGTACGTTCTAGGGCCTCCGTAGGGGTCGCGAGTCGGCCTAAGCGAGTATCGGGTACTATAGTTCTCCGTTAGATTACGTCTTAGAAGGCGTTAAGAATTATTAGAAGGCTAAATAGAGGGAGACGTAATTAATAGAGATCCGATATAGTAGTTTATAGCCTCTAGTATCGATCTACTAATATAGACTTAACGCCTTAAAGAGGTGTTGAGTATACGCACTATATGCGCACGATATATAGTTGTGCGACGGTACCAAGCCGCACCTGAGGTGTCCCACGTGACTCTGTCGGGTCGGATCCTGACAGTAACGTAGTATATATAGTAGCCCGATACGATAAATAGACGCGAATAGTAATATATACTTACGAGAGGATTTCTAGTAGTTAAGAGATATTCCCAGGGAGGGTATGGCGAATCGCGATATACCGTTGCTGCTAAGCACGATAACTTGAAGGGCTTGAAATCTGTTGTAAGTAGGCTGCGCAGTGGCGCGGGTTAGCCCTACCCTACCCGCGTTAGGGCTACCCTAAGGGTTGGGCCGGGTAGGCACCCCGTAGCCCAACGGGCGCCCCGGGCGGGTGCCTAAAATCTAAGCCCTACCCGCGGTACCCATTAGGGTCGGGCTACCCTATCGGGCGGGTAGGCCCCTCGAAATTTTTACCGTATTTTACGAAAAATACGCGATTTTACTAGAGAATATCTAGAATTACGGTACGGTATTGTAAATTAGTAAGCGATTACGTAAGAAAAGTCGCTATTTTTAGCGAAAAACTCGCTTTTTTAAGGATTTTAGGGTTCTTGGCAAAACCCGTCGGGTACCCTACCCTACCCGAAACCCTCGCGGGTAGAGTAGCGCTTTTTTTAAAAACCCTAATGGGTCAACTGGGCGGGCGGTAGGTGCCCGAAACCCTTCCCTACCCAACCCGTTGCGCAGCCTAGTTGTAAGCAGGCGGCTCCGATACTCCACTGCCAAAACCCTTACGTTAGCCTCTAAGATAGGAGCCTCGCTATCGACCTAGAATAACGCTTAATATCGATATCGATTATATAATATATTTACTATACTCTAGAATACTCTATAATGTTACATACGCCGTAAAAGATATAGTGTTCTTTTATCTATAGGGTATATAGATACGGTCTATATACTACGAGGTTAATAGACCCTAGAGCAAATTCAATCATCGTTAGCGTCCCTAGTAACAACAACTAGCTACACTTCCTCCAGAACCCTTACAATGTCAGGACTCGTCCCAAATAGAGGGACTGTCACGGACAGGTCCACGGCCGTAGGAGTAGAGGTGTACTCCAAAAAGACTTGAATTCCAAGCAATTGTGCTTGGTTTTCTAGACCTGTAATTGATATCCTGCTATTCACTAGTCACGTGTTCAGTTCGTGACAGGGACCGTGTCATCATGAATCGTCTTGACGATCTTCCATCTTCTAGCTACGGATCTATGTAGACAAAGGTAAAAGACACTTCGTACCTAACCGCGTGGTACGCGTGATATTGGTTTGGGCTTATCACGTGATACCATATGATGTGGCATTGTAGTAGTTGGTTTGGGTCCTTTCAAGTGCTCGATACCCTCAGGGAAATTATCAGTTAGGCACTCGCATACTACTACGAGTCGGTCGACCAAAGGCTACACTCCGCCTCGAAGTACTGGACGACTCTCCGACGCCCATTTTCAGCGGAAAGGGCGCCAAGTGTGGGAAACGAAAGAGAGCAGTGGTGAAGCAAAAGAAACAGAATAGAAGAGGCTGAAAGCAATCATGTCGTTGAACATGGCCTGCCTGTTGTACACGTAATTCTTCCCTCGCCAATTCCATGTACTTGAAGTACAGGTGGCATGTGCGGACACATCACCATTTAGCGAGGCCGTCAATGTGGCTCCCGTCGGTCATAATAAACTCAGGTGAGGTCGATGAGGAACGACCTTTGTTGGTGCCGCTCGGAAAGAGACCGACAGAGCGTGAGTAGCACTGAGGCATTCGAAGAAAACTAGCCGAAGCCGAGCAAATTGACAAACCATAAAGATTTCGGGCCTCTCAAGAGCCATAGAATGATTCATCCAGCCAGTCGTTCAAGAAAAGAGAGTCATCCTCGCCGCTCGTGGCCACAAATGTCTCTGTGAACCCTTCTAGTGGTTCCTGGTGACCATGCACCGTCTGGTCATCTCGTGGATGCGAGTCCAAAAGATGCCTGAAAGGTACTTCGAGGCGTTGCAGAGCCTGGTTGATATATGGAGCTCTACTGTTGCTCATGGTGAGAAGCCATCGATACTCGCGCAGGCGTGATAGGTATAGTTGCCTTTGCTCGAAATTAGACTCGGTGAGGTAAAGGTGACAAATGAACTCGCCCGCCAATGCGAAATTATAGGGAGTCATTGAATACCAGAAGCTGACCAGGTGATTTGGTTTCAATGACTTGACCAGATTGGCGGCGAATTGAAATCGTTCGCTGGCTGTTTTGCGACAAAGTTGGATGAGAGCCCCATCACTACAAGTGGGTAGCGTGAGGAGTATCTGTCGATGCAGTGACATCTCAGTCGCGACGTAAGCGAGACGTAACGACCCCACGGGCGACAATTTGTTGACATTGCTGACTTCCATGGACAAATGACCCGAATTGGCACTAAACCATTGCCGCAAACGCGCCTGATAGGGCTTCGCTTTCTGCAGCAAGAGTTCGAGGCCGCCTTCGCCCGCAGAGGCCACCTCGGTGGTTGCGCGAACCGAAAGAATGTTTTCGAGGATATCGCCCAGTATCTCGGAGAGATCAATTAGCTGGCAGAAGAGTAGGCGACCCTTTTCGACATCCGAACTGCCTTCTTGCTCATACTCTGACTGCTCGGGGAAATCTTGCTCCGTGATCTTGGGGACACCCCAGTTCGCACGATTGATGATGGGAGGGTTTCCGGTCTCAAAGCTGTGCCACTTGTCCTGGCTGTATAACGTCCAGCTTAGTCGCTTACGGAGCGCTTTTTCCCAGTCTGGGATATCCCATTGGGTCGCATCGAGGTGGAGGCCGATCTGGTGACCTGCATTTATCAGCTGCCGAGTTAGTTCCTCCGAGTCGGTGTCGGAATACTGAAGGAGTTGGAGCCCGGCCTGTATCGTCGACAGTTTCGGGCGATGGCGGATCGCATATTGTAGGCATCTCCGAGCGATGGCTTCGAGCTCCGTCACATTAGGCATTGGTTTGTGCTGCAAAGACGGCTCATACGACCAGTATCGGGTTGCTAGAAGGTATACCACCGCTAAGCTGGCTGGGGCAAACTCGAACGGTGAACGGCCATACTTCTCAATGAACACGGGGCGATGCAGAACTGGGAAGACAGGGTAGACAACACGGAAGTAAATGTCGTGCAATGTCCGTATATATGGTCTCACGAGCGACTCAACGGCCTCCACGTCCGCCCGCTGTTCCGACTCAGCCGGAGTTCCTAGGTCACGGATCAAGAGAAAGGCATCGGTCGGCGAGACCCAGCGGACACGTTGCCCCTTGGTGTTGGTGTTGTTAAGACCGGCATTGTCCATGAAGCTGAGAAAAGAAGGCCTGAACGAAATGGCTGGATTCATGTATCGACAATGGTGGTTGTTCAGCATACCCAATGTCTTTGTCATCAGACTAGGCTCGTCCAAACGATCGTATTCCTCGACACTGTGGCCTTGTCGAGTACGGATCAGACGCCATTGCGCGTCGTGCGGAGCCGAGGAAGCGGCCTCAAGGGAATTCGTGTCGCGTCTATATCTCAGTTTGTCAAACGAGCCACTTCCTCGGCCATCGAACGAAGAACCACGAACCTTGGGGAGCTGTGATCTGGCGAAGGAGTGTCGGTTCCTCCTCCCAGCGAAGACAGAATGCCATCAAATGTGCACGCCCGACGGTGAAACTTACAGAGCACGCAAGCTCCGCTGCCGGATCTTTCTTCAACGACGCATCTCGTTTTTCTTTTTCGACACGTGTCGCATGAGCGCTGGAGCCGTTTTGGTAAGCCTATAGCAGGCATGGTAGCAGCAAATCTGGCAATATTCCTGGTGTGAAACCGCCCTTACGCACTGAGCACTGACAGAACGACCCCGGCGAAGGCGAACGGCTGGACCACGCAATTCCTGGAACCGACTTCGGCCTGCATCGAGCGACGCTATGCCAGTGGTGATTTCTCCGTCGGTGGAAACCTTCTCAAGTGCAACATGGGACTTACTCTCGAGCCTACCTCTAGATGAGTCCGCGCACTAAACTCTTGTGTTGTGTTTGATGAAGAGGATGGTAGGATCAATAGGCCCGAGTCAATCAATGCGTTTTTTAAGATACTGACTCGTAGTGCCGAGAACTTGGCACTCACGTGCAACTACGTACATTGTATGGCTATTTATATGTAGTTGCAATCGCTGTGTCACTATCTCCAAGATCTTGAGGCCTTAAGTTTGTATGCTAGATATCATTACTTAACAAACAGAGCCTACACCTCTTTCTTTCACTAGTTCTTTACTAGCACTCGTCTTGTACCTAACTCTCTCATAGTTTTCGAAGCCTGATTCGGCGTCAATTTAACAGAGACAATATGGCGAGTCCGGATCGAATAACCCGCCCAAGGGGATAAGATACCTGAGCGCACCCTGTCCTTCACGTACAGGAAGACCAGGAAGAAGCAGCCTAAGAAGCTAGCTTAGGCAGTGGAGAGGCGAGTCGTGTTAGGATCATAGGTGTCGTACTATCATGGCTTCGCGACTCGGCCCTGTGCCGATCGAGGTGATAGGAACTCCTACTTCCTTCTCAATAAATCCGATATCTGCAGTGGTTCGATCTTAGAAAGCCACACGGCTCAATACTGGATCAAATGGAGACTTACATTGTTGCGCGAGCGTCGGTAGGTCCTCGAATCTGGTCGTTCCTTGTGTCCGGGTCTGCCAGCCCTCGAAAGTCTTGTACTCGACTTCTACGTCCGCCAAATCATCAAGATCGGCAGGAAACCCTTGCAAGACCTGCCCTCGTCTGCTGTACGCTGTCGCAACCCGAATAACGTCAAAGCTGTCGAGCACGTCGAGCTTGGTGAGATTGATTTCGGTGTAACAATTCAAAGTTGCGGAATATTTCACCACCACCAAGTCAAGCCATCCACATCTGCGAGGCCTGCCTGTGGTAACTCCGACTTCTTGCCCACCCTGCTGTAGACGACTGCCATACTCGGCGTCGGTAGGGGAGGTTGACTCGGAGAGTTCGGTGGGAAAAGGTCCCAGCCCCACCCGAGTTGTATAAGCCTTGACCACCCCGATGATAGCGCTGCCCGGTGTCGAGAAGGAGTAAGGACTCAGGCCCGCCAAGCTTGTAAAGACACCCCCGAGACCGGTGGAAGAAGACGTCACGTACGGGTAAGTACCGTGATCGATATCCAGGAGAAAGGCATTGGCACCTTCGATGAGGACGTTATGTGTCGCCAAACCCTGGGCTCCGGAAAACTGTGATAACAGCAATGCCTGATCAACGACGTACTGCTTCAGCTCTGGAACAACCGCTTTGAGATATCCAATCTCTCCGTCAAGGTCGTAACTTTGGAGGGCCCCGTCTCCGTACAGGTTTCGATATCTCGCGGCCAGGCTGCGAAGCTGTTGCTCCCAGCCATCAGATCCATTGACAAGCATCCAGACAGGGACGCCGTGTCGGCCGACCTTATCGCTATAGGAAGGTCCAATGCCTTTACGAGTTGTCCCGATCTTGTAACGCTCAGTGTCTTCCGAGATCATGTCGGCGATGCCGTGAATGTCGAAGCATATGTGTGCGCGGTCGCTGACTTGGACCCGTCGACGGACATCTTTGAGTCCCTTTGCTTCCAGTGCCTCCAACTCCTTGAAGAAAGACCGAACGTGCACAACGCAACCGGCTCCGATCAAGTTCACTTTGCAATTAGGATTGAGCAATGCCGATGGCAAGATATGAAAATCGTATTTCATGCCGTCAGCCACAATCGTATGCCCCGCGTTATGACCACCAGCAGCTCGGGCTACCAGAGAACAGGAGCTGGAGAGAAGGTCTACAAGTTTGCCTTTGCCTTCATCTCCCCACTGAGAGCCAAGCACGACAGTTATGGGCATCTTGGTAGGCAGGACGGTTTACCACACTTGTACGATGTGAAAATAATAGCCAAACTCGCACCAGTAGGGGGGCTTATCCAGCTTTTATCTACAGGATTCGGAGCAAATCCTGGTGGATCAGTGCATGAGAGGTTAATACCCAAATTTCCGCCGACATCCCAACGTAGCGTTCCAACCGGAACCTGATAGCCGATAGAGGCCTAACTTATAGGTCCCCGAACGTTGTGAGACACACTGGCCTCGCCAATGACAAGACACAAGCTTCACTTTACGTGTGTTTAGGTTTCTCAGCTCATAAGATTACGTTGTCTTTGCTGCGTCATGATATGATATCTAGTATCTCGCGAAACGTACATATCGTCAATCACGATCATTTCTAGACCACCAGCCCAAAATTGCAATGTCAGATACTTCATCCCAGCCCCGACTGCACTGTTATAGGTGATCTGAAGGGCGCGCTCTGGAGTCTGCAGACCCGGCCATGCTCGAGCTGCTTACAATCCAAAGCGTCATAGGATGGCAACGGCTTCAATCTCAACGTCAGCATTCTTAGGTAGCGTCTTGACAGCGACACAGCTTCTTGCCGGCTTTTGTGGGAACCACTTGGCATATTCGGAATTGAACTCTTGAAAGTATCGCATATCGGAGAGGAAAATCTATAAGCAGGAGTCAGTCATTGATCGAAGAGCAGAAAATGGAAATACGGGAGATTGATTGTCCCCAAAGCTGCTCTTGATCCTGTGATTAAGCAAGGGAGTGAGATAATTACCACAACTTTCACAACCTTTCCAATCTCGCTCCCAGCCTCCTCAAGAATCGCTTTCAAATTCTGGATGCACCTCTGCGTCTTCTCTGTAATGCTTCCACAAACCATCTCACCGTCCGGGTTCGTGGGCAGTTGGCCAGAACAGAAGATCTGGCCAGCAGCTATGAATGCTTGATTATACGGGCCGGCGGCTGATCAAAGCATTTGTTAGCTTCCAAGGGGCTTCTTTTCATGTTGGAGGGAGTCTCACGAGGAGCTGCATTTTTAGTGAACACTGTATGTATGGTGCCTGATTCTTGCCGGCCATGGTTTGACAGGTGTCGTTGGTGGTGTTCGAGGCGGGATCTTGCACTCGACATTGCTGAGTTACTAATTATTCTGAGGGATGACTTCGCCGTTTCATGGGAGATGTCAGCAGTTTATTGGAAGTTCGTGAATGGTTTTCATAAACTGCCATAAACTGCCGTCAGCACCTGAGGTGGGGTCGAGCGTGCTATGAACCCCGTAGGGATAGTAGAATTAGTCTCCGTACGTCTTCATAGACTTGATTCACCCCGACGGCGCCGGCGGAAGCTCCGTCGGCGCTTGAGTTTGCCATCATGATTGGGTGTGCCTCATGACTTTGAAACACTAATCGAGCTGTTCCACCATATCAATATTGCTCCGTCTGAACTCATGATGGACCCACTAGAAGTTGCTTCTGGTGCTAGTGTTAAATCCAGGCGCCTCCATGGCTGAAGGAGCTATCTCCAGTATGATTCCCTTATCTAAAGAAGTTGCAGACCTTTATCTCGCTCTTGAATGACGTGTCGAGGCTTATCGGATGAGCTGTGCCATAGTCTGGCATCATTGTCATTTTTTTTTGTTAGGCTTGGAATGATAGAACCCCCTAGTACATGATATAAGAAGGCCTCTGGCCCAATATCCAAACCCAGCCGCAAAAACCGGCATTGATACAGACGGAGGAGATCATTTTCATTCGATCCTCAAGAGAGCTCTCCCGTCCTCCTCAACAAGCCTCCAAACCCGACCAGTTTCGCATATTCGAGTGTACGAGCCGCAAAGATGTCTCCACAGCCTTTTCAAAGCGATGCAAAGAAATTATCCGATGGGGACACTCATACACACAAAGAGCCTTCCAGCATAGCCGAGGGCGTCCCTGAAACCCACCTTGTTGTTACCGAAGCAGAGAAGCGTGTAATCAGGAAACTAGATATCCACATTGTTCCGGTATTATTTCTCTTCTTAATGCACAAATCTCACCCACTGAGGACCTGACAGTTAATAATGGTACTGTATCTTCTGTCGTTCATGGACCGGTGAGTCATCAATAAAGAGGGAACACCTGCAATAGTGCTAACTAGATTCAGGGTCAATATTGGAAATGCGAGGTATGATTTCCTGCCGCCATGGTGAAATGTCATTCCAAGAAGACTTTGCCGACTGAGATTGGACAGACTCTACGGACTCGAGGATGACCTTGGTCTAAGCACAAATCAGTACCAGCTCTGTGTCAGCATTCTGTTCGTCACTTATGTCATCTGCGAGCTGCCCAGCAACCTGGTCCTCAAGACAATGAAGCCGTCTCGGTGGCTCGCATTTCTTGCTGTGGGGTGGGGCCTCGTGGCGACATTCATGGGATTTTGTCAAAGTTTCGGCAGCATGATTGCTTGTCGTCTTCTCCTGGGTGCAGTCGAAGCAGGTCTTTTCCCTGGGCTCGTCGTCTACTTGACAGTCTTCTATACCAAGAAGGAGATTGCTCTTCGTATGGCTTATCTTTTCGTCAGCGCTGCTCTGGCCGGGGGATGTGGCGGTCTTTTCGCGTTTGCGATCGGTCATATGGACGGACTCTGTGGTCTCCGCGGCTGGCGGTGGATCATGATCATCGAAGGGATCCCATCTGTCCTCGCTGGAATTGCATGTTGGTTTCTGATGGCCGATGACCCGGAACACTGTACCTATCTGAATGACGAGGATCGAGCCGTACTCATCGCCAAACGCAACAGGCAACCTGGTTTCTCAACTTCCGGCTTGGAAATGCACAAGAAGGATGTGGTTGCCGCATTCAAGGACTGGAAAGTCTGGGCAATGTGCCTGGCACACTTTGGAGGAGACACGATGTTGTGGGGTTACTCTTCTTTCCTCCCTACCATCATCCATTCCCTAGGTACATGGACCCCTGCGCACGTGCAAGCCTTAACTATTCCGTGCTATGCTGCAGGAGCCATTTCCTACCTGATTGTGGCATATCTGAGCGACAGGACACAGGTACGCTCCCTCTTTGCGACTGGGGCATGCTTGACTTCAATTGCCGGCTATGCGCTACTCCTCAGCCCGGTACCTGAGGGAGTCCACTACTTTGGCTGCATCCTGGTGGCTCTAGGTCTCTATTCAGCTGTTGGTATCCCAATCGCTTGGCTACCAACAAACTATCCCCGCTACGGCACCAGAGTTACTGCCAGCGGACTTCAGATGACTATGGGCAATGCGGCTGGAATCTCCGCGCCATTTGTAAGTCCTTTTCTCCCTATATCACATTGTGTAACCTTGTTCTCATGACGTTGTAGCTTTTCCAAACCGCAGCTGGTCCTCGATACTATACGGGTTTCGGAACCACATTAGGTCTCTTGGTCTGGGCCGCCGTCATCTATTCCACTATGGGTTTCGTATTTGCTCGAATAAATAAGCAGAGAGATGCCATTGGAGAATCCCTGCATGAGTCGACGGCGCAGGAAATGGCTGAACTCGGGGACAAAAGTGTGCACTTTCGGTATACCGTATGAGAGCTGTCCCTGGGAAGTCATAGTTAGCTCTTTGGAAGACAAGATCGTGGGTAACACAAGATACATAGAGCTTTATATGTCACTTAGCTGCAGCTGTGAGATCAAACGAGGACTACCATCCAAAATCCTGTTGACAGACGAATGCTCAATGTTGGATTGAAAGAAATGGTCGCAGTAGTAATCTTCTTGCTGGCTTTAAGACTACCATAAATCAGCTAAAAATCGCAAAATGACCGTGTAGAGTGGTTGAAAGACAGCGTGATTAGTTCTACCTGCCAAATGGTTATAGAAGAATCTTTGGGCAGTCCCTAGGAGTGATTTAGAGATAGCCTTTCCTTCCTGGGCGGGACAATCAGAGGGCAGTTTTAGATATATCGCTCAGCCCCTTTGCAGATGCGATTGGAGCCATCCGACCTTGACTGAACTCACCCTACTCGTAATAAGATTACGCCGACTGGGGAGGAGTCCGTGCTGTTGGCTATTCATCATTCTGTTGGATGATGTATGTCACATGTCCCACAGCGTGTGTGTAACCTTATATATTCCACTTGTCACGCAGTATTCAGTCTCTAGAATGTTTGCTCCTTAGTCAACTTCGAGACCTTCAACTTCTGCATTCCTGCCATCAGTCTCGTTGGAATTCTTTTTCTCATCGAAACCACACTATAGGTTCTGAGACCGGCCTACAATGAGCCCAGTACGTATTGAGAAGCGGCACCACTCGCTCAAGAGACCTCCCAACCACAAGGTATCCAATCCTCGATGGACTGTGGTGTTTCCCGACCATGTGGAGCATGTCTGTACTCTCTACTTGGGTGTTCAGTGCCATGCAGGTGATATGAACTCTCTCGCCAACGTAGAGAGAATCATCAACGAATTCCTAAATCACCCCGCGAGTGCGGCTGAATCTATCGAAGTGTTTCGTGTTATCTTGGGGAACGACTTGCCAGCCTCGAAAGTGTGGATCGCTCATTGGACTCGAAGAGAAGTCTTCTCTGCAATGTTGGAAAAGCTCAACCTCCCGCATATGTGGCAAGAACTGGGTTCTGCACGGAAAGGAATTGGATTGTGGCGCGAATCATTTGTGACGCCCAGGAAGAGACTACAAACGAACTACTCCAGATTGGAGTACAAGCCTGGTTTGGCTCGCCTGAAGAGTGTGGCCATCGAAGCTCATGACAATACAGAATACTGGGGCGCGGGAAGAGATCGGCTGGAAGCGTCTTCCAACGACCTTTTCGAGCTGCCATCAACACTGAATGTGAACAAGACACAGCCCGAAGGCTTTGGTCAACGACTTTTTGGTGTGAACTACGACAATATGTGTCACATTCGCTCGGGTCAATACTGGGGTCTCTGTGGCCCTGAAGAGCGTGATGCATACGAGAATGGCCTGCAGAAACAACTTGTGCGAGGTATGAGGTATCTCTGGGAGAATCCCGAGGAAACAGGCACCATCGGGCTGAGGTTTGGTAGGAGACTGGCGACATATAGCGACAAGCGCAACTTGAGAGAGACTTCTGCCTTTGGTTTCCATCGCAACTGGGCTGATCTCGAGAAATGGGCAAGCCGACATCCGTCACATTTAGACATCTTCACCGGCGCCATGAAACACAACAAGCGGTTTGGGGAGGCGAGGAGATTCATGACCTGGCAGGAGGTTTCCATCCTCAAGGCGGGCGAGGCAAGTTTTGAATACATCAATTGCAACCCCAGAACTGGGGTCATTCAGTGGGTAGATTTAGCAGTCCAGCCTTTGATGTCGATGAGGGAAATCAAGCTATAGACATTCTTATGTAGCTCAAACCAGTTGCAAACGGAAGCATGATGCTGTCTTGAGGCCGAAGCCTACCCTGCCCCCTCCCCCTCCCCCTGTAGCTGAAGTCGGGCTATGTTGGAAACGACAAAGAAGTCGCTTTCCGAGGCCGATGACCACAGTGAGTTGGCCATGGGCATTCTCAGCAGAGGACATCACGGACAGAATACTAGCGTTTAGAACGGAGGGAGTAAACTTGGTGTGGGGGCCGCCGGAGATCATCCTAGATTCCCACCGCAGCATTTGTGTGGGGCCGACGGAGGGTACGAGCCACTCACCTGAACATCACACTTGGGCCGGCGGACAGCCAGCAGGAGGCACCGACGCGTCTTCTTATGACAGCCGCCATTGTTTTTATGCCACCATCTTCGGCCTTGTCCGCCGATGCAAGGAATAACAGGAATATCCGCATCTGGCTTCATAAGACCTTATATATCGGCCTTCAGAGCCTCGAGTGACGGCAGACACTATCTCCTGTTGTTGAAAAGGAGAGATTTTCTTCGCATTGGAATCAACCATGTCGAGAAGAAACCTCGCCAATCACACGTCGACCGAAGTTCATACAATGGATGCTTCTCCTCGTACCATCATCTACAAGAAAATCGGCTCCCTTCAAATTCCGCTGGATCTTTATCTGCCCAAGAATGCACGGAAGGCGCCAATACTTCTATGGTTCCACGGTGGCGGACTCCTGTAAGCTCTTTTCTCTTCGATCAGGAGCGATACTGACGACATCAGGATGGGACGACGCGATCTTCTCGCTCCTCACATGCGCAAAAGCGTGCACACCCATGGTTACGCTTGCATTTCGGCCGACTACCGCCTCGCACCCCAGGTCTCCGTCCATGATGTCTTTGAAGATGTAAAGGACTGCATCAACTTCATCCGAAACGAGCTCACCTCCTACGTGGAAGAAGACGCCTTGGATGTATCTCGTCTAGCCGTTTCTGGTAGCTCAGCAGGCGGCTTCTTGACTCTGTTAGCAGGACTCTATGTAGTCCCTAAGCCACAGGTCATTATTCCGATCTATCCAATCACCGATCCTCTCGGTGGCTTCTTCACCAAACCACAGCCTGCGCCACCGGGACGCTATGCAGCTTCCAAGGCGGAGATGGAGCCTTTCCTCAATACCCAAGCTGAACCATCCACCAGCTGCGGCAAAGTCCCAGATCCTCGCGCCCACATGTATGTGTACATGCTGAGAGCCGCAAACTTGGCCGAGTTATGGGGTGTGCCGGATGAACAAAGCGCCGCTCCGTATAGGATCTCGCGCCAGATTCAAGAGCATGGATTGCCACCTGCGTACGTGCTGCATGGAGACGCAGATACAGCAGTAGGTGTGGAACAGTCGGATGAAGTCGTAGGTTCCATGCTGGGTTGCGGGGTGATCGTGGAGTACGAACGTCCACATGGTCAAGATCACTTTCTAGACAATGGTGATGACTATCAGAACGAAGCGATGTATGCTTTCATAAACAAACATCTCTGACCGAAACCGCCTTGCGGGAACACATGAATCAATTGCAGACTACTACACTGCGGAAACGACTCGAGGGTGTCAACTATTCTATCTACGCCCATCCGACGACGAGGTTAACGACGACGAGCTTATCTCTCGAAAATTTTGGTGGGAAAACTCCAACGAATATATATGGGATCATATATCCCACATCCAAGGAATACCGGTCGAGGTCGTTGGCCACGAGTAGCTCGTTGGGACCCAAAAAAACTTCTTTTCGAGATTCCTCAGTGGGTTTGATTTCGTCTTGAAATGCGTTGACTTTGACCTTGTCCGCTTCTTGATCCAACAGGTTGATCCTGGTGAGGAGGATGCCATGCGGAGTGGAGGAATCGATTTGGGCAGTCTCTTGATGCGTCCTAACACCAAAGCTGACAGTACCTTTACTATATCGCAAAGTACACTTCCTGGGTTTGTCACACTGGCTGCCAATGTTGGCTTAGTTGTTGCCATACCTGCAATGTGTGAGTCTAGTAATATTTTAGCTCTAGAGAGTCAGGGGAACTCACATCGTAGAACGAGAACACCCAGTACCGTCGATCAGATTGCGGCACGTTGATGTACAAATCATATCGAGACAAGTCGTAGAACATGAATGAATACAAGGTGTCGTTATTTGGCCGAACCACCTGGGTCCAATCTGCCTTGACGAGGTCGCGTTCATGGATCAGAGTGTTGTTTGGGGTGTTGACATGGGCTTTAGAGATCCTTCCATACGCGTAGAGCGGGTAGCCATACCTTGAACATGTCGCTTAGCAAAAGAAGTATTGCCACGAATCTTGCGCGTACTTGGTAGGCAAATGAGGATGCCATCCTGATGACTCTCGATGTCGAGATCATGTACCTGGGAGGCCTTTGCAATTATGTCGTCTTGGTTTGTGGTTTTGCATCATTCAAACCAAGTCATTTATCTCTTTTTAATACCCTTCAAGTTCTTGCTTTCAATCTGTGCATTCATGCTTGACCAGCTGCAAAAAAAGAGAGGAGGCAAGCTCTGGGTTAGGGTTAGGGTTAAGCACAATAGTTGTTGTAAGCAGACGGGTTTAGTGCCAATACGACTACGTCAAGGGTCCTCGCCACACTTAAGATAGGCACCTCGCTATCGACCTTAAACAGCACCGATAACGACGACGATAACGTCTAGAATACTCTATATATCGTACGAGATTCGGTATCCTTTTTGCCTGTTTATAGGGTATATAGAGGCGCTCTGTACACCACGAGGCTGGCAGATGCCAGAGCACAATTTAGTCACCATTAGCGTCCCTAACAACAATAATCGATCCGCACGTCATGGTCAAGAAGGCCGACCTCTCTCAATCTGGAGGCTTTCCACGGCCTCGACAAAGATAAGCGTCAAGCATATCTGGCACCTATGGCTGTGGTGGATCAGCACTGAGAGCTAGGCTGTGGAGAAGACTTGTCGCTCCCTCAGGTATTACTGTCCTGCCCCGCAAAAGACATCTTTGCTGGGATGTGATACTCATTCAAGCCAGCTTGTGGTCGTTGGAGATCAATCCAGTGGGCAGTCTTCTCTTCTCGAAGGACTCACGGGGCTGTCTTTTCCCGTCGCACGTGATTCGTGTACCCGGCATGCGACACAGATTGTTCTACCACGAGTGCCTGCTCATGAAGCCGCAATGCGCATCTCCATCATCCCGGGACCTAGCAGCATCGACAGTGCCGATGAAAAAGAGCGCTGGGCAAATTTTCTCGTTGTATCAAGACCACCGCATTTGGCGCCGACGATTTTGCTAGTAATCTCGATGAGGTGAGAAGATCAAACAGACCATGGTGTCACTGAGTGGAATCTAACTCTGTCAGGCTTCAGAGATCATGGGACTTCCACGAGCCGGAGCTACAGGTCTTGACAAGATCGAGAAGAGATTCTCCGACAACGCCCTGAAGGTCGTCGGAGCACAACACCTGAGTGTTTTTGACGTCCCTGGGCTCTGAAAAAGTTTCACAGTAGGCTGACTGAGAAGGATGCATCGTACAGACGCTTATCGAGAAATGGATCCAACCATTTATCAAACCAAGAAGGACCTCGAAATCATCCGCAAGCTGATCAGGGACTATATCTCGGACCCCCGTACCATTATCCTGTGAGGGCTGAACTCGAACAGCATGAGAAAAGTACTAATTTCTTCAAAAGGCGGTCATGAATGCGAGCAACAACTTGGCCAGCCAAGAGGTGTTCAAGATGGCACGTGGAGTTGATCCCCGTGGTGATAGGACTGTCGGCATCATTACAAAGTGCGACGTCGTCCAAACTGGCGATGAACCTGGGGTCGGTGACCTTCTCTGGACTTTCATCGAGGCTTAACCCAAACTGACCCCTCCAGGTGATTCGTATCGCGCAAAAATCGGTGGAGAAATTGCAACATGGATGATTTGCTGTTCGCAATCGCTCACCTTCCGAGATCAAGCCGGGGTTTCGTTGAAAGATCGTCATGCGACAGAGCGGCAGTTCTTCATGACCAGCCCATGGTGCGACCTCCGCAGCACTACCACCATGAGGATAGATTTGCGAGACAAACTCGGCCGCTTCGAAGAAGCTTGTCGCATTGCAAAGACGATATGAACGGAGAGTTCTTCCTCCAGGCGAGGTTTTTCCCGAACGAAGGGTTTTTTCCCTTGCCTCCAGCGGAAATGCGGGAGGATGTTGGTTTTCCAGTTTTTCCAATTGTTATTTCTTGTCTGGGTGATATTGGTATTGGTATGATACACACGCACATAGAGATCGGATGCATTTCAAATTATCATCGTGCTCTCCAAAACAGTGCGCCGTGAAGAGAAAAATACTTCTAGTCACGACTTCCCAGTTGAGATAAAACACTCTGCATGCACAGACAGCACAACTTTTTGAACGTTGATTTGGCTTGGGCAACGGAGTCTGTTGACCTGCTGCCGGTGCCGATATGATCCCTGTTCTCGCTGAACAAAGCCCTTTGTTATCGCGCTACTTTCAAAGATGACTCTCTCATCATGCTGACCCGGACAATTCGAACGACAGAAGGTAGTGAAGGTTCAGCTACTAAGACAACACCAATATGGATGAGCCCGCCATTTGCAACTTGTGGGCTCCCTTCAGAGCTCTGTCGAATAAGATTCGATTGCCAGTGACGAAAGAAAACCTGAAGCGACTATGGATAAGCAGGTGGTACTGCGGCCCTCTATTCATCAATCTGATTCGCTCTGCTTCCTGCCATCCTATCTCACCTTGTCGTCAACGAGAGCGAGGACAGAGGCTGTGCACTTCATAGAATCCCTCCCCGATGGTATGAGTACGGTTACTCACCCTCGATACGCCTTTGCACATCTCGTCTTCCTTACTCTTTGGATCCTACTCTTGAAAGATACCTTCCGCTCTTCAAATCAATTCTCAACTATGCCTCAACCCCGATTTCAAGGAGTTGGACGGGGACGAACTCTTGACTCCAACAAGACAACTAAAGCGCTCATTCCACGATTTAACTTCCGCCGAATCACTTCACCTATCCTGCTGTCCATTTCGAAGCCTTCGTCCAACAGGCGAGGATATGAATCATCTCAACTATTGGCAGACGTATTTGAAGAAATCATGGCGGAATGTGAGCCAGATTTGCCTCAATATGCCGACAGCTTAGACAGTTCTGTCATCTCGGATAGCTTAACAGCAGAATCTGGCGCTGTTGCCACTGTGCATAATGTGGCAAGTCCAGATACCAGAGCGCAGGGCTCAGGTGACAAGCCTTCTCATGTCTCTAAGAACGTGGGACTTCTCTTTGATGGGTTCTAGGACTATAACGCAGCCTACGGCCAGCGTTATCAGGAGACGCCTCTGGCGACTCCGACTCTTTACTAAGCCGATTTTAAAGAAGACGCCTTCGGAGACGTCTCTTTATAACTTCGCGCTAATCTAACTAGGTAGTTTAAGTAGATACTTCCGACTAGGATTAACTATATTCCGGATTACTAATATCTTTTACTTAGTTATAGTAGATTTATAATTATAATAGACTAATTAGAATAAGGATACTAAAAGAGGCGCTTAAAGATGTCTCTTTAGCGATTCAAAGAGGCGTCTTCGTCGTCGCGCTAAGAGACGCCTCCGCCATGAGTAGGAGGTGTCTCCCGACAACGCTGCAGGAGGGAACGAAGCATATGAAGCATATGAAGCAGATGAAGCAGATGAAGAGAGAAGATCAAGCGTCAGCATAAAGCAGTCATCACAAGATTTACCGTTCCGGACAATCTTTCTTTAACTATGTCAAGTTTTTATCTTTTAAATACTGTTCTGTGGTGATATAGGGCGATCGTTGCCTCGCTTGGCTGAACATCTTACTCCGCCAGTTTAAGTGCTCCCCGCGTCGGAGAAAGAAGGTAGGTGGTTGCACTTTGTGCATCAGTCAAGAGCCGATAGCCGGAGCATGTGTGTATCGGGCAAAAGTCCACAGCAGTGCGCCAAGTCAAGAACACCATTGCTATCTCGTCCCTTGCCCTGTCCGGTTGGCCGAATCGCAGCCCATGCGAGGTCGAGCATGCTGTTCCGAGAGATAGAACTATAACGTGGGCACGTTACATCGTGATACTGTATGGTGACAGGCTGCGGCATGCTGAAGCTCGCACAAGGTGACGTAGTACATGTGGTGGCCGGGTGCGATAAACAGACGCGAATATCAACATGGACTTACGAGAGAGTTTCCAGCAGTTGAGAGATGTTCCCAGGGAGGGTAAGGCGATATACCGTTGCTGCTGAGCACGATGGGGGCTTGAAATCTGGCAGATTGATCAAGATCTCTATGGGCGGAGATTTAGTAGGATCAAGCATTTTTGCCGAAGTTAAGCTTGTTTTAGCCCGAGTCTTCAGCCACCAAGTGGGATTTTATGCTGTTGGAAGAGGCACTACGGCGAGTCGGTCGAAGCCTGGATCCGACACTTGGCATTCGCCCGGAACTGAACTGCAGTGCCACTGCCAGCCAAAAGTGGCGGCATATCTGCGCGTTTTGGTTGGCTGTAAAAGTGCCATTTTGCACTGCATCATCTTCAAGTCCTGACTGCGCATCCCATCATTGAAGCTTTTGCTGCTCGTCGAGTCGAGTCAGATCTCCTGCATTGCCAGTCCATTCATCCGAGTCTGCTTTTTCAGTACGCAGCTGCCAGATACCTGTGCCAGTGCCAGGATTGGACCCTTTCAACTTCTGCATTGGCGTCACTCCACCGCCTCCTTCGGCCATTTCTCTGCTTCGTCCTTAATCCTCCAACTTTACGGCTGCGCCTCTTCGCCAAGTACCCTCAGCACCCCTCAAACTCCAACCGACGAGTCCTCAGAACCATGTCTGTTGTCTCTGCAGCATTCTCGAGCACATCGACAAGTATCCTGTTCAGCGATACCTAACAATGAACCCATCGACTGTTCGTTCCGTTGTCCTTCCACGATACCCCTAGGGTTGACGGCGAAACCTCCACCTATCCTGCCATCGCCCTTGATTCTTCTGTCTGAGTGACAAGATGGCTCCGCAATGGACCTCACAGTTCTGGGAGTTCCTCCAGCAGAACGTCATCCCCGATGCCCTTGTCAAGAAGAGGTTGAATTTCATCACCATCCACTATATATACGTGATCGGCCTATCCCTCCTGCTTTCGGTCATTCTCTACGGCATTGGCGACATTCATTACATCGATGCTCTATTCTTTGCTTCGGGCTCTTGCACTCAGAGCGGACTCAACACGATTGATATCAACAATCTATATCTGGGTCAGCAGGTGGTGCTTTACATGGGGGCAATGATATGCAACCCCATCGTCGTGCATTCCGCTGTGGTGTTCATAAGACTTTACTGGTTTGAAAAGAGATTCAAGGATGTCGTCCGAAATTCCAACCTGATCCGCCGCACTCGGTCCAGACAGCGGACTGAAACATTTGGCAAACCCGATCCTGAGCAAGGATCACTGGGAGTACGGGGTCGTGCCATTCAAGTTCTGAGGAACACGGGCCGCACGGTTGACCCGATGGAGAAAACGGACGGCCGGGCTATCCATACCAATGGCAAGGCGGTGGAATCGTCCAATGAGTCAAAGCCTAATCATAAAGAGGCTCAGGACCCTGTTGGGGATGACGACTATTTGCGCCTGCAGACCACTCGATCTGAGGACGATGTGCGTCTTCCTCAACAAGTCAGTCCTGAACAGCATATCCGCTTCTTGGAGAACCAACGCAATCCTAGTGACACGACTGCGCTGCGGATTCCAAGTCCCCGGGAGTTCGAACGGGGTGGTCGGCCAGAGAATGTGAACAACAGCATCGATGACACGCTGATGAGGAAAATCACCAGCGACCCGGACCTCTCTTCGGCCAACGAAAAGCGAAGTATAGAACAGCATACACGCGCCGATGGCGTTCCCGCTCACATTACCATTGACGAGCCGCGAGTGCTTCGCGACCGCAACGATAAAGTGTCAACCTTCCCCCGGCTGAACACGAGACAGTCCACTCAGGCCAGACAAACGTATGACTCGTCGGAACCTGGCTCTAATCTTAGGCGGAGAAGATCCAATACTTTCCGTACCTTGACCCGGAGCAATACTGCGCGCACCATGGACCCGGCTCCTTACCTGAGCTGGCAGCCCACCATTGGCCGCAATTCCCTATTCGTCGGCCTGACCGAAGAACAGCGAGAAGAACTGGGTGGCATCGAGTACCGTGCGCTCAAGACCCTGGCATTGATCCTGGTCCTATATTTCTTCTTGTTCCATATTTGTGGCATCATTTGTCTCGTGCCCTGGATTCTACACAGCGGTAAATATGGCAAGGTGGTGACTGATCAAAGTCAGGGCCGAGTATGGTGGGGCATCTTCACCAGTGGATCGGCCTTTAACGATTTGGGTTTTACTCTCACCAACAACTCGATGTTGTCCTTTGGCACCGCTGTCTTCCCGATGCTTTTGATGAGTTTTCTGATCATCATTGGCAATACCGGCTTTCCCTGCATGTTGCGACTCGTGATCTGGATCGTCTCGCAGGTGGTATCCTTTGGCGGGCCGCTATGGGAGGAACTTCGTTTCTTGCTCGACCATCCGCGTCGTTGTTTCACCTTACTCTTTCCTTCCAATGCCACGTGGTGGCTGTTCGCCATTCTTGTCATGCTTAATGGCATTGACTTGATCTTCTTCGTCATTCTGGACCTCAACGATTCCATTGTCAAACAAATGTCCGGTGGCATTAAGTTTGTCGATGGACTGTTCCAGGCCGCCTCAACCAGGACTGCCGGGTTTGCCGTTGTTAACCTGGCGGAGCTGCACCCTGCGATTCAGGTCAGTTATCTGATTATGATGTATATATCCGTGTTTCCGATCGCCATTTCCATGCGCAGGACCAACGTGTACGAAGAAAGGAGCTTGGGCATCTACGGCAAAGTGGCCGACGAGGAGGAGGACGAGAGAGAGCCGAGCTACATCGGGGCACATTTGAGGCGACAACTGTCTTTCGACTTGTGGTATGTGTTCCTGGGGTTGTTTATCATTGCCATTGTCGAGGGTGGCCGACTGCAAAACACCAACGAATATGCCTTTACACTGTTCTCGGTCTTGTTCGAGATCGTCTCGGCCTACGGAACGGTGGGGCTGTCTTTGGGGTATCCTACCATCAATGCGTCCTTCTCGGCCGAATTCCATACGTTATCCAAGTTGGTCATCATTGCCATGCAAATCCGTGGCCGACATCGTGGTCTGCCGTATGAACTGGACCGGGCCATTCTGCTGCCCTCGGAGAGTCTGCAAGCGAAAGAGGCCAAGGAGGCGGAGCGTGTGGCAAGGCGTCGCCGGTCCTCTGCAGGACAGTCGATGATGTCTGCGGTGGATGGACACCTGGAAGGCCGTCGATTCCGTGCGGAAACCGGGCTTTCTTCAGCCACCCAGGCTAATGATGGAGATGAACCGTATCAGCGAGGGCGAGCAAACACCAACCGAACCCACCAAAGCACGGCCAGCGGGTCAGAGCATCCTCCTCACCATGGGGCACGACATGGACTGGGTACGGCCCTGTACAAGCTCACTTCGGAAATCGACTCCATCAAGGAAGAAAGCCCGGCGACGCGTGAAAACATGGGTTGACTGGGGTGGACATGTTGAAACCAAATTTTATATCTGTGCAGGTGTAGTTATTTTGAGCGAAGGCGAAGGTGGAGTCTTTATGTTCACATTCATACACCGGATGACATGACATTGTTGACTGAGGTCTCGAAAGAACCCCGAAACCTCATGTATAGCACTACAGCGCAGGCAAGGAAAAGGAGCTGCTGCTCGGGTGACCTGTACCTCAGGAGGCGTGAGTTACTTTGTTTTTGTTACCTCAACCAGACTTTTACGTCTAGTACGGACCTTGGAAAAATAGAACGTCTTCTGAACCCTTGTGGACATTTATGCTGATACATGTCCGTGATGCGCACCTCTCACCTACTAACCCAGGTATGTGCCTCTGGACGCCTGAGTGACTGTTTGTCCATGCATCATTCGACTGCCCTGAGGTTGGACTTTGGACTGGCCGTTTATAGACTGGCCCAGGCGAAATGAAAGGGGAAGGGGGCGGACTCGGTCATGCCGCGACGAAAGAGATACCTTACTATACCTAGTATACCCCCGTGCCGGGAACAAAGGAGTGCTGCACGTCTTTAGCCGCCAGCGTTAATGGATGCATTTGTCTCGGAGGAAGTGAAAGAAGTGCAGAATAATAAGCGGCTTCTCCTACACACGTAGGATATATATATTCGAATTGTCTGCTACTGTAATAGTGGTGCAAGTATCCAAACTTGAATGTGGTGTGGACCGCATCTCCAGGCTCTGGCAGTGACAGCTGGAGCCTTTCGGGGGAGTCTAGGTGCCATCCACTTGCAGTCCTCATGGCGAATGACTCCAGCGTAGGGGCTCCTTAGGCACTGTAGGGCCCGCGCCACGGGCACTTGCAGTGATCTGACGACATGGGCCTCAGGCTTCTCTTTGTCCTGCAACTTGAATGCGTTGCCCACTGCAGCCACTGGCGCTGATCAATTTTGCAGCCCTACCAGTGCGCCACAGCTACTACGGTACCTACTAGTATAGTAATAGGTACTAGTACCTACCTAGGTAGAGATCTGTTACGAGTCGTTAGCACTCGGCAAGTGGCGCTACTGCTACTAGTGGTGTTCAGCGATCTGTCACCCGTGCGACCATTCAATCAAATCACGGGCAGTGGCAGTGGCAGTCAATCAGTCAATCAGTAGTAGCTGCGGATTTCCACTTCGACTTCCACCCTCCCGTCTTCCAACTTGTACCTTTGTTAGGTACTCTCGTCATTCATCTCCCCGACAACTTCTCTCCTCCGCCACTGCACTGCACTGTACCGATCCCTCCTGCGCTGCTCTCCGGCGCAGTAGACGCTCTCTTCATCCACGATCGACTTCACACCCTCGTCGTATCTATTGCTGTCGATTAACAACCTACCGGGAAGTCAAGACAACTGCTCACCCTCACCTTGTCGCTCGCTTCGACCGCCCTTCCGACCACGCGCCCTTCGCTCAAGGCTCAAGCGTCGACCGTCGCATTGATTGACGCATCAGTCCGAGAGTCGTATCGCCCTTCTCGACCATAGACCACTCTCGGCATCGGTCAGCTACCTATGTGAACACCGACACTGCCACAATGAAGTCACGAATAACCTCCTTTGCAGCGCCGCTGGTCGGTTTGCTTTCTCTCGTCAATGCCATCTCCCTCGATCTCAACAGCCAGGACTCAGTCAAGTCCGCCCTATCTACAATCGCTTATGACATGATGACCCTCTACTCGGGCAACAAGACTGGTCAGACTCCAGGGTTATTGCCCGGTCCTTGTTCCTCATCAACATGTTACTACTGGTGGGAAGCCGGGGCTATGTTCGGTTCGTTGGTCAACTATTGGCAATATACGGGAGACGACAGTTACAACCCGGTAGTTGAGCAAGCTCTTGCGTTCCAGATCGGTCCGGACAAGAACTACAACCCTCCCAACCAGAGCAAAAACATGGGTGTGGATGATCAAGCCTTTTGGGCCTTCTCCGCCCTCGATGCGGCCGAAGCCAACTTTCCCGAGCCTGGCGGGGATGTACCCTCTTGGATTGCACTTGCGCAAGCCGTCTTCAACTTCCAGGCCGACCTCTGGGATGCTGCGACATGTGGTGGCGGCATGCGGTGGCAGGTCTATTCGTTCAACGCCGGCTACAACCTGAAGAACACGATCTCTAATGGCGGGAATTTCCAACTTGCTGCGCGATTGGCTCGATACACCGGGAACCAGACCTACGCTGACTGGGCCAACAAAATGTGGGATTGGATGGCAGGCACCCCGCTGTTTCAATTCCAAGATGGTACCCTGTATATCTGGGACAATACCAACTCGGACAACAACTGCTCGGATGTGGCTCACTTTCTCTGGACGTACAACTACGGCACCATGTTGATGGGCGCGGCGTACATGTACAATTTCACCAACGGCGCCGAGCCCTGGGGAACTCGAGTCAACCAGATATTGGAGGGAGCCTTTAAACTGTTCTTCCCGAGCGAATATGGTGGGAATATCATGAGCGAGTTTCAATGCGAGCCGTCCAACAACTGTAACAATGATCAGAGCAGCTTCAAGGCCTATCTGTCTCGGTGGATGGCCGTGACGACTCTGATGGTCCCCAGCACCGCGGACCAGATCATGGCGAAACTTCAAGCCAGTGCCGCAGGAGCCGCTCAACAGTGTACCGGAGGCGACAATGGCCGCATGTGTGGTCGAAGATGGTATTCTACTTGGGATTCAACTACCGGTGTGGGACAACAGGTAAGGTTTTGTTTTTTGCTTATGTCGGATGTCGTACTGACATTGGTTCTCAGATGCAAGCCCTCTCGGTTATTGGTGCCACGCAGATCAATTCAGGAATTGCTCCCAAATCGGTCGACACTGGCGGCACGTCCAAGAGTGATCCCAATGCTGGAACCGACACGGATGCCTCACCTGTCATCACACACTCTCCCATTACCACCAAAGATAAGGCCGGTGCCGGCGTTCTCACGGTAGCAGTCATTTTTGTCGTCATCGGAGGCGCTATCTGGATCATTGTGTGAAGTAAAACGCAAGGAAGCTCGTTATAATCTTAGATCATTGGAGAGGGTGGCAACGTCTTCCCATCTAGAGAGAGATTGGCTTTGGCTTTGTGCTGCCAGTCACTCAAAGAAGACCAACATGGATGGCGCAAACGAACATGATCTTGAACGAATGGGCGGAAGGATGGATGACATGATTGGGATTCTTGTATCAGCGTTCGTACCGGTACTGCGACAGGGCTTGGGCAGCGTTTCGAGCTGTAGAATTAAATTTAGAGATGTGGCTACAGAGCACAGCTGCTACAATTTGCCTTTGCCTTGATCTCTCGAGTAATGATGCCAGTGATGAATCTTCAACCTGTACAAAACAGTGCTATGTAGAGGATGTCAGCGCAGGGATACAACTGAATTGCCAGGGGTAGAAGTTAAGTGAACAAGGGAGATGCTTGTCAAGGTACAGTTTCGTACCTAGGTATGTTTCATTTGTTTTAATTTGCAGACAATCAAAATACGGTGCTAGCTCGAGTCTTGGTGGTACAGTACAATGCAGGGCTCAACCAACAGCGGCTCCTGTCAACATTAACATTTCTTCCAAACCTCTCATTCATTCTTCGGTGGTGGACGGTTGTAGTCAGTCATTCTCTAGTCTGGGGCTCTGGATTCAACTGTGCTGCACAACGTACAGTCTCTTTTGTTGTCGGCTCGTCATCAGTCCCACTGGGGGCCCCCTATCAATATCATCCACATTTCAAGTCACTTACTGCAAGTCAAGTGTCAAACCCCCGACTCCACGGGATCCATCGGCTGGAGCAGACGAGACGACAGTCAAACACTCCTTAGCGTCTGCCTTTTTACTGGTATCTAAACTGACAGAATCGAGTCCTAATAATAAAAATCAATCCTCCGAGACGTTGGTTACGTCGGCATCCACCGTGACTGTTCTCCAGAAGGAGGTCCGACCGCGACGTGCGCATCCGCAACGCAACGACTTGCAACTCCTACTTATTACTCCACGCCCATATCATTGACGCCACGCCACAATCTGTCATCAAACGGTCTGACAGTTGCGACTGCGCTCCAAGTGGGTGGTGACGCCAAATGATATAGATAAGATACAGCAAGAAACGAAACGCGGGCACTCGACTCTTTGCGACCAAAGATGGATGCCACGAGTCCTACGCCGACCGTGGTGGCCCGCGGCGCCAACAACAACAGTGACTCGGACCTTGGGACCAGTACCACTACTGGCACTGGCACTGGTTCGGGGGGAAGAAAACACGCCAAAGGTCTCTCGTTGAACCTCCCGCTTCCGATCCTGGTACCACCGCAGCTGCAAATGTCTGCCTCTGTCTCGCAGTCTCCGTCACAGTCGCTGTCCCAGTCGCAATCACCTAGTCCTCGAACCCGGTGGTCATACCAGGGTCCTATTCTTCTCGATTCACCCGCCCGATCCTCGCACGCTTCTGCGTCTCCTATTCGAGTCTCAACGAGCAGTTCAAGTTTTGCCGCCGACGAAAGGTCAATAGGAACAGGATCAGGATCAGATAGTTCCTGGATGAGGAGGAATAAGACTTCCGGAGCGGGAGCAAGAACCAGAACCAGCGCCGACTTCCTCACTCTTCTTGCAGCGCAGGAACGTCGCGTTCTCGAGTTGCGAGAGGAACTGCAAAAGGCCGAGGCGGACTTGCTGGGCCTGAAAAAACAATGGGCCTCGTATGAAGCTAATAAGAAGAGAGAGGAGGTCAAACATGTCAAGAAGCTGGAGGCATTGCCGTTGGACGATGTGGTGAGTTCGAGGTCTCCGACTTCTACTAGCGGTGGTGGTGGTGCTTTTGATGATGACGAAGAGGAGAGAAGACGACGGCGGGCTTTGGTGGAGAGGAGCGTGAGGATGAATGGCAACACAGCGGCAACAGGTGTGAACGACAATTATACTAATGACGATGGGGAGGAGTATAATGATAATAATAACGGTCATGTCAATGGTGCTGGTGCTGCTACCGAACAATTGGGCAGGAGGACGTCGACGAAGAAACCCCGCGTGTTTCAAGGTGGACGACATACTAGGACATTGAGCCTACTGAGTCCCACGTCGGCAAAGTATAGACAGCAACAACAAGGCCAGGAGGATGGGACCGGAACAATGTCGGCAAAGTCGTCAGATGCTATGATCGGTGACCCGGGAGTGCCAACAGATGGTACAGTCAGGGCTGACACCGACGGTCGCCGTGTCTCCGATGACTCTTCTTCCCGGTCGTCTCTGTCTTTAACCCGAATGACTATGACTACGACTTTGGACGGCTTGATTTCTGGCGCCGACTCGCTCCAGCAGCTCGGGTTTGGCAAGACGTATAAAGAGCTGGCTACGGCGCATCGGCGCTCGTTGCCACCCGTTGCAGCGGACCTTTTGGTCAAGCAAGGGAAACAGGTCTATGAGGGTGTGCGTGAGGGGCTGTGGACGTTCTGGGAAGATATCAGGCAGGCCACTGTGGGGGAGGAGGGGATTAATGGACCGGCTACCAACAAGCCGCAGCAGCAGCAGCAGCCGGGACAAAAGAGGTCGATGAGGCGGGAGAATGGGAATGTGGAGACTGGGCAGAAGAAAAGGGGTTCTTCTACGTCTAACTCTACGGCTACGGCTACCTCTGCTACAAGGACGCAGCGAAATCGAAATCATGGTCCAGAGAGAAGCAGAGACCGAGATGGACAATCGGCTCCAGAGTCGAAATCTAAAGAACCGGTTTCGTCCTTTTGGCGCGAATTCGGCTTGGATACTCCGCATAAACAACAGGTGCAGTCACGATTGAAAAGGCCGGATCAAACGCCGACTCAGGGTCAAACGCAAGGCTATCCGAGGAAATCAGACCGAACCACGACGCAAAGACACGCTCAGCAGAAGAGTGTTACAAGTACAGATTCGTCAACTCCACCGAGTTTGATACCGGATCTTAATGACGACGACAACGAAACGGGAATCAACCGTGACGACGAGGATGATACGCCTTGGGACGCCTGGGATTCTCCCGTCAGTACTCGGGTGACGGACGCAGTAGCACCAGTACTGACAGGACGTTCGGCTGACTCGGACACTCTCATTGCTACTACTGATCCAGGCAATGGCGGTAATAATAGTCTTGCAGCTGCAGCTTCTCCAAGCTCTACAGGCCAACTTCTCCCGTGGCCGGAAATTGCGAAACCCGAGAAACTTGCGACGAGTGATCAGCAGGGCTTGAAGTTGACCAGGACGGTGAGCGATCTGATGAAGGAGTGGGATGGGTAATGGGAGAGCTGCTGTGTCGGTGGCATTGGATAGTCCCCTAGAAGGCGGGATAATGGGTTGCGTGAGGCGTGAGGAGGAGTGATGAAGACAATGATCATGATCATGATTGTTCTTGATGATATCTAACATCAAATATCTAATGCAGTACTTTACACTTGATATTTGAGATCTGAGTCTCGCTCGACACTGATATGAGGTATCTGATATTTAGGTCCTATGCGAATGTTTATATCTTTCTGGATCGTTGATGAAATTATCTTCTCTGCGGCCGAAGTTCAGGCTCTTATCTAGACTGTTGGTATCTTATCCTATATGTGGACTACTGCAGCTGTACGCCCATCAAATCTGTCATCTGTGTGCCATCTGTCTACACTTTGCGTCATAATAAAGCGTCACGGACCTACTGGACCAACACTGGTCTTACTGTACTTTACCTAGCCCTTTGTAGTTGATGTCAAATCGAAAGTACAATTGAGACACCGAGTGCGGTTCGATACATACTGTGCAAGCCAGTTCGCGTGACCGAACCTGGCTGAGACAGCGAAACGAGTGTGACCCTCGGACCAGCATGGAAACAAACAACATGCAGGTCTCTTCTATCAACCAGTGCCAAAGAATATAAAATGAGTGTGACACTCAGACTCTCAGCTGCACCCAGGTTCTACTCACTATCGACAGTCACTGTCTGTCTGTCTTCTCTGTCTTCTGCTGTGCTGTGCTATGTATTTCGTTTATTTCTACCAGGTACCAGTACTCCCCGGCAACACTACCCTTGAACGACGCCTTGCGGGATTAGGAAAATCGTCAACAATGAAATCAGATGAAGAACCCCTGGAATGAAGATGCACAATCCGTGGATTACTACTAGGCAGTAGCATTGTACAGCCTGAGTAGTACGTAGTAGTGAGATGGACGATCAGGGGTTACCGGGAACTTGAACTGTAGTGCCGACGCTTCCCGTAGCGCGACGACCCGGTTCCGAGGATGCGGGACTCGGAGTCACAGTTGGAAGCTCCAGGATTAGAACTTAACTTGCTTTTGTGTTTGAGGCAAGCAGATGCACCGGGCTGCGGACGAGTGTGGTACAAGGAGTTAAGGTAGTATCTACCGTACAGTACTACTGATAGATGCCTCTCACGATCAATCAGTCAAACTTGTGTCCGTGGTTCGCTGGTGGTGGAGAGGGCGCAGTTCGAGAACTAGTTACGTAGACAGGATGGAGCAGTTCGAGCCATATTCCAACCACGAGAAGCCCAAGAGTTCTCTACAACTGCCAGTACAATGTTGTGGTGTACTATGCTCTTCTTCCATCTCGGATCGGCTGCAAGGTTGTCGGCCCCTGCGTTAGTGCCCCGCGACTAATTCTTGTCGGGTCTAGTCTCTCGGCTCGCTGCCGTCACTGTGGAGAACCACGCAGTGACCGGCATCATGTGAGGTGGGTCCCGGCTTCTACGCTTGCCTGTTTTCAGTTTAGTTGCAGCTGGTTGCTAAGGTAAACAAATATCTGGATTGCGACAAGGTACACAGTACACACACCATCCCAACTCCCACCTCAACTCCTACGCACTGCACTGACGGCTCATCACTGTCAATGCTCTGAGTAGCTACGTAGTTGTAGTTGTAGATACTGTACACAGACGCACTGACCTGCAGCCTCAAGTTGACAGCATAGTTCTCGAACTGCGCCCTCTCCACCACCAGCGAGCGAGTAATTAGGCATTCTTGTACTGTCAGTTGTATGCAACCACTTCCACTCCTCGATTCTGGAGTTCAAGTTCAGGTTTCACCTTTATCCCATCGCCGGCAGAGCTGGTTTCGTTTCGCTTCCAATTTCAGTTCAATCCGTCGACCGGGTCAGGTTTAACCCCTGTGGGCGACCGCTGCTAGTCTAGTACCACGTACTTACACGGCAATGCCGGGCTACTACTACTATTCATTTGTTTAACTTCCACGTCGTCGTCGTCCGCAATTCCACGAAAAAGGCGGACCTGGACCGGAGCCAGTCGGTGGTTTCTCCTATCCTATCCCGACAACCTTAACCTTCACTTCATCCACTACTACTGCATTACTACCTACCTACCTTTACCGCCAGCTATACCTTAAGCTGTTTCTTTCTTCTTACAGACAAACATTTTTGCCCAGAGGGTAGCTCAGCTCAGTTTCTCTACCGCTCTGCTGCTGGCTTCTGGGTTTGACTTCAGCAGCAAATACTGTATCATTCTTTGTTTCGACCACCATCGGTCCCGCGCTACGATACGTTATCCGTTGCTTTGTGTATCACTATTACCAAACGTTTCCAAGAGCGAGAGCCTGAGCAAGCAACTATCTGTATCGACCGGTACCCAAGCGTTGATTTACTGCGACGTCGAGTTCTTCGATCGAAATTCTGAATACGAGCGCAGTTGGCTCTCGAGAGCGAGAAAGCTGGCAATAAGTCATACATCATTCAAGATCAGGAGTTTGTATACCAGGGGCCACGGATTTATCGAATAAACGAGAGGATACGGTCTGAGACACATATTGACGGAATTGCCGCACGCAAGACCTCGACAGGGCAGCAAGCACCGAGTACCTATATCTCGACAAACGAGCCGGTCAAGTAGCTGGAAGAGCGAGCGCAGAGAGCGCAGTTTGGACACTTGCCGCACTGGCAACGTCACGGCATACGCACTCTGACAGTTAGGGTCTGTGTGAACAAACCGGCGGCGATCCGATCGGCCACTTCACTTCGCGATCATACTCTTTTCCTGCGATGGCCATCACCATGGTTTCACAATATTCCGACGCTCCACAAGACCGCCGCCCAATGGCACACACATCGCCCTTTGAGATCCAAGACGATCAAGCCGATGGCGAGACGTTGGCGGCCAAATACCAAATGCTCGAAGAACTAGGTAGTGGCTCGTTCGGCGTGGTATACAAAGCCATTGAAAAGGAGACGGGGGAAATCGTGGCTATCAAACATGTACGTATTGCTGTCAACGGGAATAAGAAACACCCACACCTCCAGCACAGAACCGTTGCAATCCCTATGCCAATTACTAACACCTTCTTTTCTGTTTAGGTGGATCTCGAATCATCCGAAGAAGATCTGTCAGACATCCTATCCGAACTCTCAGTACTATCATCCTGCTCCAGTCCCTACGTGACCAAATACCGCCTTGCCTTCCTCCGACGGCACACGCTCTGGATCGTGATGGAATACCTCGGCGGCGGATCGTGCGCGGACCTGCTCAAGCCTCCTCCGCACTCACTGGCCGAAACACACATCGCCATCATCTGCCGAGAACTACTGTTAGGTCTGGCCTACCTGCACGGCGAGGGCAAGCTCCACAGGGACATCAAAGCCGCCAACGTTTTGTTGGGGATGGACGGACGGGTCAAACTGGCCGACTTTGGCGTCGCCGCCCAGCTGGTCGGCCTGAAAAGCGTGAGAAACACCTTTGTCGGCACGCCCTTCTGGATGGCCCCCGAGGTGATCCAGCAGGAAGGCCACGACGCCAAAGCCGACATCTGGAGTTTGGGAATCACCGCCATGGAATTGGCCAACGGAGAGCCGCCACATGCCAATGTACACCCGATGAAAGTTTTATTTTTGATCCCGAAACAGCCTGCTCCCAGACTCGAGGGCGGGAAATGGTCCCGCGACTTCAAGGACTTTGTGTCCTGTTGTCTCACCAAGGACGTGGAGAAGAGAAGTTCTGCAAAAGATCTCCTCAAACATCGCTTCATTCGGTCCGCCGGCAAGGTCGAGGGCCTGCAGGAGTTGATTGTACGGAAACAGGATTGGGAAGCAAGAAAAGGTGGAGATCGTCATCTGAAATACTATGCCGAGACACTCAAGAGTTTGTCTTGCAACAACTCGCAAACCGACGACGATGACTGGGTCTTTGAGACTATCAAGGCGGTGCCTACCATTTCGAAGTCGAGGAAACCGAGCCATAGTCAGGCAACGCAGAGACGGAGGAAAGTGTCGGCGGACACCAACGGTGGTCAAAGCACTCGAATGATGGAAGATGGGGACCGTGACTATCAGCTGCCGCCCAATCGCGATGCCAACAACAACGAAAGCCCTGCGAGGAAACCGAGCACAATGCGCAGAATCTCAGAGTCACGGCAGCACCAATCCGCAAGCAATGGAGATGCCGGCGCAGAAGACACCGTAACATCCCCAACAGCCAGTGTGGCGAGAAGGACAGCGCGCAGAACATCAAGATTATCCAGCGCCGCCCAGGCTCGACAGCCACTTGGCGTTAACATGTCGTTCGGCAACAGTCCCAGCACGGTACGGCAGTTCCGAAGAGTATCGACCAATTTGAACGCGGTCAAAGTGACTGCCGAGTGTGATGGTGAAAATGATGCCAGTGGTGGTGAAAATCAAGCTCCTTGTATTGAGTCAGACTCGGATCCGGATCCCAACTCTAGTGTGGTTAGGACTCCTTCGAAAGCAGCTCCCAAGATTGGATTGGGTGTGTTTTCGTCGTTTTCCGGTGAGGATATGTTAGAGTCGAAGTCCAGGACAAATTCAGCCGACCAGGACTCGAAAGACCGGGGTCCGAAAGCGGCGGCAAAAGATCAATCGTCGAGATCGACCTCATTCTCAACTTCAGCAGAAACAAATAGTGAGTCAAAGGAATCCAGTCTAGGAAAAAGACTGTACGCTCAAGCCGTCGGCATCTCATGTCAAGATGTTCTCGACGATACCGCCGACCATGTCAAGCGCGAAGCGGTGGCGCGGTTGGCCGAGGCCTTTTCGGACCTCGAGGCCGTCGATCCAGATGGTTTGTTTCATGTCATGCGGGCCATTGTCGAGAAGGTTAAATTGGATTCCGTCCTGTCGAAAGCCATGATGGTGGAGGCGGGTTCGAAGAGCCAGAGCCGTTCTTCACCTGTGATTAAAACAGAGTCAGAGACAACGACAACGGCAGACGTTGAAGTCGGGCACCCGCATACACAGACACAGGACCAGACGGAGAGTGAGACAACTACTACGACTAGTACTTCTGTGTCTGGTGGTTCAACGATGACATCAACATCGATATCGACGACAACATCATCAGCGCCCATCACGCCTAAGCGAGTACAATCACCCGCTCCCGCATCCCCGGCATTACCACAATCAGCAGCGAAACTCGTCCTCGCGCAAAACAATCCCCATCTCAAATCCCATCGGCGCCGCCAAAGTGCCCACGCCCACGCCCACCTTTCTCCTGGTAGTAGTGGGAACAACTCTCGAAACTCTAGTGGTGGTCAGATAATAGTAGGCGGCGGCAGTCCGTTGAAAAAGAGTTCCCACCCTCATTCGAATTCGAATTTTCATGCGCTGCCCAATGTCGGGAGTCCACGGGCTGGTACTGGGAATACTGCGAGACTAGGCCGTTCGAATGCGAATGATGGCAGGAAACCCAGCGGTGCTGTGTCTGACAAAATGGGACATGTGGAAAGAATTCCACAGTCTGATGAAGACAAGGATAAGGATATCGACATGATTATGAAAAGTCTTGTTGGAGGTAGTGGGAACAGCGCCAGTGGTGGTGGTGGTGGTTCTGGTCTTAGTGGTGGACTCGAACACACGCGACAATTGGCCGATGTGTTGTTTGAGCGGTGGTGCGATGGGCTGAGGATGAGGTGGCCTGCTGTATAAAAAAAATTTTGTACTGTGAAACTGAAGTTGACATCAGAGTGTTCGTTTGGAGAAAGAGAGAAATTGGAAGAGTGTTTGGTGTTTGGAGTATTGGAAGCGGGTGCCCGTATGTCTTGTATAAGGTAACTTGAACTTTGAAATTGAACTTGAATCCTACCTTGCCGAGGTCAGTAGGTATATTTTCATTGCGATGCGAATTCATGCCCAAATACTCGATATGTGACATATTCTTGAGGAGGCATCTGCATCCGCTTCTCACGCAAAGCCTCTTATAACCTCACACCACTACCTGAACCACCGCTGCCAGTGCCACCAGCACCAGCACGCTCGGCTTCAATAGCCGAGCGATCACGTTCGTAGATTGCCCACGGACTGTGCTCGTCATGACCACCATACCCAACATCGCCCACCACATCGTGCAGATACCTTAGCACCGACCCCCGCATATCAATCAACCTGGCCGTACGGGCGTCGATTGACTCGCCCGAAATGTCATGTAACGCGTTTTTCACAATCTGGGAATGCGGCGAGAGCGAAGCCAGTTGACCATCAGAACCGGTTTCAATGGCGCGTTTCCACCGAGCCAGAAGAAGAGATTTATCGATACTTGGGGGGACGTGTTCGTCACTACCAGAGGGAAGGAAAAGGACACCTCTTTTGTTGTCAGTGCTGGTGCTGGTGCCGTGTAAATGCTTCGCCTGACCAATTCTGCCAAACGTATCCAATAACCGTCTGTCAGAAAGGTCGCTGGAAAAGTAGTCGTCCATCCCCGGATTGACAGGCGACCCTGGAGACGCGAGACTCAGGAACCGCGAGACAGTTAGTGGTGCCGGACCCATGCATTGCCTGCTGAAATGGAGGGGCAGAATGGTTGTTTTGTGGTGCTCCGGAGGGGTGGATTCTGCGATGGCCAGACATGTTTCGTAGGATTGGCGGGTTGCTGGGTCGGTGGACATGTCGAGCAACAAGGCTTCACGGTCGGAGACGGGGGCTTGGAAAATGGCTCCGGAGATGGTGGGTCGGTCACCATTGCTGGTCTTGATGGGGGATACTAGGTAGTGTAGTAGGTCCTGGCACCCGGTGCTGTGGCCCATGAGGACAATGGGGGATGTCGAAGAGTGTGTGATTTGGGAGCGGATGAAGGTTATGGCTGTGCTGATTTCGTCGACCTGAAAAACAGTTAGAAGAGGGGCTGGAGATGAGTTTGGAGGGTTTGGATGAATTGAACAGAGAAAAGAGGATGTTCAGAGGAGATGATGATAATGACGACAAAGACCAGAGGAGGAAGACAACAATGAGGATGAGGGCGTTAAAGGTGTGGCGACTAGATCTGTAGATATTGCAACTCACATCTCGATCTAAATCATATAGTCCAAAACACTTCCCTGACGAAGAGAGCTGGACGTGCATCACACGCCATTTCTGGCCGGGAATGTCTCGCGGGAACAAGGCGGCTAGATCTTCAATGTACGAGGGTGACCGGAAGACGTCGTACATTCCGCCCACGAAGAGGAGGACATTGGTAGGAGTACTTGTACTTTGTGCGAGGGGTTGAGATTGGACATTGGCATTGGTTGCCGATGAAGAACTTCTGTTGGCATACTCGAGGAGAAGTAGCTGGCGTTTCGGATGGTATATGTGTAGAACAGTCTCCATTTTGATGACCCAAAGATCACTGCACGTGAAGAAGGATCGGGCTTCCTCTGACTGATGCGGTGTACTGTATATATATCTCGGTCAGATCGGCGGCTGGGTGTCTCGAGTTTGTAGCCTTGTCGCTCAGCAAAGCCGCCGCAACGGAGTCCCCGTTCGTCCACGGGAGAAGAGTTCGTGACAACGGTAGATAACTTATTAGTGCCTTCGTGCCGCGAGTAGATTGCAACAGCCGTGTCTCGAGCTGTGAAGCGGCAGTTCAAGTATCCTGACAGGGGGGTCATTGAGGTTGATGTTGATCTGATGGTGGTCCCATTCAAGTTGCGATGGCTCCATTCCGGAAGAACAGATTATCCGGCCGAGTGCCGGTATCGGGCTAAGCCTTACAACGTACGTCTTGCCCAGCTCGGGGCGGAAACGCCTGAGTATTGATCTATACTCGTAGGCTGGGACAACGTTGTAGACAAAAGTTCATCTCCCTCGAGCCTGCTCAAAAAACCGTCGCACGTAACGAGTCTCTTACTAGAATATAGCAAACTAGTTGTACGGTGATTATGCCCTTGTAAGTAGGGTTTGTTTCCGGAACCCAAAGATCCACTTCCGACGTAACACACAGACCCTAAAGTGCGGGTACATTAATTCTTCCCGCACATTTCCTTCCGCAATCGACCATAGGATTGAGAATACAGCGCTTCCCGTTCGCTCAGCGGTACTTAAGCTCAATGCCGGTCAGTTAGTACTAAAGTCGGTGACGATTTGGGAATCCTGACTGTCGATTGTTTTTTGCTTTTTTGCCATTTGTTTCCTTGACTTCTTGTCTCCCAGGGGCGCCCCTGCCTTTTTTTGCCCCTTCATATTCTGATCCTGTGACAGCATTGTCGGTGGTGTGGCCGAAGGGAAATGACTTGAACACCGGGAAAAATCTTGAGACAGGTTGTCAAATGATCCAGGTACAGTACGTAAATGCTTGAACTGGGCCGGTCCCCGACGGATACAAGAACCTTGTAAGCCCATAACGCTTCCCGTAACCCTCCCGCTTCACCCATAGGCTGGTAGGTACCTTCTTCTTTCTATTACACCATATATCGAAACTGCCTATCTTCACCCCACCGATTCGGCCTTTCGAGATGGACAGTATCTCTGTCACGACCGTACTTGCGATCTCGCTTGCGGTTTTCCCGGGCCAAGATCGCCATCTGCATACACGCCGTGACCACGACGAGCAGACACGCACCACATGAAACCCACATGCCCTTGCGGTAATAAGGGGCATCGGTCTTGGGAAAGATGTTGGTGCCCAGCACGGGTCCGCATTGGCCGCCTGTGGCGAGGATCGCGAGGCCCGCGGCCCGTTTCGAGTCCGTGGCATGCGTGTTGCCAACCCAGGTCAATGTCATGGCGACACTGACGAAGATCAATACGGCAAGAAACAATCCGAAATATCGTGGCCCTACGGCCGTCGTCGTTCCGAGAATGATATAGCCGACGGCCGCAACGAGGGCGGGTGCTGCGACGAATGGGCCGCGGTACCCGACGCGGTCGGAAATGAAGGCTGTGCCGCAGATGGCGAGGAAACAGAGCACGTAGGGCGGCGCCGAGAGGCCGTTGCTTTGGATCGTGGTGAAGGCCCCCATTTCGCTGATGATTGTGGGTACGAACAGCGGAAGAGACGCGAAGCATACGTTGCATCCGAAGTACATGAGGGCCGGGAGGTAAGCTGGACGATCAGGCATGTCAGTCGGGGTTCAAGTGACACAATTTGGGAGTGTTGAGTAGAACAGGATTGGACTGGGCAGAAACTCCCAAACGTTGAAAAGATCCGGTGCAATACAGTCCCATGAGATCGACATCGTGGTACCCAGACAGAAGGGGGGAATGACTGAGCACAGCTAAGAGGAGACATCAGTTCGACACTCACATTTATAATCCATCAACCCGCCCAAGACTTGCTTCCATTGTAGTCCTTTCTTTCCCGTCCGGTCGCCAGGCTGGCGCAATGACAAGTCGATGGCAATCTCCTTTTCTCGCTCGGTGAGGAATTTGCAGCAGTACGGATCGTCAGGTAACCAATACCAAGCCACAATCGCAAGCAGACACGTTGGGACACCTTCGACAATGAACAGGATTCGCCAGGGTCCAATGGACGCCTTGGCTTGGGAGATGCCGTACGCCAAAGCACTCCCGTAAGCATTTGCTGCAGCGCTTCCGGACAGGAAAATGCCTGTTCTCAGACCCAGTTTCTCCCGAGGATAGAAGAAAGAAAGGTACAAGGGCACACCAGGACCGTAAGCCGCTTCGAAGATGGCCAGAAACACTCGGCACACCATAACCCCAGCCCACGACGAGCAAGCCGCCTGTAGAGTGGACACGACTCCCCAGCCAAAAACGACAAATGCAACCCAGCGGTGAGGTGGAAATGCTTTCCAACCTATTTGCGTCCACTGCGACAAAATGTCTGGTAGAAAGGCAGATGTGTGAGTGGGTTTGTGCATGGTCTCTTGGATACAACCGCGAGGAAGATAAATTGGGCGTTGCGATGGGCGAGAGAGACTGAAGATGGGGCTAGAGACTTACATGAAATGTAAAACGTTGTGCCTAGCCAATCGTACCGTTTGCCCTTTAGGTCAATGTCGTCCTCCATGCCTGAGATACGCGCATTTCCCAGATTCGAACGGTCCAAAACAGACAGGGAGTACAGGACAAAGATGAGAGGCATCAAATGCCAGTCCAGTTTCCTGATGACAGCATCCTCGTCCTTTTTGCTGTAACGCGGCGCAAGGTTAGGGTCGTAAGGTTTGGTCACGTCGTTACGGGCAGCGGGATCATGCACTGAAGAGACATTCTCCGCGGTCATGACAGTAGGCTTCTCGTCAGATGTCGAGAGGACGGCATCTTCTGGTGAAGGAGTGCGCTCCTTCTCAGTCTGTTTGGTATCCATCTTCTCCCTTTTGAAAAGAGGCCTTGGTATCACACCCGACAGGAGCAGTGAAAAGAGGAGACGCAGCAGGCGAAGATCGTCGTGATCTGCAGCGAGTGAGGGACTGGACAACGAGATAGAAGGTGGTGGGAGATGCTATGAAACGACAGAGACGGAGGGCCTGGAAAAGGATAAGAAGAGAGAGTCGGCTAGTGCAGGTCAGGCGTAGGCATGCCTTTTATCTGGAAGATCAGACCTCAGGGCATCAGGCGAGAGCTAGTGGTGGTGCGGCCGAGGCTGGTCTCCAAACAATACCATGAATATGGGTGTGCGTTAAACGATGGCTGCTTGAGTACGGTGATCAACCGAACGAACATACCGATGTGAGATTCCCCCGCATAGTGGATTGATCGAATACGGCGTCGGACCGGTATAGGACCGGGATGATGTGGATGATACCACAGGTAGTGATGCGACGTGGGACCGGGGTAAATAGTGTGTGTTGATGGCCATGGCATATCATGATTGCAACCAGTAGCAACCAGTAGCGCGTCACACAGCCAGATCAAATGCCGACAGTAGAAGACGGGAAGAACAACATGCTGTGTCCCTGTCCGCCCAATTGTTGGCTGTGGCCGGGTCAAGCCACCAACCCCCTGCTTTATTAAGCTATCAAGCCATGAAGCTATCACGCTGATCTTCTGTTACTCGAAAGTTGACAAGCCTCTCGAAATCGCTGACAAGCTCTCTCGGAACGGCAGAGGCTTGCTGGAAAAAGCGCCTCCCGAGCGGCGCATAGCCGGCGTTGTCTGGGCAGAAACAAGGCGCTGATCACTCTCACATAGTCTCAATAGCCCAGATCATGTTTGGAGAACAAAGCAACATTCGGCAGTCCGTGGGGAGGAAAGTCGGGGTAAAGCTGGGGTGAAGCCTTGTGTCGATATGTGCCGAGTATATTACTGTACACTGGGCATATTACGGCCTCCTTAGCCTACCTGACAAGTTGCGAAGTAGCCGCCATCTCAACATCCTAGTGGGATATCTGAGCCCGTGCATTATTGCGTGACAGTAACGGCGGAGATTGTTGCCTTGGCTTTGGAAGGTGTGGCAGCATGAGGGCGGATGGAACAGGATGTTGTCGAGACAGAGTAGAGCTTCTACCGTACCTAAGAATGTGTAATTAGGTACTGCTGAACACTAACATTGTACTAGTACATGTACCACAATATATACCTACGCCTAGTAACATACTAGCAGTACTACTAGCAGGCGACATACAGTATCCTCGAATACTAATATCGCACGTGAAGGCGAGATTGGTTGGTTCTATAATCAGGAGGAAACAAGCGAATGTCACGTACTGTGTAGATGTAAAGCGGTCTTGTCATTCCCCTCCTGTGTTTCAGTTCCAGCTGATTCAAGTATGTACGCTGCAAATATATTTTATACACGGACTTTCGAAACCCCTGCCAGCCAGCCAGCACTGCGCCTCGACACCATAGCACCTGATTGTTCAACCAGTACCCACGTACTTGAACCAAAGCGGCCGGCAATCTTCCCGCTGGAGCCATGATTCACCAGCGTAGAATTTTCCTGCTTCGCAACCGCGGCATTTGGGCGAGTTGGGACAGTTGTAGAACGGGATATGATTGTACCCGATATCCTTGAACCTGCGATGGAGGTTAGCCTCGAAGCACAAGGACGAAAAAGCACATATACTCACCAGTGAATTTTGCTGGCGTCTTCAAACAAGCCCAAAGCAATACTGTGGACCGGGGCATCACCCCATCGCTCGTAGAAAAAGCCCCCGGACCGATCAAGATGGGTAAAGTAATCCTCGTACACCTTGCTACGCCAGAAATTCAAGTCGGCAATCTCAAAGTTGGACCAGAAATGGCAGGTACTGTAGCCATGGGCCTTGATGTTATGCTCCGGTCGACGCTCGGCGTCGGTCAACCAAGCCATCGCGTTGTTCTTGTGCAGGTATTCCGGATGTGACGCCAGGAACTTGACCGTTTCGGGCCACAGTGAGGGAATAGACTCTGGCGAGTCATAGAGGTTGATATTGAAGCCGTAGGTTTTGTTGTGGTCCTGCATGTATCGAAAGACGTCGTAATCCACGTCGCAGAAGAATTTAACTTTTGGTTCCACCCGCCAGTAATATTGCATGTCTTTGAGCGCTTCGTGGCGATAGAACATGCCGCTGTTCCATCGACACATCTGGTGGTAGGATACTTTGCCGGCATATTGGACATCATTCTCCTTGAGGATTTTGGACGACTCCTCAAACAGATCTTGACTGATCCACGGCGGCATCTCCCAGTGTTCCTTGGGGATTAAATGGTACGAGCATTTGGCTTTGGTGACTTCCTGGGTGGCTTTCTTGAATTCCTCGCTGAACGGCACATCGTTGAAGAACGTCCAGGGGTAGTTGAATTTATGGTTCCATGTTTCTTCCAGTTGTCTCATGGTCGGGAGCAGGTCGCGCAATTCTTCGTTGCGAACAAGTGACAGGAGAGTGGCATTAATTCGGGCTGAATTCGGGCTGTCGGGAGAGTAGTCATGATCGGTGTGTCGCCAAAGCGGCTCGGGGGGTTCACCAACGGCTAAATCGCAGTTCTGTCAGTAAGTGACCATGTGGTTTGGGTGGGTTCCATCCTTACGGTCTAGGAGGGGATCACGCTCCATGTCAGCGATCTTCTCGCCATTCCCAGAAGCCGCGCCGGGCACCGAGATGCTGGGGACAGGGCGCAAGTATTGGTAAATCAGAAAGAAGACGAGGATGACGGACAGCGCCCCCAAGAACCTCACGGGTCGTGCGACTGCCATGTTGACGGGGAGGTTGAGGTTTCATCCATCAGCTGCGCAGAGGAACATGACCTGGGCCAGAACAGAGCGAGCAAGTAGGGGAGAGATGGGAGAACGCGGGAAAGGAGGCAGACTTGGCCACCGTTTGCTTGGGTGGTGACACCGGTCGGTGGCGGTGATGGCGACGGTGGTGTGGAAGATTTGGTCTGTACAGAGTTGCAGTATCACTACCCGTGGGAGTCGTCGTTGAACTTGAGATGAGTTGAATTGTCCAGTGTTGCGCTGTGTTGCGTTGTGTTGCGCGGCCACTTGCAGGCGGAAAAAAGATAAATCCACATCGAGTGGCGGGAACATGATTGGCGGGTCCTGTCGATCAGGGTCGACGTCAACTTGAATCTTCATCAACTTCGCGTTCAATTCCTACGGTATTTCTGTTTTTCCTATTGCTACAACTTGACGACGCGCACCTCGCTGGTTACTCCAGAACGAGTATACACTGAAACGAAAGCCAGTCAAGCATTCGCTGTAACTGTCTTTGCCGCCATGGAAATCCTGCGAGAACCTCCCAAAGCCTCGACTTTCATCCCCCTCGCCGAACATCAATCCACTACCCCGGCCTCATTCTACTCCGGCCCGCCCGTGCTACACTACTACAGCGACCGCAGCAAGCTCGTTGTCCTCGAGCCTGAAATCAGCAATGTCGCTGCATTTGCTCCCCTTCTAGAACATGCAAAGCCTCAATCTCACGCTAACGGCACCGAGACCCACGGCGACGCAGCGGACGGGGACGGGGACGCAGACGCAGACCAAGGGTTGCAGCAAAAGGTGGTGGAAGATCTAGACGTCTGGGTGACATCGGAGTAAGTTCTTCCTAACCAACCATTCTCATCGCCCTGGAAATTCCCATATCAGTATACTGACTGTCTTTCTATAGCAAATTGTTTCTCTACTCCAACGCGGCCTCCGCGGGCGTCGCGATCCCCTACCCATCCATATCCCTCCACGCCATCCAATCGCTCCCGCAACCCTCGGCAGGTGAGCAGCAGGGCCTATACATGCAACTGGTATCATCGTCGACAGAAGACGATAACGGCAACGGTGAAGACGTAGAGCCCGAGTCCGTCTCCATCACCATCATCCCCACTGCTTCTGCGCCGCCTGCCGCCGCCACGGAATCCGATCCCACCGTCGCCGAGGACAAGCCGGAACAGACGCCCGTCATGGCCATGTTCACCGCCTTGTCGAACTGCTCGAACCTGCATCCTGACCCTGTGGATCCTGGCGAGGAAGGCGATGAGGCTGAGGCAGGCTCAGCTAGTCTGTTCCAGGCCGGTTTGGCGTTCCCAGGCGCGAACGATGGAGGTCTGCCGCCCGCCATGCCTGGCAGTGGTGGCTGGATCACGGCGGAGAACATGCATGAGTTCGTCGACGAGAACGGGAACTGGATAGAAACAAATGAGGAAGAAGAGGTGGAAGGAGAAGCAGAAGGAGAAGAAGTTGCTGCCGCCGGACATCAAAATGAAGGCCAAAGTCTGGGCCCGGGAGCAGGTACTGTTCGCCCTAGAGAGGACGACGCTCAAGGAACCGAAGCTACACCTGATGAGGCGGATGAGACCAAATGGAGGAGAACGTCTTGACATTAATCATGAAAAGGAACAAGTTTGATACCCATCGAAACAGAGATCCAAGTACCTTATTATTGGGGAAATTGATACAATTCTTCGGAGGCTGATTTCTAGTCTCTCATTCTGTCCAAATGCTCCTGTTCCCTCAAAGAGCAGTCCCCTTCCCCCGGGCTTTCATTACAATCCCATCAAGTGAATCCGCGAGCAACTCGAAGCCGTCCCCAACCTCGGCCGAGGTCTTTGCGGCGCCCCTTAACCCGGCGACCAGGAAAGAGGCATGCTTGACAAACGCGGCGCGCAAGCTCGTCATCTCCTGCATAAGTGAGGTATCCTCGTCGAGCATGAACGTCGAGTATTGCTCGTCATCGTTTTCTTCTTCTGCGTCGGTATTGTCCTGTTCGCCATCACTGTCGCCATCGGCATTCCCAAACGACGAAGAGTCACTCATATCGTGCGACAGGTCATTTGATGATATCTGGGTAACGCTGCCATGTCTACCCACATGCCGCCTCTTCGATCGGTGCCTGCTTCGGGCCGAGACAAAAGAGCCTTCTCTTTCTCTCTGCGGACCCGCCTTGCGCACGCTCGCCGAGCTTACAGCTACCAGATCAGCGAAGCGAATACATAGGTCCAGATTGGCCAAGAGACTATCGCGCAGAGGCTTGATCTGCGCGCTCACAAGGCAAGCATGCGTCAAAGTGCGCACGTAGCGAGCATGAACGGCGATCATGTCATCGACGCTGCTGGCCGGCCGCAGAGGGGTAGTAACATCGTCCTTCCCATCTGGGATGACCGATGTGAGTTTGGCACGCATGGCCGATGTTAGCGGTCCAATGGTGCATGTGGTGAGATGGTCGTAGAGGACGTTGACAAAATATAGCAGCGTTGTGTGAAGGGCTTGGGCGTTTCTTCGTGTTTGGTCTGTCTGCCTCATGTCCACTTCAGTCTTCATTGGGACATGCAAATCCGCTTCCATATTCTCCTCGGGTCTTTTGCCCATGTGCATGATCGGCTGGTCATCACCGCCAGTACCGATCACAGAGTGCTGAACGTTGAAGTATGCTCGGCGCTCCAAAACGAACTTGGCACGTCGGATTTGGCTCAACATCAAAGCAATCCGCTGGTACGAACCCATCGAGGCCGGTGGGATGATGTTGGCTAGCGGCCAGCTGACTGGATATGAGACCGCCACGGTACCAAGGATCTTGACGGAGCGTCGCCGACTCGCCATGCTTTTAGTGAACGTGTATGTTGATTGCACCGTGATAGAGTCAGTTTCGATGCATTCGACCCGTTGGTACGCCTCGGCCAACAGATCTGCGACGAGAAACCGGTCATTCCACATGTCGAGACACCGATCAATCCGGCCAAACAATCGACTTTCAATGCGGTCTAGAATGACGCCATCAACTCCGAGATAGAGGTATCCAAGCGCGTCGAGCAGGCGCGTGAGTCCACAATGGCCTTCAAGAATCTCTTGAAGCGCGGCAGTGGAACTGACGAGAAGAGAATCGACTTTCTGGTTCAGAAGTATTTCGAAGGTAGCTGAAAAGGGAATTGGGGATGTCTCCATCATCGTTATGGTCTCAGTCAAGGCGTCAGCTATTCCGAGTAACTCTTTGCCGTGATTGATGTTTGGTTGTCCTAGATGTTGTAGGAACGCGGCAGTCTTGCCTGCCTTGAACATCTTGTCGGCTACGGGTTGCAGGAAACAAGGCAGCTTTTCTGCACCCCCAGGAGACATCATAAACCAATCATGCCACAGCGTCGCTCCGCTACGGCGCCCTTGGCTCTCGCTGATGTAGAATGGTGTGGAGGAGGTCAATTTTCCCGTAGATAGCCATGTATCGTAAGGTTGTGCGTACACCTGGAAGGCAGAAGTGAAGATTGGAAGGAGAGTGTCAGAGGTAACAGAATCACAAGCGGAGTAAGCTCTGTCTATGCATGTGTAGAGTATGTTCATACATGCAACGGTGTCATTTTGGGGCAGATGTGACGTGATAGAAGAAATGGCTCTTAGACGACCAGACCTCTTCTTCATCATGTGCAATATTTGCATGAAACTGATGACTCCCGTACAGGACGTCTCATGCAGAATATCGTACTGGACCCGAGACACAAGACGCTCGAACTCCACTAATACGTCGCTGATCCTGTCTTGAATAACTTGCATGACCTTCTCAGTCTGCCGCACTGCCACCCATTGGCGGACCCTGTCAACCTGCGAACCCAGATCGGATGCGGCATCCAAGAGTGTTCTCGAAGCGTCGTGATCAAGGTGGCGGATCCGATAAAGAGGGTTAGGCCGTGGTCCGCGCTCAGAAGATATGAACATCGCTGTGGGAAGTCCGGTTAACATGAACAAAATCTCCCTGACTGCTTGCTTTTCATTGAGGGCCGCATCCTGCTGTGGACCACGCCAGAACTGAGCGGTTTTAAAGTCATGAGACGAGTTTGGATTGACATCGTCCTCACGAAGGTCAAGAATCTTATCGAGCGCGAGCTGCTTCTGGCTGAGTTCTGGAGCACTTGCAGGAGACTTTTTGTTGCTGAAAACCACGATATCATCCTCGTCAGAGCTGAAATCGCTATAGTCCGGAACTTTCCAGATATCGTCCTCCGCATCAACGGGGTCGTCCGCATTGATGTCAGCCCATTTCAAAGGCAAAAGAGCCTGAAGTGGAGGACGAAGCCTTTGTAAATTTTCCACCCGGCTGTATTTCACTGGTTCATGAGACAGATGCAGCAGTAGATCAAGAACATCTGGGATCCAACGCTCGTTGTATCTGCTCAGTTTTATACGGCGCGAGTATAATTCTTCGGCGACATCGTCAAGGTTAGCCACCATAAACTTCTCTTCGAGTCCGGAAAGCTTTTCGGCGACCGCGAATTGGTCGGTCCGGCCATAGTTATGGTCCTTGATCCGGCGGACAAACGCATCTTTGTGCTTTCGTATGTCTTTTCCTGTGGATTTGCTATTTGATGGAATAAAGGTAAGGGCCAACTCCTCAATCCAAGTGTTTATGGCGGTCGTAGAAGCCATGGCTCCTTTTCCCGGTCAGAGTCTTTTCGTGTCATACGTTCGATTTGCAAGACACCACTGGTAATGGTCTGTTGTGGCGTCAATTTGCCAAAGGTATTTCGAATGAATGTGGAAAGTACCTTAAAGTTGAAGTTCAGTCTGTTGCAGTTAGGCGCGTCGCGTGGCTCGCCCGGGAACAAGAAGGACCCCTACCCATGGTCCAATGATGAGCCCGCTTCCAAATAGTGGTAATACATGTAATTGCTACTCACTGCTTGCTTCCCTGCGACAAGCAACGAACACCAGGATCGACTGAGCACGCAACTCTGCTCATGAAGCTGTTCGTGTGAAGCCATGAATGGGCCACCAGTGACCCGTGCCGGTCGTCACCTCGACGCTCTCCTCAAGAACTTGTTTTATTGTCCTGCCTGCGCGACATGGCGGACACAGAAAGCTGCCCAGGCCACCCTACGGCGAGCTCAACGCTCCTCTAGTCGGCGACATGCCTCGACTCTCAGCTCCCACACCGCGGTGAATGCGCAAAAACGAATCGCTCCGCGCTACCAAGCCTTATATGATGCTCTCGGTGATGTACGGAAGAAGGCGTCGGCACAAGTCAATCTCAGCAGACTGCAGCTTGCACTTCAGGGCTTGGAGTCCGAGACACCCACGACGAGAGTGGCCATCCTGGGGCTGAACGTACAAGACACGGCGCGCAGACTGGTACGCTTACTACTAGCGGATGCACTGGAGGATGAGGCATCATGGGAAAGAGAGTTGCTTGTGGGCAACGAGGACCTGAGTCAAGGACTGGTTATTCGTTTCGGCCAGCCGCCAAACCCGAGTCTACAGCGGCCGAGGCTGTCAATTCCAGTCTTGTACATACCTTCCAGTGTGTTGGAGCGGAACAATATGGAAATCCTGGTCTCCAGCATCAGTGGCCTGAAACCTGGAGAGCTGTTGCAAGGTGCCCAAACTGTCCCTGCGGATGCGTTCCTGTCACCTTCAATCGGGACTCCTACAGCCTTCAACGGTAGACAAACAACCATCAGCCAGCCCGTCCACAATACTCTGTTGGTCACAAAGGGCATGGACCAATTGTTGTCCGCAGCTGAGCTGCTGGCCTCGACCGACTTTGCTGCGATAGAAGATCGCAATGCGGTGAGATTGGCGGTCAATCTCGAAGATATAAAGGCAAACGACTCGGAACAAGTCTTGATTCTGGACGTTGCAAAGGCGGAACAAGGCCTTGCAGCGATCCGCAGGTCCGTGTCCGAGGCGACTACGTACGAGCATAAATGGGTTGATTCAGGCATGCCAGCAATGTCCACTTGGTTGACAGTGGTTTCTGCAGCGAGATCCGATGGCCCGATCCCGAAGGCTGTCAAAGATCTCATTTCAGGCTTGCTCACCAATGCCTTGCGGAATCTCGAGGCTCAAGCTGCTCTTGAAGCCCAGTCCAACGCAGCTAAAAGCCTGAGCATGGCTGCCCGAAGGAATCTGGACGAGGCCATTGAGGCATTCTCACGCAACGCACACGAAGAGCTACAGGCTGGTTTGGCGGCTGCTTGGAGTTCACGTAACTGGCGGAAGCTGGCATGGTACAAGCTCTTTTGGCGAGTGGATGATGTGGGCTTGATCATCACGGATCTGGTGACAAATGCCTGGCTTCCTCAGACCGAGAGGGCAGTATTTGAATTATGCGGCCGGCTGTCGCAGGCAGGCATTTCGCCTATGGAGGCTGTGCCGTCACAACAACAGCACGAAGCCTTCCCGACAACCGAACCAAGGGCTGATGGTGTGGCTCAAACTACTCCATCGGTGCTGCTGGCACATGCCGACCTTGCAACGCAGACCCCTCTACATGCAGTTGTAACCAACAAGGCTGGTGTAGCAGAGATACAGATGATACCGTCGCCACAGCCAGTACCTCTTTCAAGTTCGATCGCAACCACGCGGTCCAGGCACCTTGAAAGTGCTATCACAGATCTTACGGCCACAGCACAGCAGATTGTGCTCAAGACAGTGTCAATAACGGGTCTCACAGCTGGCCTCTCTGCATTGACATACATCTCTCTTACGCCGGGAAGTCTATACGAGGCGGGCACTATTGTGGCGCTAGGCACGGCATTTGCCCTGCGGCGGATGCAGACTGATTGGTTGAAGGCCACAAAGGCTCTGGAAGGCGGACTGTATGAGGAAGGAAGAGACTTGATCCGAAGGATTGTTGTGAGGATGAGAGAACTGGTTGAAAATGCCAGCAGGGTTGTTGAGGATGAATTGGAAGTCCGGAGCCGAAAAGAAGCCCAAGATGCTATAACCAGGGCCAGAGACGAGCTGGACAGGCTCGAAAAGTGACACCGACTGGCTCATTCGCGTTCAAAAGACAACACGTAACCGAGAGGTTCTAGTTTTAACTAATTTCAATTGCGTCGTCGGGAACGCCGCGCCTGCTTTTCAACCGGCGCCCCCAAAACTGCATCATGGGTAGGACTTCGTCCCGGTTCTTGGGCATAGAATCGTCGGCCTTCTTCCATTGATGATATGTGACGAACTCGTAGGCCGACTTGATGCGTTTTAACGGGCTTGAGTCGGGGGACGCAAGCGGTGAATTCGAGCCCGAGAGCACCAATACAGGTGTTCTGTTCTTCGAAGTAATCGCAGCAAGTGGTGTCGAGAGAGGTAGATAACCACCAACGGAGATGACACCACCCAAGGGAGCTGAAGACGATAGGCAAGGATGTAAGGGAACTGAAACAGCCACAGAGCCTCCCTGACCAAAGCCAAACAGATGGATGTGATCAGGTCGATATCTTGATTTCCCGATCAAGACGTCCGCGATGACGTCTTTGGCAACAAGTCCTACGGCGCGTGTCAAGGGAGAGTCTGGATCGATGGCTCCCGTTGTTGTGTCGACTTGAAGATCTTCAGACCACTGATCTCCAGCACCCAAAGGGAAGGGGAGTGGGAACGGAGGGTTCAGCGTGATGGTCAGTGCATCTGGAAGATTGAGGGCTTTGGCAAACGATGAGAAGTTCTTCGCTGTGTCGCCCAGTCCAGGGAGAAACAGGATTACGTTGGTCGGAACGTTGTTGGGAGGCAAGTGAATGACTGGACTCAGACTCGCTGGAAGATCGCTCTGTAAAGGCGGCGAAGGGAATGAGGACATTGGATCAGGTAGGCAAGTTTCGGCGTTGTGGCGCAGAAACTAGATCTGGACAAAGGAAAACAAGGCTTGCAGAGGACGATCGAAGGTGTGGAAAGACGGCTGCGATCAGCTTCAAGTTTCGCCTCGGACCTCGACCCGCGAGATCGGATGGCGCCACCTAGCTGAACAGGTGTCGCTGGTTGTATGTCTGTTCAAGCTGGGTATAAATGTATGCCAGGGACAAGGCTAAGACGCTGTGCCTGTGCGTGGTGTTGATGCTAACGCTGAAGCTCCGCAACGTGAGCAGCTGAAGCCTGAGAAGGTCGAGCTGACAGACGCAGTATCACTGGCTGTGAACCCTGGTGCGAGGAACCAGTGTGACGTCGTGGCGGAGCCTGCAAACCAAGCTTTTAGCCTGCAACTTGGCTTCACAAACAAGCATCTGCCCCTGGATCCGCAATTCAACTTGCTGGGCCCTGACATCGTCACCTTTAACTGCCTCATCTCCGGCAACGCATGTACGGCAGGAATGTCAGCTCAGCACTAGGCATATAATGGCCGCCGCGGATAAGTTCGGCGTCATTGACTCTCAAAGGATGTGGGCAAAGTGTAAGACAGTGAGACGCTCTGTTTCTTGAAAGTTCCTGACCGCCCTGTTGGTGAATTCATTCGGGTTGGTGCCATAGTAGAACTTTAGTGGGAGGGCGGTTAGTGGCGCTTGACAGATGAACTCTCCAGGGCTGCTTCAATCTGTAGGTAAGATCCATACAACGGCAGTGCACAGGGTGCCAATGTCAAACAGCACAGCCACCGCCTGTTGGTTCAACTTCAAGTTGTTTGCATATCGATCCCCATGCCGCATCACGAACAGTTTCAGACTTTGAGACAATGCCTGAGCAATGCCTGCAGACCTGGTGCCTGACAGGTGGTCAAAGATATTACGCAGGCATTGACGCAATGACTTTCATGATTCGCTGCCTGGCATAGAGAGATCTGCACCGCGTGTCGAGCTAAGCTGAGCAGGCGAGGAAAGGCGGTGCAACAAACAATGACATGGTGGAGTCCTCAGTCCCTCTACAGCTGAACCCTCCGTACAATCGTAGACTCGTTCGGACTGCCCGTGCCAGTGATGAGTGTCAAGGGGCTGCACTGAGGGGCAGCATTTCACCAAAACGCATGCAGCCGGTGACAGACCTGGCCTGATTGTAGACTTATATATTCCCCCTCCCTTTCCTCTCCTTCCTTCTGGTTTTCCTCATATCATCTCACATCGTCAAACGCGAAAGAACCAAATCATTCTTAGACCACTACCCTGCTATCCTTCAACTACTTCTATTCTTCCTTTACAAACCAAACTCATACAGTTCACCATGTTCGGTTGGGGTGCGTAACTACCGTGATATGTCTACCTTCTCAGCTAACCACAGATCCAGATGAGAGCCGTGATGCCCATCAGCAAGTCTATGGCGATGGTGGCTACGACAACCAAGCCAAGTTCTCCCATGAACTTATTGCCGGCGGCGCTGCCTTCGAAGGCATGAAGCTGTTCGAGGACCGTCAACGCAAGGAGGGTAAGTGCGAGCCTTTTCTCAAAACCAGTTGCACGAGACTAACCACAATTCCAGGCAAACCCGTTTCCCACGCCTTTGCCAAAGAACTGCTTGCCGGCTTCGTCGGAGGCGAAGTTGACAAGTTGGCCGAGACCAAAGGCATGAACGAATACGACGCTTATGAGGCGAAGAAGAAGGCAAGAGAAAGTGCTGAGAGAATGTATGACCAACACTATCAAGGCATGGATCAATACGATCCCAACCAGCGTGACCAACCCAACTTCAACTACTAGAGGGTGGCACTCGCTTCAAGAGTGATCAGCATGAGCAGCCTCTGTTGATTGTTGCAGCAAGGGAGGGATGTGCAAGCACTTTTTCAGGAAGCATTGGTGCAGGGCCAAATAGTGATGCATACTAGGCATGTATGCTCTGAGGGATAAATGTACTAGCAGAGCATCATTGATCTCGACGTTAGGCGGAAAGCATCCCTTGTCTCACTATTGAATGATATTCTTGCATCCATCATCTAGCACTTTTTCAGAGTTCGTCATCTTCACTCGCTGTCTCTTCATCATCTGCTGCTGGGGCAGCGGGAGTGCCCTGCTGGTTCCGTGATGCATGTGCATCACTGCTTTGGCCATTTCTATTTTTCTGGAATGGCAGTTCTCGACGCGGCGGGAGAGGACTCGGCACTTTCTGTGCAGTCTGCTTCTTTCGAGATGCGGCTCTCGTTTTGGGCCGTTCCGCTGCCGGTCTGGCTCCGCCGAGATCATCGGGCTCGTCGTCGTCTGCAGTCTCGGAATGAGTCGGTGTGATCTCTCGTGAAGATGGAGAGTGCGCTTCACGGTTTCTGTGCTGCCGAGCGTTCGTAACACCGTCGACTTGCATCGTTTCGAATGCGTCGCTGTCGTCCGTCTCATCACCCGCGGGAGCCTCATCAGCGTGCCGCTTGCTCCGCCGTCCGGGGCCTGCTGGCTCTTCGTTTTTGATCAAGGACGAAATCTCCCGCAACGCGCTTGGATCGGCTTTTGCTGTTGACAAGACCCTCTGCATGTTCCGTATTTTAAGCTTCTTCTCATTGAGAAGCACAGTGAACTTCGACAACAATTGCTTCTCATGTTCCGCCTTGGCCTCCACTAGTTCGTCGATTTGTTTCTGCAGTGATTTCAACGCCTGGTCCTTCGATTTGAGCTGCCCCGAAAGCGTTTCGACGTTCTTGTACAGGTGGTCCCTCTGCTGGATGGCTTGCAGAGTCCACCCAAAAAGATCAACGTCATCAGTTTCTTCTGTTTGAGGTAATTCAATACTGCCTAGCTTTTGCGTGATATCCTCAACTTTGTTACGGAAGTTTATGGTCAACGTTGCATTGGGATCCTTCCCAGAGGTGGAACAGGCGACGTCGAGGTTGTTCTTCTGCGCATCACTGATCGTGTGTCCTTGCTTTAGGAGTAATGTGTGTGAGATAATGCTGGCCCAGTCATCGTCGGATCCATCATAGTTTCGCGCACGTAGCTTTCTGAGGCTGCGCTGTCTTACTACAAAAGAGTCAACAAGCGACAGTAGAGAGCCGCACACTGTGCTGTACCTTTGCCTGCGTACGCTGCATCTCCATCTGTAGCCAGCAGATCAAGATCAAGGTCATGTCCTCCTTCTTTGCGAGAGATCTTGACTAGGATGGGGTTTGCGCCGTTGTCGGCTTCAAGCCGGATCACCCAGCTTGAGTCGGCCATGGTTCATGCGTGCGGCAGCGCGACATGCTTGAGAGCCATTTACACGCGCCATGCAAGGCTGTAGAAACGCATGGGGACGATCGCGGTCGCCCTTCACCGTCGTGCAAAGACCACTGGGCGGACCGTCTGACATCGGCGCAGGCCAGATCCGCTGCCACAAACGAGCATCACACACCCGAGTCAGGGCACGCTAAACCGGATTGGGTACGCGTTTCGTGCCCAGCCTTCTCTTTCCCTGCGCGACTGTGTCCGTGGTGAAGCTCCACCTCGAAGCCAGAATCATCCATCACCAACCTCTCAGTACTGCCTGAGTGATGGTGAAGTGACTTCAAAGATAGAGCTAGGCTTTTGTGACCTCGAGACCTGATTCTTCTGACTCACCCGACCGCACGAGGTCGCCCAACTGCCTCCTACCGGCAGTATTTCCCCTCAACGGGGGCTCTCCTACCCGACGGACGTCGATCTCACCGACCTATTGTCCAACTTCTTCACGACCTCACGAACCGTCACGATTCCACGATTTTTCTGCGATTTTTGGCCGTAGTCTCGGAAATGTGTTGTCGGCAACACCGATGATCTACCCGGCCGATTGAAAAACTTTACTGTTTACGCACCAAACAACACCAAGCCATGGAACCGCTCACGCTGAGACCGCGCACTCCGGTAGAAAGTCCGGACGTCGAAAACTGGGAAGATGACTTTGAAAGTCTGGAGGAGGTCCATTTTCGCACGGCTTCCACCGCAACTTCGATCGTATCCGTTCCTCACACCAACCACCGCGACTCTGCCTCATCTCGTATGTCTATGCGATCGGAATCTAATCATGGAGATGAGAACTGGGACGTCTTGGTCGACGAACAAGCCTCGATAAAAGACGCAATAGCGCTGGCGAAGAGCAAAGGAATACCACTGCCGTCGAACGTGCCGCGATCTGCGTTAGAGGGCGGCACCATAAGACGGTTAAAAGGCAAGGAAATCAAGAAGGCCATCGCGGACGACTGGTCGGAAGATCTCGACCTGCCAGGTGCCGACATTCCTTTGAAGCTTGCAAAGCCAGATGATCGAGATCTATCGGACAGTTTGCGTCAGATCAGTGCAGCATTCAGAACATCCCCCAAAACACCAGAGACGAAAGATCTGCTCGATAAAACGATTCGATCACCAAAGTCCCGGACAGCGCCCACCCCCATCACACTCGACGCATTTCGTGATACTGAGGACGATGCAGACTTTGGTGACGTTGGAACAATCAAAGTTGCAAAGCAGAGATCGCCACAAAAGCCGCTCCTGTTCCAACAACCACCAACACCCACCAAGCCTGACACCGAGAATATCGAGGATGACCTCGAGATTCCAGGTGACGGACAGCTAAAACTATCAACCAGAAAGCCGGCGCCACAAACACCTCAGCAGGATGAAGATTTCGACCTCGAATGGGCTGAAGGGAGCTTAGGCACCAGACATGCCGGAACCAAAAGAGGTGGGCGGTCTGCTCGCAGTTCTTCGGCTTCTGCCCTTAGTCCAAGCGTGTCTAGTGCTTTTACTGCCGAAAGCGAAGACGAAGGGCTTGACGGACTAGTTCTCCCAGACGGGCCTATCAAATTCGAGGATAAGCTCAAACAAAGGCAGCAGGAGCATACGGTCGAAGAACCGAGAAGCGTTCCTCAGACCAGTCAGAACGTGAAGCATGTCTCTGGCAAGGATGACTTTTTCTCTGGGCTCGAAATTGGCGACGGAGAGGTGTTTGACGCAGCCAAACTGACGCTGAACCGAAACGTCAAACATAAAAGCACACGACCTACTAGTCCTACCAAGAGAACCACCACCACTCTGAACTTCACGACTAACAAGACCCAGGCGACGGTTTCCAGGTTGCCTAGATTTCAACCCGCCCATGACCGCCATGAACGTGCTCGGTCAAATCTGGAACCTGTCTCGGAAACAGGTGCAGCTATTTCCTCCTATCAACGACCAAACTCACGACTCGGCAACCACTCGACTCACCCATCGGTTTCAACCATTCCTACTCCTTCGACACCTTCAACTCCATCGACCCCTAGCAGACGACTTCTCCGTGGCACAGAATCAAGGCCCGATCTGCGCCATGAACAGCCAACCACGACGAACGCTCAACTCCTGCGCGCGAAGAGATCGATGCCAGCCATGCGCAACCTGAACTCCCCTACTAAACCGGCCTCATACGTTAGGCCACCTTCGCGACAGGATACAGGAAGCCGGCTAAACATACCGTCTCGTCCAAAAACACCCACTGACCGTTCCGAGTCTCGCATTGGAGATTCTAGGAAGACTGCGATACCATTCCTTCCTGCCGGGGCCTCGGCTGGCCAATCCCAACACATCAGCATCAAGACGACTGCTAGCCGGCACTACCGTGGGCAAGGGTCCGATGGTTCAGGAGACAGCATGTCTGCAGCTCAACGATCCCTGTCGCGGCTTGCAGGCTTGACCAGGCCTGAAACCCCTGGTCGCGGTCGGATCAATCTGACTCCAGCTGAACTGGCAGCTCAAGCCAAGAAGACCATTACAAAGCCTGCAAGGCGTCGAAATTATGGTGATGGAACTGAACTGGAAATATTCGACGATCTGCCAACATCTGCCACTCTTGAATCGAAGTTCACAAAGACCCCAGTTGGTCGCGGGGCGCCACGAAGTTTGAGAAGCAAGCTTGGCCTCTCCCATCTGAATCCTTCTACATCTTCGCTCTCCAGCACCCGTCGCGGAAGTGATACCCCTGTGCCTGCAACGCCCCTTTCACCTCTGAAAACCGATTGGCCTACCACAGCGGTGACCACAACTAATGTTCCTCGGTTTGCCCGAGATACCGCTGCATCCCGAATTGCTCGTGAGCAACGTCAAATCTCTACCACCTTCCAAAATATGCGGGGGGAGCCGTTGCAGCCAATTTCAACGAATTGGAAGTCGACCACGTCGACTCGCAACCCTCAAGGAAGCCTCAGGAAAAAGAAGCCCGACAAAGTCCAATTGAAGCCTCACCTTATCAAACCGATGGGCGGTGATGTGAACAGACCTAAAACGGAAAAGGGGATGCAGTACAACCCGCTCCTGTTTAGATGGGAAGGGAATGAGAACGCCCTGGCTCCATTTGATGTTCCAGATTTCCATCCTCGAGTTGGAAGTCCAGCCGGTCCAGGCCTTGCAAGCCCTGGAACTAAAGCCAACCTGGCATTGATCTCCAATGTCGGCTCCAGTGTAACAGGGGTGCAGGTTGTGGGAGGCATGGTTTTTGACCCATCTCAAATGCGATGGCTCAAAATTGCCGAGAACACTGATGGGACTGCACCGAATCTTCGAAGTGGAAGTGTCCAGATTGAGGAAGAGGAAGACGTCTTCGCCGGCCTCGAGGATCTCAAAGAGGAAGACGAGACGAGAAGTCGGAGCGGTACCATGCAGAAGGTCTCCGGCGGCTTCGGACATGGAGCAAGAGACTCATTCGGCGAGGGCGACGCCGGACACAGCAGTGGGGACGAATGGGGAGTGTGCGAAGAATTCGACGTTGGTCCTGAGTTCATCAGAAGACAAAGGAACGAGGAAGAGAGATGGCGTCGAAAGGTGGAGAAGTGGTTGAGAAGAGGCATGGAGATGGAAGAGGAAGAAGGTGATGATGGGAGAGGAGGTTGGAGATGGGCCATTCGAGACCTGGTCATGGCCCAAGGTGAAGCCCGAGAAGAATCTTGGGGTTGATTACCTTTTTGGGGCGAGGAGGTCGACTACTGGAGGGCTTTAATATTGGAATGGTCCTTGGGAGGGCTCTCCAGGGGGTAAGCCAACTCTCAATGGAGGAAATGGGAGAGAGATGTGGAAAGGAGTGACAGTACAGCAGCTTCTTCTTTTCCTTCTCTTCACGCCAGTGCCAACGAATTCTTTTTTCGGAGGGGTTGGACGGACACTGGCGGAGAGGGTTCTCTTCTTTCTACTATTTCTGATGGTGATGACTTAAAAATGCTTTATGATTTGATTCTTTTCCATTCTGTCTTTATCATTTTTCGCTAGATTAGCCTATTTTTTCACTTCTCCGCCTTTTTATCTTTGCGAACTTTTGATCTTGTCGGTGATTGCATAGAATTTGAAGCTCGGGGGAGGCATTCGGCTTTGGTGTACCATTTATTGAGCCCGGCTGGCTTCCATGTGAGTACTGCTTCGTTTGACATTATTGTTTGTTGTATCTTTGGATGTCAATCCAGGTACCTAAGGTTTGTAATTCGAATTCTGTCCCACTCTGGGTACTCGATGGGTGGTTACCAGGTAGGTAGGTACATTCCCTTCGTTTAACCTCCATGCTACCCTCACACTCGGACTTACAGCGACCTCAGTCCCCCTGCTGCTCTGTGGTGAAATGTCATTGCAATGAAGCTCATTCAATGCAGTGTCCCCGAGCAATTGGAAAGTGTGTTGCATGGTCCATGCAAGCCTGGTCCCTGGTGCTAGTATGCAAACTTTGATGCGTCTGAGTCTCTGGAATTGACTGCCTACCGCATACTTAAGGTAACTACAAATACAGTACTAGTACGTGTAGGTCTGACGAAAGCCTCCTCAAGGTAGGTAAGATAGGCCGCCAGCTCAGTTCCACAATGAACTTCATTTTTTTCTTATTCTTTTCAATTTTCTGTGCGATGGGGGTGGCGATGATAGAGGGACATATGAACCGTCTTTCCCTATCTTATGTTATTCCTTGCTCTTTTTCTTGGAGACGAAAGTGAGATGAAGGAATGGAGGGAACATGTACTGCCACTCAATTGACTCGTCATCTCAATGCATTGTTCTCGGTGATATACTGACTTGCATTGATCAGGAAGAGAAGAGAGAGGGGGATTGGATTGGGCGTTGTCCTCGATCGATGTGATGGCTTGGACGATGATAATGTGAAAAACAGCTGCAAATATTATCAATGACCGCGGGGGGAAGGGAAAGCAAATAGCCAGCAGAAGTAGAAAGATGTGTCCTTTGACGACTGTACATTTTAACTACGGCGTAGGTAGTTTGGAGTCTTTCCGGACCATGAAGGCTCCCCTTCGGCCATGAACAATGCAGTGTGTACACTTGACATGCTTGTCTGCCTCCGCTCCGCGCGCTGGAAGACAAAAAAACACACTTCTTTCAATATACACACACATTTGGGTTGAGTTTCTTCGTCTTGCTGCGAACCTTTGCTTCGGGAATTGCCGCAGATCTTTCCCTGCTCCATCAATATAAAACAACCTTGTTCCCCTTTCCAGAGTGACTAGGTCTAAGCGTTGTGGTAAGGGCTGTCGCTGTTACCAGGGTACAACTCCTCCTTCAGCAAAACGCCGAGCTCCTCGCGTAGAGGCTTAAGCTCTTCCAGGTATTCTTCGTATTGCTGAGTGTTCTCGACCTTGGCTTTGATGCCTGTTTTGTTTGAGACAGTTAGAACGTTTTGAACGATATCTTCTATTACTGAGCTTAAAGGACCATTGCGCACCTTCGAATATTCTCACGGCGGTGGGGAAGTCATTGACTCGTCGTGCGGCTCTCAGAGCAGCCGTGCAGACACCGGGCGAAGGGACGAGATCGTAGGCGAACGCGTTGTTCAGGTTCCGCTGCACAATAAATGTTAGAGACGGCCTGGCCGCGTTCCGGTGGTTTCCGCCTGTCATACCTGCAGCTCGAAAACGTCGTTGACAGCATCGAATTCCTTCTCATATCTGTGTAAATTGTCCACGTCAGTCAAGCTCCTACTCACTCAAAAGCCGTGGGTTTCTGAGCCGCGCCCGAGTGGAATCACGGCTTCTCGAACCCCCCAGGTGTATGCCATACCGAGCAGAGAATTCCTCGAAGGTTTCGTCTTCGTGGCCGGCGCTTCGCTGGATGGCGCTGGAGCTGAAAGGAGATCTGGCAGAGACGGCTTGAGCTGCGGCAGGAGCTCTCCTCAGCACTGGTTGTGCGCACGGTCTGAACAGAGTCGAGGTGGCAGGGCGGGCAGCGAAACGGAAGATAGCGAGGGAAGCCATTGCTGCGGGTTGCTCGGGACCTTGTCGTCAAAGGATGAAGCTCGATCGGAGGACTGAATGCAAGGGTGAGGTTGCAGTTGAAGTGCAGTTGGCAGTTATTGATGGTACCAATTCAAAGTCAGTCAAGTCAGTCCACTCTGGGCACTTGCACCCAACTGAGATTCGTGGAGCTAAAGCAAAAACGAACAGCTTCTGACTGGCTGAATCAGACCCGCGTCAGCCAAGACTCATAGCCGCCTGCCGCGCATATCGCCTTTGTGTCATTGGTCTGGTGCCTGGCGGTCCTGCCTGCAGTGCAGTGCCAGTGCCAGTGCAGTGGGATATGGATGCCGTCTGAGGACACTGCACTGGCAGCGGCCGTTCAGCTGTGCCTGGGTAGCATCAAGGCCTGCCTCTGGATGCATTTTTGAAAGAAGCTGAGATTAGGTTGCATTGAGTTTTGCGATTCAAACACGCATAACCTGTGCTGGCTCCCCGGATTCAGCAGGCGCTTGTCGTTTGCTAAACGAAACACGCGCGGCAATCGCTGTTTTGGGGTAAGCGGAAATTGAAAATAAGCTCACAGGCCAATAGGGATGCTCGGCATGTGGTGGAGCTTGGCATTTTGGCCTGATTTGCCTGCAGCGCCGAAAGGCCCGCGATGCCAGTGAGATCGCAGTTTGTAGGCGGCCAGTGTTCAGGGGAAAACACGTTGGGCACAATTTCACCTCAAAGTTCTCTCGCCTCTATTAATCCAATCTTCCGGCGTCAGTTGAACCCCATCCCGACCCTTTCATCCCGCACCTATAAACCTTCTAACCACTTCTTCACCTTCTCGTCTTCTACAGTCTCACTTTCTTTCGTCCATTCTACTTCTTTGTCTTTCTGTTACGCAGTCGCTCCTTTGGGCTTTCTTTCGGCGCCTTTAATTGAGCAGGGTCTCACCCGTCATCTCTTCAATCGCGTGCGTCCTGTCCGCGTATCTCGACAACATGGCCGACATCCTCAAGTACGTTTCGGTTCCTACGCTCGACCACCCCTTCGGCGTCCACCTATGGCCTGTCTTCGACAAGGCCTATACGGCCGTTATGGGCTATTCGGCGGACGACTTCGAATTTAAGGATGGGGTGACCCCTATGTCGACCCTCAAAGAGACGGCCATTGCCTTGATTGGATACTATGTTATAATCTTTGGCGGTCGAGAGTTGATGAAGCATCGCGCGCCATTTGTTCTCAAGGGCCCTTTTATTGTCCACAACTTGGTCTTGACCATAATCAGCGCTGTGCTGCTCGCACTTTTCACCGAACAACTTTTACCAACTCTGGTTCGAAGGGGTGTCTTCTATGCCATTTGCGACGTCAATGGAGGATGGACCAAGGAATTGGTTCTGCTGTACTATGTAAGATGAAATTGCAGTGTCTGCACATGCGTTGCGCCATTCTGACCTTGGCCAGATGACCTATCTCACCAAGTACCTCGAATTGGTTGACACACTCTTTCTGGTTCTCAAGAAGAAGCCTCTCACATTCCTTCACACCTACCACCATGGTGCGACTGCGTTGCTTTGCTACACCCAATTGATTGGTCACACGGCGGTTTCCTGGGTTCCAATCACATTGAACTTGCTTGTGCATGTGGTTATGTACTGGTAAGTCTTGAAGCGTGTCGATGTGCAGGCAGGACAATTTGGCTGATAAGCATTCACAGGTACTACTTCCAGGCCGCGCGTGGTATTCGGATCTGGTGGAAGAAATACATCACCATCCTTCAGATCACTCAATTCGTCATCGACCTCGGCTTCGTCTACTTTGCGTCGTACACCTACTTTGCCAACAGCTACTTCCCATGGGCGCCAAACATGGGCACCTGCGCCGGAGAAGAGTTTGCCGCCTTTGCTGGTATTGGCATCCTCAGCTCTTACCTTCTCCTCTTCGTCTCTTTCTACTTCGCCACGTATAGGAAACAGACTGTTTCTGGCCGCCCTAGAAGAAACACTGGAAAGGAGGCATTGATTGCCATGAAAGACGCTCCCCTACCAGACCCGCACAAAGTCTCAGACTCCGCAATTGCCACTGGACGATCGAACGGCGGACCGGTTACACGTTCGCGGAAGGCTTAGACGGTCGAAGTGGATGATCGTTTCAGCAATGAAATGTTCCGCTCATTAACCCGCGTCATTCGCCCTACGGAAAGTGGACTGACGGGCAGCAAGTTCCAAAGTTGGTCTGGGAAATTCCCGAGGCATGAACGGGGAGACGCCGGCGAGACGATAGAACCACCTCGGTGCGCGATACCGGTTTGCGAAGACCGAGGCCAAATCCAGGAAGGGGGCATGACTGCTGCAGCGCTCGCCACCCCGGGCGGGCCAGATGCTGCGTATACACTGTACAAATATGGGGAAAGATGAGAGTGTTGGTCCGCTGAGTGGGCTTCAGGTCCAAGTCCAGGATGCATGCGGATCATGCTCTCTTTCAGTTTTTCTAAATTGTGTGATTAGATGCATTTTTTCGTGTTTAGTGCACGAGTTAATGGTGAAAAGAAGAGGTGTCACATAGCTCAAGAATAAAAAGAATAAAATACTCAAATAGCTGAACAGATATAATCTCTCATCGCGGTATCGGTTTTCGTTCTATATGCAGCCTGGGTCTCCTGTCGCGCAGAATAAAGAGGGCAGAAGGTTCCCAGTTTGTACAATGCAAGTGCCAAACAATTGTCCGTTTCTATCCCACCCAACGTCTTGCGCTCTGGAAGAGGCGCTCCCATGGCCCGTACTCGCCCCATTCCGCGGCCTTGCCGTCAGGAATATAGCTACCAACTCCTTGCAGAACGGTGCGTTCGGGATGTGGCATCAGGGCAAGGACGCGGCCATCGTGGCTTCGCACGCCAGCAATACCCGCGGGGCTTCCGTTCGGATTGGCCGGGTAAGTGGTGGTGGGGGCGAGGGACTTGTTGTCGACGAAGCGGATCGGGGCGAGATGGCGGTCGGCAAAGTCTTGAGCCAACGAGGCGTCGAGGGCTTTGTTGCCTTGGGTGCTGGTGACAAAAGAGGCTCGGCCCTCGCCATGTGCAACGGCGATGGGCAAGCTGGAGCCGCTCATGCCGTGGAAGAAGACGCTGGGCGGCATGCCGGACTCGGACTCGGGCGGCGGGTCGGAGATCTTGACCATGGCGACACGGCCCTCGTACTGCTCGGACTCGTTGCGCTCGAAGCTGGGCCAGGCCTCGGCGCCGGGAATCAGCTCCTTCAGTTTGCTCAGAACCTGGCATCCGTTGCAGACGCCCAGGGTGAAGGTGTCCTTGCGGGCGAAAAAGTCGGCGAACTTGCGCCGCGTTGTCGGGTGGAACAGAATCGATTTCGCCCACCCCTGGCCGGCGCCGAGGCAGTCGCCAAAGCTGAATCCGCCCGCCAACGCGAGCCCTGTAAACGACGACAGGTCGTGGTCCACCCCAAGATGCGTCTGGTGCGGCTTCGGGTCCAGAATGTCCGACATGTGCACGTCCACCACCGTGAAGCCCGCAGCATCAAAGGCGAACGCCATCTCGGCCTGTCCGTTGGTTCCCTGGTCGCGGAGGACGGCCACCCGCGGCCGCGCGGTCGGTCGAACATAAGACAGCAAGCTCGTCTTGTACGTGTTGATGTTCTCCTTGGGGTTGAAGGTCAGGTTGTAGCTGATGCCCGGGTCGGCGTCGTTGAGGATGCCGGCGTATTCCGCATCAGCACAGGCTGGGTTGTCCCGCATCCGTTGAAGCCAGTATGACGTGTTGGACCATTTCTGCTGCAGCTCGCCGCGGGATGCACGATAGATCAGTTTGGCACCATGATAGATGGCCATGGACTGGCTACTCGATTTGGTTGAGACTCGCCCGATCTTGTGAATCAAGCCTGGCGGAGGGCCGCAGGTCGCGAAGCACGCCTTGAACCGGTTCTCATCTTCCTTCCGCACTTGGAATACAGCACCCAGTTCTTCATTGAATAGCGCCGAGATCACGTCTGGCGTGTTCGGTGTTGGGCAGATGTCATTGATCATGATCTCGATTCCACATCTGCCTGCGAATGCCATTTCCGCTAGTGTTGTGAATAGGCCGCCGTCGGAACGGTCGTGGTATGCCAGCACAAGCCCTTGCTCGTGCAGTTGCTGCGTCGCGTCGAAGAAGTCTTTGAATAGTCTTACCGAGCGGACGTCTGGTGCTTCGTCTCCAATTTGCTTAAAGGATTGGGCAAGGATCGATCCGCCGAGCGAGCGGTGTGCCAAACCCAAATCAACGAAGAATAGTGTGGACTCGCCCACTTCGCTATACCGGCGCAGCTGTGGTGTCCATGTCTTCTTGATGTCAAGAACCGGCGCGAATGCCGATATCACCAGAGACAGAGGGGCCGTAACTTCTTTCGCTTCTTTCGATTGTGGATCTTGCCATTTCATCTTCATTGACATCGAGTCTTTGCCCACGGGGATGGAGATGCCAAGGTCAGGGCAAAGATCCATCCCAAGAGCCTCTACCGCTTCGTAGATGCCGGCACCTTCGCCTGGATGGCTTGCGGCCGACATCCAGTTCGCGGAGAGCTTGACTTGGTGGAGACGGTCAGGCAGGTCCGCAGCTGTCAAATTCATCAAAGCCTCTGCCACGGCCATGCGAGCAGATGCGGTGGGAGAAATTAACGCGATAGTCGGTCTCTCACCCATGGCCATTGCCTCGCCAGTCTTGATTCCCGTGGTGAGCGAGGTGGCCGTGACGGAGACGTCGGCGACGGGGACCTGCCAAGGGCCAACCATCTGGTCTCTGGCGGTTAAGCCACCAACGGTCCTGTCTCCGATAGTGATCAAGAAAGACTTCGATCCAACCGCTGGCATCTGCAACACTCGGGTGATGGCTTCTTCGAGCAGGCCAGCGGTAGAGGCCTGCGGAACGTACATGCTCAGCGTTGTATCAAACGCTGGCAGGTCGACTTTCCTGGACGTCACGTCTCGGCTCATTTTGGGAGGCTTCCCGAAAAGCACCTCCATAGGAAGGTCAATCGGATCTTGCTGGCCATTCACCTTCGCAGGATGGTCGCGATCTGTCAGCTTGAGTTGTTGCCTTCTTGTGGCTCTTCCAACCACTGAGATCTTGCAGCGCTCACGGTTGGCAATGGACCTGAATTTGTTCATGCCTTCCTGAGCAACAGCCAGGACGTATCTTTCTTGAGCCTCACAGCACCATATCTGTAGTGGACTCATGCTTTTGTCTGCACAGTCGATATCACGAAGCTCGAACTCTGCTCCGAGATTGACGTCCTTGACCAGTTCCGGCAAGGCATTTGATAGTCCGCCGGCTCCCACATCGTGGATGAAGAGGATGGGATTATGTGAGCCCAATGCCGCACAGGCATTGATGACTTCTTGTGCCCTTCTCTGCATTTCAGGATTTCCTCGTTGGACGCTTGCGAAATCCAGTTCCGCAGACCCTTCTCCCGAGCTGACACTGGAGGCCGCGCCGCCGCCTAACCCAATGAGCATGGCCGGTCCCCCCATGACAATCAAGAATGCGCCATCCTTAACGATCTCAGGATCTTTCAGCGCAAGTTGGGGTCGCACCGTGCCAACACCGCCGGCGATCATGATGGGCTTGTGATAGCCTCTGATTTCGCTGGATTCCTTACCAGTCTTCATCTCGACAAGTAGTGTCCTAAAGTATCCGGCGGTGCATGGTCGGCCGAACTCATTATTGAAGGCCGCACTGCCAATTGGGGCTTCAAGCATGATGTCGAGACTGCTCGCAATATGGTAAGGCTTGCCATAGTCAAGTTCCCACGGCTGACGGTGCCCAGGAATCAGCAGGTCAGAAACACAGAATCCTGCCAAGCCAGCTTTCGGTTTCGAGCCTCGGCCGGTCGCTCCCTCGTCTCTGATTTCGCCACCAGAGCCAGTTGCAGCGCCCGGGAAGGGAGACACAGCAGTGGGATGGTTATGAGTCTCGACCTTGATAAGGAAGTCCACTTGCTCTTTCGTGGTTTTCCATTGTCCATTAAGGTCATCAGGGGCCCAGAGGCTGCCATGACTACCAGTCAGTACCGCTGCGTTGTCACTATAGGCGCTGATAGTCCCCTCTGGGTTGCGCTTGTGAGTATTACGGATCATCCCAAAGAGTGTGTTAGGCTTGCGCTGGCCATCAATTGTCCAGCTGGCGTTGAAGATCTTATGTCGACAATGCTCCGAATTGACTTGCGCGAACATGAACAGCTCGACGTCAGTGGGATTTCTCGGGACCGGACCGTCCCTGGAATATGCCTCTGCAAGGTATTGAATCTCCGACTCATCAAGCGCCAGTCCCAGTCGGGTATTCAGGTCCTGGAGTTTTTTGATGGGAGACTGACCATCGTTGTAGAGGTCATAGGTGACTAACTGGCCCGGCTCGTGGTGTAGGAAAAGTAGATCAAGGTTTGGTTCATCCTCTGAGATGGTTTCAGTCATTCGATCATGGAGAAAATCGAGAGCACGACCCTCTTCCAATGATTTGCCAGCTTCAAGTGATACAGTAATTTTCAGACCTCTCTCAATCCTGCCAACGACTTTGCGAAGCCCACAGACATGGGCAATACTCGTTGCTTTGGAACTCCAAGGAGAAATCGTCCCTGGCCTAGGTACAACGTGTAGCACTTTGGACGATGCACTGTCCTTTTCTGGGTCTTCCACATGTCGATCGTTCGTCAATAGCTTCTCCAGGAGTGCACGATGCTCAGGATCCAGAGGGGCGTTCAGTTCGACATAGTGAATGTACTGTCCCTGCACGTCGGTCGCGCCGATGAGGGATGCCAGGGCCTGGCGACGAAACTCGGAATAGGCCGAGCCGCCCGGAATGGTACAGACCTGAGACGACGCCATTGCGCAGGCGATTCCTTGTAAACAAGTCTTGTTGATTGTCGAGAAGTCCTGCCCAGTATCTAGAATATCGCCTGCCGCGACTGTGTACTCGGTTCGAGGCCGGGGCAAGTATTAAGGCTGACTGGTATGAGAAGTTCGAGTCTCTCAGTTGTCCATTGTCAGCCTATGCAGGGCTAGGGAGTGCTTGTGTGGCGTACACAAGGATAGGACACCATGGGGTTGTCCTCTCCAGTCATCATCTTCAGACGTCGTCGACTCATCCGTCGCGCGGAAAAAAGTTGTCGACGAAAAAGCACGACCCGCCCGCACTGGCAGCTTGGCATTGGCTGGAACGCAAAAGCCCGAGGCGCCTCTTAGTCATCCAGCACCGCTCGGGGTAGGGTAGAGCATACGGCCATTTGAAGAAGTCACTCAGCGACATCGCCTCTGTCCTGATCCTACTTTAAAACTTAAAGACTGTCGTTTGTAATTCGGTTCATGCTGTTTGCTCTCAGAAGACCAGGTCGGACCACAACATGCATATAACACCCTATTCGCTAAGCCGTGAGGTTATGATAACAATATCGCCGCGGGCAAGGAGTTCAAGTCACGTGTAAGGCTGCCAACTGTACACGTTGTACTATATGTACACCGGAGTGAGACGAGTGAGACAGGTGCTGCTGTGCTGCTAGGGGTCTCTGTGCCCGAATTCTGTGCGCTTAGGGGCTGTGGAGCACCCCTAGGAATAATTTCAAGGGATCGGCGAGCGCCTAGGGAGTCCTCGGGGACCCCCTTTAGGCGGCTTTGTCCAGTGCCCGTGAATAAACGGGGGTTATCCTCGGCACCGGAAGCCCCCAACATGCCCAGATCTTCGCATGTACTTGGACGATCCAATCTGCTGTGGCATCCATCATCCACCGCATCCGCATCCTCCATAAGCCATCATCCATCATCCAGCGTTCATCGTCCTATCTTGAGTGTCCACCTGTTCTGGTCTCGGCACCGCTTTCGCTCTCTTACAGTTTGTTTCCTCCAATCTACAGCTGACAGAACCGGCCTTGTGTTGGCAGTATTTACTCTATCTCTTCATTCGCATTACGCTCTCCTTGTTGCTCTGTGACCGTCCCGTGCTCCGTCTTTCTCGTGATCAGCGACCCTCATGCACTCGCCATTGAGTGTCCTAGACTCGTCCTCTCAGGCTCCTGTAATCGTCCAGTCGATTCGTACGCTTTGCAACCACTTCACGGGACCCACGCCCGACTGAGCACCACAAGACCTCACCTCCTGGCCACGAGGGCGAGGGAGCTTCTGATATCGCTTTGTACTTCAACGAGGGCGGGTCGTAAGACTGCCCAAATACCGGCACCATTCTCTCGTCAGAAGAAAACCCCGAATCTCTCCTCCACCACAGATCGCACTCGGCCCGTACTCGGCCTGACCTTCACGATCCTTCCTCGAACGTGCTGCCTCCGGTAGAAGACGAGAAGGGTGAGGGCTATCGGCGAGCCTCATACTCTTCGGGCACGGAATCCGACGACTTCTCCCTCTGGAGCGACACTGGGGATCTCGCAGAGCAGCTTACCAACGACGAAGACCCCTATCGGATAGAGCTCGATCCTCTAACACGGGAAGGTCAAAGGCTCACACACTCAGGCCACGGTGGGGGACGGAAGAAGAGAGTCAAGTTTCAAGCACAAACCCACCTCGAGCAGTCCGACGCTACTCTTGGTATAGACAAAGAGGCCATCTCTATTCCGGAACCTCCACCGAGGCATATTCCAAAAGCTGAGAGGCTGCTGGCCCTCATCATGTCTCCTGGGGAGCCTCAGACTGCCCGGGCCAAGGGCCTGGTTGGGAAGCCTTTACTGTAAGATTGACCTTGATATATACACATCAAGCCAACAAGCCGCTGATCACACGGATCCAGATACTTTACCAGTGTTTTTGTTTCTCTGGGTGTTTTCCTATTTGGCTACGACCAAGGCGTTATGTCTGGCATTATTACGTAGGTCCACTCCCTCTCGGTGCAGTGCCCACTAACTAATTATGATGAAAGTGGTCCTTTCTTTCGAGACTATTTTAATCAGCCTGGCTCTGCAGAGGTCGGGACTATGGTCGCCATTCTTGAGGTCGGCGCCCTCATCGCGTCGCTCTGCGTTGGTCGGATAGGCGACATCATTGGCCGGCGAAGGACTATTCTTTATGGCTCCATGATTTTCTTCGTTGGCGGTATGTGCCAAACTTTCGCCAACGGCATGCCAATGATGATGGTGGGGAGATTGATTGCTGGTTTTGGAGTCGGTGCCCTTTCCACGATCGTCCCTGTTTATCAATCGGAAATCAGTCCGCCCCATAACCGGGGCAAGTTGGCGTGCATTGAATTTACAGGCAACATTACCGGATATGCTGCAAGTGTTTGGGTCGATTACTTTTGCAGTTACATCGAAAGTGATTACTCGTGGAGAGTGCCTCTTTTGATGCAGTGTGTGATGGGGGCATTGCTCGGGTTTGGAAGTCTCATCATCTGCGAATCTCCAAGGTCAGTCGATTGTGTGAATAGGATTCTCCGGAGACTAACGTTTCACCCGCAGATGGCTTCTTGACAACGATCACGATGAAGAGGGTATCATCGTCATAGCCAATCTTTATGGCAAAGGGGACATTCACAACCCTAAAGCTCGACAGGAATATCGCGAAATCAAGATGAACGTCCTTCTCCAACGTCAGGAAGGGGAGCGGTCCTATAGCGACATGTTCAAGCGCTACTACAAGCGGGTCTTCATTGCCATGTCTGCCCAGGCTTTTGCTCAATTGAACGGTATCAATGTCATCTCCTACTATGCACCCCTTGTCTTTGAATCAGCGGGGTGGAGAGGACGAGATGCGATCCTAATGACGGGGATCAACGCGATTTCGTACCTCGCGTCTACGATTCCGCCGTGGTATTTGGTGGACAGATGGGGAAGAAGACCAATCCTCCTGTCTGGCGCGGTGGCCATGATAATTTCCCTTTCGCTGATATCTTACTTCATCTTCATCGATGTCCGGTGGACTCGTGTGTTGGTGGTCATCTTTGTCATGATCTACAACGCTGCCTTTGGTGCAAGCTGGGGACCAATTCCGTGGCTGTATCCCCCGGAGATTCTACCGCTCAGCATCAGGGCGAAAGGAGCGAGCTTGAGCACGGCCAGTAACTGGGCGTTCAACTTCTTGGTTGGTGAACTCACGCCCGTCCTGCAAGCGGCGATCAAGTGGAGATTGTATCTTCTCCATGCCTTCTTCTGCGCAGTCAGCTTCGTTCTTGGTGAGTCCATCCCTGCCCCAATGGGACCAGCCTGGCGGCTAACCCAAGTCTAGTATACTTTGTCTATCCAGAAACTGCGAACGTCCGGCTTGAGGATATGAACGCACTCTTTGGAGATGCTACATCGGCCATGCCGACACCATCGACCCATGCGGAGAGAGGATCTCTCGTCGGCGTTGGCTCGCCTTCTTCCATCGATATCAGAGGCGGTGCTTCTCGGCAGCCGGGCGCTTTCTCGGCCAACGATGCCATCCCCGGCTTAGATATTGATCCTCCCGATGTTCAGGTCGACGCCAATGGCAGGGCACAGAGAAGCCGCCAGAACAGTGAAGGACTCGGTGGCTGGATTGGACGCATGGTTTCGAGGTCGCAGCCGGACGGTAGCAGTCGAGGGCAGTACGGGAAGGTCGGACAGAGCGACGATTAAACAAGGGTGCCCAGCCAGCATTTTGTTGGAATTATGCCGGGCGTATAGACATAGATACGCGGAGACTGTCCGCATCCGTGGACAGGGGACCAGAACATGAGCGGATGGGTAGCAAATGTCTCTGGACACCAGTGCGGACATATACGAGCCTGCTGGCGCGAGCTGGTCAGGCCAAGGGTTATGAATATCCTCTGCATTTAACTGGACATATCAAGATACTGTTTAGGAGCATGATGTGAACTGTCTCGGTGGTGAGAGTGGTAGAAGCTGCGGTGCGCTAAGATACTGTGAGGCAGACGTTGTAGCGGTGGATGAGCAATCTGAGTAGATCAGGACAAAAGCCAACCTTGAATGGCTGAACTTGGACGACAAAGACACGATTCGGTTCCTCCTCCTCGCGTCCATCTCCAACCCACTTCAAGTTCCGCACCCTGAACTCCCTCTCACAACGCTACACTACCTTAACATTGTCTGGCTCTGAACTAAGGACAGCATCTCGGGCACTTGATACATTCAGCTACATAGGGCCGGGGCCAGACTGGGCTCCTTCTTCTCGATCTATTCTCTTGTCCTCACCGCCGAGTCCTTCTCCGCCGGACCCTCCCTCTCAAGTGCCGGCGCAATTGTCAACAACTGTGTAACCGCCCATCGCACCCTTCAGCCTTCTCGTCGCATCGGCTCCCGCACCATAACCACTTGTCTCTTGCTAATGAACTGCCTCAAATTTTGATCGAGAAGATCACCTCGAGGCCGGAGCGACCGAGTCCACTCCGACCCGCTACACCTCGACTTGCGCCGCCGACTGCTCTGTCCCCGGAACTTTCGCACGTTCATTCTGCTTTCCAAGAATAAGACTTGGAAGTGCCATAAAATACGGTGTCAGCGAGTCCAGTGGAAGATGTAATGGTCATTTGGCAGATTGTCCATGTGTCAAGCTGTTGAATTGAGCTGGTCTGGTTGACAAAACCGCCAGATCCGGCGATGGAAACATAGGATCGCTTTCGCGACAAGATGTCCCAAGGCACGATTGGAAAATCTTCGGAGATTCAGAAGACACCAAACATACAGAATCCTGCTGCCAGCCCTACCGCCTTCCCTACCGCCGTCTTAGATCGTCGTTTACACCATTTGCGCGAAGCGGTTCTCCCCAGACAACCCTATCTTCTATCCGTCCCGTCCGACGTTCCCTACCGACATAGTTCGCGCTTCGTCAATACCTGGTATGAGGGAACGCCTTTTAGTCCTCAAGAGGAGCAGATACAATACGTGAGCTTCCTTGCTCATCAGAGTGAGCACGAGGCGTTGTTGAAAGTGGAGGGTGGATGGGCGGACGAACAAGGAAACCCGATCGTAGAAGAGGTCTCCCCAAAGACACTTCCTGTTAGCGGGCGCAATACTCCTGCGGAGACTGCACGTCGAAAGAAGATCAGTCTGAAGGATTACAAGACCAAAGGTAGAAGTCCGCCCGAGTCAACTTCCCTGCGACGACCCCCGCAAGAGCCGCTCAGAGAGGCCAACGAGCAGCCCAAGGAGGAGCAATCTGCAGTCGACAACAAAGAAGTGGTGCAAGTGAAGAAGCAGGACACGGTTGATTCATCCAAGGTCGCTGTGGCTTCACAAGAATCTGTCTCTGGTTCTCCGATAGTTGGCCTTGACGGACCCAACTCTCCTCGGAGTCATCCTGAGATTCAGCAAGTGAGCCCTCCACCTGCAAGGCGGACTGAGCTTCAACCGCCTCCTGAAGATATAAAGGCAGAATCACCGGTTGTAACTTCGACCGTTATGTCGCAAGCTCGGGTGATGAAGATGCCGAGATTGTTGTCGCCAACACTACCGTCGCCGGAAGAAGAGAGTGGCTTGCCAGAATTACTGTCTCCTGTATTACCACCTTCACTTGCAAAGGCAATCTCGAGTCCCTCGGATACTACCTCTCCTGGAAGTCCTGTCCCTGCGCCACATCATCGCTCTGAGCCAGTTCGGTCTATCCTGGCCCGTGCTGATCTCGACGGCGATTTCCTTGCTGACAAGAATAAACTATCCGTGGCTGGAAGTCGCGTCCGCTCTGACAGCCAGCACTCCGCTAGAAGCTCGGCGCCTGGCAGTCCCAATGCTGGGAAGGTGTCGCTGGGGACGAAACACCTGTCCAAAGCCGGCATAAAGGCAGGCACGTCGCTGCAGAATGGAGCTCGAGCCAGCCCGGGCCCGAGGCAGAGACACACCATCATCCTCAAATACGGCAAGAAGAACCGGAAGCGAGTCGAATCACTTCTGAAACTTGCCCCACGCTCGAAGAAGGACGTGTCTAGACACGACGCAGTTGACGGTCAAGTCTCCTCCGAAGGGCCGTCAAAGAAAGAGACCAAGTCACATGAGTCTGCAGGTGCTCAACAGAGTGCCACGTCCAAGCCTCAGGCGAAAGCAGTCGAGAGCATCATGTCTGAAAAGAAGCGCAAAGCAGAAGATAGTCCGGGTCCGTCGTTGAAGAAGACAAGACTCACGAATTTGAGTAACGATGACGAAAGAAGACCGGCCACACCGACACCTTCAGCCGGCAAAACACCATTTGTGGGTCAGTCAAAGTCGGCGTTCTCGACACCCAAACGGGACGTTAAGGCTGCGGCAATGAAACGGATCGAGTCATCCGAGGGTTTAGATGTCCCCACTCCCTCAGCAGACCGAGTTCGAGTTTCTACGCCTCTGACCGTTCCTAAACCTTCCCCTAAGCCTTCTCCCCAGCCTCCGGTATCATCCCATGGTCGACCAGAAGAACGTCAGCAGTGGACGGACCTCAACGACAAGTTCTTCGCGCTGGGTCGGACACTGAAGCACGAGGGCTCTTCCTTGCTCTCACAGCCCGACGTCGAGTCCAGGTCAAACCAGTCCGCAAAAGCAATAATAACCTTGACAGAAGGCTTGATATGTTTCATGATCAACATTGCGGCGAACTCATACGTGCGTCCAGGTGCAGATCCTGGCTGGAGGTCAATAATTCTCTATCACATTTCCATTTACCGCGCATCCAGACCATTTTTGCATTTGCACGGCTTGGTTGTGCAGCTGGGTGCTGTTTGCCGGCAACAGATTCAGAAATACGACATGGAACGGTTGGCGCGTGATCCCCTCCCAGAGGATTATTGCAACTCGGCACCAACTCCTGGGAGTGATGGCAACACGAAGACAAACGAAGACAGTGTAAAATATAAAAAACGATACGTTGAATTCAAAGATGAGCTTGTCCACAATGCCCGCGAGCTGCAGACGGCGTGGCTTGATGGCTCCAGGTACCTCCCACTGGAAGTGTTGAGAAGGGAGTATCCCAAAACGTGGTCGAAGCGTATGGTAGACACCAGTTCCAGACTTCAAGAGAAACCCACACCTTCGAAGATCCCCAAGCATTTCTGTCTACCACTGGACCCCAATACTACGGCTTTCGAAGCCGCACGTTTTGCCGTTGCCTTTCTTGAGGAGTGGGCAGAGAAGGAGAAGATCGACTGGAAGACACGGATTGATTTGTAAATACGCATCGAGTGTGTCTCCTCGAATGGCTGGAAGAAGGTGCAGAAGCGTGTTTCCGAGACTTGGGCGCAAAATCCTTGAAGCAGAGACGATGAGCTTGCGGATACAGAGGAGTGGTGACGAGCACGTCCAGCGACGCACTACTTAGCAGGTTTGCTCATGATTGTATGATTCTTCGTCCTCGACGAAAACAAGATACCCAGTTCTTTAGTTGCTAGTTATTGAAAAATCGATGTGCTCTCAGTAGCTATCATATTTATCTACCTGTTGTACCGTAGGTACCGGGTACTGTTGGCATATTCAACCTCGCCCTACCGGTGCAGGCCCACCCTGGGGTTGACGCGAGGCTGCACAATTTGATATCCGAATAGTACTGCGGCAGCTTGTAACTTGTGCTGCGCCCTATCTAACTTAGGTACGTACGGTCCTGAACTTCCCTCCCCTCGTCAGCCTTCTACCTTCCCCATGGTCTTGACTACCGCATGTGGGCAATGAGTCTTGTATGATGGATGCGCTGAGAAGAGAATGTCCCTCGATGACGATCCCACCGAGTTCGAGGGCATCCTGCCCGTGATTCCCGACAACTCGCCGCCTGTCTTCAAGGACTCCAAGAGCAATGCCACCACGGGCGCATCTGCGGCCGGGGTGCGCGCCCTCACCGCCCAAGCCGTAGCCTTTTATTTCCGTGCGCCTGTCAAGGCTTTCTTCAGGACGAGGGTTGACTACTTGGTGCGTCTGTCGAGACCTGGTGCTCGTGAGATTTGTCCATTGCAGCCTAGTGGTGGCTAACAACCCACACCTTTTTAGGCTTATGCCAGATCAATCAACCCGGACATCCAGACGGGACGGTTCTCATGGAGAAATACGACGCCAGGACTCCTTGCCCATGCCATCAAGCATTACGGGTGGCGGTTCATCCCAGAGCAGCTGCTGCTCCCATTGACCGCCAATGTAGCAGTCGGAGCAGCCTTGTATACATCCTATCTTCATATACTCGGCCGCCTCCATGAGCCATCTGCACATGCAAGAAAGACGGTGTTTCCTCCTCCACCACCCACAGCGACCTTTGCTGCAGGATTTGCCGCCGGCACGATTCAAAGCGTTCTCGCGGCGCCGTTGGATGCCCTCCAGGTCCGGTTTGAACGAAGAGGAGAAAAGTACCAGAACAAAACAATGTGGCAGTATTGCCGGGGCAAGTTGCATGAGATAGGGCTGCGAGGGATTTTTGCGGGTTGGGGCATCTCGTTCTTGAAGGACAGTTTCGGCTCCGGCATATTTTTCTCCACGTTCGAATACGTCAAGGCTCAGGGATACTATTCGTTTGTGCGCTGGTATTATGGATCCCTAGAGGGAGGCACCGTGGACAAACTGTCTCACAAGCGAGGTGGCACGGTTGCGACAAAAAGCCATCCCACCGCGGTCATCAGGCCTCATTATGCTCTCGAACCGGCGTTTCTGATGCTCGCTGGAATGACGGCCTCCGTTACACAACAGGTGGTTCTGTACCCGTTGTCGACGTTCCAGACGTTGCACTACGAGCGGCTGGAAGATCTAGACAAGAAAGCCATTCAGCTGCATCAGTCGCCTGCGCCTGGCAGGGGCCGCATGCTCCGGGCATATTACCATGCCTATCAGGCAACGTGGAAACAGGCACAGCAGCAGGCTGCCAGTGTCGGCGGCATGGGTAGGTGGCTGTTCCGAGGTTTCTGGTGGTTCACCATCCGCCAGATTCCTAGCACCAGCGCCGCATTGATCATTTTCGAATTGGTCCGCAGGAAGTACGGTTTGGCGGGCGACGAGATCAGAATCACCCAGGATGGATACGATGTTCTGTTGACATAGGTTGACGATTACAGTTCGTTGCTATCTAAATCATACCTCTCTCTTCAACTATGCCACTCGGACAGAATCTCCCAGCATCAAATTGTACCGCGATCCCATCGCCAATTGTCCGTCAGCGGCGTTCCTCAGACGGTGTTCTCAATGATCTTCATTGTTCGTCTCCGGCTTTCTCCCCGTTGTGCTGGGCCAGGGGTGTCGTTTCCCCCTGGATGCTCGTCGGTGGCACCCATGGGCAACGGCGACTCCAGCCCCGCCGTGACTGTGGCAAGGCTCAGCGGCTTTCCGTCTCCTAAGTTGTTCCAAGGCAACTCGGTACTGCAGATGATTCAATCCGTCGTCCGAAAGCTTGAACAGCTTCAAATTGGCGACGTAGTCGATCTCTCTCTCCCGCTGGGAGCCAGCACTGGAGGAAAAGATGGACATCTTGGGCAAAGACGTCACAGCCCTCCAGAAGATGACCGCCCACAGCAGGACGTATGCGAGGTCTCGGAGAAGTTGGACGACTTGGCACCAAGACATGTTGCGGTTCGATGACGCTGGTTGTTCTCAGACAACACGAACTGAGGAGGTGATTCGGGTGGGTTCAAAAGAACCGGATTGCTCTTCGAAGAGAATGGGGTTTCCGTGTCTGCCGTCGCCGGTTGAATTCTGCAATCCAGATCCACTGCTCGCTCGAAGGCAATGTTACAACAATTCAGCAGTTGATAATGGGGGAGGGGTGCCCGATGCTCGTCGAGGCGATAGTCTCTCTATTCCAAGCGGACATGCATACAGATTGGATCTTGATCGTTGGGGTTGTGGACAATTATGCCGGCGCCGCTTGGTTGATTCCGGGCTCTCAGTGATTGTCTGGCTGCGTCGAGTTGGACTGGAAAGAGACAAATGGTGGAGCAACAGAGAGATAAAGAGACAGAATCAAAGGTCCAAGCAGCCGGCAGGCGACGAGCTCATTCCCTCCTCTCCGACACTGTGGTTCAACGAGAAAGATAGAAGTTCACCCTCCACTCCAGTTCAAACAACATCCACAACAAACTTGGCTATGAAAAAGACACGCCCTCACAACGAAACAGATATATCATCGACTGAAGAGACCCGCGTTGCGCTATGCGTTCGTGAGTGGGCAAGAGCATTTCTGCAGTAAGAGTTGAGTCAAGTGGTGCAGGAAACACAGGTCAGATATAGTTATGGCTGATGTGCAAGGTGTACCAGTAGTAGCATTGTAGGTCCTCGTGGAGGATAGCCTTTCTTTTCTGCCATCTCTTTTCTACGCGTTCTTCTGTGGTCACGAGAGAAAAATGATGGCGCCGACATTTTCTCTGGTTCCTGATGCTTTTGTGTTTATATGTGGATGGTAAGCTTTATATTTATCTGGAACGCGCGCTCGGAACAGGTAGAGACTCGGAGGGTCCGCCAGACAAGGCTGAGCCGCTGAAGGAAGACAAGGCTTTCAGTTCTTGGGTGAATGCTTGGGCGTCCCCTACAATGCAGGTAGGTATCTAAAGATAGCTCCTTTGACCTGGGCCTTCGTACTGTTTCTTCACTACTGGTATGGGTTGATTCCGGGGTGGTGCAGTGAGGATGCTTTTTCAGAGGAGTAATACTATGTCAGTGCGTAGCGATCCTTCGGTCGTCGCGAATCGTTATTATAATCGTGAAATCTGCTCGTTGTAACCGTAGACTACCTAGGTGGGTAGTGCCTGGTACCTTTGATTCAGACCGAATATACAGTATAAACAAGGCGTTTGACGGGTGAGCCACTGCGCTCGAACCAAAATGTATTTGTATAATTTATAGATATCTAGTAGGCAAAGGTCTAAAGGACAGGAACCTTGGATTATTTTCATTATTCTGGTGTTCCTTGAGGTTTCAGGACCCCCTTCCCTGAGTTTAGTACCTATAGTGATGATCCGCTGGTGTTGTCGAGGTTGTTACAGTTGGCATATCATGCCATACTAGTCCTCGAGTACTGTATGACCTGTCGAAGGTTTGTTGCTAACGACGGTTGATCGGGGAGAAAACTGCCTGATTTGGTTGGTGGTTCAAGTCAACGACTGATCAGCTCGGGACGTGGCTTGTAACAGGGCGGAACCGACACGTTCATCTCCATTTGATAGGTAAGCTTGACAGCTTAGGTACAGTATTTACTTTGGTACTTACGTAGGTACATACCTAGGTAGTAGTCGGCAGGTACCTGGCAAGTATAGTCGAATAGAAAGTCATACGCCTCGAATAATCCACTACAAAAAGTCGTACGCTATCTCCCGCTACTGAGTAAGTGAGAGCTCAACCGCCCGCAACAATGAGACTCCAGCGCACCATATCGGTAGTGGGATGCCACGCCGAGGGCGAAGTGGGTGATGTGATCGTCGGAGGCGTGCTGGACGCTCCAGGATGCAAAACCATGTACGAGAAGATGAGGTACTTCTGGACGCAGAAGGACAGTCTGCGACAACTCCTACTGAACGAGCCGCGGGGACGGTCGTCGATGAACACAAACCTTGTCCTGCCGCCCTGCGATCCTCGGGCAGACGCCGGGTTCCTGATCATGGAGAGCGAGGAATACGCGCCCATGTCCGGATCCAACACCATCTGTACAGCCACTGTTCTGTTGGAAACCGGCATGATCCCCATGCAGGAGCCAGTCACTCAGTTCAACCTCGACACGGCGGCCGGGCTGGTGGGCGTGACGGCTGAGTGCGAGGCCGGGAAATGCAAATCAGTTTCCTTTGACAATGTCCCATCCTTCGTCTTTGCCTTGGACAAGGAAATCGACGTGCCTGGGCTAGGAGTGGTCAAGGTCGACGTTGCATGGGGCGGCATGATCTACGCTCTGGCCGACGCCGGGTCACTGGGACTGAAGATCGAAAACAGTCAAGGGCCTCGACTGATCGAGATTGGAGAACGCATCAAACGAGCTGTTCAGGCCCAATATACCCCAATACACCCCGAGAACCCGGGGATTCGCGGCGTCTCAATCTTTGGCTGGACACATCCGCTTGAGGCCGACGGCCTAAACAATAGCAAATCCGCCGTCAATGCCGTCGTGGTTTCTCCAGGACGGTTCGACCGCAGTCCCTGTGGCACGGGCACCTGCGCTCGAATGGCCGTTCTGCATGCTCGTGGTCAGCTCAAAGTAGGCGAGACTTTTGTCCACAAGAGCATCATCGGCACTGAGTTTGTCAACCATATCAGAGGGACCACCAAGGTCGGTGAATTGGACGCCATTCTTCCAACGGTCAAGGGCAGAGGGTGGATCACGAGTTTCAAGCAAATCGTCTTGGATCCAACGGATCCGTTTCCTGAAGGATTCCGCGTTGGCGATCAGTGGCATATTCCTCAGCCTTGACTGTGGGCGAGTACCGCATACACTCCATCGAGCTCGATCTAGATAGGGGGTAAGCACTAGACGAAGACCAAAATAGGGCTTTATCGTAAATGTCTAGCATAGCTCCCTGGAGAAGCCATGGGCAGCAGTGAAATTCTTGGATAGCAGAGAAGATAGTCAACGAGGTTGCGTTCAACCGCAGCGTGGACTTGAAATTCCGGCCTCAACTGAAGTTTGTCGTCATTTGACGCGCTCGGCGCCAGTCACGCTCAGGCGGCAGTGGAACTTTGAAGAGCGCGTCGCGCCAAGGCCTGCGTAGTGGCTCGTGTGGGTAGAGTCCGCTAGCAGTGATAGTGCGAGTATACAAGCCTCCAGAACAAGATCAGATGCTTTCATTGGTGAATCTCTTCGATTTACCATGTTAGCCTCTCTAGTGCGCCATAGTACCTATTAAGTTGCTCGTTGCTCTTTAGCAACCTAACCTGGATAATGGCGTCCGGCAACCAAAAAGACTCCCAGCGACTTTGACTTGATCCCTCCATTTATCTCGCTCTCACTTTCGCGCCTTCAATTCACGAAGGACTCACTGTCCTCTCACGCCGCGCTTCTTCCCTTACCAGAATCGGCCCCTTCCACCGTCGACGTGATACAATTGTCGGCGACGCTATCCCTTCAAAAACGAGCAGCCGCGCAACTCGCGCTCCTCAGGATCGAGACCCTCTTTCATCCCGAGTTCGCCTCTGTGGAGGCAGGCAGCCACCATGAGTGACATTGTCATCAATCCCGATACCTTCTTCGATCGGCTGTCCACTCTATATAATGCCTGGAAAGCGGACAAGAGGTCGGGAGACGGCTCCTTTGGTGGCGCAGACACGATTGTCATCTTAACCGGCAAAGCTGATCAAGAGACCCAATATGTTAAGAACAACGCGGTCCATGTAAGCGCATCCTCACACAGAATCGGTCAATACTGAATCTAGCACTAACCATAATATATACAGTTCTGGCTGCTAGGCTATGAATTCCCTGCGACACTGATGGTGTTTACACCTGCTGTCCTCTATGTGGTCACCACAGAGAAGAAGGGTGAGTAGCGCATCATTTTGGAAATTCATTTTCGGCGCTGACATCCATGCTAGCTAAACATCTTCAAAATCTGAAAAATGGCAAAATCCCCATCGAAATCCTCACTGTCCATATGAAGCAGCCCGAGACGCGAACGCAAGCTTTCGAAAAGTGTATCGATATCATCAAGAACGCGGGCAAGAAGGTTGGCGTCATCCCAAAGGCTGACGCTCATGGACCATTCGTCGACGAATGGCTCAAGATGTATGGTGATCTTTCCAAGGAGATTGAAGAGGTCGATGTATCCGGCGCTCTGTCCGCTGCTTTCGCCGTCAAGGACGAAAATGAGTTGAGAGCGATGCGTACCGCCGCCCGAGCAGCCAGTGCTATGATCACTGATTATTGGGTCGATGAAATGGCTACGGTCTTGGACCAAGAAAAGCGAGTTAGCCATCGCACTCTCTCCGATCGGCTCATGAAGAAGATTGATGACACCAAGTTCTTCCAAAAAGTCTCCAAACTCCCCTCCGACTTCGATACTCAGCAGCTAGACTGGGCTTATGGACCGGTAGTCCAGAGTGGCGGACGCTACGATCTGAGTCTAAATGCACAGCCCGATGACGAAAACTTGCATTCTGGATGCATTGTTGCCGGCTTGGGCCTTAGGTACAAGACCTACTGCTCAATCCTGGCGAGAACCTACTTGATCGACCCAAGCAAGTCACAAACTTCGAATTACAAGGTCCTTCTGGCTGCTCACGACGCTGCAATGAAGGAGATCAAAGAAGGTGCTGTGATCAAAGACGTTTACAACAAAGCACTCGGTGTGGTCAGGTCGAAAAAACCTGAGCTGGAGAAACATTTTGGTAAGGATGTGGGCGCTGCCATTGGCATCGAAGTCCGCGATTCCAAGCTTGTTTTGAATGGCAAAAACACCAAGACTCTCAAAGATGGTATGACAGTCAGTGTCGTTACCACACTCTCCGATCTGACCAACGACAAGCCTCAAGATAAGAAAGGTACCAATTATACTTTGGTATTAATGGACACTGTCCGGGTCACTAGGACTGAGCCTGTAGTGTTCACCAAAGAGGCACTCACCGACCTCGACTCGATTGAATTTTATTTCAAGGATGACGAAGAAGAGACCAAGCCTAAGCAGGAGAAGAACAAGAAGCCCGCTGCTAGTGCCATTGTGGCTTCAAACATCAAATCCACTCGACTCCGGGCCGCCAATCGACAAGACAATGCCAAGGAAGAGGAAGAAGCCCGTCGTCGAGAGCATCAAAAAGAGCTTGCAGCAAAGAAGCAACGTGAAGGTTTGGAGAAGTATGCAGAGGCGACGGGAGACATGAACGGCGAGAACGAGAAGAAATTCAAGAAGTTCGAATCGTACAAGCGTGAGGCCCAGCTGCCTTCACGCACGAAAGACATGATTGTCTGGGTCGACACCAAAGCTTCGACTGTCATCCTTCCGATTATGGGTCGACCAGTGCCGTTTCATATCAATACGATCAAGAACGTGAGCAAGTCGGATGAAGGCGAATATACCCACCTCCGCTTCAATTTCTTGTCTCCCGGCCAAGGTGTCGGGCGCAAGGATGACCAGCCATTCGAAGATCCTCAGGCCCATTTCATCCGATCGTTGACCATTCGGTCGAAGGATCAGGATCGCCTCTCAGAAGTTTCGGCGCAAATCACCGAGCTCCGAAAGTCAGCTGTCCGTCGTGAGCAGGAGAAGAAGGAAATGGAAGATGTTGTGGAGCAAGACAAGCTCATCGAAATCCGCAATCGTCGACCTATCAAGCTCAGCGATGTCTATCTCCGACCTGCCCAGGATGGCAAGCGCGTGCCTGGAAGTGTCGAGATTCATCAGAACGGTCTTCGTTACATTTCACCGCTTCGCAATGACCATGTCGACGTGGTGTTCTCGAATGTGAAGCATCTGTTTTTCCAGCCTTGCGTTGGTGAGCTGATTGTGCTTATCCATGTACACCTCAAGAACCCCATCATCATTGGCAAGCGCAAGACCAAAGACGTCCAGTTCTACCGAGAGGCCACTGACATGGCTTTCGATGAAACTGGGAACCGTAAGCGCAAGCATCGTTATGGTGACGAAGAGGAGTTTGAGCAAGAGCAAGAAGAGAGGAGACGCAGAGCCGAACTCGACCGACTCTTCAAGGGCTTTGCCGAAAAGATTTCGGATGCTGCCCGCGATTACAATATCGCAGTGGACATTCCCTTCAGAGAACTCAGCTTCAACGGTGTTCCCAATCGAAGCAACGTGCTTATGGCCCCTACTACGGATGCTCTGGTCCAGCTGACGGAGCCGCCCTTTACTGTCATCACGCTTGATGAGATTGAAGTGGCCCATCTTGAGCGGATTCAGGTACGTTATTCTACATGTTTGGATGGAACAACACTAACCCTCTGTACAGTTTGGTCTCAAGAACTTCGATCTTGTCTTTGTTTACAAGGACTTCCACCGACCACCGACGCATATCAACACCATTCCGGTTGAATTCCTTGATCGAGTCAAAGAATGGCTTGACAGCGTGGATATTGCTTACACTGAAGGCCCGCTCAACCTGAACTGGGGAACCATCATGAAGACTGTGACCGCAGACCCCCATCAGTTCTTCAAGGATGGTGGATGGAGCTTCCTTGCCACCGACACTGATTCGGAACAAGAAGAGGAATCGGAAGAGGAAAGCGCCTTCGAAATGAGCGACTCAGACCTAGCTGCCGCCAGTGAGTCTGAGAGTGATGATGACAGCGATTTTGACGAGGATGCCAGCGCTAGTGATGACGAGGGCGAGCCGGACAGTGGCTTGAGCGACGAGGGAGAAGACTGGGACGAAATGGAGAAGAAGGCCAAGAAGGAAGACCGGTCGAACGGCCATGAGGATGAAGACAAAGGCAGGAAGCGCAAGCGATGAGCCGTTGAACTGCCATCTGGTCTGTATGCGGATTCTACTGTATACGGGGTTTTGCTTATGGGCATTTCGGCAGTGCCTCTCAACTAGTCAGGGGGACGTCTAGCAGGGAATGGGAACCCCATCTGCACTGCCATTGTTTTGATTAATTGCAACAAGACTGCTATGCTAAGTCCTGGCAGGCTGCTGCTTTGTATGATTGAAACTGCAATCAACCTCAAGCTTCGGATATTTCACTGTTCAAGTTTCTAACAAAAGCTCAGCCTTGTGTTCCGAGAAAGGCTGCCGACACTTCCCGACACGTGACCAGGGCCAGCATTCCCGGAGCTCTCGGGCTCCAGCTGGTTCTGCATTACTAAGCCCTGGTCTCTCGTCTCCATTATTGCGTCGTTCCCGAACTCCAATTCCTCATCTTTCGGCGTTCTGTATTTCTCATCCATTCTTCGGTTAATTGCTGCTTTGTACTGTAGTAACTACTCCCTTAATTTTCGAGCCGGATCTCGTCCTTTTGCCGTTCGCGACTGGTTATAACTCCTCTTGTGCGCCCTGATACAATTTATTCGTCCTGCACGCGGCTCCTTGATCGTTGATCCACTGCACCCAATAGTCCACGATACCATGGCTTGGTTCAGCTCGTCGCCTACACCTGCGCAACCTGCGGCCGGTACGTAACGTCCTCATCTCTGCCCTCGCGCTTCGCCTTTTGCATTTCTTGCCACGTGTGGTGTTTGGAGAAGATCGCTTCCTCACTGTGGGAGATTCGAATGAGGCGGAAACCAAGACGGAGCATCATGTCACACCACAAGGAACGGGGATACTGAGTGGAAGAGGCTTGTCAACTGTGGCTTGTCGAGTTCTACGAGACATGTCACCTGGAGGAGTATGTGACATATGGTCGCCACACATCTCTCCTCCCTGAGAAATGGCTCTAATTTCAGTTCCACGGGTGTGGGTGGCGATCGAGCGCCTTACAAGAAGAGGAGTGGTGATTGAAAGCATTCCATGTCATATCATGAGGTGGTTCGTCTTCGATTCAATTTGGCGAAAAGAGGGAGACACAGAGACGGCGGAGAGGAGAAGAGGAAGAGACTTGTTTTATCCTTGCCTACGTTACAGGATGGAGAGAGAGTCTTGTTGCTAACATGCGCCATTGCAGTCACCCAGCCGTCGACCCCGAACAATCTTGCCGCAGACCTCAAGCCCGCCGGCCAAGTAGAGAAAGTCAAGGTACGTTACGGCCACGCGAGGCCCCCTTCATCATCCCGACCTCCTCCGCGGTATTGCATGGCGAACAATTCCAAAGGGAGAAAAGCTAACGTGTGCCCAATCGCTCCAGCCATGCTGCGTATGCAAAGATGAAAAATCCCAGCGGGACGAATGCATGCTGTTCTCGCGCGCCGATGATCCCCAGGAGGATTGTAAGAGTTTGGTCACGAGATATAAAGACTGCATGGCGGGATATGGGTTCAAGATCTGAGCAGTGACAAGATGGGGAAGTAACACAAAACGGAGCAACAAGGATAAACCCATATCACCAGTTTATCAACACACACACCCGCATGCAAACCCAGCTTTTTCTCCCTCTCTCAACCCTTGTTCGCCACACAAACCCCGTTGAGACGACAATGGTCTTGTTTGTTTGAAGAGCGGACATGGTACCGCAGGGTGCTGTTGTGGACAACTGTGAGATGAGAGGAGTCTGTTGGTCGGTCTGGAAAGGTCACTACTATTGCATTGAAATCGGCATTCGATGGCGTTGAAGAAATGGGCAAGATTAGAGGTCATGCATGGGTGAAGAGATTAATCAATGAATCTGGCCTCAAATGGCCCTGTACAGTACAAAAAACAGCAATCTAGATCTCGGCGGTCGCCTCCAAAGAGGATGACATGGGAGCGAGATACGATCAAGTATGCAGCAAAATGTATATATTCGCCACTCAAAGAAGTCAATTTCCAGTCCAAGGTCTACATCAGTTTTTCCTTTTCACACCCACGCTCGGAGCAAGCACATGCAAGCAAGAAACAGGACTGAATTCCTAGTGTTTGCAGAGCCCATTCAGGTCGAAAGCCATATGTGTACGCGACCTAAATCCCACAGCAGGGCTTAACTTATGCCATCGTAGTTTTGGCGGTGTGCCATTCGGTGGACCCGGTTTTCATGTTCGTGTCCAATTCTGACCAAACCATAGGCCTTGTCCGTCCCATTCATAGCGAATGAAGCAGGCTTTGCATGCCGACCTCCATATAATCATCTCGTTTGAGCAGATACGGACGCAGATTCTCCTTGCCCAGATTGCCGAGTGCCTGGCCCCGCAAGCGCTCCTTAAGCGCGTCGGGCAAGAGGACAAAGACGCTAGCGAGCTCAGTCAAGACCTCGAGACTGGCCTTGAAAGGGTCGTCGAGGTTCCAGGAGCGCAAGAGCTGGACGTAACGGCTCATGTCGCGGGCCAGCATGACACCACCGATCCGGTTGACCTGATACTTTGTGAAGTGCTGGAGGAGCTGGGCCCGGAACCCGACGGCGACCTCGGTCAGCAGGGCGTGCAGGTTGGCGCCGTCCAGACATTCGGCGGCGGTGTCGTGGAACACGGCGAGGAATCTACACACACTATCACAGGTCGGGGTCTGCGCCTGTTCGAGGGCGGCGGCTTCGGCCTCGGTCTCGGCGCGAGGGCGGAAATCCGTGCGGTTCTGCGTCGACAAGAGCCGTGCCGTCCAGTTCAGCACGGCGTCGATGGTCTGCTGCTCGATGGTGTTGATTTGGTCTTCGATCCGAGCGACCGCTGTGCGCGTGCTCTTTTCCATTTCCCGCCGCGTCGTAAGGCTCGTGCTGGCAAGAGGGATCAGAAGTGTGTTGACGCAGCTTTGCACCAGGTGGGTGATGTGTACTGCTGTCCGTAGGATCGACAGGTATGAGAGGTCCGGTTGGTCGCGTTTCGTGGTTTCGGCCGTCGACGCGCTCTCGGCCGCTGCTTCGAGTGCGACTTCGACGTAGTGTTCCAATACGTTCTGTAGGATCAGGTTGAGCAGTGCAGCCACGTCCTTGGGCGTTTCCGACCCTCCACCCAACTCGAGACCACGACGCACTCCCTCCGCAAGCCATTTCAGCATCCTTTTGGCGAAGGCCACGTGCAGTCGGCCATCTTCTTCTGAGAGTTCAACGTCTGGCTGGGCTTTGTCCGTGTTTTTGAGACCTGCAACGGAGAGGAGTATTCGCTTTTGAGTAGGTGACATCTTCTCCAAATCTAAGCTCTTGACGTAGGCATCTGTGGCTTCTCTGGCTGATGCGAGGAGTTCCTGGCCGCGGTTTCGCAGCGATGCCAGGTATGTTTTTGGTTCTTTCTGCCGTCGAGAGTGGAATAGCTCGAATTTGAACAAGAGCGATTTGTAGAGTTCTTGTAGGTTGTGCTTTTCCTTGTCGATGTAGGCCGAGCCGCCGAAGTATGGAGTGAAGAGCTCGTCAAGCTGTTGATCCAACAGTTGACTCGTTTGAGATGTTACCGAGTCAGGGTGTTCAGTTAAGCCGTGTGCTTTGAGATCCTCGACGAGGACACTAATGTAGCTTCTGGCGGCCTGGAGTGATCTCAGATATGCAAGGGTTGACTCTGATTCGGCCTTTTCCAGGACAAGCTCGAGTCTCTGCTGGATCGACTGTTGAAAGACACGCTGGACAAATTTGCCTAGCACTTGTTCCGGATAGGGGAAGGCTCTTTTGATGATGGCCGATTCTTCTTGCACCACAACCCTAACTTCATCGATCAGTGACTGCAGCCCCGGCTCAACGCCAGGAAGGTCTGCGTCTGGATCCGACAGTCGCATCCATGTCTCTTGGTCGCCGCCAATTTCGTCAGTCACCAAGTTGCTTCGATCAATGAAGAACTGGTGCTGGTTCACAAATGCTGCTTGCACAGACGCGCCTCCATTGAAGTCTTGCAACACAGTGGCGCAATTCTTCATCTCCTCGAAGTTCTGTCGTCGGTAGAAATCGTCAAATAGTTTGAGCATGTCATTCTCCAAAGTTTCGATGAACTTTTCAATGATTTCCCGTGTGTTAAAGTTCCTGCTGCCACTGCCCGTCACACCGTTCGTGATTCCGCCGGACTGGCTCGACACTCCGTTCGTCTGTCCATGACTTTTCGGATCCAGTCTCTGACTGATCCGGAGCAACTGACGTGCAATATGGGCAGATCTTATTTTCCCTTCGCCGGTACCAGACCGCCTCAGGTTTTCAAGTAATGTAAGCTCGCCTCGGTTGCTGACTTCGTCCCAACACTCAATCAGAAAGTGCGCGTCCAAGGCTTTTCTTCGTTGCCGGTCGAGCTCCTCTATTCGTCGCCCAGTCTCAACGGCGACATTTCCACCCCATTTCTCACCGCGATCCGATTTTAACGACGTGTCTAGCTTTCGGAAACTTTCAATAGTCTGGTTGAGCTTCCGGCCCAGTGTTTCCGTGTTGCTGGCATGTTGTGCTTCAGCTTTCCTTACTGCGGCAGAAAGTTCATTCTCTCTTTGCTCGAGCTCGCCCGAAAGTTCATCCAGTCGTCGCGACGCTTGCTCGAAGGTCCGGATTAGAGGTTTGGGGTCAAAGGGTGTATTAGGCCCCTGCGACCGGCGGTTCGACGATTGGGCGCTTTCGGTAAGGGATTCAATAAAGTCTTTGGCTATGAATTCGCGGCTTGAGAAGTCGTCAAGGTTGAAAGCTGGGCCCCTAGGGAATATGGAGCGCCCGGCTTGGTCTGTCGGTTGGGGAGGACCATGGTATTGCTGAGAGTCCATTGTAGCATCATCTCAGTCACGAGGGACCATTTTTAGACTTCAGTGTGTATCATCCCAAAGACAAAAGCCAGACACCAGGCAGCAGCAAAGTCAGGAGTGTGCAGTCCGTCTGTTGACGGCGCCGGTGTATACGGTCATATATTCCGCAGAGATACAAGTCGGGCCGCGCATGAGGGACTCCGCGTCCGCGTCTACCTGGTACCGTTGTACTATGTACGTTGTACTATTCCTCCGCACCCACAATATTGTTTCTCCGATGCCGGGCCCCTGAGGGCTTCTACCCATTTTGGCTCATACCACTATGGCCACGAAGCACTCGAACTCCGCTATTGTTATGAGAGCTACGAGGTCACAGTGCAATGCCCATCAAAAGATGTGCAGCCATGATGCGCTGAGCTGCCTCAAGATAACAGGCGAGCTCTGTGTACTACAACAAGACATAAGCTGAGAGGGATTACAAATTAGTCAGCATACAACATGTACAACGCATCTCGGAATGGAGAAACATTATGCCGGAACCAGCCTCGTGCTCTGCTTTGTCCCTATCGCACAGAAATTGTCGCCAGCAACAGTCAAACTACCATCGCTGGTAACAGCTTTGGTAGAGCAGCACAGCTAGCCAGAAGATGGCGAGCTGGGAAACGCAAGTGACAAGAAAAGCCATCAGAGCTAGACATGTGAAGACAAGTGAGTTATACACGCAGAGGAGAAAGCACATGCTGATGGAGAGAGAGCGCAGAGAGCAGACGATGGTACCACCCGAAAGGCGCACCATGAATATCGGATAGCCACATGGCGAGGAAATCAATTACAGGGCACAACGAATCGATCAATCAGATCTCTCATGATACAGATCCAAATGGAGAATTACCCAGCAATACCCACCAGGCGCCCACTGGAACCGAAGCGACACAGGGCTACAGGGACCGATTGGGGGTATTTTGGGCCCTATTTCGGCACTTGCGAGCATTTTGCGGGTATTCGGGTGAAGCATGTGATCACTGCCCGTTTTCCCTGCGCCGTCACCGCAATCATCATCAGCACCGACTCGGACTGCCACTATTATTACTGCTGCATCTTTTCTCCTGCCCACACACATCATCGCCGCCAGCACCCCCGTTGTTGCTACTCACCACAGCTACTACTACCCCTACCATACATCTTTGCTCTCTCCAATGCTCGAGCAACTATTACCGCTCTCATAACACTCCAGGAGCTCGACACACCACTGCGCACGCCCTCCCATGCCCTCACAATGCACACCCTGCAACGTGTAGATTGCTAGGCCTCGGCCCATTTTCCTTCACCACTGGCAGCCTGTGACGGCCGCACCAACATTCACTTGCCCTCACCAACCGGAAAACCTCAACATCACAACTCGTTACAGCGCTCCCAATGGACTCGCAGTCGCCCAATCCTCCTTACGCCGTTCCACCTCCTTTCTCACCTCCCTTGTCCGCCCAGCGCTCCTCCATAGACGCGCACAAGCCCAGTTCTTTCGACATGGACATGATGCGCTCCGACGATCGCTCGACCAGAGCTGCCAGTGTTCTCTCTGGCATGTCGGCTGAAGACATGGAGGCCGCCGAAACACTGAACAGTCTACAACAAAGTATGTTGCGCATGCGGCGCACACTGCAATTCTCCAAGACTGACATGTGACATTAGAATATCACTCCCCGAGGCAATCTCAACCTGCCCCTACTCTTGTCCAGACCCAGACCACCTATGACTCCGACCAGCCTGAACCACTCTTGAGGCTCTTTACCAGCCAGTATCCTCTGGCAGGAAGTCTGATCAATGGGTCGCTGTCGGCCTACAAGACCACTCAATCATATATCCCTGGCGCCGAATGGACCGAAAGAAATGTGGGGTTGCCCATAGCAGGCACAGTCGCCCGAATATCAGGCGTGGAGGGCGGTCTACGATGGGCATTACAGCCAAAGCGCGATGAACGGTCGACCACCAGCGCAACGCAGCCACCGGATGTAGAGAAGGGCTACTCTGACGTTGCTCCCGATGGTACTCGCCGTTCGAGTTCCGAGATGATGTATACCGAAACTCCTCCAGCATACAACCCCGGCGACCGTTCTCCGCCATACACCGAACAGCAAATGCTCTCGACATCTCGCACAAACCAGCCGCCCCCTGGCTGGCGTCAACAACTCGTCATTTCCACCAGTGGACTCGGGATCGCAATGAGGGAAGAGTCGATCAGGAGTCTCCGCTATTGCTTAAGCTGGCTGCGCTGGGCCAATGGCCGTCTTGATGAAGCCATGCAGAACCTGAGGACTCTCTTGGCTCGCTGGGACGAAGGCATCACCCCTGGCGAGCACCCATCTCCCATGTCTGTGGCCAGCATGACCCAAAGCCAAGAAGAGAGGAGACAAGCCGCGCTGACGGCGCGGATCAATGCCCTCAAGGCCGACGTACTCCAGACCCTCAAGCACGTTGTCGGTATTGTATCCAACTATGCCGGCGGGGCATTACCTCAAAACGCTCGTGAACTGGTTCATCGACACCTGATCAGCCTGCCACAACGGTTCAACATGGCCAACAGGGCCGGAGTGGAAGACTCGGGCCCCAGCTCGGCGGGTTGTTCTGAAGCGGTCAAGAGTGGAAAGCGAGTCATGTTGCTCGCCCAAGAAGGTCTGGACATGATGACCCAGGTCAGTCGGGTGGTCAACGACACTCTTGTAAGTGCGGAGGGCTGGTGTGAGAAATTGGGTAGGCGGCCACCGCCGCCGCAACCACAATCCCATCTTGAAGCACAGGGTATGATGCTGAATGAGAAGATGAATGGCACCACCCGAGAGACTGAGTCGGTGACAGTGACTGCCAATGTGGAAAACAGAGAAGGCGAAGATGTCAAGATGCAAATGTAACAACAGATAAATGCCGAGATATTTGGTATTCTTTGTTGTCTTGTACTTTGGGGACTCTTTTGTCTCCTGGTCACGAAAGGGCAACTTGAACTATAGGATATATTGAATGAATGACTTCAGCATATCATACAATGATGCCGTGCATGAGGGTGATTGACATGCCAGTGCAGTGGTGGAAGACCTCCACGGAAAAATTACCATTTACCATAGGTAGCTGAGTTTCATGCGCACTCCAGCTCTGCTTGAACTTGTGCTTCGAGTTCACACTACAGTGTATCACAAAATAAGAAATTCAAATGCTTGTCCATTTTGCCCATCAATCCAGAAAATATCAATGTGCACGAGCATGCAGACGCTGTATGTTCCAAGTCAATTATTGTGATTTACTTCTGCGTTGTTCTTGAAGTCTATGGACAGTCGAAGACAAACAGACAGAGACGGGAGACAGCACCATGTCTACCTGGTAGAGCCATATGCCTAGAACTTTAGCATTATACTGCCTGCAGAACTACCACTATCACAACTAATGCAGAGAGAAAAGGTATCACTACTACTATCTGTGGCTGTAATTATCCCTACTACTAGGGACGTAGCAGTGCAAATCTCCTGCAGAAAAGCCGAGCACAAGCTCTGTCACTGGCAGGCTAGGGGGCCCTGTCCACAACGCCACGATCACTATTCCTCTTCTTCCTCGGCCACAACAGGGATCATGCCCCGACGAGCAGGACGAGGACTCCCGACCGGCCAGGACAAAAGATCCTCGATCCTCCCGATCAACGGAATCCAAGGCACCTCGAAGCCATCTGTGTCGTCGGCCTCGACCAGTGGCACGACCCGGTAATGTTCCCGTCTCCCTTCTGCCGCTGGCTCAGGAGAAGGAGGAGGAGGAGGAGGAGAGGTCCGCTCATTGCGGCGCCTGATGCGGTGGCTACCAGGAAGGCGCCGACTAGTATAGCTCCAGGAAGAAGCAAAAGGTTCCAGTTCCATGGACCAGACGGGCCAGATACCGCCATGTCCCCACAGTTCGGTGCCCTCGTGGCTGCTGTTGTAGCCACTGTCGTTGTCGTCGTCGTCGCCAGCGTTGGCCCTGGTGCTCCAATTGTCTGCAGACTCCGACTCCGAGTCTGCCTCTGCTTCTGCCTCTGCGAGGTGCATTTCGGCCCTCGTTCTTCGGGCGATTGAGTCGTCGACGTGGAAGTCGACGGCTTCGTTGTTCCCGGGCCGGTCCCAGGAAAATGGTTGGCTGCCTGCCTCTGCTTCGATGGAAGCGGAGCGTCTGGGCATTGGGATGTCAATGGGGGAGGAGGAGGTGCGGGAGGTAGGGGTGTTGGTTCCGGTGCTGCTGTCAGACACCGCCTCGGCATGCTCGATGTGGGCAAATGACCCTGCTTGGCCAAGAGACATGGTGCTTGTAAGCGGGGAGGAGGACGAGCCAAAGGGGTGGGTGTTGCCATTGTTGCTTCGGGAGGACACCATGGTGATGATGTTGGGTGTCGAGGAAGGGAGGTTGGAGTGTAAGAGGTCGTTAAGGTTGAGGAGGTAAGGTGAGGATGAAGCTGGGTCGGGCTTCCGGTGTGAGAGAAAGAAGGGGTGTGGATAACTTGAGGAGGATCCCAGTTATGCAAGAGTAGATGTGTTGTGAATGGTGTTTCTTGTGTTTATGGTGTGCTCCGTATGATCAAAGCTGCTCTTGGGAGTTTGCTGGATGTACAAGTTGCAGTACCAGGAAAAGGGAACATACTTATACCCTTCAACAGGACCTAGGGCTCCAGGCTGAATAGAATGGCACAGGATCAGCGCCGGTCCTCACGGCCCTTTGGTGCACGTAGACAACGGTTCCAGACATAACAACACAGTTAGGCACTCGCGTACCATAGGATATTGTCACAGGTTCTCGTGGTTATGATATGGATCAGGGAAAAGTCAATATATACCCCGACACCAGAAAGCATACTGTGCTTAGAGTGCAGAGGATCCTTGCCGTAACGAAGGATACTGAAACTTGGAGGATACCAAAAAGGACATAGTCAGAAGAAAAGTTTGGTTCCCTTTGCCACGAGGGGAACGCGATCAGTTCAAATCCCTCGACTTTTTGGTGTGAAAAAAGACAACGCGTCTGTACGTTCCAGACTTATCGGCAATGTCAAAGACCGTGGTTTTCTTCGTCGAATAGATGCAATGCCTCGAATCGACCTCGTTGCGAGCTCATCTTGACGCTTCGCTTTGCCGCCCACGAGACGCCTTACCCAGAGGAAAACATACTTTCCAAGTGTGTCCAAGGACAAACTGGACTGAACTTGGCCCAGTCGTGCTCGACGTGGAGGAAAGTTTGCTTGTTAACCCGTGGTACGCGTTTGGCACTAGTCTGAGGAGACCACGGGACGAAAAAGCTTTGAATTCCGGACGATCAGTTGCTGCTATACTTAGTCGATGGCTCAGTCTGATAGTGCTATTGCACATTTCATCTCAGACAAAGTCGGGCGAAGGAGCAGTGCATTTGGTAGCTCTTTGTTTACAGTTTCAAGTTCGAGTCTCGAGGAAAAGGGGAAGCACTTCCAGTATGCAGGCTTCACCGTACATTATACTCGGTGACGCAGCCATACGAGATGCGCAGTTTAGTACAAACAGCATTCACATCGGTTCCTCGACCGAAATCCAAGCTGCAGGGAGATTTCTCCGTCTGTGGGATCCCGATGTGTGGGCTCAAAGACATCCGAAGCAGAAAAAGCAGGGGTTGGCCGGTCTGCGAAGGTTTCCTCAACGGCGATCTGGCGCTTTGCTAGGAACGATACGCACGGGCTAGGAAAGGGTCAGAGTAAAAGTCAGGTCAAGATCCGATGTGATTTGCTATCTATGCACCGTCTGGAACCAGGCCACTCGCCCTCAAAGTACCTAGTACTGTGGCCTGCGGCTACGGACTGACAGCAATGTGAGTGACTGCCGGGCCTGTATGTGAATGGTCCATCCTACCGACTGCATTCAAACCATGTCACCTTTGCCTTCCTGTGCCTGACCTGTCCGGGATCAATACCTGGAAGCTCAAGGCTTGCAGCCTGGCATGCCCCATTTGTCAAAGAAACAGACTCAATTTGGGACCTTGGGTGGCGTTGGTGGTCGTGGTATGGGTCGTGGCATAGGCATTGTTGCTGTCTCCCCAGCCATGTCCTTGCAATTGTTGATCGAGTGGTCTATCTTGGTTTTCTGTGGTCAGCGGCAAGTCTTGATAAGTGGGGCCGCCCTGACCTCTTCGAAAGTACCGCTGCTGGCAGTGGGAATCAAGGAGATGACCGTTGAAAGATGTGCTTTGCTTCAAGTTCTTTGTTTGTCTTGTCAGCAATTTCGTATCAGCATGGGTTTGTTGACGGGATACTGGATGAAATTCGGTGCGGATATGTCGCGGTTGCAGCAAGCTGTTCAGCGAGCTATTTATACCCATCCCCAGGGTGACACGAGCGACCCTGATCACGCGCTTAATGACCTATCTGTGGAATCTCATTCAAGCTGGCGAATTCTCCGAGGAGTGAGCCTGCACATGACGCAGTACAGGCGTCAAGACCTCATCACCGCCGCCGGTGACAGAGTTGGCCTGTGCTATCATGCTGCTTCACTATGCCATCTGTGCCAACAACGGATCACTGAGAACAAGGCACACTCCCACCTCTGCTCTTCCTCTACGACACAATTTCCGGCGAAGACGTGCAACTTCCTTTGGATCACAACTTGAATGGCAGGTTCACGTAGCCCGGTAGCGGGCAAGAGCATCCCACATGCACCTCGTCTGTGGAATTCTCTTGGGACTGGAACTCAAAGCTCTACGAATAAGTCTACCGTTGTTGTCACTCCTTTGCTGTCCGCTGTTGTCACCTTTTGGCTCACTTTTGGGTTGTTTGGCTAGCTCTCTTAATTCCACGAGAGACATATCGCTGCATACGCTAACTTGGCCGTCGTGGGCGCACACAAGTAATCTTTGTACGAAGCACGTTTCCCCCCTGAGATGCCTGGATGTCATTCATCGGTTCCCTAAAAAAGGTGGCTAGTTCTGCAAGTTTGCGCATGATGGCATTCCACCTGGACCCCCGAAGAGACCTGCCTGCTCCCAACATCCAGCCAAGCTCATACTACACGTCCTGGCGTACTACTGCACACGGCAATCCGTCCAAGAAACCGAAGGTGAAACAATGTCATGATTGGATCTTCTCAAGTTCCTCCAATGTCCATGTGGCACTCGACCGAAGCGCCTTCAAGACCTACATACCATTCAAGTCATACGTCGTGACGGTGGCAGGTCAACGTCAGATCACAGTCCGTGGTATTGGAACAGTCGAAATCAAGATACGTCGGGAGCCAGGAAGCAAGGAGAGTCACACCGTCTGCTTGGAGAATGTCCTCCATGTCCCTGAGTGGATTTGCAATATCGTGTCGGACGTGTGCTTCGTTCCCGTGTCGCAATACGAGCACAACTGGACGGAGTTCGGTGTTAACTTTTTTGTGCGAGAGAAGAATGCTTTGAAGCCTTGGGGTTATACGGAGAACTTCTGCGGTCTGGATCGCTTCGTCTTGTCGCGTAATCACCACGGCCGCAGTCCAATGTTGGAGGATCCTGACCGCGAGGTGTTCTCCGTCAGTTTGACATGGCCTCAAAGTCAAAGAGACAAATGGAACGAGGCCATAGCGCAGGGCATGCGGCAAGACGCCGAACGCATTGAAAACGTTATCAAGAAGAAGAGGACCGATGATGAGGCGAAAGGGCTGAAGAGGGAAGTCAAGAGTAACCTTGTCGAAGCAAGCAAATGGAAGCTTATGCCGGATGTGGCGACGACGATGAAAAAGCAATGGAAAAGCGGGCTCGAGGAGATGGATGGAGGACCGGAGCTACTGGCCAGAGGATCAAGTTTGGGTTTTCGGGGCAATGGAGCCTGATCGGCTCAGACGGCTGCCGCACATCAAGATATTGATGCATGAAGTATAGCAAGTTATTGAGAGATGGCAAAAGAGGAGAGAATCAGTCGGCTGAACATGGTCAAAGGTGGGCAGTGCTTGGTCAACTACAAATGTATTTCTCCTTCGTTGGCGGCAGCACGTTATGCTATAGCGGGTATCACGAGAATAGCAACTTGGTAAATGGGTGCTCTACTTGTCGAGAAAGTCTGTTGCCACGCTCAGTGAATCAATCTGACTTCCTTGCCCGGCTCCCAGTCATGTAAGCCCTGCTGCAGACTCCGCCAGTAGTTCAGCCGGATACACTCCCTCTTGGCCAGCTCAATGTCCTCTTTTGCAAAAGCCTCTCCAAGTAACCTCTCAGCCTCCTTGATGCGAGCTTTATTCTCCTCCTTCAACGAGTCGATCTGTTCTTGGGTGGTGGCCTCCTCGATCTGTTCCTGCGCCTCCAAAACCTCCATCAAGGTCTCCTGGTCCGTGAGGTCGCGATGCGTATTGTTATCTTCCGAAGTGATGTCGACCCCATAGTTGTGATGCAGCAGGTATCTTGCGCGCAGTAAGGGGTCGGACAAGGTCTTGTACGCAGTGTTGAGCAGCGAGGACATGCCTCGTGCGGTGCGGTGTGCGGCGTCGGAGTGATGATACTTGTCCGGATGGTGATGGGCCTGGAGCTGCAAGAACTCGCGTTTCAATTTCGACAGCGGGATGTGGAAAGGGCCATTGGGAGGCGGGCCCGCGGACAGAGTCGTCGGGAATAGAGTGTAGTAGTTTGTTATGTCTGGCTGGTTTGACGGTGTCGTAGAACTGTCAGAGGCTGTACTAGATGTCGCGTGATCTTGATCTGGTCCAAGTTGTGATGATGATGGCTTTGTGGCGTTGGCAGTGGAGGTGGTTTGGTCTCTGGTGGTATGTCCTTGTGTTTCTCGAGCTGAGGATCGTGCTGATCCTGCTGCTGCTGGTGTTGTTGTGCTGAAAGATCGTCTCGTTCGGTGGCCGGCCAAACTTGGAGTAGTTGCTAGACTTGTCGTCCTCGAAGGGATAGTGGCTGGGACCAAGGCAATGTGTTGGTCACTAGCATTTTTGCTTCGTGTCCTGATTCCCGTGCCCTCGTGCGTGTGTAGACTCCGCAGATCTCTTGGGGCCCGTGTCGCAGTGACTCCTCTTACTCCTTCGGCGCCGGTGCAAAGGTGCCGGAGGTGGCGGAGGGCTTGTCGTGTAGGCGCTGCGGTCCGAGGCATCTCGACGGCGGGTGATGGCGGAAAACTGAGTAGTGGTGGTATCAGTGGAGAGTGTACTGTTCGACTGGTCTTGTGAGCTTTGGCAACGGCTATATATCTTCTGGTGCGCCGTCGATTCAAAGGCTGTGCGGTGTATCTACCACTGTAGTAAGATGTACAATGTAAATATGGCCAAGATGGTTTCGATCTTATTTTATCAGCGAGGTTAAAATATTCGTCGACGTCATGCGCAGTCCGAGTCGCCGGCACCGGCGCCGAAGATCTACGATGCGATGGATTATTATTTATTCGAATAAGTGTCGTACATACAACATTGTAATTCTTTATATCTCCTCTTACTCGACTTGTATTTTGCATTGCGCGTGTCGAGACTCTCACACACACCTGTGGAATCAAAGATATCTGGATAAGTGGAAGCCTTGCATTGCATTCTATGAGCAATGTCTCATCTGGCTAGCTGTGTACCAGTACATGACTTCTATTGACCAGTACTGTAACACCTTGCAGTATCAAATCATTGCAAGCTTTGGGGTATCTCGAAAACTGCGCCTGTTCTATATTGTCATCGATTCCGTTACATTTTGATACTCTGACATTGTCCATTCACTGGCAAAAACGCCGAACCGAAATCATTGTCGAATCATAAGCCTGGTATCCAATGCCTTGGTGCCTGCCCAATGCGTGACTCGTCTGTCTGTCTGGGGATGTGGCCAGACGCAGCACGGTATCATGGTTAGCGGAATAGTCTGGTCATATCGATGGTGCCAGCCATCGCCTCCCCTCTCTCTGCCACCATCTGCGACGCCAACATCTGTTCACCGCTTTGGCCCCAAGGTCCTGTACCGTAGACTTGCTCGCCAAACATCCTCAATTGCATCGGCATCAAGGCATTTCCGTAATGCTCGATGATGTCGCTCTTTTCGACTGCACAATTCACACTGCTCCAGCCCCCGCGTCGTCCATAGATTTCACATTCAGTAGCCTTCTGGGGTGTCCACCAGTCCGGCAGCAAGCCAGGCTTACGGGTCACCCGCTTGAGGAAACGCCGAAAGCCCGCATAGCCGTTTGGAGCCCCGCCGTAGATGCTGTCTATGTCTGCGTCGCCGAGGAACGTGTAATCGTCCTCCATCCGCAGACGGTAGACATCGATAAGCAGGGCATAGACTTCGTGTTGGGGGCGGTTGTGCAGCCATCTCTTTTCGTGGAGCGCGGTGAAAGGTTTATCAATGGCTGCGCTCCCGGAATGTCTGCTGGTGCCAGTGGTGATAGTCATACCAGGATGGTTGGGAAGCCCAGAGTTGGCTCCATTTGCCGCGTTATTCTTGTTGCATGGCTTCTTGTGCTGTTTCCAGTCCGCGGCCTGGCATTGTCGGGAACAGTATTGAATGATGTGGCATTTGGAACAGCGTTTGAGGTCTGTGGTCTTGCTGCAAATAGCACATTTGCCGGAAGGCGTGTCGGCACCAACAGGCGAGGCGGCGGTGTCAGCCATTTTTAGTCGAAGAGCAGGGATATTTTATGGAGATTAGCCTGTATTCAGGACGTGTATCCGTGCCGGGATTGGAAAGTGTACTGATCAGAGAAGAGCGGTCCACTTTTGCAGTGGTGCCAGTGCTGAGGTACCTGGGCTGCCAGGCTGGACACACATGCCATTCTCAAACCTTGGAAATCATTCAACACCGTCAAACTCTGCACTGCCAAAACCCCTTGTTGACTAATTGCCCGTTTGGGACTAGATTCAGGGTTAGGGGGCTTTTTAGGTAAGCCATGCTGGCCTCGTTGATGACGTAGACAGTGTCACTGCCAACAGCACGCTGCAGTATAAAGCATATCACTGCAAACTGTCCTCAAACTTGCTTCTCGAGCCTACTCTGAAAGGCCTTTTGCAACTATCTGCAACTACAAATCCAAAAGCTTTATCCTTTCTTGGCATCTTCCTTTCCCAAGCACAGACCCAATCCTTGTTAGCACAGTTCACTATGTCTTACGACGATCGGCGTGGGGGTGACCCTCGTGAATACGGCGGCGGTGGCCGAGGCGGTGACAACTACTACGATCAGAACCAGGGATTCGACAGCGGCCCGCGTGGTGGTGGCGGCGGCTACGGCAGGCAAGACTACGGCCGTGGAGACGAATTTGGCGATCAAAGACAGCAAGGACCCCCGGGCGGCTTTGGTGGGAGACAAGATTACAATGAAGGTCCGGGAGGAGGATATGGTGGCGGACGAGGTGGAGGCTACGACGACGAACCACCACGCCATCATGGCCGACGTGACGACGAGGGTGGCTACGGACGTCAAGAAGGGTATGGCAATGAGCGCCCGCATGAGGGCCGTCAGGAGGGAAGATATGGTGGCAGCTCCGGTGGTGAAGGTGGTTATGGAAGCGGTGGCTATGGGGGCGGCTCTGGCGGAGGCTACAATACAGGCTCTGGCGGTGGTTATGGCGGTGGTTCTGGTGGAAGTTACGGAGGCGGCTCTGCTGACTTCGACCAAGACGAAGTACTGCGTCATGCGCAACAGGGCAACTCTGGTGATTCCGGCCTCTTCTCGCAGGCTTTGTCTTTCCTCAACAACAACAAACAGAGCGCCCAGTCTGAGGACCTTGACGAACGTCGCATTCAGCAAAGTCACCAGCAACTCTATCAGCAGGGAGGTGGCGGACAACAACATGATGCATCCAGCTTGGGTGCTGGAGCTGCCATGCAGGCCCTGAAGATGTTCTCAGGTTCCTCGGGAGGTGGTTCTGGTGGCTCTCAATCACAGATGATTTCTATGGCCATGCAGGAAGCATCTCGCCTGTTCGACAACCAGAGCAGCCAAGGCAACGTTCAAAGCGGAACAAGCAAGCAGTCCGTGATCAACCAGGCCGCCAAGATGGCCCTGCAGATGTACATGAAGAGCCAGGGTGGAGGCAGCGGCGGTGCCTCTGGCTTGATGGGCCTGGCGAGCAAGTTCTTCTAGAGAGGAAGACATCGTTGAACGCCCCGCTAGCAAGGGGGGATATGAATAACGTCTACAACGTAGGATAGCTTGCATACCTACAAATACCTTACCCGCCACGCAGAATTTATCCTAGTACTGCCAGTACCCTCTGACTCGGAACTGAGCTGGAACTGCACCTACTGTAGCAATAGTATCTGTACCACACCTAGTAGGTCACTTCTTTGCATCCGTTTGAGTTCCAGCTCCCTCCAGCTGAAGTGCCAGTGCCAGTGCCAGTAGTAGTGCGAGTGACCGGTTTGCGGAGAAACGGGTGAGGTAAGTGTACCGAATGCGCTAGGCTTATCGGGGAGTAGCGTGGCTTCTGGAGCTTATCGTCATCAGTTCGTGATGGCAGGTTGCAGCATTTGCCAGCGTGCAAATGCAACAAATGCGACAAAGCGCCGGCGTCACCCACAAAACCACAGCGACAAACTGCATCGCGGACCAACCAGCAACCGGCGACGGCCAACAACGGACTCCATCGGCTTTCATCCTAGTCGCCCTTTAGCCTCAGCTTCTCCAAGTCCCCTTATTGCCTTTTTCCTCCACGCAACGTACTACTGTATCTCTGCCTTAGATCCCAACTCGTCCGTTGCCTGAATTCTTTTCGCTATTCATATAGCAGGGGGTTGTTCATTCAATACATTATCGTCTCCATTGGCCCCCGGTTGTGGCCAGTGTTTCTCTTTAATACACGTCTTCTGCTTCGTGTGTGTTGTCTGAGAGGAGCCCGCCCACGACAAATATGCGATGCGCAAAAGCATCGTCACTGTAGCAGCAACGGATACAATATCATTGCTGCCTCATTCTGATCTTTGAATCTTCAAACTCTTACAATCATGAATCAAAATCCCCCCGATCACTGGCGGGGTCCTGGAGGGCCTCCTCAAGGCGAACCTCAGCCTCAGGCTAGGCCATACGGGAGCTTTGGGTATGTTTCCTCCTTCAACCCCCAATTTACTGCCAACATGCTTGATATAATGCATCATTCTCTGCATCTTCTCTCGCAGTAGCAACAATGTGCCGTGACTGACTTTTACTGCGCGAAATAGTCCAAACGGCCCTGCGCAAGCGCCGCCGCACGTTCTCCCTCCACCCGCGTCATATCATCAGCATCTTGCTCAACCGTCTGGGAGCCATAGCCTGTCTATTGCAGATCTCACTCAAGGACCACCAAATCACCAACAACACCAGTACAATACTCAACCTCCACCTCCACCTCCACCTCAAGCTCAGGGTCATGGCCCTATGCCCCCAATGGGTCATCCCATGCCTCAACACTCCCCTCAGTACCTCGGCCGTGAAAGAGAGATCCGAGAGCTGCGTGAGCGCGAGATGAGGGAACACGAACTCAGAGAGAGGGAAATGAGAGAACGTAGTAACATTGAGCTGCAACGGCAGCGGGATGAGATCATGATGAGGGAGCGCGAGCGCGAAGCTCGGGAACGAGACCAGCTCGAGCGCATGCACCATGAACAGCATCAGCAACAACGGCCGGTCCAGAGCCACGCTGGCTCAATCCCGATTCATCAGCCTGTCGCGTCCAAGGTGCAGAACTCTATACATGGTCCAAACGGTTTGCTGGCCAACGGAGGTGCTGGTGTGGTCCCCAACAATGGCGCGGCACCATCCACCGGTGCCGGCCTCTTCGGAACAGCTGCACCACACGAATCGCAGCGACCGTCGCAATACATGCCACAGCAGGTTACAGCAGCACCTTCGCAGCAGCCAGGGCAGACTTTTATGCCTGGCCCTTCTCCCATGACGGCCCCTGCACAGCTTGCGCACGGACAGCAACCCATCCTTAACGATGCTCTCAGTTATCTCGACCAGGTAAAGGTTAGGTTTAGCGACCACCCAGACGTGTACAACCGGTTCCTGGACATTATGAAAGACTTCAAAAGCCAAGCGATTGACACGCCTGGGGTCATCGAGCGAGTCTCGAACCTCTTTAATGGACATCCGGCCCTTATCCAAGGATTCAACACTTTCCTCCCTCCAGGCTACCGTATCGAATGCGGAACAGAGGAGAATCCTGACGCGATTCGAGTGACTACCCCCAGTGGTACAATGACCCAGTCTCTGCACAACAGAGGTCGTACTCAGTTCGAGCCTGCGCCCATGAGTCAACTGACGCAGCAACAAGCAGGCCGCCAAGATCCCTTTGAAAGTCGCCATGGATGGGGCCAGGCTCTTGGAGCTTCGCCAGGGACGAGGCCTGCAGACTTGCCAGGTTACAAACCTGCCTCTGGAGATAGACCAATGGACGAAGGCCCTAACACCATGACTCAACAAGAACAACGCAATGTTTCGACACTCCAAAGTGCTGTGACTGCTGTGACAAACGGCATGTCGCGGCCAGCTTTGGCCGTTTCGCCTGGGCCAGGCCAGCCAGGACAGTATCCTCAGCAGGCGGGTGCCTTCGGCGGTAACGCAGCTCTCGGTGAATTGAAGAGAGGTGGACCAGTTGAATTTAACCATGCCATCAGCTATGTGAATAAAATCAAGGTATTTCATTTCCTGAAACCTTTGGCCGCAGCTTCTGTGCTAACTTTGACCAGAATCGCTTTGCACAGCAACCTGAGATTTACAAGCAGTTCCTTGAGATCTTGCAGACTTATCAACGCGAATCAAAACCCATTCAGGACGTCTACGCACAGGTTACTCAACTATTTGTGTCCGCCCCGGATTTACTCGAGGATTTCAAACAATTTTTGCCAGAGTCGGCCGCTCACGGCAAGGCACAAGCCGCTCGTGCAATGGCGCAAGAGGAACAGACAAGCAATGTTCGTGGGGAACCTGGTTACGCAACGGGAGCCATGCCTCAGGCACAGACTCCAAGGCCTGCTTCCAAGATGCCTCCTCTAGGCCAGTTTGACCCCCCGAGTACCAGCAAAGAAAGCAAAAAGCGCCGTGGGGGTCCCGGAGCGAACCTTTCCAACCAGCCCACCGCCCAACAGTCTGTTGAGGCAAATCTTCCACAGAGTAACCGTGCTGGGCCCGTGCAAGTGGGCAATGCTAACAAGGTATGTTGATGGCTTTCTTCACATCCTGCAAATGCGGCCTGTATTCATATCGCCCTGAAGCCTCGAGCCCGCTTTCTCTTCGTCCCTCTGCTGACCTTGATTTTGCAGCGGCCCAAGTTGGCAAATCAGCGTCAACCTCTCACCGAGGCAGTGGTCACTTCACCTACCCTCGTCCCTGCACTTCCGGAGCCTCTTCCTCCGTTCCCCAACCCATCCACTACCCAGGAGGAACTTGGATTCTTCGATCGAGCCAAAAAGCAGATTGGCAATCGCGCGAGCTATGCCGAATTCCTCAAGCTCATCAACCTCTACACCCAAGACCTCATAGACAAGTACACCTTGGCGGACAGGGTGGGATCTTTTATTGGCAACAGTCCTGAATTGATGAACTGGTTCAAGAATTTCCTTGGTATTGAAGAGCAAGACGAGATCATCGAGGCACGTGCTCGCCCGGATCCCGGGCGTGTGAATCTGTCACATTGCCGTGCCCTTGGCCCAAGCTACCGCCATCTCCCGAAGCGAGAGCAGAATAAACCCTGCAAAGGCAGGGATGGAATGTGCTACGAAGTGCTGAACGATGTATGGGCCTCCCACCCGACCTGGGCTTCTGAAGATAGTGGCTTCGTTGCCCACCGCAAGAATCAGTACGAAGAAGCCCTGCATCGAATAGAGGAGGAGCGTCATGACTATGACTTCCACATTGAGTGTTGTCAGCGAACTATTCAGCTCATGGAGCCCATCGTCCAGCAAATTGGGGTTATGAGTGAGGCGGACCGAGCGGCCTTTGTCTTGGCACCTGGTCTAGGCGGGTCAAGTGAAGCCATACCGAAACGCATCATCATGAAAGTGTACGGACGCGAGGTGGGTGGCCGAGTCATGCAAGAAATGTTCGCCCGGCCCACTGCCGTACTTCCAATCGTTCTGTCGCGGCTCAAGCAGAAACTTGAGGAATGGAAACATGTTCAGCGGGAGTGGGAAAAAGTGTGGCGCGACCAGATTCACAAACATTTCTGGAAAAGTCTTGATCATCAAGGAATCAATGCCAAAAATCTCGACAAGAAGAACTTTCAGCAAAAGACCTTGACCAGCGAAATCCAAGCCAAGTATGAAGAAGCAAAGAAGAACCGCGAAAGCGGCATCCCTGCGAAGAGGCACCAGTTGGAGTACAAGTTCGATGATCTTGATGTGATCGCGGATGCTGCCCGGTTGATACTGGTCTCTCTCGAATCCGAACGCGTTCAGTACAACACTTCAGAACAGGATAAGCTCCGTGGCTGGCTTGTTGACTTTGTGGTTCATTTCTTTGGCCTCGATCCCGAGAAGTTCCAAGAACAGATTGACACTGACAGCCTCAGAAACCGAGAGCATGAAGAGGGCGCGGATCTTCAGGAAAGCGATACCCAGGCACCCACGAGGGGAAAATCTGGACCCAAAGCAAACTGGCTAAGGAGGCTAGCGCTTGAACGAAGACATGGCAAAGAAGATAGTGTGGCGTCTGCAAGCAAGGAATCGACGCCTATGCCGGGGGCCATGAGTGAGATGGATTTGGACGAAGACGCAGTATCGTCCGAGACGCCCGAGCAGTCCCAGCGTCCCTGGATCAAGGTCGGCAACAGCGACGCTTCCGCACGTCAGCCCTCTATGGACGAACCATACCCTCACACCACCTTCAACCTGTACGCGAACGCGAACATCTACTGCTTCTTTCGGCTGTTCCAAACCATGTACATTCGACTTCTTGCCATCAAGCAGAACGAAGCCAACGTGGAAGAAGCTGTGGCCAGGTATAGAGGCAACAGCCGCGGGGTGAAGCCAGCCATTGAGCTCCGCATGATTGACAAAGGCCCCGAGTATTTCTTTTACAGCCTCGACGGAAAGCAGAGCTACTACAGCCAGATCCTCCAGATGTGCGAGGAAGTACTTATTGGTACGGGAGACATGAGTCATCTTGAAGAGACCCTTCGCCGTTACTACAACAAGAGTGGCTGGCAGCTGTACACAATCGAGAGGCTGGTTGGAGCAATCTTGCGGTTCATCATGAACATTCTGGCGGGTGACGTGAAGGATAAGAGCATTGACATCACCAATTTGTTCATGAAGGATCGCGAACGGCCAGACACAACCAGGAAGCAAGAGATTCAATACCGCAAACAAGTCGAGCGGCTATCCAAGGACGGCGAAGTCTACCGTATCAGTTATGTAAGTGAAGACAATCCGCCAAATTTGTTGAGACTCGAAAGCATGAACTAACGCATCCTGTGGCAGACCCCGGAGGACCATGTTTGCACGATTCGGTTGTTCCCCTCGGAAGATGCCACTTTCGATAGTGATGCACTCTCAGAAGAGGCCCGATGGCAATATTATGTGGCGTCATATACCATGACCGATCCTACCGAAGGAGTTGACCAGTCCCGCATGCGCCATCCATTCCTGCGGCGAAACATTGCTCCGCAGAATGCCAATGTCGAGTCAGCATATGAAGACGTGTACGGGGAGCTCGAGCACTATGACGAGCAGACTGCCTTTATCAGCCCTGAATCGTACAAGGTATTCCTCCAAAAGGATTTCTGCTTCAACCGACCTAAAGCATTGGAGAAGCCCAGTGCCAAGGGGTACGAAGTCGGCAAGATTGAAGAAAGTGAAAAGTTTCGGGAGAAATTCGTGCGCAACACGGCGTGGATGAAGGACCAGCGGGCCGAAGACGTGGAGCGGAAAAAAGCCGCATGGGAAAGGGGGGTCAAAGAGGGCTTCTCTGCTTTGGGAGCATGATGATGATGTTTGTACAGCAGGAGCAGCAAGCAAGGCTCTGATGGCAGTGGCACGGCAATTTCTGTGCTGTAGAGTACATTACATGCATGACGCATGAGTGGGTTGGATTGATAACGGATAGACAATGGCACAACACACATTTGAATGATCGTGTCGATCTGTTTTGGTACCACAGCTGAGTGATTATTCGATCATTGCAAAAAAAGAAGCAGTACCTATGGCTCGGCCTTTGCGTTTTGATAGACAGAGTCCAGATTGTCGCGTTTGCGCACTGATGTAGCGCTAGGAGTTTCCTTACCTAAATGTGGTGCAGCTAGAATCTGGGCAGCCAGAGGTTGTGTTGTGAATAGTAATGGAAAAATGACGGCAGTGGCGGGTGTCACCGATGGACCACAACCGCGAGACAGTTCGTGAAAGCATAGACCCCCTGCCCGGCGCCGGTCGAACGCACGGGGAATGTTAATGTTTATTTCTCGAAAAAAGTAAGATTAAAATGGCAGTGATGGGAATCCTGTCCATTCACCGGCAAAGTGACGAAACAAAAATCCCAGTTTCAAAGTCCAGCCTGAGACCGGCTCCTGCTCTTGACGAATGTGACTGCATCGTGACACTGGCAGGTGAGTGACAATGTGAGTGACGTGAAGTGAATACGCCAGATGGGCAGGAACCACCTATAAAGCTGCCTAAGGTACCTGGTATCCATCATTCTTTGGGCAGGGCGGGCAGGAACAATGGCATGCCAGTGCAGGTGGACAGGAAATGTTCTGGGCCACCACGGTGGACTTGGGATTGGATTGTTTCTATCCCACTGGCACCCTGCACCGCACACAGGGACACTGTCAATGGATTACCCTGCTACTCTACTGTACAAGGTACATTGGATTACTAGTACTCTGCTACAATCATGATGGATTTCTTGATGAGGCCACCGTTTCGTCCCTTCCCTCTGTGCCATATCACAAGAACACTTTCCAGAATGGATGAAAAACTGGGACCGATTCGAGTTCCTTGCTGGGGACAATCGGATCCTGGGGATGATGTACAAGTTTGTGCGGGTCGACTGCCGGGACTGGTACATGAACCCCGATTACCTGGTCCTGTTCGCGGATCAAGACCATCGTTGAGCGAGGAGGAACTCTCTTCCACACATCGACGAACATGCCATCAATCGAAGGGTTCAGCAAGACAATCAAGCTTTGGGACCCTAAAGAAGACCCATGGAGACGATTATGCTCCTATTTGCCCCTACGAGAACAAATTCGAGGGGATTTGTCTCTTAGCGAAGAGGAGTTAGAACTGGCGGCGGTAATTCGAAATGCTCGTGCAACAGCGCAAGCCAGTGAACGATCTAGACAACATCGGTTAAAGCGACGCGCCGAAGACCCCGATGCCTTTAGAGCGGAAATGACGGCGCAGGAATTAGATTGGCAAGAATGAAATCCAGGAAAGTACAGCAAACCGCCGCCAAAGTCAGAAACAAGGCGAAGGAAGAAAAACGCTTCTACTGTGAAGTGTGCGACCTAGCATTAGCTTCCCAACAAGCATTGGATAGCCATATAACGACTAAACGCCACCACGATGCCGAAGAAGGCAACAAAAAAACAACAATCACGAAGAGTGCTGTGGCTGTAAAAGCGGTCCGGAGTGCGGCCAAGGAGGCGAAGTTGCACTATTAATTGTGCAATATATAACAAGGCTTTTAACAACGACTGGGAATTACAAAGACACCTCACCTAGCAACTCCCAAACATGCCAAACGGCTGGCCAAAAGCACTGGTTCTACCTAAACACCCCCAAAAAACACCTGGACTGTGGTGCCGGTCTGGAAGAATCCAACATCACCAAGAGTGCCGTAGCCGTCGCCTACCCACATCCATACGAAGCCTGTGATTGCCGGCGAGTCTTCTTTTACTCGGGTTTCTCTCGTTCACTGTATTGGACGGCTTCTCTTGATGACAGAGAAATTCCCGATGAAGTGCAATCCGCTGAATGATATTGCAGCGACGATCAGCTTGAGCGAGGCACGCACATGCATAGCCAAGACACACAAACAACAGTCGCAAGCACATCGTCCCAGAGCAACGGCAACTTCTAGCCAGCGGGAACACATGACTGGGAAATTGCAAGCCTGACAGCGGTCAGAAACGCCCCGAAAGAGGGGACTAGACAAGTGCCCGCCACGTCAGATCATGCCCATCTTTGGCAGATCGGCGTCCGGATCGTCGACTCGAACTCCAATGACTGGGTCCGAGAAATGACCATTCATAGACAAGACGACGCTGTGATGACGGGACGACCTCTCCTGCTGCTCGTCGTACGTCGGCGTGGTGCAACCCAAGGCTCAAAGAAGTGGCGCCCAGCCGCGGATAGGACGGTGTGTTCTTAGCAAGACACAACAATGCAGGCCGTAATCAGCCCCTCAAGCAGGAGAGAGACCAAAGGCACTATTCTATAGCACCAACTAGACAAGAGCACCGTAACAATAATAATAATGTTCCAGTGTATCAGATGAGCTTGGCTTCCCAGGAGCAAAGATGGAGACGGGGAGAAACAGGCAATCTTAATGGCGTCCAACTAAGCTTTGCTGCTATGCCACAAGAGGTTTGGCGCTGGCACGTGAAATCTCCGAGAGACCCCCCCGAGGCCCCCATCGGGCCCCTTTCCAACCTTCTCCCCTGAATCCTGGAACCTCACTCTCTCGACGCAGCCACTCGCATCTTTCCTTCGACCAATTCCCTTCGGTCTTCTGCTATCTTCCCCACCCGTAGAGTTCTTTTCACGCCTCAATCTTGGGCCTCGCGCGAAGACCAGCTTCTTCCAGCGCCCATAGGCCGCTCCGCCCCGCGAACTCATCTTGCCCACTGACGAGAGCCTTCGAGGCCCCCCTTCGCCGTTTCAGACCTTCAAATCTCTCTTGCGGCATCCTTGTCCGCTCGCTGTGCTTTGCCGTACTCCCGTCCCGCCACTTGCGTTGATGGAACTCGAAGAGTCCGGTTTGTGTGTGGACATCACTTTACGACGGCCACGTTTGCGCCGGGCCAGTGCCAATGATATCAGCGAAATATGTTGTGCCGGCCAAAACCAGATTCAGAGGCGATCATCACCACTTTCGCTTGCCGCGGTCAACAACACCTTCTCGCCTTGGTCTTCCTCTAGCCATGCTGTTTACCACAACTATTATTATGCGACCCTGGGGCTCAGCCAGGCCGATTGGAGCGAGACCTAAGATTTCACACCAGACCCAAAGTCGCTAGCAGGGCGTAGCAGCGTCGCGGTAAGTTGAAGAGCCTTGCTGGTGCAACATTGCCGATTTCCCTTAGCGCCCAAGGTGGGAACCCAAGCGTAGCCCCATCAACCGCCTCCGAATGGAAGCGCCCCTGTCCGCTGTGCACCGTGCTCGTATCTAAATGCAGCTTGTCACGTCGTTTCCGACCTTTGTCTTCCTCTCCTGCAAGGCTCTACGCATGGTTAATTGAGTTCTTCGTGGGCACCGCCTTCCGACCATCAACTCCCATTCCTCCCACTACCGCGCCACTCTTTTCGCGGGCATTCGTTTTACAACACAAAATCCCCAAAAAATACTCTTACGGCGAAAGTCGCGATCGAGAATTACTAGTAATATACTGGAAATATTGGAAAACTGGGACTCGTCAAGATGAGAGCTGTTACTGTTGCCGCTGCTGGTGCAGCCGTGATCGGATCGGTTTCCGCTGCAAGCCATGTCAAGCACATGCACGCGAAGCTCCATGCGAACGTCGCCCGTGACTGGGTTGACTGGAACGCGACCTCGACCACCACCACGAGTGTGTCACAGCTCAAGACCACGACTACGACAACACCCGCGGCCGCGAGCACCACCTCGGCCGGTAACTGGGAAGACTGGAAGACCAGCCCCGAGGCCACCTCGACCTCGAGCAGCACCACAACCACCCCCGCCGCCGGTAAGACCTGGGTAGACTGGCCCACGGCCTCAACCCCAGTGGAGGAGACCACGACCACCGCAAAGCAGGAGACTTCCTCGGTCCCTGCTGGAAGCACTGAGACCGTTACGTGGGGTGATTGGACCAACACCGAAACCGTGCCTGCTGGTGCAACCGACACCGAGGCTTGGGGCGACTGGGAGGTGACATCCACTGTCACCGTTACCCTGCCCAGCGAAACTCCTACCGAGACTGCCACCAAGCCCGGCGAGAGTGCCAGCGAGACTTGGGGTGACTGGACCTCCGAGACTACCACCGTTACTGTGGAGTCCACCGTGACCACGACCAAGCATGTCCAACCCGTTACTGCCACCGGTACCTGGGGAGACTGGACCTCATCCGCACCGGTCACCAACACCCTCACCTCGACAAAGCCTGCAGCGCCGGCGACTTCTCCGGCTGGCCCAGCCTGGACTCCCGAGTCCGACAGCTGTGCTATTTCTGTCTTCGTCTCTTACGGCGCCCCAACTTGTAAGTTTCATTGATGGTGTTGTTCTGCATTGTTTATGTCTAACACTCGATTCTTTTAGGGTACCCAACTCCTGTCGCCAACGCGTCATCCACCACTCCTGCGGCGCAGACATGGATCGACTGGAACAACACCAAGACGAGCACCACACCGGTTGCTGTGGCCAGCACGACCGCCACTCCTGTGACATGGGCTGACTGGACCTCGAGCACTTCCACTCCTGCGTCGGTCGTTGAGACAACCTCGACCGAGACCTGGGGTGACTGGACGTCTGGTACCACCACCACCACTACTCCTGAGTCTGCTACCGAAACAACCGCGACCGAGACGACTTTGACCCAGACCTGGGGTGACTGGACTGCTACCACTACTACCACCACTCCTGCATCTGCTACCGAAACAACCGCGACCGAGACCTCGACCCAGACCTGGGGCGACTGGTCTTCCCCCTCCACCGAAACCGCTACCGCCACCGTCAGCTCTGAGGGTTCCTCATGGGGTTCGTCGAAGCCTAGCGGCTCTGCTTCCGCTTCCGCTTCTTCCTCCGGCGCCTACGCAAAGCCAAGTGGTGGTAGCCACGGTGGCAGCCCTGGCATTACTGCCAACGGAAACTCCTGGGCTATGACCTACTCCCCGTACACTTCTTCCGGCGGTTGCAAGGACGCCAGCACCGTGTCGGCTGACCTCGAGATTATTTCCCAGAAGGGATTCGCTTCCGTCCGTGTCTACAGCACTGACTGCAACTCTCTTGAGAACATTGGCACTGCTGCACGGGAGCACGGTCTCAAGCTCATCCTGGGTGTCTGGATCTCCTCGTCTGGAATCAGCGGTGCCAAGGGTCAGATTGAGGACATCATCTCGTGGGGACAATTCGACCTTGTTGAGTTGATCGTGGTTGGTAACGAGGCTGTCTTCAACGGTTACTGCTCTGCATCTGAGCTCGCCGAGTTCGTCTCGAGCTGCGCCTCTTCCTTCAAGAGTGCTGGTTACACTGGCTTGATCACCTTGACGGAGCCTCTGTCCATCTGGGAGGATACCAGCGCGTCGTCTGCATTCTGCGAGGTTGTTGACGTCGTCGGTGCCAACCTGTACGCCTTCTTCAACGCCGATGTCTCGGCTGACAAGGCCGGTAGCTTCATCCAAGACGAGATCAACATCCTTAACGGCATCTGCTCTGGCAAGTCCGTCTACGTCTTGGAGACCGGGTGGCCCAGCGCCGGAAGCTGCAACGGTGCCGCATGCCCCGGCGTTGAGAACCAGGCCATTGCGCTCAAGGGCATTCACAACACCGTCGGAGCTCAGGTCGTCTTCCTGAGCTACGAGAACGAGCCATGGAAGGAGCCTGGTCAGTTCGGTGTGGAGCAATACTGGGGTTGCGCCAGTGTCTTTTAAGCGGCGCAACCTTACTGATGCGGCAGATCTAACCTGCGTATTTTGAGAGACAAGGGCACTTTGGGTGTATATGGCGATCCAGATCACTGTTGACGAGACTCATGGCAGGGAGGAGTAAGCGAGCAAGCGACATGTCCTGCACCACGCCACGCCACACGCCAATGCCCCACGGCCATATTCGGGCATTTGCCATTTGTTGTGTGTGTGGATTAGCATCTCTTTGTTTCCGGTTTTTCTTTATTTCATGTACTGTACAATGTTGAAATCATCCTTCTGCTGTCGAGACAATTGTCGCCTGTGAAATCAATTAGATCTGCCGAAATGCCCTGGCAGCAGCTCTCAGGGTATGGAAAAGAATTACATCACACAATTGTCCTGGCAAGAAGTTGAATGACCGCCCGTCCATACCTTCAGCCTCGCCGGGGTTTCGCGCTTGGATGTAGGAGTCCGCATGTATGTACATTTTACGATTAGCATCTTGCACAATTCCATTGATCCCACCACCATCAGGATGCTCGAGGTCCCAGCGATCCCCAGTCCCCTGACATTCGTACGCTTAGAATCTTCACAACATGGGTGGAATGGTGCCGAGAACTCAGTCGTGTGATGGACCCAGTGGTCGAGGGTCTCTGCTGTCATGTTGATCGAGGCGGTGTCTATCATCCCCGGACGTCACTCTGACCGACGTGTATCCCCTGCTAGCGGTGTGGGTTTCGTTCCCGGATGCTTGTTCCAATCCTTATTTCAGTCCTTAGTATTCTATTGATGACTTTCCCCGTGGTTGCTGCTCTTCCTCGACTCCTGGCACTTGAGGACACTCGATCTTTCCCTTCTGTATTTCCCTTCTGTGTTCTTGTGCACAGTAGTGTATCATCCGTCTCAGAGTCATGGGCTCGAGCTTGTACACCATTTTCTGCAAGCAGCGCAGTCGTCGCCGGACCGCCGTCCATCCCTAACGGCTGACGCACGTACTCGTCGATTCTCTGGAGGTAGTTGGGCGGACCAGGGCAAACTCTCGACATGGTCGGCCAATGCGTGTTTCCACAGCCCGCTCGCCTGCAAGCACAATTTGAATGGAGTCGTCTTGGACTTGGGGCAATCCTGTTCAGGTTCGCAAAAAGGCAACAAGGCAACCGCTAACACCGCACCAATGCGCCCGCCTGGAAACGGACCGGACAGGCGAATCAACGCTGCGCTGTTGATCAAATGGGGCCTCAGCCTGTGTCTCGAAGTGAAGATATTTAAAGGCCAGTGCCAGCCCGCGAGTGCTTTTGCATTCTGTCTTCGTTATGGCCCATCTTCCTGTCTCCAATGGGCGTACCGTTGTACACTTGTACCACTGTACCACTGTACCACACCGTCGCACAAAGATGTGGTTTTTGGGGGCTTCTGATGGGCTCGGCTAAGTTTTGCAAACCCTTCGAGATTCGCCTACAGGGCCAACAACGTCTCAAATCAATGACGAGCCATCTGTCCGAGCGAACAGCGGCAGAAATATACAGTACACTTGCAAAAGCCGGGCTGTTGCGGCTCTGCCGCTTTGCCGGAAAAAATGGTTCTCGGGGGCCGTGTATGGACCTGCACCTGTGGGTGGGTGGGTGTGTGTTTGCGTGTGTGCCCTTTGGCCCGCTCCCAGTCCCTTTCTGCCCTGGTCCTTTGTCCAGGTTGTTTGCTTTTGCTTACAGAAGCGCCTCATGCGCCGCGGAGCCTAAGTCTCTCTTTGCCTCAGAGGGCACGCGAGGTCATCAAGCATGTTAATTGGGCGAGTGGTTGTTGATGCCGACAGCAAGGGGGCATTCGACAACAACGTAGTCGGCATGGGAGCGATTAGCCGATCATCTTCACACCCCATTTCTACCATTCAGAAACCCTGGTGTCTGCGCAAATGCCGGCATCCAAGCCGTGTTAGCCTACAAATGAGCGAAGCTCTGATCATTGGGGCTTAAGGGCGACAAGGGACTCCGAGTCAGTCAATCGCTGGACCGGCACTTTCGAAGCCAGCTGAGGCGCTAAAAGATGCCTCATGGCTGCAACTTGGTGTTGTTTCGGCATGATTTACTTAATCCCACGAGACCTCTGCATACGCGACTGTCGCTCGTCGTTCATTCGGCCAAGGGGCCTGCCTGGGTGATGCTGCTTTCGTGGGGGAGGCACTCGTCGCTAGTGTTTCTGTTACGTTGCGTGGTATTTGCTGACTTGTGGACAGTAACATATAAACTCTTGTTACAAGAGCCGGCCGCTGATCACTCGCTCTGTGGAGGTCCGACCCTTTTTTCTCGCTTTCCTAGCTCAGCCCCTACTACCTAGCGCTCACGATGAACCAGCAGAGCTTCTACGGAAACTCAATCTTCGGGCAGCCAGCCCAGGTCTATCCCCAAGCCCGCCCCTATAGTCTGCCTTTTTTCTTCCGAATCCAGGACATTACTCACCGCCAGGATCCTCACAGTCTTCCGGCAGGGACGGACGCGGGCTTTTATTGGTCTCCTCCTATGAAAAAGGACCAGTTTGTTCGCCTGCATTCGCATGCTTGGGCGGCTTGGGACCCTCATCAGCATACGTACAATCCCATGCATGTTGTGCGCCCTATCACGCCGGAGGAGAATCACCGTCGCGTCAGCCACAGGACGTGCACGATGTTCTGGGCCCCTGATCGCCATGGGTACTTGGTCGTTCCGGTGAATTGCTTGGAGATTGATCTGGCGAGGAGCGAATACCCTTGGAAGCGGCTGTCCTTTGGGCGATGCAGTAGGTCGGCCAACCGTCACATTGCGCTTGCCGGCCATGACATGGCGGTCTATCAACTTCACGAGCCCGGACCCGATCACTGGTTCGAAGAACTGCTGCCCGTCGTTTGCCAGCCGCCCATTTCCGCCCCCAAAACTTGCACGCTGGCGGGGGAGCTCAATGTCCTGGTGGCCCTCGTCGCCTTCTCCGCAAACCAAGCGAATGAAGTGAATGCGATAAGACATTCCTTCCGCCCCGACCCATCGTCGACTCTGTTTTGCCCTAATCGGTTGCCCAAGGCCCCGAGTAAGTCTCGCAGCTTTTTCATTACGAGGATGGATCGTAATTCATAGCATTTCCTCATACCGCCTTCCATTGTTGGGGCTATATGTTTACAGGAAAGTAACGGCCTGTGGATCATGTGCAGCACTCTGACTAAGGTTGATATCTACGCAGAAAATCTCATCCGTGGCATGATCGTCGATATCGCCTTTGATCCCCACCGTATCACTCAATCACACCTTAAGGACTGGGAAGACGGATGCATGGGCGAAATCTTTCGTTAGCCAGGCGCTCGACACGACTACGACGACGACAACAGCTCCCCTGCAGGACTGGGGGCGCTATTTTTCCAATTTCCATTGAAGAGCCCGTACGTTCCTCTTCCCCATCATCTTTTCTTGACTTGGGCTGTGAAGATGCGGTCTCTCCAGTCTTCCATACCCAGAGAGACAGCCCTTCCATTGAAGCAAAGACGGCACGGAATTGGTTTTGGAACCAGGAATATCATTCCCTTTCGCTTATGACTATGCGGAAATCCCAAAGGCATATAGTGAATCTGTTAGGCTTGTCCTCAATATAGCATGAACCAGACTCATATTTTTTTTTTCCATGAGCATCACTGTCCCTTCTCTGAACTGTCGGTGAAACAAGTCTGTCTCTCATCTATGCACTGCATACTATGACGACCTTAACAAACGTGACGTGGCAAGTGCGACTCTTCACCAGTTCTTTCCTCTACCACCTGCCTAGGTATAAGTACTCTTCTGCACTCAAATTCCAAGGCTTACTTGCAAGTCTCAGACGCACATTGCCCCAACTTGAAGAACTTCAGATCTCTCTTCTTGTCTTCTCCAGTCAACTTTCCTTACAGAACATCACGATCATGTCCAGCATTACGCAAGTTCACGTAAGTACCTTGGTATGCAAATTGTGTCTTCACTACTAACACTTACATAGCCATTCCAGCCGTTGTTCGATCGATGTGCACCCTTTTTCCTTGTCGAGCAATCTGCTAGGGCCGTTCGACATCATGAGCTGTACGGTCTACAACTGGAATTTGATCGGAACATGCCAAAAAAAGGTCACTATTCAAGAATCCCAGCCCAAATCTACTATGCTGAGCTCGGGCATGGAAGGGAAACACAAAATTCTGCTTCTTCTCACCTTTAAGCCTAATACCAATCTCAACCCACCAAAACCAACTGTTCGGGACGATGCTCTCGCCCCAGGCTCTCCAATAATCAATCATTCTGTGATCATCACATTCCTCAAAGTTGAAGAGGGGCCAAGGCAACAACGCGACAGGATATCATTTCCTTCTTTCTCAAGTTCCCTGAATGTCGGGCTTCCACTCAATATGAAGTACGACCTTGCTATCCATACGAAGTTGAGCTGTCTGCAACCATCAAGAATATACATCATGTACGTCCATACTATGTTCTGGACCTCAGCTGTGCACTTGATCTGACTATGTACGTGTCACATTAGGCAGGCGATCGGGTTCGGAACCTTTTCCCTAGGGGGAATCCGGACGAAGAACAGATAGGGGGAATTTTCCAGTAGAAAGACGGCCAGGATAAACTTGAAGAAGTAGGCACATGGATCCTGGATAGTCTTGATGGCTCGAGATGTCGAGTTCAGGTTGGAAGCTGCATTTATTGACACTGCCAGCTGGCGTTCATGGGAACAGCAACTGTATGAGGCTCTCTAGAGTACAGTGGTGCAGGTTCCTGCCATGGCGGGACGCGGGAGGACAGGGGGCAGTGGTTACCTACGCTTTGCTGCGGCGTCAATGATCCATGGTGCATGTTCTGGCGCGAAGTGTATACCTAGGTATGGTGATCATATAGATAGGCTAGACAGGCGACTACATGAGCTCAAGTTGTCAGGAGAATATGGCCCTGGGCCCTGGCCTAGCCTTGATTATTGCCTACTAGTATCTATCATGGAAAATCCCGCCGACGATGAATGTGGTTCAAGTTAGCATGGTGGATCAGCATCAGCTCTCAGCTCATGATACATGACTTCGAAGGATAGTTAGTTAACCCACGCCCACTGTCGCTGCACTGGCACAGCATGATCCAACAGATACAGATGATTAATGTGTCAGGTGGCGTGTTTGAACAACCGACGCCCGTGGCGATCGAACACGGACTGGAACCATAGAGATCTTGTCTGCTGACGGACAATTTAATTATTGATCTGGTTACCTTTGTTATCCGTAAAATTCGTAGGGTCATTAGTCGTTAAAAGCTAAGTCTTCGCTTCCGCTATGCTCTATACCTATACGCTTAAGAATAGAAGGGAGAGGAGGAGAGGGTACTGCTGCTGCTGCTGCTACTGGTATTTGTAGTCTATCGACTGGGGATCGAGAAAGGCTTGGTTGGAGGACGCGCCGAAAAATTCCTGTGAAAGCTACAATTCACTTGGACGAGAGTTGCATTATTCGATTGGTCATGGAGAGTTCTATCGATTTCACTACATGTTGAAAAATATTTCCTAAATCCACTGTCTAACCCCAAGGGGGAAACCCACCTCTGGAAAGGATAAGATAAGAGGATCCCACCATGTCCTATTGATAAGAAAAGAAGACTTCCCCGCATCCTACCGTAGAAATGAGAAGAAGCGCAGAGTCCAAGCAAACGGCAGAGTTCTGTTATCTTGTTCGTACAATATAGCGGAGTCGGCGGAGTAAGAGAATTTGGTACTAGACTAATATTAGGTTACTCTGGGTGTCTTAGTGTTCCCGATTTCTGGAAACTGAAGATATTTCCTCGGCTCACGGCTGTTCGGGTCCCGTCAAAGGTAAGGCTAGGATAGTAGTGTCTGTAGATAGGGAAGCTTGACCTTCGGTCCTAGGTCTGGCGAGCTACCTATGCCGTGTCGTGTGCGGATATCCTCAATAGCTTCAACGCCCCAATACAATTGCCAGCCGTCCCAGAGGAACACAGTCGGATCCATAGATAACGTAGATAGTTTGTCAAAGAGAAGAGAGGACCAGCCTCGTGGACATTTAAGGGTAACGACAGCACCTCCCGCCCTGCAACTCATGCTGCTCTCCGATCTGCTTTCTCCCGTCTAATCTATACGTTGCTCAACCTAATAAGCTTTACCCACTATGTACGGCCGTTTCGTTGCTGGCGTTTGCCTGGTTGCCGGAGCCCTCGCTGCCCCTTGTTGTGCACAGACCCTTGAAACCCTTGATTATATCTCAGCCAATGCCTCGTTGCCCAAGGTTATGTAAGTCTATCAGCAAGGTTCATGCATTAACCCAAACTATCATTACGAGGCGCATCTCGGTATAAAATGCTCAAAAGTCAACTCGGCTAACTGGAAACTAAAGTGTCTTTGGCCCGCTGTCAGCCACCTTAATGTCAGCATCCAACTGGAGTGCGGTAGACAACATCAACTATGGCAAGGGCGTTGGCCCAACCTTCCCGGAGCTCGTTGCAAATGTATCCGAGGTGTTACAGGTTGCCCAGCTGTCCTATATCGCCATGTCATCCCCTAGCGGCAGCTCAAACATCAACTCGTCCACTTTCCTGAATGTATCGCAGATCGCAAACAGGCTGCTCTGCGCGGAGGGTTCTGATATCGCTGGCGCCGTCATGATCCACGGCACGAACACGCTTGTGGAGACGGCCTTCGGCGTTGACCTGACCCTCCAGTGCGACAAACCCTTTATCGTCACAGCTGCCATGCGGCCCAACACGTACGTTTCGCCGGATGGCCGTGCCAACTTCTACCAGGCAGTCGCCGCTGCCGTGTCCCCTGATACTGTCGGCCGCGGTGGCCTGATAGCCTTGAACGACCGCCTGACCAGCATATTTTACTCAACTAAGCTGGACGCCAACACGCCTGATACTTTTAAAGCGCTTGAGCAGGGTAACGTCGGCGTCTTCCTGGCCGGCCAGCCGTACTACTACTTTGACGCTGCCTTGCCTACTGGCCGGCCCTACTTCGACATCACCAACACGACGACTCTGCCAAGTGTAATCACCCTCTACGGACACCGTAAGTTCCATCAAGATCAAGCGAGGGAGTAGCTTGGCATCTTCAGTGCTAATCCCTTGAACAGAGGGCTTTGATGCCTCTCTCATGTACGCTGCAGTCGCCAACGGAGCAAAGTGAGTCATAGTGCCCTACAGGATGACTAGTACATATATGTTCAGGTCTGACTAGTATCCAGGGGCTTGGTCATTCTCGGCGCCGGCGCGGCCTCGCTTAGCACTACGGCGACAACAGCCGCCGCTGATCTGTATGCGCAGGGCATACCCGTTGTCGCCGCGCCGCGACCCATCACCGGTGCTGGCGTACCAGGAATTAGCCCCGGTACAGTGTATGTAAACCGCAAAGTTTGCAGCTCAGAATCTCGTCATGGAGCATCATTCTATCCGAGATTTTTTTGGGGTCATGTTGCTAATGAAATGTAGGATCAAATCCGGCTATGTCGGCGGCGATCAGGCTCGCATCATGCTGCAGTTGGCTATCAACGCCGGTTACAGTCTCGACCAGATCCGCGACCTCTTCGAGGGCCCCTTGCGTAACGCCATCTATGGTCCTTATGCTAACCAGCTTTTCTATGGTCTCGTGCCCAACCCAGACGGTATCTTCTAGAGATACTGTAGACATAAATACGTATAGATCTTTATGTTATATATAAGGCAACAGCAGTCGTCCCAAGTTGATACGAAAAGGGGATGGCTTCCATAGTGGGTCCCCTTCCACAACCTGCTGTTAATAGAGTCAAATTTTTAGTTTTCATACCTGACTTACTGAGCCATTGCTTGGCCGCGCGCTTCTACGTTTCAGTAAGCGCTTCGGAAAATGTGCGCCTTGATATTCGTGACGGTGATTAGTGGAAAGCGGATGGGATCCACTAGTCTGATTCGTAGAGCAATGGCCCGGAGCTTGTCAAGATGGCGAAAGTCGTCGGGTGATATTGCCAAACCACTCTGGATCACTTGGATCCTCTATGGAGCCAAGCACCTTTCGGAATTAGATGCTTCTGGGTGGACTTGAGCTTCTTGTGAGTATTCTCGTCCTCGCCATCAACCCCAACCATTCAGCACTGACCTGAGTGAGTATCCTGAAGATACTATTACTATTCTCGCAGCAAGATTGGGACCCAGTGGGCACCTGGGCCAGGCAAACGCATTCAAGGTTTGATAACATCTCATCCCATATGTTGCACGGAGCCGAAAACTGACAAGATACTAGAGTTCAGCCGCTGCAGAAGATGGCATCAACACCTGTACAAAATGCACCGAAACTCGGGAAGCCTTGCATCACTAACGAAGCAAGCCACCGGAATATAGATATGATCCCCTGGATTGCTCTCACCCGGGGGCCAGACGAGGGTTCATATTGATTAAAAAAGTCACCGGACATTCTTGACTGTCTACTATATTTGTCAATGATACTCCAACACAATTTGTCCAACACAAAGCTAAGAAAGTGGCAACGCAACCGGGCCCGCCATGGTTGCGAGGGCCAGGTCATAGTAATTATCAGGCAATTGACTTGTGACCGCTGCAAACACCGCCCCATTGAGTCCTTGTGGTACATCCGCAACTCCCCTGCCTTGACCAACGATCGACAATACCGTATACACCGGCACATTCAGCTGGTTGGTCCAGCCGAATAACCACTGTTTTCCCTGCTCCAAAACGAAAGGCATCTGCATCGGATCCCACGAGAATGCCATTTCTGACGGAACCACGGTGGTGTTCGCAGCGGCAGCGGGGGTCGTGGTGGTATTTTGATATGGTGCGATGCTCGACGCTATTCCCGTGGCCCCTGAGGATCTGTTGTCAGCCGTAGTCGGGGCTGACACCGTTAACGTGGGCAGAATTGGTAGTGGGAGTTCCGTTGGACACGATCCAGGCACGATAAATGGAAGAGCCAAATTGTATGCCCAGATACTGCTAATCCCGGTGTCAAATGGAGCTGGGTTAGGGACTCTGCCACCCACATGGCGGAAGAAGGCGTCATGGCGGGACTCGACTGTTGATGTTGGAGCGTTGCTGTTTCCGCCAGGCCCTCCTGCGCAGCCATCTGATCAGCAGCCAGTAGCACACGAACGTGAGGCCGATGCCGCCGACCACGCCACTCACAACCGCACCAACCAGGCCGGCCCGGGCGAAGGACGATATCTTGGTGGATTTGGCGGGAACTGGGGTTGTATCGGTGCAAAGTGTCTCCGTCATTACATATGGTCCGTATTGACGAGCCGAGGCGAGGTGAAATGCTGGCGGTTTTGAATCATAGTTTGCGACGAGATAAATATTCGAAAGGAATGCGGAGCCTAGCAGACCGACTCCTGCACTATCGCTTCCGTTATTGCTGGAAGCCGTAGTATGCCCTGCTGAGATTGGAGAATTGTTGGACACGTTGCGCAGCCAGTCTGAGTCGTAAGTCATGTTGAAGCCACCTTCCAATGAGATTGTAAGTGTTGAATCAGTGTTGTCTGGAAGCCGCAGAACGGGGTTGGCACCATCGGCGGGCGTGGCGCCGGTTGCATCGGCAAATTTCTGTGTCACACTTCCAGGCCAGCTGAGCTGATACTGACCCGTAGTAATGTATGCGTCGAAACTGGCATCGAGCAGATTCGTCTTCTTGCCATCTGCATCAGTGAGAGTCATTTGGGCGACGGAGACCTTGAAAGGGCTATGGCCTGCTTCAGCAGATGCGGGCCCAATTGTGAAATTGTACACATCTCCCTCCAACCGACCCGAGTCGTACCCGCCAAGCGTTAAAGAGCCGTTGATTACGCCATTGGCTGCTTCATATCCTGTCCCCATGTACAAACCAAAAGACCGGGTGGCAATCAGCTGTGCATCGGACAGGTGGCGCAAGAGGGTACTTGAAGGACCCAAACCGACGAGCCCTGCCGGGCCAAACCATGTCGTCCGATTGGAGGAGTAGTTGGAGAGGACAGTGACAGGGAAATCATGGATGTGAGTTACATTTGGGGGAGAAGGGTCGAAGTAATGCGTGAAGAGATTGAATGTGTCAATCGCGGTTTCGACAATTGTGGCTGGGATGGACCCTAGCTCGTCGACCGACTGGTAAGATGAGCCGGACGAGTAACTGTTGTTTCGACCTTGGTCAATTCCATGAGAGCTTTGTATCAGGAGCAAAACTGGCTTACGTCTTGGACAAGTCTGGAGAATAGAACCCATGATTTTGCGTTAGGCAGTCTCCAAAGGGACTGGTGCCGCAGTAGTCCATATTTCCTACTGTTGTTTCGTTGTTGAACGAAGGCCACTGGGATAGATTCTGTGACGTCGGGCTGCCGATGCCTGTGAAGAGACCATATTGGAACGTGATGCCGCCGTCGACCGCTCTGCTGTGAAAATCCACGAAGATGGGTGGCGTAGAACAATTCTCCCCGGCAACGAGGGCGGAGAGCAACATCACTAGGCTAATAACGGCGGACATGATGAGTGAACGACCAGCGAGCCGAGGCGGGCTCAAGGCGACACGAATCAACAAAGCGTTCTTGTCCGAACCGAGAGATGGATGGTCAACGAGACGCATGCACAAGAAGTGCAAAGAAAGAGGATGCAGCACCTCCGAGGACAGCAAAAGGGAAATGTAGACTTGAAGAATATGTTGCTGATGAGAGATTCATAGCCATAGAATTCCTGGGCATACTGATAGTCTGTCGCGGCCAGGCTGGCCGACATATCCAACTGCTGGCATTCAGCGAAACAATAGAGTAAGATCTGACGCCTAGTGGGGCTATGTGAGGCATCAATACCAGAAATACGATTGCTTTGAGTTCCTGTCGACCGTGTGTAGCTGTCTGAAGCAGCATGGCGAGGCCTGAAGCAATATCCAATACGAACTCAAGCCGTGAGAGCATCCAAATATAGCAAAGGCAACGTGCATTGCCGCCGAACGATGATCCAACCAGAAGTATCCTTGGCGCTGACCGCGAGGAGGGAGACTGTCCTGCCCAATTGGGGTACAGCGGCAGGGGTCCGCAAAGCCACTCTCCTCCTTCTCGCGGCTTCAAACATGATAACCGTGATAACCGCCGGCCAGTCGGGTCCTGACGAGGTCGAAACAATTAGGCGCGCCGATGCCAGAGTAAGGTATGTTCAAGAAATCCCAAAGCTTGCTTCACTCCAAGTCCTGGCGCATATCCAATGACGACCAAACCCTCTCAGATGACCCGGCGACCGGATGCTATCTGTGTCTCCTGCTATGCGAGTTGCCGTGTCCAAAGCTTTCTATTCTTTTGCCCTTTTCCTCACAAGATTATCAGGCAATGCATTGCTTGTTTGGCCGGCAGATGTAAGGCCACCCCCGGATGACGCGGGGTTGTCCCCAGAGATGCTGTCCACTTTTCTTTTTCTGCGGATGCCAGTGAGTACATTGACTTGAGGCGGGCCGTTTTGTTCGAGCCCTTTCGCAAGGGTCAGCGTTCGCTCGCCGGTTACGAGATACCCAAGCCCGGCAGTTCCTGAAAATTCCAATGTCTTATTGATCCATAGTTTGGTGCTTTCAACAGCGACGGCCTCACCAGCGAAATCGCTTTGCAGCAACTGGTCCATTAAAGCCTGATATTGGTTAGAGTCTAATACTGCTTCTCCGTGCGTGCCAAGGGAGTCGGCCTTTTCTGCTGTTGTGGTTCGTTGATGTAGTCGTGGCAGACTGGGCGGCGAAATAGTGCCGCCATTGTGGTTGTTGTGGTTTTCATGGCTGAAAGCCGCAGCATGATATCCCTTCGTACCGGCAGCAGGCGAAGATGGAGGTGTTGTCTTGGCCTTCTCGATAGCCTTGGGGTCGACCAGCGGCTCCAATGCAAGACCCGGCTTCTCGCTGGCAAGTGGTTGAGACGCTTCAGGCGTGGGAATTTCTGACCGGTTTAGTCCTTCCATAGAGCGGTCAGTTTGCCCAGCCTTCTCAAGCGCATTGAGCGACTCGTGTCTAGTCCTTCCCGGCGAAAAGACGAGCCAGAGAAATCCGACCAATCTGCCTGCCGAGCATTCTTGTCTGTAAGACATCATTTCCCAAAACTGTTCCAAGGTTTTCACACTTCGCCATTGTCCTCGGTCGTCAACAAAATCCCCGTCCAAGTCATCAAGAAATCTAGACTTTGGGTCGTCAGGCAAACGCGGGACTAGGTGCCGAGGCGGCTTTGAAATGTCCGTCACGAGAAGTTCCACTGGGTATGAGTTGATCCATTTTGGATCCGACGGCGGGTCCTGACGGCTTGATGGTGGAAAGAAGGCTCTTGTCTCTGCCTTGTCGCATCCTGGGACCAAGAGGTGTGCAGTAGCTGTGCAGGGGACGGATTTGCCCTCGTCATGCTTTCTCAATACATTGTCTAGCACGCGACACCACCACTTGATGAGCTGTCTATCGTCGAGGACATGCTTTTCCTTATTCTCAATGCTTCCAGGAAACAGATACTGGTTCTGTGAACGGGCAAAGAGGGACAAGACAACCCTTGACCTGATCAAACGAGGTTCAAGTAGAAACTCAATAAAGGTAGAAATGATGGTCCCGATGACAGATGGAGAGCGTTTTGGCGCGTTAAGGCGGGACGAGAAGCCAGAGGAATCAGCCTTGGACACGAAAACAGTTGTTGACTTGGGGCTGCTGAAGATCAATATTTCCACGGCGTAAACCAAAACTTCCTTTCCATCGTTAGAAGGAGGCGAAGCTACCGCAAGGAAATGCGATTCGCACAGAGTTGGCTCATCTTTCTCCCCTGGCACGGGTGCGAACAGCGGGCTTGTCGAGCTGGGGGTTGTAGAAATATGGTATGCCCAAAGACTGATGCCAATCGGGAGCGCAGCAGCTAGTCGGGACTGCAAAGCTGACTTTGCTGACATCTTTACATAATGATAAAAGCAATTGTCCAACAGTAGTCGACAAACAACCTGCTAGGCATGGAAATACTTTATGTTGTGGCTCACGAGGACTTTGAGGGAAGAGAGAGATGCGAGCATGTCCAGGAGCGCGTTACTTTTGTGGAGAACGCGCCAAAACGTCGGTATTGGGTTAAGCATATTGTGAGCGGGCCAATCAGCTTGGATAGCGCTAGCCTATTTCCTGTATCTGCAGCACTGCAATACAGCTTTTCTGCATATACCTGCAATACAATATCGTAACTAAGAACAAAAACTGGACTGGCATGATACCGTTTGTCCCCGGATTCGGAGGGTGAGCCAACACTGTTCTAACCTCTGGATTGTGAAAAGGAAAAAAAGAAAAATGAACATAGTTCAAGTGGACAAAATTTTTGTCGTCTGTGTGGATTGAACACACGACCTTCAGATTTTATGACCGAATTTGAGACTTCAGTCTGACGCTCTCCCAACTGAGCTAAGACGACTTTCTTTGTCAAAAATTGGCGGCGAAAATTTATAAATGGGCAAACCGTAACGCCAAGCAATAGCCCGACACTTGTCGTCTCAGTCGCTGGATGCTGCTACAACCACCCTGTTGTACGTTGTAGGTGCTGTATGCACTGGGAGTCTACAACTACAACTGGCCGCTGAAACCATCAACGTCTATCATCATTGCCGTGTTCTTCATGCGCTCCAACACTTCCACTGCAAAGACGTTTCTTCTTGACAGTGCAGGGCTGTAACTTTCCAAAGCTAAGCTACTGCGCCTGGCGCGAATCCCGTTACAAGAGCTTACCTGCACTTGTGTGGACAAAATCATGCTGTAGCTGACCTCCAGGCCGTTGTTCTCCTCCTACTTTCGTGCTAACCGTGATTTCTACTGCCAGTTCCGAGAGAGAAGCATTGTCTGAGGCACCTCAGCAAGACAGCGAGGGTCAGCAGCAGACGGAAGACGGTGAAATTAGCGAAAAGGACGTCCGAACGTCAGAGTCCTCAGATCAAGCACCCAAGGGCGACGACGCAGTCAATCCTCCCCTCCCAGCCGAGGAACCACCTCCACCTTTACCCGACGGGGCACCACCAACAGAACCAGTCGATGACGGGTGGGAACCCATTTGGGACGACCGAGCGCAAGCATTCTATTTTTTCAACCGGTTTACCAAAGTCACCCAATGGGAGAATCCAAGAGTGCCAGAAGCGTCGCAACCAGTACTAGTACCTCCGGGCACAGAGAGTTATAGCAGAACCGTAAGCCCAGCAGAGATGCCTCCCACAGGACGTGTGGGAGGCTATGATCCCGCCATTCACGGAGACTATGACCCCAATGCCGACTACGCAAAAACCTACGAGACCCAAGCGGACATTGACGCGATTGGTGTTGCAGCTGGAACGGCTTCCACGGACCCTTACGCCGCGACTGGCACCTTCAATCGTTTCACAGGCAAGTGGCAGCGTGCCGATCTCAATCCGGAGAGATTCAGCGACGAGCAGAAGAGCCACAGGCAGATGAACGCGTTCTTTGACGTGGATGCGGCTGCAAATAGTCACAACGGAAAGAGCTTAAGAGCAGAACGCGCGAGCAAGAAGCTGACCAAGGCCGAGTTGAAAGCTTTCAAGGAGAAGCGAAGAGAGAAGAAGGAAGAGAAACGGCGCGCATGGTTGAGGGATTGATCAGCCTCGACACTGTTATTGCTATGAACGGGTGTCTGAGCAGGGGATGCACCGTGGTTTGCAAGGGGTTGGAGTACATATTCTTAGCCTTTTGGATATGCCAATACTAGTAATGACCCTGTTGAACGTGTGCATATTGTATGAGCTTGAATGAGAGTGTGCGCAACCGCAAGGCTCTCCCGGTGACGGAAGTTGCGGCATGTCGAAACGTCAAATCCTCGCGAACACCACATGCGGGTGTAACATTTTTTGTTTTGCGCTTCCTGATTATTTGGATATCTAGGTTTCCGGCCCTGGCCCTGAAATTCGTCCTCACGATTCTTCCCTTCCGCTATGATATACTCATGTTCGGAGAACATGTGGCGGTGACCTGCATCGCATGGTACATATTCATTGTCTGCGTTTGCGCTATCGGAGAGGTCTACCTGTACGTATTGGACAGTTCAAGCTCCCATACTTCACGGAAGGCAAGCCAGGACTGACCGCGACGGTACCATTAGCTTTCTCTACTACCGGCGTGCGCCTCAGCGCGCAGCCGTTCTCTCGAGAGACAATGAACAGATTCCTCATGTCACGGTGATACGGCCTTGCAAAGGTGTTGAGCCGTATCTCTATGAATGCCTTCAATCGAGCCTCCTCCAAAACTACCCGGCTGACAAGATAATGGTGCACTTCTGCGTGGCCTCGCGGTCTGATGGCGCCTACAAGACGATTGAGAAGGTCGTGCGAGACCATCCAAACCGCGACGCGCGAATATTCATCGAAGAGGAGGACGATGCCACCGTTCATCCCAGGGCGCACAGAGATCTGCTGGGCCCAAACCCCAAAATCAGGAACATGAGCAGGGCATATCGAGAGGCCAAAGGAGATCTGGTCTGGATAATCGACTGCAACGTATGGGTAGGTAGAGGTGTCTGTGGTCGCATGGTCGACAAACTGCACGGCATCTCTGCATCAGGAACGAAAGGTCAACCATACAAGCTGGTTCATCATCTTCCGATCTCAGTGGACGTCGATGCGTATTCCGAGACGCAGAAAACTAATACCTCGTCCTACGATGACGCTTCGACCGCGGCTTCCATACTGGAAGCACGTAGGTCGAGCAGGCCGAGCGATTTGATCCGGTACGGTGGCCGACTTGAGGAGCTCTTCTTGTCATCCTCGCACGCCAAGATGTACGTGGCCATCAACATGGTCGCTGTCGCTCCGTGCATTGTTGGCAAATCCAACATGTTCCGCCGCTCCCACCTCGACTACCTCACGGTCGAACGGGCGCGGCGTGAAGATCCTGGGGCTCCTACACAGGCTAGAACGGGCATCGACTACTTTTCCTACAATATCTGCGAAGACCACCTTATTGGCGACCTCTTGTGGAAGTCCAAGGTCCCGCCTCTGCCCGGATATCCACCCAAAATGCGCAACCACGGTCTCGTCCTAGGAGACCTGGCCATCCAGCCCGTTGCTGGCATGACGGTCGTGAACTACGTTGCACGGCGGGTCCGCTGGCTGAGGGTCAGGAAATTCACCGTGCCCGTGGCTACGCTCGTCGAGCCTGGGACAGAGAGTTTCTTGTGCTCCGCGTACGGAGCATTTGGGCTGACAACATGCAGCTTCACACAAAAGTGGTTCGGGAACACTTGGGCATGGTTTTGCTTTTGGTGGATGGTGAGCATTGTCTTATGGGCTAGCATCGACTGGCAAATCTATCTCCTCTTACACTCTGGTGAGACGATTGAGTCGGCCGAGGCACGAGGAGATGACCTGCCGGAGTTCGCCAGAGTGCTGAAACGTGGTCAATCTCGACGAACCTTCAAGGTTTGGCTGGCCGCCTGGCTCGGCCGCGAGGCCCTTGCGTTTCCCATCTGGTTTTGGGCCATCTGGGGCGGTGTCAGCGTGATATGGCGCGACCGCCGGTTCTGGGTCGGCATGGACATGAAAGTTCATGAGATACCAGTACCCAGAGACTCCCTCTGTCACGGCAACGTACTCAATGGCTCTATTGACAGAAGCGATATCGTTAATGGGCTGGTAAACGGCACAGCCCACAATAAGAGAGATTGATCGAGCGAATCCTTCGTTTCTCCTAGAATAAAACCGACTTTGCCAATACTGGTACATGAGACCATGAAATGACAACCTGGGTAGACTTCATCCCCAGATTCCCGTGACAGCTACTACTAGTACTAGTACTCGCCACTGCTTTTGCCGACCGTACAGTAGTAGGCTGCGAGGCAGATGCACGTTCCAGGCTTCAAGTTGTCACGAAAGCCAATGCCAAAGCCATGTCCGTCTATCCTCCTGGCTTTCCTTTTGATGCAGCCGACCCTGAGACTCGGATCTCTACCTTTTCTTTACATTTGCCATGAACGTAGGTTATTGCCTGGGCACTTCAAGTTGGCAGAGTCCCGCTTTCTCCCGGCCCATGTTTTTTTCAACTTGCCAGGAACTTGAAGCCTAAGACGCAGAGGTCTTGAGAGGTAAATGTTTGATCTCTAGGAGAGGTGCATTGAAAATCCAATGGTTATGGAATTAGTATTAATTGAGGTATTGTACATAAGAATATCTTCAAGGTTTTCACGTCCTTATGCCTGGCAACGCTGGATGGTTAGGGCACGGAAGACCCGTTGCCTGGATTTTGGTAGAAAGTGACAATGTCGGTCGAGTTTTTGTACTGGCTGGTAGTGTTGCAGGCCTGCGAATATCCACCGAACAACACAGTCCGCTCATCCAACCACTTGGACAAGCCTGAGAAACTGCAACTCTCGTCTGGACCGTCATAGCAGCCGGGCAACGTCTGTGGGGCATTGTTCACAAGCACCCGGTAGTAGTCGTCTTCAGTGACGTCGTTGTAAGTGCCTTGCCGGGCAGAACAGTTCATGCGCTCGATGGCGATGTTGGTCAGGAAAGGCAGGATGTATGAGGAGACCCATGCACGGTTATAGTTGATCCGGTCCAGGGGCATGCTGTCGTTGGCATTTCCCCCTCCAAACTCGGTGTTGTTGAAGAGGCCCATGGCAACCAGCACGGTGGGCGGTAGCTCTCGATGTGTAAAACTGACGAAGATGTCTTGGTCTGGGCTCGGAGTGTCGGCGGTGAGAAGGGAGATGGATGCATTGACCCAAGGGAGGCCGATGTTTCCACTGACAGGCTGGCCATAGCCCGTGTTGTAGAAGTACATGATGTCGTTGGTGTACTCGAAATCCAACCATGCGTCTGGCGGAAAGACGTCGAGCGAGCAGAAGGGAGAAGAACCTCGAATGACCGTCTCATATCCACACAGCTCCATCATGCCAAATATGTCGGAGGAGGTGAAGTTGAACGATGGAAACGCCGCATTCAGTCGTGAAAGATATGGCGCAGACCATTTCTTCAGATATTGCTGTGATTGCTTGCTCCCAGCCGAGGATGAGTACGCTGGGCAACTGTCATACGGCGTGAGGGTGTTCGCTCCTCCTTCTTCACTTTCGTATATTTCCACGAGGTTGATGCTGCCGTTGTTCATCTCGTATCCATGGATGAAAGACTCTGCGGACACCACCGTCCGCTCTGCGGTCGAAGACCATACTTTCTCGGGCAGGCGGAAATTCGGGTACCGGAAGGACAACTGGACGCCGAGTTGGGAGGCTTCGAGCTTCCCGACACGGGTAAGGATTTCCTGTTCAGCGAACGCTGGAGGGGACCACGCCGAAAGGAAAGCCAATTCAGGTAACTGCGCCCAGTTGATGTTGGTATGGTTCTTCAACTTGGATACGAATGGTTCGATATAGCTCTCGTAGTCATAGTCATTCCTGTCACGATGTCAGTCATGCATAATAAATCAGGGCGATTTCATTCTGCGCAGGCATACGCGTTGATAGCAGCATGGCGGACGAGGTACGCCGCCCGTGTCACGGCGCATCCATTCGGCGGGTTTGGATTTCGGGGAGGATCCGCAGGTTCAAAGTAGGGTGCGATTCCGGCCAGATGCTGAAGAGGGTCGAAGTCGTACGTATCATAAATCGTCTGTTTGAATGAGAAAGCCGAGTGCACACAAGCAGCAAGACAAAGAAGAGTCGTGAACGCCATGGTCCAGTTACGGTAACTCACACCTACGGATACCTACAATGCGGTACCTGAGGACACCTACCGTGCCGTGCGATGGGGTTGGGCTGTTGCATTTCCTCGTCCCATTTAAGGCGACCTTTGAAGGAGTAGTAGGCCAGCTGGTACCTGCAGCAGACACCCGTCCTATGACGACTGAATGGAGGAACAGATGATGACATTGATGCGGATCGGCAGAAGTACCAGGGCCCAAGGTTACCGGTGAAGGCTGATGAATGAAGGTGGAGAAGAAATCGACGGATCTTTCCTTGGTACATTTGCCAGAAACCAGGCACGGATTTGATACCACACACTCTGTTTGTCCAGTCGGGCTTCAAGTTTGGGGAGCTTGCTGGCTACAGCGACACGAAACTGGAAGAGGCAAGGATCTTGACCGAAACTTGAAACAGGAAGATATCGACAGGCCAAGGCGCCCTATACTAGTACCGTGAGAACTTTAGTGCTGCCCGTGCCAGTGCTATTACTATGTAGTACCTAGCCTAAGGAAGCACGGAAATCATTTATCTAGCTTGCGTCCAACACGTGACAAGCTTGAATGTAGTGCGGCTATACGTCAGCTGGGAAAGCGTCAGACTGAGGTTCGACTTCGGTTCCAGTACATCTGAAGGTCCTCTGTTCGATCCACAGTGGTCGCAATTATTGTTTTTCCTTTTTTACCCCCTTGTTTCTTCATATGCTGTAGATTCAATTTATTCTTGGGTATGATATCAAAGAAGTGGTGTATGGCATGGACTCATCTCATCGAGTATATTATTGAATTACTCACCACTACCACTACTGAGCATACACCGGCAGTGTCCATCACTAGGTAGCAATCTCTCGTACCTGGTGTATACAAAGTGCATAGGGACGTCCCCCATCCCACGGATACAATGGCACCGTCTTTACTCGTCAATTCCCATCTTACCAGAATGTCTTAGCATCGGGTTAAAAGTCACGAGGCCAGAAACCATAACATCGATATCCATTTGCAACCGTTCCCTTTGAATAATGCCCATTGACTGATGGATCAGTCCAGCCTCAATCCAGTACCTCGACCAATACTTGCGACGTATGCCTTTCGTGATTGAGCGGCAGACGTGTGACTATATCTCACGATCACTTCCTGTGTGAGCGGCCCTTGCATTCCTGTGATGTTGTGGGCAGCTTCACGGACAGGTAACAACATCCACTGTATGAGAAGGCAGGGCATTGCATCTAGCTAGCCCCTCCGAGGAACATGTCCCAGGTTGAACGAATAAACCAAGCCTGAGAAGAAATGCAGGCATCACACCTTCTGAGCAGAAAGCTAACTCATCGTAGACACCCATTGCGAGATGCGGGCCATTAGAAACGGACGTTTTCGGCTGTGCCAGCTTACACAGACCACCATAGCCACAACAGCCCTTTGAGATATTCAACGATCTCTTCCCCGCCAAGTTTGCTCTCTCCGTAGAGTCTGTCCACGAAGGTGATGGGACACTCCTCCACCTTGAGTCCCATGGCCTTTGCCCGCACCATCATCTCCATCTGAAACGTGTATCCCTTCGACTGAGTCCTCTCAATGACCGTGACCAGCGCCTCCTTCTTGTATAATCGGAACGAGCCGGTCAAGTCGCTCACACCTGGATTCAGCAGGAAATCCGCAAGGATGTTTGCGCCGCAACTTGTGAGCTTTCTCTTTGCATCCCAGCCGTAGACACCGCCAACCGAGCCGTCTCTCGATCGGTATCTTGTGCCAGTGACAATATCGCAGCCGGTCTTCTTTTGGATTTTAATGAACTCGGGGATGAATTTAGGATGATGAGAAAAATCGGCATCCATGATGATGACGAAGTTGCCCGTCACGTACTGCAAGCCGTGCACGTAGGCAGTGCCCAGGCCCAGTTTGCCTGCCCGTGGCTTCAACACGATGTGGTCCGACCCGAAGGATTTCTGCAATTCTTTCGCTCGCTCGAGAGTGCCATCGGGAGAAGCGTCATCCACAACAATGACTTCCCAGTTCAGTTTCCTGAATAGCCACACGGGCCGACATATCAGCCATTGTCGCCGTTGCGAATTTGCAGAAGCTGTCACTAACTCCTTTTCAAAGACATCCGACAGCATCTGCACCAAAACGGGCAAATTCTGTCTCTCATTGTAGGTTGGAAGGATCACGGAATACTTGTCTTTGGATGCCATGATGCTTGCGTTATCAAGCAATGGGATGAAGTGTTGTCAATGGCCCAGAGACTTTAGAATTCTGGCTGGATCACAGAAACGCGCCAGGTTGTTCAATGCGCGTTCTCCAGAAAGTGAGGAAAGGGGCACGTGTTAACCCCGGCTTAAGTCCGAAGATATATGGCGTTCAAATTGGCGGTGCACCACTACCGCAATGTTGTATACTAGTACCATATAATACTACCAGTAGTAGCACTGTGACTGTGCGCATCCAAGATCGCTCTTCTCGAACAAGGCCACTTCGTCTAAGGTTACTGCCCCAATATCTGTTCTCTCGGATGGACTCATCACATCACAGCCGGAAACCGTCCAGTCGAGCAGGCCTTCCTCGACGGAGTACGAAGGGGCCGCTTGATGTTGTCGATGATCCTCTTACTGCACCTCCCGCGGTGACCCAGTCGTTCGCTTCGGGGGCCAACTCTCCGTCTCTGCAATCTCCACAACAGGAGATAGTTGGCGCCAGGGAACAGCCTACGCCTCAACCAGGTCCGGCACAAGCTGACCCTACCACCACGCGCGAGGAGCCGGTTGAGGAGGCAAGAGATCTTTCATTTCTGCTCGATGCGTCAATATATCATTCCCTCTCTCAGCTGGAGGTCCCTGGCCCTTTCAGGAGACCATTTATGCCCGCTCCCTCTGACGAAGCTCAACTCGTGCAAGCCCTCGAACAGCTTGATCGACTCTTATCGCAATGCGACTTCTTGAGAGCCGCTCAACTTGCCGGATCAATCCTCACCTCAGGGACCATACAGCCATCCGATGCCAAGACGATATTTCGCCTCCTGGCGGTCCGATATTCTTGCCTGGAACTATCCGGCAATCTACTCTTGGCTGCACAAGAAGCAAAGGCGCTGGAGGACCTTAGCTCGGCCTTCTACTATGACGAGGTCGGCCCGGGCCCAGAGACGGTCGAGACAGGCGAAATGCCTCGTAACGTCGCCCAGCACATCATGCCGTTCTCGCTACGACTGCAAGCTCTACGTCTCCAGAGTATTGGTTTTTCAGATCCACGTCGAGGCGTGACTACTCTCTATGATACAGCCCTCGAGTGTCGAGAGCATCTTGCAAACCCCACCACTTCCCCGGCGCAGCGCGCTATGTGGACCAAAAGACTCCAGGAAGTATCGATACGGGTGGTGAACGCTTTGATCGAAATGGGTGACCTGGATTGTGCGGCACGTACACTAAAGGCTATTCGACCAACGGATCCTGAGCAGTTGGCCATCTGGACGGCCCGAATGGTTCTTCTTCAAGCCAAGATCGGTGACTCTGCCGAAGCCAACGCTTTGATTGCATCTGAAAGCCTCAAGCACCAGGAGAGGCTTGCATTGGAGTCTCTTGTTGCTGTTGCTGAAGGCCGATATGATGCTGCTTCTCAGGCGCTCGATGAGTGTGAACTGGAAGCTGATTCAGCTCTGAAGGGCCTGCTGAAGCAGAACCTTGCAGTGGCTTGTCTCTACCAAGGGGAAGTACAGAAAGCCCGACGAATTCTGGAAGAACTGGTTGAGCAGGGCCATTCCTTCCAGACCTTGACCATAAACCTGGCAACCATCTACGACCTCAGTTCCGAACGGTCTCGAGATCTCAAATTGGAAATGGCGGCGCAGATAGCGAGACAGCAGACACAGTCTGGCCAGTCACGCTCCTTTGTCAATGCGGACTTCAAGCTATGACAAGGGCCGTGCCAGTCACAGACATACTGATCCCATAATATTATGCCGGTAATCGAAGGCCTTCAATAGGCCCTGAAGATGAGACAAGGCTGCTAGTACCACGAGAACGTGGAATATCTGGTGCGAGCTTCCTAATTTGTCGACCCTACCCGGAAACCAGGCCTCTGGAACGCGCGCCTGTTTTGTCAGCACAGCCTGTCATAGCTCGGGGTCCAACTTACCGCATACAAACCGGCGCCCAAGATATACAAGGCACCCTGCAGCACCAACCAGGACAGCCCAATCTGCTTCTGCATGGCATGCACACCGTATGTTCGCAACCCGTCCAAAACCGGAAAGACGGCCGATATCCCCATGCCAACGAACATCAAGGCTCTGTACGGCCTCCAAGCAGGCGTTCTAAAGCGAGGCAGTACGGAAACCGCGGTGCAGGCGATTCCCAATGTACAGATCTAGCCCCCAGCTGAGCGAAGCTCTTCTTCGTCACAACCGGGGATGACTTACCATGATCCAATATGTCAATTGTCTCGTGAAGTCACACCAGAAGCCGTAATAGACGCTGGGAATGAAGGAGCCGGTGATAAGCACGGCGATGCCAGCATAGTCGAGCTGGTTCCAAAATTTGGCGACTTTGGGCGAGTGATTCGAGAGCGTGTGGTAGCTGGCGCTCAACCCGAGACAGCAGGCGGCTCCGACAAAAAAGCAACTCATTGCTATCACGTCGGCTCGCGAAGCTCTTTCATATCTTGGTTCTAGGACCGAATATAGGTAACTTGCGAATGGCAGGCTCAGGGCAGCCGGGATCAAGTGAGTCCAAATATTGACGCTTTCATTGTGCCAATGAAGGATACTCTGCAGCGATCTCTTATAGCTGTAAGACGCCTGTCGATAGCCACTGTGTATATGGTGATTGTCTTGCAGCCAATGGGGGAGGTCATTCCAGTGAACCAATGAGTGCCAGGGAGTATCGGACTTTTCGGCGTCCACGCTTGGGGACACACTCCCGTTCGAGGTAGACGTGTCTGTATGGTCGTCTTTTGGGGGCATTTTTTGGTATTAGACTGAGATATGATATATAGAAATGCTGAAATGAACAAAAGCTATGTTATTGTGAGCAAGTGCAGAGAAAATCCATATCAAATAAAGCTTAAGAAACGTTGGGGACGAACGCTTCGGATATTGAGGCACTATACCACTAGTAGTATGGAATCACAAGGCTCGGGCCGCCCGTCAGCCTTGCTTTTATCGATAACCGCTTTTTAATCTCACGACCAACAACTTCAAGTTGAAGTTGGCACAACAAGAGACTCAAGTAGTCGCGCCACCACCGACCCCTTTCCTTGCTATCATCGGGTCACGCTTGCACATACCGACCGCACGCCATCCAAGCTACTGGCATGCAAGGACCTAAACATAACCTGTCGCCGTAATGTGCCGGCCTGCAACAGACCGCATTCGTGAAACCTGCAGGCTGCTTCATTGAGAGACTTCTATTATGGCGCAAGCCCCGCCTCCTTTCGGCCGGAAGTCCTCAGCACCATGGGATCGATTGCGGCCAGTGAAACAGGATCCCCTGGAGAGTATGGGGTTTGTGTCTAAGGGCGATAATCGGTCAGAGGATTCTGAGTGACCTCGCGAACTCGTTTCTAACTACCGCTCCAGGCTTCTCGATCCCAAAGCACAGGAGAATTTCTACAACAAAATTGTTGCTCGGTATATGCAGTTTTGCACCCGGCATTCCAAGGATCTCGACAATGCATTTGGTTCACTTTCACTTGAGGACTCACAAGGACCTTCTTCGGAACCAGCGAGAAAGCCTCCCGGCCAGCCCCTCGGAAATGACCAGAAGCGTCCTATTCCTTCACCAACGGGACAGAAGATCCCAGCGAGCGGTCAGGCAGGCGATGTCTCTGGCCCGTCACCGTCGAGCGAGCTGTCTACTATCCTGCTAGCGCTCCGAAAATTACGAGAAGGGCTTCTGGCAAGCCCAGCAACAGCACGATCCCCAGTCTTTTCTCAGCGTGTTCATGTGTTCAATATCAGAGCAGCGATCCTGGCTCATCATCCACCTGGATATCACCCTTCACTCTTGCATCTGCTGTTCGTGCTGCATACCCCTGCGCACCCCCTTCCGCGATCCGAATTGGTCGAGATGACCACTTATCTCATCCTAGATACCGCCCTTCGACAGAATGATCTAGGCAAGGCTTACTCTCTAAGATACAACAGCCGGCTGAAATTCGGATACCATAGCAGGACCGTTGACAGCATACTGAGATCCGTTGTCCGGGGCGACTGGGTCGGCTTTTGGCACGTGCGGCAGAAGGTCGATGGCTATGTGCGAGCACTTCTATACTGGTTCCTCGAAACCCAGCGCAAACAAGCTCTCAAAGCAATCGGGCGAGCATACTATACCTGCGACATCAACTGGATCCTCCAAAGCGCCACTGGAGGCGAACTCAGCTGGGAGGAACTCGTCAAAACAGAAGATGTGGGCTGGGTACGAGACGGTGACAGGGCAATCATCCGAAAGCCGAAGTCCAAGCCCGCTAAGTGATGACGCAAGCTTGATCCGCGCCATTGTAGTACGACCGACTACCTGGTAGCATCTCTTCAGCGTCACTGTTAGGCGAGAAGCAGGGAGCAAGACGAAACCAGAGCACGGTCTGATGGTCTGATGGTCTGGAACATGGATGGTGGTGCTTTGAAAGTTCCGTGCTGTTTCAAACTTTGGTGTTGGCCGCGCGTGGTCTGCAGGTGCGGAGCCCAGCCACTCGTGTGGCGCCACCAGCCACGCCAGGCTGGCCAATCACACGGGTCTCAGCCTTGTCTTGGCGCCGGGTGCGGCCAAACTGCGCTCCGACACTGGCACTTGCAGCCCAACCTCGCCTGTTTCTCTCCTGTCAACACCAAAAAAGCCACCTGCACGCGCAGTCTGCACGCAACCTGGTGCACTTGCACGGCGGCATCATCATGGCCAGCCATGGTATTTCTACTTCGACATGGCAGGGTAAATGTCGGAGCCCTTTTCTTTTCTTCTTCTTGCTGTTCTGTTCTGTACAATATCTCAGATAACACTATATCACTGAATAGCATAGATCTACAACAGAGTCATTGGAATACGCCCTCACTCCAAGTCATACCTACCTTCACCTCCTGAAATCCTCGCAGTGAACCCCTTTCTCCCCTCCAAGATGAAAACACATTCTGTGTCCACGGCTGTCTCGTTATCCTCGCTTCTTCTTCTCACAAATGCCTGGCCGCTTCTCCCAAATATCCTTGACCGAAGAAACCCTGCCTCATACTCCGTTGTCGCGGTGGACGGTGGTGCGGGAGCATCAGCGACCACAGTTACCGATGCATCTACTCGCACAGAAACAGTCTTGACAACGCAGCTCACTACTCTCGTGGTTACGGAGTCAGAGACACCCAACACAATCGTGGTCACTGTGACGACCGCATCTCCAACTACGATCACCGATTACTTGCCAGGTCCAGTGTCGACCGAAGTGGTGACTGCTACTCCCGCTGCACCTGCTTCCCCTTCACTGTCGAGTCAGGAGGCCCCATCAAGCAGCAGTGCCCCTGAGACATCATATCCCGCACAGAACAGCCCAGCCATTTCGACACTGGCACCATCGATAGCTACGACCGAGACGACAACTGAGACAACACAACTACCAGCATCCACGGAAACCACATCAATATTAGAAACGGCTGCACCTGAAACTACACCACCTCCGCCTCCACCTGCCCCAGTACCAGCGGCGGCAAATAGCACGACATCTATTACGACTACGACTACGACAAATGAAACGAGGCCTACGACTAGCACGACGAGCACGACGAGCACGACTACCACGACTACCACGAACTCGGAACCGAGCTCATCATCAACTACACCATCAACTACCACACCAGGCCCGACAACGAGTCCATCTGAAGTGACCATAACCGTCACCCAACCGCTGCCATCTACAAGGCCGTATGATGACGGGATGTGGCATACATACTACTACTATACTGTTACGTCCGAAGGCCAGTCTACGTCATCCACCACTACTAGCAGCACGACAAGCTGCAGTACTGGAGTCAGCGAGACCGTTAGACTGAGCTCCAGCACGACTGCAACTTTCTCTCCCGCCACTCTACCGACGGCGTCAGAATCCAGTTCCAGCCCGCTCACCACTACCACGAGCCTTGCTACTTGGGGTGCCGTCAACCTCGAAAGTTGGACCAGCTCAACTACGACACTGTCAGAAACAAGTACAGTCTTTCCTACTCTTCCTCCCCTGGCGCCATGGAGCAACTCTACCAGGAACTCCCGCTCCTAGGTCGCCTATCGGGGTGATATGTCTGGGTTGTGCCCATTTTCATCATATTTTTCAACAATCTCACATCCGCGGTTTCAGCAGCTTTGGAGTCGGATGGACTAGCGTGTCCAGGGCGGATTTGTCTCACTATTTATTGATTTCCAGCAAGGCGTTGGTGGTTGGTGATATGCAAAGCAAAAAGGGTTAGATAGCTACATAATAGGAACCAGTCCTGAGATGACTTCTTTGGCATAGTCAAATATTACAACATGCTAAAGCATTTATTCCCTACTTTTTTATCTATGCATTCCGTTACATGTGAATCTCGTGGTAAACTTGAAGGAGACAGTTCCGGCCCGTGGTTGGCCGCCAAGACTGCTAAGTCCGCCCGGCGCATCAACCGCCGACTCCGAATCGCAGTTGGAGGCTGTACAGTGGCAGGACTACGACGGTGCTAGTGGTAAGTCGTGCACCTTACAACTACACGCAGCTCCCGCAATGGTAGACTGTCCCCCATGAGTGAACCGGCTACAAGAGTGGCATTGAGCATTGCAATTCGCACACGTACCAAACCCTGGAAATCACTCAGCCGTCGAGATCCCTGATCAACGCTCACTACCGCGTCTCCTTCTCTCAGCTACTGGTCGCAGACCAGCACCACTGTCGCAATGGCGGCAGGCCCGCCTACCGTGGAAGACCAGGGCCGATTGCTGGAGGAAGCTCTGGGAGTCGTACGCCAACAGTCGCTACAGATGCGTAAATGCCTGGAAACTCCGGGGAAGTTGATGGACGCTCTGAAATGCGGGTGAGTTCTATCGGACCACTGTTGCCTGACATGCTGACCGTGGGCGACATCGTAGGTCCACGCTGGTATCGGAATTGCGAACCCCTAGTCTTGGGCCGAAGCAGTACTATGAACTGTACATGGCCGTGTTCGATGCTCTCCAATATCTCTCCGACTACTTACGCGACTCCCACCCTGTCAATCACCTGGCGGACCTCTACGAACTGGTGCAGTATGCAGGCAACATCATACCGCGATTATATCTGATGATCACCGTTGGGACGGTGTATATGGCCGTCGAAGATGCGCCGGTCAAGGAAATCATGAAGGACATGATGGAGATGTCTCGCGGTGTACAGCATCCTATCCGCGGCCTGTTCCTGCGATACTACCTGAGTGGACAAGCACGAGATCATCTGCCGACCGGAAAAGAAGATGGTCCACAAGGGAATCTCCAGGACTCGATCAACTTCATTCTGACCAATTTCGTCGAAATGAACAAGTTGTGGGTTCGCTGGCAACACCAGGGACATTCCAGAGAAAGAGAGCAACGGACACAGGAGCGGAAAGAACTGGAACTGCTCGTCGGAAGCAATCTCGTCAGACTTAGCCAGTTGGTTGATTTGGAGACCTACAAGTCCACCATTATTTCTCCTCTACTAGAGCAGGTCGTCCAGTGTCGCGATGTGCTGGCCCAGGAATATCTACTCGAAGGTTCGGACATGACATCGGAGCCGAGAATTATGCTGACAGATTGATAGTCATCACCAAGGTCTTCCCCGACGAATACCACCTTCACACACTGGATCAACTGCTTTCTGCCATTTCTAGGCTGAATCCTCACGTCGATATGAAGAAGATCGTCATTGGACTAATGGATCGTCTATCAACCTACGCTCAGCGAGAGGCGGAAGGGGTGTCGGCAGAAGACAAACGGAAGGCAGAAGAGGAGGCGGTGGCTCGAATGCTTGAAAAGGTCGATCTAAATGACTCGACACCGCCTCCTGCTGCCGCAGCTGAACCGGACAGCGCCCAGACCAACGGCACCGAGCCAAAGTCGCCGACGGAGTCCCAGCCCACCGAGTCTGAACCTGTAACCCCTGCCGCACCGGCGACCAACGGTGAGAAGGTGACTGGCGGTATCGGTGATGTCAAGCTATTCGAAATATTCTACGATCAGGTGGTCAATCTTGTGAAGACGCGGGGTCTGCCCATCCAAGATACCATGGCTCTGCTAACATCGCTGGCCAACCTTGCTCTGTAAGTTGCGACCTCAATTTGTCGATTCCGAACATTGCTAATGAGGATAGAAACATCTATCCCGAGAGATTAGAGTACGTCGACCAGATCCTGGCATATGCCCGTGAAAAAGGCGCAGAATATATGGACTCGGCCGATCTGCATTCAGCTGCTACGCAAGCAAATATGCTCAACCTTCTTCTCTCGCCAATCCGGACGTATTGCTCCCTCTTCACGGCATTGGCGCTTCCTAACTACCTTCCCTTGTACCAGTCACAAACATATGCCACCAGACGCGCAGTCGCTGGCGAAGTCGCTAGGAACATTCTTCGAAACCGCGTTAAGATCACAACGGTCCAACATTTGGACGGAGTCATGGCACTACTCAAGGTCATTATCAAGGAAGGGCTTCAACAACCTGCAGGCTATCCTGGATTGAATCGGTCCAGGGGCGGAGAGTCTGACGAGACGGTCGAAGAGCAAGGGTGGCTTGCACGGATAGTTCACTTCATCCAAGGACCGGACAACGAGACGCAGCTCAAACTGCTACAGCAGACACGGAAAGCCTACGAAGCCGGTAACGAACGAATCAAGTACACCACGCCAGCCATCATTACAGCGTCACTTAAATTGGCACGAAAGTTGAAATCCCGGGAGCACTTTGATGATGACTGGCAGAACCAATCATCGACTCTGTATCGGTTCATGCACCAGACTCTTTCGCAGCTGTACACCCGAGTAAATCCCGGGGCAGCCGAGTTATGCCTTCGGTTGTTTGTCGCCTGTGGACAAGTCGCAGACCAGTGCGGCTTTGAGGAGTTTGCCTATGAATACTTTGCACAAGCTTTTACGATCTACGAAGACAGCGTCAGTGATTCAAGGGCGCAGTTCCAAGCGGTGTGTATTATTGCCGGGGCCTTACAGATGACGAGAGGCTTTGGGAAAGAAAACTACGACACTTTGATCACGAAAGCGGCCTTGCATGGCAGCAAGTTATTGAAAAAGCCAGATCAATGCCGTGCAGTCTATCTGGCAAGCCACCTATGGTGGTGTGTGGAGATCCCCGGTAGGGATGAAGACCCCAAAAATGTGAGTTTCTACTATTACTACAACCAGTCACTGCAGTTGCATCTCCATGATGATACCACCACGTTATATACTGACCTTTTTTTGATTCATCAGCTCTATCGAGACGGCAAGCGTGTTCTCGAGTGTCTTCAGAGAGCCTTGCGTGTGGCCGACGCGTGCATGGACACTGCTGTGTCGGTAGAACTGTTTGTGGAGATTTTGAATCGATACGTCTATTACTTTGATCAACAGAATGAAACGGTAAGCTTACTGCAAACCCTATGTCCCGTGGGCATATATGTCAGTAATCATACTTTACTAATGATTGTTTCTCTCGAAAACTTGCAGGTCACGACAAAATACCTCAATGGACTCATTGAACTGATCCACTCGAACCTCTCCACCACCAATGTCGACGGCAACACTCAGGCGCTGGAGAACCCGAAACGTCACTTTTTCAGGACGTTGGAGTATATCAAAACGAGGGAGTTTGAGGGCGTCGTCACCGAGCCCAGACAATGAAGCTAGAATACTACCTACTCGTACATGCCGACACAAGCTATCATGATTCAGCCGTGACTGTTAATAACTACCTACCTTACCTATGCTCGGACCTCAGGTTTGGGATTTCGTAAGCAAGAGGCTGCTCGTACACGTACAAAAAGGCAAAGTTTCAGATATGATCATGGATGGCATAAGCAAGCATCGTCCTTTGGATTGTACCTACGTTAGGTACCTACTACCACTGTCCTTCGCGTCTGAACAACCAAACCCTTCTTGCCCAGATGAGTGATTTGATTCCCGCCCACGTGTTGTACAGCATGTTTGTTTACATGCACGCTGCAGTGGGGCGGCGCGAGTAGGGACATCATATGCAAAAGAGACAAGGGCTGGGAAAAGAAGGCCCTTGATGTACTGTACCTACCAGCAGATTGATCTTGCATCATGGTACCCAAGTTACTGACCTCAGGTCCGAATCTCCTACTAGTAGTTAGGCAGCCACTGTTACGTCTCTGCTTCTTTCTTTTCTGCTCATACAATACCCGTACTGTACCTAGGGAGCCAAAACCGTAGTAAGGCACTACTGGTAGTACCAAGCTGAGCACTCAGTAAGTACGTGGTGGAATTAACATTCAGTATCAGCAATATAATATCATATATACAATACCACTGCATGCTTTGTTCGAATCACGCGTGCGTCCCTTCCTTTCCATGCTACACCACCCTATACGAGTAGTATTGTATGTACTCGGGCTGTGCATGGTGCTCTATTCTCCGGCTCAAACTCTCAGAGGGCTGCACGGGAATCCAATGGACTGATCTTGATAGCGTTTAAGTTGTATGTATGTGGCTTTTATGAGGTAAGGTATGGATCAATTGGTACAGTACATACGTTTCAATCGATGGATTTGTTCATATTACTAGTAGTCATCTACTTAAAGTTCTGGATTAGTTATTTATAGGCCACACACCACTCAACAGCGGATCCTCTCGTTTGACTCAATTCGGTTTCGACTGCAACTCAATCCAAGGCTTCGACAACGGCTTGATCAAACTTAAACACGTCCTCCACTTCCTTGTCCTTGTGTGATGATTTACAACTCCTGGGTCAAGAGGTTTCCCCACGCAGCACCCTCGGGCGTCATTTTGACCAAAGGCTCCAACAAGGTAGCGGTGGCATTGTTCCGCTCCGTCCCTGCAGCAACGGCATTATACTTGAAGACAAAGTTGAGGATCAATGCACACGCCAATCCGATCGAGACGAGGAAGGGTCCGAAGACATTGTCAAAGTCCTTTCCACTCCTTTCGGTAATCAACTTGCTTCGCCACATGTAGATGGCCCATCCCCAGACGCCGGCGAAAATGGCGAAGCCCGTGTACACGAGAGACAGAATGCGGGCGACGTTGTTATTGACGCCTGCAGCATTGTAGAGACCGAGTGACAGTGTCGCGAGCAGGACTGCGATGTGCTGCCATTTGATGAAAGTTCTCTGGTTGGCAAGCCACACCTTGCCTTCGACCTTGAGGTCTCCTCTGTCCTTGATCCAGACACCGGGATCCTTGACGCCAGGAGGCAGGGGAGCATCTTCCCAGGCGGCGCCACGACGACGCTGACGACGGGCGTAACGAGAGTTGGAGAATGCAGGAAGCAAGGCTCGCAGTCCCTTGTTTGTAGAATCCCTGATTGTTATTTCCGTGTCGGCCTGCACGCCACCATCATCATGTTCCTGCTCTTCGGTCGTACGCTCAAGTTGATCCACTTGCCTGCTGAGTCGTGATGTTGGGGCCGATTGGGAGATCTGACCGGACAACCTTCGCTCTGGGTACTTGCTGGGAGAGCCGAACTTGCCTCTGGAGGAAGACAGTCGTGAGGTCCCAAGCAGGCTTCCTACCACCATTTCATCTTCCACTTGCTTGGCTTCCCTCTCCTGCTCTTCATGGTAGGCCGTTACGGGGTCTCTTCGGATGTCTGTTTCCAGGTCGCTCAACCAGAACGGGAAAATGTTGACGTAATCCTCGAAGAGCTCGGCGACGCCATGGACGAACTTGGAGAATCGCTTCTCCTCCTTGACGAGGTGCGAGTTCATCAAGTCATGGAGCCAAGTATTATTTCTAGTATACTTGGTATCCTTGACCTTGATCTCGAGCACAGCATGCTGGAATCGGCTGATCTCGCCCTTCTTGATCGAAGAGAAGGGGTATTCCATCCGATTCTGGTCGATGTCAGAACGGTGCCAATCTTCCGGGTCACGACATGGGCGGTCCGGGTCCATGGCGTCCTCGCGGATAAAAGCAAGGTCCGTGTCCAATGAGATTCTGATCCTGTCATCGCCAGGGATCTGGAAGGCAGTGCGTGTGTAGCTTGCTCGCAGCACTGGCTCCAACTCCTTTTCTCGAACGAAGGATTGTATTTCCTCAACGTTGGCCTTGAAACTCTTGACTTCTTCCGAATCCGCGCCAAGACGGTCTTCCAGCTTCTGAATCTGCTTCTCCATCTTGTATTCACCCTTGAGGAATGGCCGGATGTATTTCTCCTTGATTGGAACTCTGATTTCTTTGCTCTCAATTCCCTCTCCGACTGTCTTCTTCTCCAGAACGATCTCGGGCTTATCTTGGAGCTGACCAGTCCACCTCAGGCGCAGGGAGCTGCCGGGCGTACTCTTGTCAATCTTGCTCTGATACAGGTCAAAGTTGTGGTTGTCAAAATAGATGGAGGTCATGCTCGGATCCCTCTGTGAGGCGTCAAGCTCCTTCATTGACTGCGGGTTGTAGACCAGAACCGGGAGACGACGTAGGATATACGTCTTGACCTCGAGGAGATTGTCGACATGTACCCAGTACTTGTGCGCGGTATACGTCTCAGTTGGCTTAACATCGGAGGTTGATTCCTTGGAAGGATCCTCCTCTCCAAGCTTCTGCCGGGCCCAAGAGTACATGGCGGACAGGCGGAACAGCAACGGCGAATAGTCCTCCTGGTTGAAGGGTGTTTGAGACAGGCGGACCTGCAATATCGGCCGCACTCTGTATTTCAAACCCCTCTTCCGGTCATGTTTCTTCGCCGCCTTCAAGAAGCCGGTGTAGTTGATGCGACTGAATTTCCTAAGCTCATTCAGCTCCTTGGAGATACTGTCCAACTCTTTCAGCATGTCCTTGGCCACTGCTTTCCATTCCTCTTCGGTTTTCCCGTCCTCATTTCCGTTGATGGGAAGTTTAGCCTCGCATGCGGCAGCTCGCTCGCGGATGGCATTGAACGTGTTGGCCTGGTGCTGGCTGACCTTCTCCAACTGAACCACTGTGAGTTCATGGACAAAGTTCTCCTCGTCTTGTTCCGTCCAGCTGCCCTCTCCTCCTCGGCCCTGCGGCGAGGTTTCGTCCTCCCGCAGGAGCTTCTTCATCTTCTCGTAGTCGAGGTACTTGTCCTTCCATGGCGGGTAGATGGAGTCCGCGAGGGTCTTGCCGAAACGCATGGTGACAGGCCGCGATGAGGATTGGTGGTATTGCAGTTATGGAGGGACCTTATACCCAGGTTCACTGATACATGCCAGGGTACAATGAAAGAAAAAGAAACTGCTAAAAGATTAAAGTTCGGCTGCTTGTGCTAGAGCAGCACCAGCTCCGGTGCTGCCAATATTCCACCAACTCTGCTACTGAAGTCTTTCTACTCGCTGTCGTTGTATTGGTTCTTCTTTCCTCGCAGCACAATGTATCGTGGTTGACCAATCGCGGGCCAGAATTGACCTCGTGCTCGTCGATCATTCTGCGCGTTGTCGTCGCTACGTCAGGCGTCGGAATATCTATTTTCCGCTCCTGGTGCGTCACTATTCCTGATTGGGTATCTCACAGTATGCTTCAGCCTCGGCCTGAGATTCATTGGGCACTTTAAGTTGCGTCTGGGATTGACCATTCTGACAAGAATTAATTGCACAGCTACAGAAGACAAGACCAAGATTAAAGCTCTCTCGAGCCTGAATAATGTCCGAAGAGTCCAGGGCGATTGTGAAAGCCCTTGGAAATGTCCTTGTTCGCCTGAGCGAGCACCCCTATCCTCACGTGCCGAACCCTCAAGGCTGTGAGAAGCGCGCCAGTGTCGCTGCCATCATTCGTGTACGCCCTGTCTTTACACCGATCCTGTCTGCCAAAGACTCCGTAGTAGCAGTCAGCGAACCCAGCTCTCCACCGACCTCCCTCCGTGACTTCTTTTCGCAAGAATGGGTGCAACAAGGCGACCCAGAAATGCTCTTCATCAAACGCGCCGGTCGAGCTGGAGATAGATGGTCAGGACATACGGCTCTCCCAGGAGGGAAGAGAGATCCAGAAGATGCAGATGATCTGGCTGCTGCAGTGCGTGAGACTAGAGAGGAGATTGGGCTGGACTTGGACAGTACGGACTGCCTCCATGCTGGCAATCTGCCGGAAAGACTGGTCACCACATCCTGGGGCAAGGAAACTCTCATGGTTCTATGTCCCTACATTTTTGTCTTGACGGGAAAGACTTCTCCATCGCTTCAGCCGCAGCCTACAGAAGTGGCGTCGGTGCACTGGGTGTCGTTCCGTGCGTTATTGTCGCCCACACTGCGAACCACAGAGGCGGTCGATATCTCCAGTAGGATGGCCAAACGCGTCGGCCCATTCGTGCATCGGCTGATCCGCCTGGCCATCGGAAAGATGCTTTTCAGCGCAGTGCGGCTTGTGCCCACCGAGTCCATCTATGCCAGTTCAATTCCGGGCTTCATCCCCACAGCAGATCGCCAACAGCCGTCCTCTCGAGCAGGGTGGTCACTAACACCATTTGGTAGCCCTCCATCTCCCAAGCTTCTCACTTATCAACAGCCCATCCTCCTCTGGGGACTCACTCTCGGCGTCCTGGCAGACCTCCTCGACCAACTCCCGCCATACAATGCTGTTGCATTGTGGAAATATCCCACCTTCACTGTTCCAGATCTTCGTCTAATTGTCTATATTTTGACCCGCCCGTTCAGAAAAGCATCGGCAGAGTCTTTGTCCTCGGGCTCATGGCCTAGCCAAACAGCCGTAGATGCCACAACCGAAGCCACGGCTGTGCCAACATCAGAGCCGCCGCCCACGGTTTCCGAAGCCGAACCTCTCGAACTCGCCCAGCAGACTTCGTTTGACAGGTCCAGCGTTGGCATTGGAGGCTTGGGCGTGGGCTCGCATCCGCAACATGCTGTTGGGAAGTTGCTCCACGGATATTATGAACGTGTCAACGTGGCGATCGCCGTGTTCTTGGTTTACCGAACTGCCCTTTCTGCGGGCATCCTCTTGGGGGCTTATAAGCTATGGAAGCGACGCCGAGGCGGGAATCTGTGAAGTTGGCTTACACCGAGACCGCACCTGCACTTTCTAGAGGGCTGGAGAGACATTGTGCCATTTGAGCAAGATTTTTGACATTTGATACCCGAGATATAAAGTGCTGCATGAAGTACTTGAGTTGCGAAAGCGAGTCAGCTTAGAGCTGGTTTGTCGTGGCGTCATTGTAACAACATCATGTAAACAGAACAACAAAACTCCAAGTTTTAATTCCAAAAAACACCCTCATCTTCTCAATCTTTAAGTCCTGGCACTGATGGATGTCATGTCCATGGGAACAGTCTCACGTTGTCCGATCTTCAGGGTTTTCCCCGGGAGCGCGTCGTGGGCAAAGGCCCCCAGCGCCTTGGCCGCGGCACTCCCACGATTTCCAGCTCGGAATCAGTTTCCACCGCCGTGTTGTCCTCATCGTCCCATGTTGTGCGCATACGGAACAGTCCCCAAAGGTTGTACGACGACTCGCCAGACGGGCTGCGTGAGTGACGAGACCATGAACGCCTTCTCCAGCTTGAGGTCGTGACCGGCAGTTGTTGTGGCTGCGCAGATTGAGCCTGAGGTGGTTCGCATGTCGGCTGGACTCTCTGAGCTTGCGCAGGAGGTATCGTACCAAGCATATTGTTCTGATTGGCTTGGACTATCCCAGGCCCCATGGTGTCATTGTCGGGATCATCTCGTCTTCGACAAGGCCGAGGACCTTCTCGCAAGGGTGCTGGTTGTAGTGTGAGGAGTTGAGCTGGAGGGGACGGCGGAGTTGGGTCTTGCCTGTTGGACGAAGAAGTCAGCGTGGGTTCATGGCCGACCGGTTGGATTGCCTGCTCTTCATCGTCGGCCAGACTGTCGTCTTGGGTGAGGTCTATGACGAGTCCATCGCCACAGCACCTGGGCGATGCAGTGAGGCCGAGATTTCTGGTCATAAAAGCCGGTGCAGGAGCAGATGAGCGTACCTCTCTTTCACGTCTCAGGGCAGCTTGAACATCCACATTTCGAGGGTGCACAGCGGCGTTCGAACCCGGCCTTGGTCCTGTCTGTGTACTTGAAGGAAGTGCGCTTGCGGCGGGTATGACCTGCGACGACCTGGAAGCAGAAGGCATATAACTTGAACCAAGCCCCGAGTTCTTGGGGATCCGTGCCAGGTTCTTCTCCTTCCGCTCCTTCTTGACGCCAGTGCGCACCTTGTCAGCCTGAGGAGTATTACGTTTCTTCCTTTGGACTTTGGATTGCTTGGGGGTGCCAGGAGATTGCGGTGGTGCAGTATTCCCTCGCCGTGTGGAGGCAGCAATGGACAAAGCTTGTTTGGGGGGTCGGGCGGATTGCAACGAGCGCTCTCCACGTGCGATGTTCGTCGCTGACCCAGAGACAGTCTCCCGCTGCTTGCTTGACTTGGTTTGCTTTTTCAAGCTCTTCTCCCTTGTCGCAAGCTTTCCAGCTCGATCACCGCCTACTCGGGACAAGGGACGATCCGAGTCACTTTCCGACTTGATTTCCACAGGGTCGCTGCGTGAACCCTGCCGCACTTGCTGGGAGCTTGAGCTTGGCACAGTTGCTGACCGTGGTCGTTGACGTTGAGCAAATGCCTCCGAACGAAGCTGATCAGCTGCCGCATCATCCTCGGTACTTTCCGAGCCACTTCGGCCACCGACGCCGGCCCTGGAGAAATAAGGGGAGAATTGGACTTGTTCATCCTGATCGGGTCCATCAAGGTTTGTGCCGTCGAATATGATGTTGTTGTCGTCGTCAAACAGCAGCTGGCGCTCTTCATCAACTCTGTACGTAGGTTCGAAGAGATCTTCACTTGCATCGACTGAACGACGGTTGCGCCTTGCCGGGCTTCCCTGAGACCTCTTAAGATTGTGGCCATCTTCTTTCAGATTGTCGTCCTTGTCTGTGCGCTTTTGGAGTCCTCCACGGGGCATTGCACGACCCTGCCCAGTCGCTGAGCTTGTTGGCGATGCCGAAACTGGGGTCATCCTCGCGTCATGTATAGCATCGGTAGACCTCTCATTCCCACGCCTGCCGGCAACAGCCGAAGTCCTGCTAGTTGTATCGGTCCCAGCCAGGGGATGTGGAGTTCTTTCGACTTGTTCTTGACCAAGGGCTCCTGACATTTTGGCATACTTATGCGAGGGTGTCGTCGCCGGCGAACTTTCCCTCGTCGGGGGCAAGTCGAAGATCTCTGGCCCTTCCGCGGTCGGCCTGTTTTTAGGAGTACGGCTCTTTGGGGGTATCTCGACATAAATGCCTGGTTGGCGCTGGACAGAGGAACTCGAACTCTCCAGGCGTTGCGGTTCGATCAGCAGTGGCTCCTTGGAAGGTGTAAGTCGATCACACCGTCGTTTTCCAGCTGAACGCGAAGAGGATGGAACGCCTTTTCGCTTCTTGCTTCTCGGCCTGTCATCCGAATCGGCGTTGCCGTCACTTCCCACATCGTTAACCAAGGTGGTCTGTCATCTCAGCCATCAGCGTCACAAAACCCAAAGGCTCGCTCGGAAATGGTACAGCACACTCACCTGTGTTCCAGCTGGGTCTAGAGAGTGAGTGTCATCGGCGAATTGGGTCACCTCCCTCAGTTCGGTAAGTTTCTTATTCCAATTCGACACAATATTGGCGGCATCCCGATTGAGTTCCTGCAGGATATCCCGGAGTCGAGCAGGACTTATCCCGTAGACATATTGCATATACATAGCAAGCTTCCCAAATTTGGCCTCTGAAATCTAGCTCAAATTAGTCTTTGAGATCTTCACTGGCAACAGTATGTCTCACCCGTTGACCAAACAGCAGTATAAGTCCCGCTCCCACCCGGGCCTTTGTTTGCAGTGAAGCTTGAGGCATCGTTTAACGTGTAAAGGGCGGAAAGGGTCCGTCGGAGGCAGAAGCGGTAGAACGATGTGGGAATGCAATTTTCGAAGAGGATATTCTTATTCCACCGTGCCGACGCGAATCGACGCGTGCCACGGTATCCATCTGGAAAAAGGGAGGCTGAAAATAGATCGCATCTACCAGGCTTAGTAGCGCGTATCTCAAGGATATCTGCAGCAGGAGGATTTGTTTGCTTGCATTATTATCAGATCACATCTTGCCCAGGGGTGAGCCTCAAGGCCACCCTCGAACATGGATTGATACATCCCGGGTGTCTGGAGAAAGGGAGAAGGAGGAAAAGAAAAGTTTCATAACGGACCAATGGACTCATTGAAAGAGCTCAACTTTGTGGTAAAAGTCGCATCCGATTGAAGACATGCAACTTCCCAGAGAGCAGCCATCTTGGGATATTCCCGGCCACGAGGCGAGGTTCCTTGAAACCATTGTTTGCTAAGCTGCATGAATCAATTTTTCGTTGGTCGAGATAGCAATACGAACAGAGGCCTGAAAAACTGGCGAATGGGAGACATTGCTTTTTAGTTCTCTTCGCAATTGAAGCTCACCTGGTACCCGCAGTCGGCTTTCTCTCGCACATGGATATTTGGTCTGGAAAATCCAAAATTCTCTGGATGGGCGAGGGGGGTCGGGTCAGAGACAAGTCTTGTTTCAGGAGTATCCCGGGCTGCACAAAGTTGTATCAACATCCGGCGGCCCGCCCGAATGGAAAAGACTTCTTGCGTCCATGTCATTCATATTTGCGCAACCTCGGAGAGGGCGTCCCGTAAGCAAACAACCGGGTTGCCTTAAGGGACTTCGATGATAGGGCAATGTCAAGGGCGCGCGGTCTCGGCTAGTCAAATTGATTCAGGAGTGAAAAGTAGCTGGGCCGGATAAAGGGTGGCAGCTCCCGGACGGCCGTTACTATCAGATTTTGAGAAGCTAGTAGATTGAGGATACCTTCGATGTGGGGGGCTGGGGCTTATGCCTTCCCTTTGGAATTTCAATCTGATACCCCATGTCATTTTGATGACAACGGTCCTCGAGGTCGGCGGAGAAGACTCTCGCGAGCATTTCCCAGACCTTGCCTCGCCACTTTGCAGGTGGCCTAGTACGAGACATCGTATCCGCGGCCGTGGCAGATCAGCAAATCAAATGATTCGCGTACACCACTGCGTCCAACAGCTTAATGCCCCCTTGCACCGTGTCAACCAGCAGAGGTCTTGGACCCGTGCTTCCAAGCCCCAGGAATGTATCCGTCTGTTGCATTGCTCTTGGCCTCCATCATAGCACACGTATGTAAAAATATGTATAAGTAGGAATCGAGGCAGTCTTCAAACAGGTCTTCAGCCGGTGATGCTCCGTGTAGATGGAGATTCGTTTCACTGGAGGGTATTCGAAAGTCGGGAAGGTCACACCTAGGTCATCAACATGGCAGAGGATAGGTTGCTGCAAGTGCAGAACTTGATAGTAGCATGCTGTTCAGAAGCCCTTCAGTCTCTTAGGGCGGTTGAGCAATCGTACTAGATCTTGTTAGTTCTACCCAGGGAGTTAGAAAGTAGTAGAAAGGACCCAGCTATGTTGTGCACACTTGGCTTTCGTTTCACCACAATCGTCGAATGCTGTGATCCTACCAGTAGTACAGTAATGGAGTCCAGCTTCAGGGCAACTTTGCCGACGAGGCTGGGAGGAAGGGGGCGGCTAAACTTCGGATGTAATTAAAACATACAAGGAAAACACCCCCTTTCAGCACAGCCTTGCACAATCCTAGACTCTTGTGACCCGTTATAGGGCATTTCTCAATTTGATCGATTCATGCACGGGAGCAGGATCCAGGATGCAGTAGAGCATATCCTCTGATGACCATCATTTTCGGTCAGGCAACAACGCCTGAATAATGCGCTGTAGCACAATGCTGCACAAATGCAAATGTACGGACAGAGTGACCAGTGATGAAGCTCGACGACTAAGCGGGCGACTAAGCGGGCGCAAAACCTCACGACATCATCGTCTCTGTCACCACCACAGAGTAAAGGCTTGGCCGAATCTGGACACGCCCTAGAATATAAATATGCCTTCATTCTCTCGTCAGCCTCTTCCTTTCTTTCTCCTCGTCATCAACAACGTCAACCGGAGGCGACATCAGAAGATGTCGTCCTCCGCCGCCAACCTCGCCGAACGTCCTGGTAAGTTCTACTGATGCAGCCCTCTGCAGCGATATCACGGAGCCCTCCGCATCGATATCGTAACTGACAGGAACAAAGCTTCTGCCAACCCTCGTGCCCTCCCCACCGCCACCGCAAAGAAGCGCAAGTTGTCGACAGTGCTTGACAACGATGATGATGATGAGAATGACGACACTCCTTTGTCGCCCGCTGTCAAGAACGAGAGAAACATGAGTTGGACCACTGAAACCCGCCTTGATGCAAGTCACCCATAAACTCACTTCACCCTGTTTCAACACTAACCTCACTTCCAGCTCGCCTTACGGATGCTCTGTGTGATTACTGCTTCTGACAAGAAAGACAAAGCACGATTGAATCACGGTGAAATGGCTACTGTGCGGGCTACATATGGTATGTTCCAAAATCAATCTCCTGGTGCCATCACTGACCACCTTTCTACTTTTGTAGCATTGGAAGATCCTGACACTCTGCCGAGTGTGAACACCCTTTCTAAGCAATGGAAGACCCTCAGAGAACTAGATCCCAAACTCGCACCTTACTTTGGTTCGACAGACAAGCTCAAGCAGTTGACTCAAAGTGTGGCTGAATCAGACAAGAAGCGGCAGGAGGAAAAAGCCGCTGCCAAAGAAGTCCAAGAACTGCAAGAAAAGCTTGCTGCCAAGAATAAGGAGTTGTCGGACACCAAGTCACGACTGGCAGAGTCAGAGTCGGCCAAAGATGACCTCAACAAACAGCTGGAAGAAGCAAATGCACGCATTGCGGAGTTGCTCCCCCAACCATTTGATGATGAGGAACCACTTTTAATGCCACAATAGCAGGGTATGAATTGATATGCGAGGCATCCGCATGGATATGGGCATTGAAGTTGGTACATATTCTACCAACAAGCGGTCAGGCATGGTTATTGCACCATTGCTCCATCATGCTTCAAGAACAGGCTTGGCCTCTGGATCTGTGTACATCTCAAGCGACAGGGCAGGTTCATGGGAATGTGTCTGCGTCGGAGGATTGATGGGGCTGATAATCCTAGGGCCATTGACGGTCTGTCTCTTTCTGGGACTGTTATTGAGCCTGTTCCTCTGCAAGGCACCCGAATTGACCACTTTGATATCAATATTGTACCGCTTGCGGATCGTTGTGAATTTCGGAGGAATGCTCGACAAGCTCATGCCTAGTTGCCTTGCCACCTTTTCCGCGTCAACCTGTACTTCTGGTGAGCAGGATACGCAGCCGTAGCATGACATATTCGCTTACCTGGATTGGCCCCACTGAGCTCTGAATTGCCGCTATGAGGACCATTATGTCCGAGTCTTTGACTTGATTTTGAGCCATAGCAGTGGTCGGCAGGGAGGTCATTGTGTAGGATTGAGTAGGTACGAGTGGCTTAGTACAGAGCCCGGAGAGTGAGAACTGGAGGTATGGCGTAGGAACAAGTACAGAATTCTTACCTCCCTCTGCTGATATGGAGGGCTTTTTATAGGCCCAGAATCCAGTCTGCTAGGCTGGATATGGTCCCCGGCTGCATCCCAAGACAAGCGGTAGACAGGAAGCAGCAGACTCTCCTTTCCTTGGTTCTTGACTGTGATTTACGAGACCGTCATTTACAGAGCAATACGAGGAGTACTAAACGGTCAACACCAGGGAGGCCTTACACCATCCGGCGCTGAGTGGCTCTCACCGCTTGTTCGTCGCCTAGTAGACTGCGATGAGGCCATTCTCCGGGACGAGGGTGGCTGGAACAGCGCCTTGAGATGCTGGCTTGCTAGCCAAGCCAGTAGCCCCTGATATTCTCGCGACCGGGGTCTCTTGTGACTACAAATACCCGCCTCTAGCAGTCTTCGTCCAGCAGGACCTCTTGAAAGGTAACCTTATCTCACCGGTTTGCACTACGAGACCAAGCGTCATGGGCGGTCCTTGGTCTGCCTCGACTGAGCGAAAACTGCTCCTGTGCATGATCGATCCGAAAGCTACTCCTCGATGGCAGCTGATAGCTCAAGCAATGGGTCCACAGTTCAGCGCTGAAGCATGTCGGTACGTTTCCTACTTACATTAAGCTTGTTAGCCTTTGGAAACCTATAATTGTGCTGGTTTTCTTTCACATTCTCTCTGGCTTTCCATTCAGCCTCTCTCTCCCATCCCATTACATACCCACCATTCTGCAATCATGCGATACACGTGGACCGCTGAACGCGAACGCCGCATGCTTCTCCTTGCTATTTCTTCTGCAGACCTCAAGCCATCAGCCGACACATGGGCGACTGTTGCCGCTCTTTTGGGGGAAGGATTGACTCCCTCAGCCGTGAGGTTGGCAACGCCGCCTTTTATTCTGCTGTTCTGGTGGAAGAAGACTGGTCAGCTAACGACTGTACAGCCAGAAGTACTACAAGCTGCGCAACGAGTCGGCAAAGTTGTTAGATGATCAGCCGGGCTCGGTGCCTTCGACGCCTACGAAACGGAAAGCACTAAAGAGTGAAGATGAGACAAAAACGCCTCCATCGAAGCGGGCAAGGAAGCCAAAGCGGGACCCCCTGGACGGCGAGCTGTTCTCAGATGCCGGTAGCAGCCCAACCGAAGCAAAGACGAATAATGTGACGCCGGGTGCAACCAATACTTTCCAGAACTACCACGAACCGTTCATTCCTACGGACTTCTTCCTGCCTATGAACAATCAGTTCAAGGTAGGAGGGAGTGGCAGTGGCAGTGGGAGCGGGAGCGGCAACCACAGCTTCCCGCAGTGAGGGGCACATGCATCGCAAAATGCACCACCCGAGCCAGAAATCAAGGAGAGGGCGACACAAAATGACAGGACTTCGGATGCTTGTTAGGCTGGAAAGTGGTCTGAAAATGGTTTCAACAGGCAGGGATTTCGGGTGGACGATAGGTCAGGGAGTGCAGGATTGCTTATACTACTGCACCAACGCGCAGCCGGGACACTGGTTCCGCTGCGGGAAGATGCAACAGAATGAAATGTGTCTTTGCTTTTTCCACGGCTGGTTCCCAGCCTCCTGAATTTCGAGATCCAAACCGTGTATAAACATGTCTGCCTGGCGTTGTATGCGCAGCCTTGTCGTCCATTTTATGTTTGCCTCTTAGTCGGCTTGGCGTGCATTTAGCGGCTGTAGCGGTTATTCTGAGTGGCTGCATTCGGGGCAGGCCGGGTCCACTCTTTGGCAACCAACTTCAACTTTCATCTTCAACTTTCTTCTGCTTGACAACTTAACATGGAAGCTGAGAGAGACTGGACCGCTCTCGATGTCTGCGTCTACTTTTCCAGGCTGCCTCAGTCCGCTGAGCCACCTCAAGCCATTGGTGGCAGATAACAGGAGAGTCACCGGATGCATAGTAGTGCTGCACGAATCTGCGGAGATTCCTTGAAAACGGCCTGGAACACTTTGTCACAAGTCTGTCCCGCGGCGGAATCATGAGAGCCAGTCTTGGGCCCGCCACACCAGAGAAGGTGTGCTACATGATTGTGACACAAGTCTCTATGGACGCTAACTGCTACTAGTAGTACTCATTTCCTCCTGGCCTGAGCTGGAGTACACTACCTGGGAACTATAGCATAGTCTGCGCCAGTTCTGTGAGCACATCCCTGAAGGCAGGGGCGAGCTGTATGGTGCTTCGTGCTCCCGCCTGCATTTGAGCTGAATTCCTCAGAGCGCGCGGAGAAAGTAGCCGACCGACACTTTGAAATGCTAAAGGCTTCTACCGCAGCCCGCCCCGACTTGCAGACAATGAATTGCTGCAGTGTCCTGCATGTGCCTACTAGTTGCAGATTAGTACAGCCCCTATTTGTCTTTCCCAGCCTCTTTCTTTCCAAGTGGCGCTGATGAGCTCGATGTGCAATCAAGGAAAGTAAGTCTGCGCTTTTTACTGGTACCGAGAATGTTGACTAGCTAGCCTGTTTGCATCCTTGAGGTCTGGATGAGCGCACCTCAACTAGACTGATCACAACCTACTCTCACACCGACATAGAGACTCTCGAGCTTAGGGGGAAGTGACTGTCACGGGGACGAACATCGTTCTCAATTTGCCTCGCCCTCAGCGGCAGCTCACGACCAGTCCTGGCAGCCCGCCCACGCTAGTAGTGAAGTCCAAGTTTCGACTTGAAGCAGTTTGTTCTTCTCCTACTTCCACCTATCGATACCTCCCATCGTCTTTCACAACACTCCGAGTCTCTGCCCAGTATTGGTCATCCAGTATCCTACAATACTTTTCCAGTACGACAGAAACTCATTATCATCTACCTACAGTCATGGCTCCAGCTACAGATCCCACGCCGAACATTGACTCGGCTCAATTTGCAAAGGATGCCACGTATCTCTTCGAGGTCTTCCGCGAATCTCCTCAGCCCATCACGGTAAGCAAGCGAAGCAACCATACTTCCCCTCGTTTGTGTGTGAACTGAACTGGCCCCGCTTCCAAAGTGAGGTGCATCTCATCTCACACCCCACATGCTTCTTCTACTGTGCAAATTCAAACTGACTTGAGCCTGACCGAGCAGATCCATATCGGAGGCTATGCAGCCAAGACAGGTGCCAAGCCAAACACTGTCATCAAGAGGCTCAGCGAGATCAAGAAACGCAACAAGCTCAACCTTGTCACAACGACCTTGACTGCAGACGAGCCCAAGAGCAACAACAAAGCCACTCCCACCAAGTCCAATGTGGTCAAGAAAGAACGCACGACTCCGAACAAGTCGGCACAGATGGCCCAACCAGGTTTCAACTATACAGGTTCGGTGTTTGCTCCAGACTACAACAATACTCTACCGTCTCCAGCAGACTCAACCGGCGACACTGTGCCGAGAAATACACCCCAGAAGCGTGCAGCTCCAATGGTTACTGAGGACGAAACCGAGCACGATGGTCACATTGTTACCAAGAGGATCAAGCAGGAGCCCTGATCTTCCACTCCCCAAATCTCATGGTTGTCACTGCTTCTCTCTACTAGAACAGGGGTGCTGGTTGTTGGATTAGAGAATGAAACAGATCACAGAAAAACGCAGCAATAGGCCGACTGCTGGAAGGCGCTGGTTGACTATTTGGGACTACCATCCTTGGAGCACCTCAGGTTCTCGGGAAGAAATAGCGTTGTCATGAGCCAGTATTGGGGAAAGAACAGCTTGCTTGCATTATGCTTTCCAGACACTCATAATCAATGTTGGTAGCATAATAAATCCCAACATCAAGTAGACTATGAACTTCAATCCTCTACGATGATGATTACGTCCTCCACCATATCCTTTGTCCTCTCTGCCTTGACCTGTATACCTAGTCGGCTTTGGCCCGTCTCGTTTTCTTGGCCGTGCGCCTGAGAAGTGTTGGCTGACTCTCCTGGTCGACTCCGCATTTCTGGAGCAGCATTTGAGGTAAAAGAACCATTGTCTGGACTCGTGCTCTGTGCCGCTTGAGCCACAGCTGCGGCTGCGGCTTCTCTCTGTACACAGCCAAGTAATTGCACCACCAGCTCTGTCGAGCGCATGATATCAGCAATTTCGGTTTGCGAGAAGATGGGTATCGGTTTAGACTTGGGCGGCAGATTTGAACTCTGGCCACTCGTATGGTTGAGAGGAGTAATTGAACCGACCTCGGTGCGAGCTGTTGTTGGCCCTGTGTGCAATTCTCTCGGTTTGGCTGCTTCGGATGGTTGTGGAAGGGATTCCAGCCCCGTCGATAACAGCCTGTTGGTACTGGAAGAGAGCGACAGAACAGACGCAGCGCGCCCTTTGCCCTTGTCTACCTTTTGACCCGAAAAACTAGTATCTTCAGGTGCCAGCGCTGCCTTAGACGAACTTTCTTGCTGATGGGATGGTTGTGAAGGTGGTAGGGGCTCATTGTAGATTTCAATCGTGTCAATCATGGTATCATGGTCCTGGTCGGGTTGTAGGTGATCGGCAGGTTGCGGAGGTACTGCTTTCTCCTGGTGATTGTTGCGGACTGGGGAGCCACGGGCCGTCTCTGCCTGTACCACACCGTTGAAAAAGGACCCCCTTGTGGGCTGAGGAGTAGATCGGTGTGGCCCAATGCTTGCGCTGGACATGACTTGAGCGAGCTTTTCTCTGCCTTTTGACACTTTTAGTGGGTTTTGCAGGTTTCGTTGATGCTCCTTGCTCAAATACTCGTGCCGGTCCAGGTCTTCCTGGCTTGGAAGCTGGCTCAAGCAAAGGGCACACCGGTGCTGGCCTTGCTTCGTCACATAGCCAAAGGACTGGGGTGCCCGCGGGATATCTGTCCTGCTGAACAGTGGCGACTTGCAGTGCCTATCCTCTGCTGTATCTTCTACAGCAGAATGAGGTCTTTTCTTGGACGTCGCGTCAATCAACGAAGTATTATGGTCCACCTGCCCATTTGTCGTTACATAGGAACTAGGTCCAGGCTGCGAGGAGTTACATATTGATGGCGCATCAGCGTCTTGATATGGGGTGCTTCTGCCATTGACGCATCCGTTGGGGACCATGTCAGCTCTCGGCAAGCCGGGAGTATCTCCATTATGTGCTTCCTTTCGGGTAGCAGATGGAGTGGGTGATGCAGGAATAACTCGAGGCCGCTTTGCTAGGGCCCGTAAAGAATGACTGAAATGCGCCTCGGCTTCTCGTTGGGTCAGGATACTTATGTCTTCGTCATCAAAGTAGAGTAGTGGTGGTCGCGATTGTCCCCGCGTTGGTCTTTGGGATATTCTTCTGCCAGAAGCGCGCTGACCGGTGTTTCCGGATGTAAGTTGTTCTGCGGCTCTGGAGACTTCCTTGTTGAAGAAAGACTTGATGGCGTCGTAAGTAGCATCCGGTCCAAAGCGCTGCGCTATCGAGCCGTATCGACCCTTGAACTGGAGAGAGGTCATTCTTCACTTTCAGAGCATGCCGTGAGAACGCTTACCGCTTCTTCACCAAGCTCAGCGTACACTGCAGCAAGCAGGCGGAATACCGTCTCTCTGAGCCTCCAGTTGATCCCCATTTTGAATATCTTAATCGAGGAGGATGGCAACACACGTTCTTAAGATTTCGGGGCCTGATATGGGTAACAAGGATAAGAACTGGAGTTGAAGGACTGTGAAGCGCGATGGATGCGTGTTTGAATCTCCTAGGTTTGTCTACACGACTGAGGCGAATGACAAAACGCAGAATGACGGGACATTGCGCCAGCAGGAGGACAGCAGCATCAGAACCTGATAGCTCACCAGATGAGAAGCTCCTCACTGGTGTCGGCGTAAAGTCTTAGCTCATACTTGGGCATCAATCTGGACCATGGAGACCACCAGACGGGGCCCTTCGGTCCACACACTGGCGTCAAATAGCGTGGTGGCCGGCAAGGATGGCGATGCAGCGACCTGCAGCTGCTTCATGCCATGCCACTGGCAGTGGAAGAGACAAAGCTGAGAGTTAGCTCGTCCGGATGATGCAGGAGTGCTACCGCGTACACAGGCCGTAGGACATGGAGGAGGGCAGTGCCAGTGAGTGGATCCAGGCTCGAGAGGCAGCAAAAACCAGGATGGCGAGGCTGCACTGACAGTTGCACCAATTGGAGTCGGTCGTGACGCCTGACGGCTCGCGCGTATTGCCCGTATTCTGTCATTACAACTCCCACACCTCGTCCATCCACACGTCTACCACATCTCGAAAAGCCTGCTTGGGATTCTGGCCCCGGATGAGCAGTGGCTTGCATGAGGTACTAGGCCTGGACATAAGTGTGCCAGAAACTGCGCTGTGAGGCAGAGAGAGCACACTGAGGGCCTGCATGTGCCGCTCGTCTCTGGTGAAGTGCAACAGCCACTGGCATTACGGGACTTGTGACCAAGTGCCATCATCGCTGTGCACCAACAGTAGATTGGGTACGCTGTGGGGAAAAGAGCAGTGCTTTAGATATAGTGGTTTGAGCAGTACTGTGTTGCGTCCTGCAAACCCGCCAGCCATCCATAGTAAGATAGACATCTCTAGCACAAGCTGCACAACTTCACTGTTGAGACCTAAATTCTGCCAAGACGACTCCTACCTGGGTACGAGTAGGTAGTGAGTGTACACACAGAAGTCGAATCCAGTCGTCAAGAATGACCAAATGAAAAGTGCAACAAGCGGGATTCGAACCGGCAAAAAGGGAAACTTAGAAGGAGCTCTCATTCAGTGTCATCCTATAGCGATAATGGATGCAACAGTACCCAAGATCTTCTGACTTGCAAGAATGATGGTTTTCGTCACTGTAACCCCTGCCTCATGGGCAGCGTTTTGTAACAGAATTCTGGTGGTGTCTTTCATATAGGAGATTATTGACTCAGCCGGTGAATGACCTCGAATCGGGCTCCGGCAGTGAGACGTGGCAGCGGGATACGGAACATTTGGCACCACCACAATGTGGGTTGGTTCTGCCCCATGTCAATCGGTACGCTTGCTCATAGCGAGCTTCAGTCTGAGTAGTGGCCTCTTCAGTCCAACATGGTGCGGAAGAGGCGCTGGTCTATACCATGACGGGCCTACAAAGGAGGCAGATTTGTGGAAGTTTACGTGTTGAATTGGATGACCAGCTCAAGTTGGACAACGACAAATGCGTCGAGTCTTGCTATTTCAGCCTGATGTAAAGCTCTTGGAGTGCAGATGCTCGGAGGATCATGACAGACCACGAGAGAGACCATGAAAAGACATGGCTGACTCCTTCCTCAAACACTCCTGAACATCTGCAAAGCTAATCGATTGTCACCATTACCATTGCCGCAATTCCCAGCTCGATTCCCCTCCCTTGAGCAGTGTGCCATAGCTCATCTCAGCGGACCCTGGGAGCAACATGGTCAGTACACTGTCTTAGTCGTCTGTCCTCAATGATCTCACCTGCCTTGACGAAAAGAGACGAGATTATTCATCGCCGGGATATTCGTTGTCCGAAACGTGTTCAGGCTTGACCTTCACATCGTCATCGAGTTCCTGCTTGACACTGCTCTTGGATGGAGTTTCTTCTTTCTTGGCCAATTTCGTGGGTGTTTCAGCTTCCTCGGGAGCGCGGCGTTTGCGCTTGGTGCCGGTGCTTGAAGGATTTGTCTTGCGCGCGCTCGTCTTGGGAGTTTTTGGCGCTGTGTTTGTATCATTTTCGCCGAGTAGCTTTTCGGACTCCTTCTTCAGCTTGTAGAACTTTTGGCTGCTCGGTCAGGTATTAGCATACATAGTAACGCAGTTACCACGAAACATGTTCAAACAAAACAGACTGCTCGACAGCACAAATTTGCAGGACAGGAGGGGAAAGCAACGCTACCTGCAAGCGTTGCCGTTGAGACCATGTCCTAGTCTTTCCGCAACAGCAGGCCAGATTGTGGTAGGTGGTGCCGACATTTCACCAATAGCGGCAATAAGCAGGTTCCGTTCTGACTCGGCATCCCACTTGAAAGGCATGGTGAAAGTAGAAAGGGTCAACAAGTGCTTGAACAACAAGAATGAAGGAAACCGATCTGATGAAGGGAGAGAACAGTTGTTGAGGGAAACAGGGTGGAAAGGGATGTATGCGAGGATAGTTGTAAGATGGTTATGTAAAGGGGAGGGGTGAAGGGGAAGTGAGCTGGAAGTGAGCTGGGACAGAGACTGCAATAGGAACTGCCGCCCACGGGAACACAGGATATCACCTGGTGAGATCAGAATAAACGCACCGACATGCCTCCCCGGTGAAGTCATCTCCCATGGCGTCAGCAATTGTTGCCCAATTCGGTTTGGCTGAGTGGTCGACGAGACACATTAGGAGCTTTCGCTCCGTGGCTTCATTCCAGCCACGCATCTTTGCCTGAGCTGAGACGATAGAGACAGATTGAGAGAGATTGGGTCCAATTGAAAGCGAAAGCTGAAGCTGGGAAACGGGCTGAAAGTGAGGCCAAGGACAAGATGGTGGGAGAAGAGAGCGAAACAAAATAGGATGGAATCTTCGTAGGGTTAAATAGCAAGACTTAGTCCCTCCGGCAGCGGCATGTGATCATTGTTCACGTGTTCAGGAGTGGGAGGCTCACCGGCACTGCTCAGTACTAACGCCCATCTTCGTAGCTGCGGCACTGAAAACACCACGGCTGACTGTGATGTCGAGATCGAGGACCAGTAAAAGCAGAGTGAGATCTTCACGATCCGACCACGGCATTGTGAAAGCGAAGCAAAATGGATTCAAGGAATGCAAAAGGTGATGGTGCTTAGAGTGGTAAAGAACCCAAGTAGGTTGGACGGTGAATAGAGAACAGAAAGTAGACCATGCTTTAATAAGGGAGGCAGGTCACGATGTCTACTTACCGGCAACCATTCCAGGTCAATCCATTTCCAAGTTTAGCGGCCGCTTCGCTGAACTTGGCTCGAGAGACACTATCCGGGGCTTCAATGAGACTGTAAAGGAGAGTTTTTTCAAGCTGGTCATTCCAATTGCTCGACATCATGTAGGTGTGCGAGACCGGTCTTGATATACGTTGGTGGGAAAAGAAAGGATGAGAGAAGGTTGAGAAGAAGATGCGTTTTGGCACGGGAAGGACCAGAGGGAAACATGTAGGATACCTGGTGGCTTGCAATCTAGAGGTTCTTGCTGGGACCTATTTACTAGCATGCGATCTCCGCTTATTGTTAATCTCGATGTTCTTGAGCTCGAAAGTCCTCCTAGCAGCTGCGTCCATTTTGCTCCTCTGATACCACTTGGCCAACTGTCGCTGTGTGAAAAGCTTCCCATCAATCTCAACTTTGATGCTGTCATGTGGAAGTCGTTTCAACTTGACAGGAGTCAATATGTTACTGTCCTCGTCGTCAGATGACTCAGTGGAGTCCGTCTCATCGTGATGTCGTTCAATGCCTCTTGAAGAAGATTTGGGATATGCTCGATATCGGGCGTGGCGGTAAGATGTCTCATTGGTCTCGGCTGTAACTGCTTCGAGGCGGCGGGCATGCTCGATATACTCTCTTAAGATGGAAGATAACTTTCCTTTGCCGTAAAGTCGCTTCAAGCAAGATCTTGTTCATTAGCTCGGGATCCCACGAGCCAAACTTCGCCTTACCTACTTTACTTGTGAAGTTGTGATACCGAGTTTGAATGCAATAAGCTCCTTGGCCTCCGTCTTCAGAGGGTTGAGCTTGGTATGGCTCATTGCCATGGCCGCGGACATGATTTTAAGGTCGCGCTGTGATTCCTCATACTGTTTGCGGAGGGTTTTGTTGTCATTGAGCAAAGCATGATATTGAGGAATCGTGGAAGTAGGAGAGGGCTGAACGAGAGCTTGCGAGTTCTGTTCAAGAGATGGCATGATGATGATGATGATGATGATGGAAACTGCTGAAGAAAGGACGCGAACAGGCTTCAGGAAGCAAGCATAGACTTTAAGGGATGATGGCAGCGCCCAACGCGTTTGAACACGCGTCGGGCCAGTTGGTAAAGCCACAGCATGATGACAGGGGAGAGCATAAGTACCGGGTATGGACAACACGGCCCTGCAGCGAATTCACCAATGGAACGAGCTTACCCGGATACACACCCGGATCGCAATCTTGTCGGCTCAAGCGCCAGGCAGTCGACTTCCAAATTGTAGCAATCATGTTTACCAACTTGCAATTCGGTCGCTTTCGCTCGTCTGCTGGGAAGACCGGGTTCTAGTATGCAGTCTCCCGTGTTCCATGGAGGAGCTGGCAAAGACAACTGGCAGGCGGCGACATAGGACACACGGCGAGCAATGTCCATTGACATTATCCAAGGGAGCGTATCCGAGGGCGCTGTGCTCAGGCAACAGTTGGCAAGCTCTCGGGCTTGCTAAGATGCGGCACAGGATCATGGAGTATTGGGCAGACGTTTCGAGGGGGCCTGATGCACGCGGGACTGTTACTGCCAGTGTGGTATTAAACTTGAAGGCGGATATTCCAGGCAGGTGTTCAAGTTCTTCGGTTTGATTATGCACTAGAAGCTTGAATGCTCCACAGGAAGACTGCCCCTGTGTAGTAGTGCTGCACAGTATAGACTATAGGCAATTCCCACCCTGTCCACCGGCCAACAGTGCAACAGATCCAGGCGTTGGCCACTGGCAGTCGGAGCCAAAAACCCCTCAAGCTTGAATGCAGCGCAGAGCAGCCGGCCACTGCAGGTGTCTGTCACTACTACTAGTACTAGCAGTCCTATACAGTGTAGCCTGCGGTTTCGGACCCCACCATCTTCTCTAAGGAAGTTAGGTAGTAGTGGTAGTAGTAGTACTACTGCTGCTGCACTGCAGTGTGTAGACACCCTCCTACGTACACAATCCATCCAACCTGCGCAATCATCCTTTCACTCATCCTGAGCATTTATTTTGCAGCCTATTCAACCCAAGACTCGCTTGAGCAACGTCTCATATTCCTGCGTCGTAATCCAGCCGGTCGAAGTACGTGGATATTTCCGTCTTGTGTTGCCTTCCCGCTGGGGTCGATGAGCGCTTAGCCATTCTTGCTGTGCAGCCATTTCTCATCGGTCGCCTCAGTGCCCATTGCCACATTCTTTCGGCACCCTCATCTTCTTTATAAGCTGACAAGCAGTCCAGGTGCTCCTGAACAGCAAAGCCGTCGCCTAAGTTTTCCAGTCCTCAGCCATGGTAAGTTCTTTCTATCGCCGTCTTGTGTCTTCGAGCTAACCAGTTCAAAGCCTGTGTCCGGGTACGTCTTGCAGTCCATCGCCAACGAGCATTCCTGCTGGCGGACAACTGTCTCTAACCCTGCCGATTCGCAGACTCTCCGTCAACCCGGAGTGCGTTTCTGCCTTCAATGAGCTGAAACTCGGCCGCGGCGGACCAAAATATATCATCTACAAGATCTCCGATGACCAGAAGGAAATCGTGGTGGACGAAATCGGCAAAGATTCCGACTACGACACATTCCGAGAGAAGCTCATCTCGAAAAAGGAGCCAACCGGGAAAGATAGACCCTCCTATGCCATCTACGATGTGGAATTTGAACTCGAGGGTGGTGAGGGCAAGAGGTGCGCGCGCCTACAGTGTAGACATCCGTTGTCAAGATCATATACTTACGTCGGGGCTTCCAGGTCAAAGATTGCGTTCATTACCTACATCAACCAAGACAACACGGGTGTCAAGGTATTTCTTACCCGGCCCAGTGGGAGGGCTCGAAGCTAACTCCAACAGTCTCGCATGGTCTACGCCAGCTCGCGCGAGACCTTGAAGAACTCGCTCAACGGAATTGCCATGAACTGGCAAGCGAATGACCCCGGCGAGCTGGAATGGGTCGATTTGCTCAAGGAGGCCAGCAAAGGCAAAGGCACAATCTAGAAGTCACAAGATTGTCCTCGTTGCACATTGTTACCCGACAATGACAGTGAGCGTGCAAGATGCGTAGCAGAACAACCTGTCGCACCGTATCGCTGCCCGAAATGGTGCCTGCCCGACAAGAGGCCGTTGGGCTTTGATGCGTGCCATTGGAGAAGCCAGATATCTCTGCGCCGATACGAACACAGCGGCATGAAGAATTTGAGATAGAAGAACTCAAGCACAATTGAACAAAATCCACACGAACTGTCCTACTGCCTATCTTTTTTCCATAGCTGTACTAGTACTAGTAATAGCTGTACTAGTACTAGTAATGGTCGACAACGAGCACCTCAACTGCGAGTAAGGCAACCCAAGAACCACGACCAGTATTATGTCTGAGCTATGGTTCTTCCGCAGGTTTATCACAACCTGTCAACCTGGGCACTGGAGAGTCGTACATGATGATGATCATGATTATGTACTTGGCCTGGGGTACTCCGGCTTTGAAGCCAACAGGCCAGATAAGGCTTGATTGAGTCTTCGACTGCGATGATGCTGTGCATTATTGTACGTTGTACAGCCTGAGTCGTAGTAATGCTCGGGCTCTACCCACCCCCCTTGCGGACCAATGGCGGCCAGTGCGTTACTAGATACATGGCTCAATCAGGAGTGGTGTGACGGCAGCGGGAGTGGCAGCTTTGGCCTCCCAGTAATTTTGCCCGGTGCCAAGCCTTGAGCTCCCAGGTCAGTCAACTTCGAGAATCAACGACCTTCAAACAACCAACCTCAGTCAACCAAGCTTAAACCGCCGTCGAGACATTGCGATATTGACCCCGGAGCTCCAGGCTTCGGCAGGTAGATTGATCAGCTCTTCTTGCATCTACTGAGCCGATTTTCGCGCCCTCCGACAAGATGCTTCTCCGCTCCTTACCCCGTGCTGCTCGTGCCTCAGCAGGCACCTCGAAGGCGTGCACACGAAACTTCCAGTCGTCAGCACGATCTTTGGCCCCGACCTTCGCTGCCGCTCAACAGCCACCCATGACCAGCCAGTCGCAGGTCCGATCCGCCCACGCCATCTCCAACCCCACACTTGCCGGAATCGAGAAGAGATGGGAAGGAATGCCTCCACAAGAACAAGCAGAGCTCTGGATGCAATTGAGGGACAGAATGAAGGTTGACTGGCACGAAATGACTTTGCAGGAGAAGAAAGCTGGTACGGGCGCACCTGGTTTCCTCTGCTATTTATGCTGGAATGCTGCGCTTCCAGTCCGAAGCCGCGATTCCAGCATGCGGGATAATCCAGATGTCTTGTTCAAAGAACGCCTTTGCTAACGCGTTGATAGCTTGGTGGATTGCGTTTGGGCCCCACGGACCGCGCGCAGCAACGCCGCCGGGCGAATGGACGAAAGTTTGGCTCTATACAGCAGCCGGTGTCGGCATATCCGCCGTTCTTTTCTTTGTCCTGCACTCGTTCGCCCGGCCACCCCCTCGTACCATGACCAAGGAGTGGCAAGAAGCTACCAATGAATATCTTAAGGTGAGCAATCTTATCCAGCACGTGCATTCAACGGCACGGCTTGTCTGCGCAACTTTGATGCTGACTCTTTCAACAGTCCGAGAAGAGCAATCCTATCTACGGTATCAGCAGCGAGGGATACAGCGGCAAAGGCCACGTTCAGAGCAAGTCGGCCAAGGCTCAAGGTATCAAACTGGAGTCGGATGAGTAGACTAGGGTTGTCTTCTTTCGCCGCACTAGACACCCTCGAGTCTTTGTACTGTCACTAGTTTTGTGAGGAAGCAGAATTCTGCATTTTGTCGATACAAGATCATAACCCAACCTGGTTTGGTTTGGAAAGGGCACCACGCGTCTTCAAGTTGTACATAGCCGGCCGTGAGATAGTGGTGAAACCCATGGTACCAGGCAATGTCCTTTTTCTCCCGATATCCGAGTCCCATAAAACCGCACGAGAAAGAAACTTATGTAGCCCAAACATCAATATCTCAGTACTCGCTAGGTAGGCTGTAGTATTTTAGCAATGAGGACCAGGCTGAGCGGACAGGTACAGGTTCAAGTTGGGGGTTGGCCGGGCCTGGGGACTCGGAGGCTGTAATAGTGTCCGGCGGAGCGCAGTGCCAATGCGGTGCCAGTGTAGATGCGATCATGGAGTGAGCTTTTCGGAACTATGCCATTTTAGGCGTAGCCGTTTTCTGCTCGGAACGAACAGCTTCATCCTCAAGCAACCTACTTCTTCTTGCTCCTAAACCACCAACAACTCTCCTCTCTACCTTCATTCTTCACCTTCTCGTCATCTGCAAACATGCTCAAGAGGTGAGTCAGATCGCGCCCGTTTCCTGCATTGCCCGTTTTCAAGCACATCTGGAGCACCGCTGACTGAATTGATTTAGCGGCATCGCCCGTAGCTTGGGCAGGTCTGCCTTTGCTCGACCTTCAATCGCCCGACGCGCCTTTGAACCTCTGCGACGACAAGCCGTTCCCGCCATCGCACAAAGATGGGCTTCCACCGACTCTGGCCGAGTGGGCAAGATCCATCAGGTCATCGGTGCCGTTGTTGACGGTATGAAAACTTCGTCCCCCTGCGCAAGCGGAGCTCCCGCCGAGCTCGGCATCGACAGCAGTCTACAGTAAATCATCGAACCAGGCGCTGATGTCCTTCTTCTAGTCAAATTCGACTCTGAGCAACTCCCTCCCATTCTCAACGCCCTCGAAACCGAGAACAATGGCAACAAGCTTGTCTTGGAGGTTGCGGTACGATTCTATTCGAGCTCTGGGAAAAAAAAAACAATGGCGTACTGACAGATATCAGCAACATTTGGGAGAGAATGTCGTGAGATGCATTGCTATGGATGGTAAATCAGACTGAAGATGCGCCGCTCAGTTGTCATGTTTACTGACCTTTTCAGGTACCGAGGGTCTTGTCCGAGGTCGCAAAGCCACCGATACTGGAGCTCCCATCAGTATCCCAGTCGGCCCTGGCACCTTGGGTCGTATCATGAACGTCACTGGTGATCCAATCGACGAGCGAGGTCCTATCAAGGCGACCAAGCTCGCTCCTATCCACGCCGATGCCCCAGAGTTCGTTGAGCAATCCACATCCGCTGAAGTGCTTGTCACGGGTATCAAAGTGGTCGATCTCCTGGCTCCTTATGCTCGTGGTGGAAAGATTGGTCTTTTCGGTGGTGCTGGTGTCGGCAAGACCGTGTTTATTCAAGAACTCATTGTGGGTGGCATTCTCATAATGTTTCGGCCACAATTACTGATTGAAAATAGAACAACATTGCAAAGGCTCATGGTGGTTACTCCGTGTTCACTGGTGTCGGCGAGCGAACTCGTGAGGGTAACGACTTGTACCACGAAATGCAGGAGACCTCTGTCATTCAGCTCGATGGCGAGTCCAAGGTCGCGCTGGTGTTTGGTCAAATGAACGAACCTCCTGGTGCTCGTGCTCGTGTTGCTCTGACTGGGTAAGTTGTTCCTTCGCTTCTTGCGCGTATCCACATCCCCATCTTGAGAATACGTCTGCCACCATGTCATGTGATGTTGGGCTGGTTCTGGTTTTTGGGAGGCCCTCAAGTTCAATTTTTGGATGACAGCACCAGCTTTACAAGATTATGCTAACTTAATGGAGTCTTACGGTGGCTGAGTTCTTCAGGGATGAGGAGGGACAGGATGGTAAGTTTGATAACAATCTCGTCGGTGTCAATATCGACGGCGTACTCTTCGCATCAAAAAACCAAAGAGGTGGTTTGGTGTGAGAAGTGCGCCGGAAATAATGGCAACCACGTGACAATGACCACGTGTGGGGCTCCCGTGCTAACACGTGACAGTCTTGCTCTTCATCGACAACATTTTCCGATTCACTCAAGCCGGTTCTGAGGTGTCTGCCTTGCTTGGTCGTATTCCATCTGCCGTCGGTTACCAACCCACACTCGCCGTCGACATGGGTCTCATGCAGGAACGTATCACCACCACCCGGAAGGGATCCATCACATCTGTGCAGGCCGTCTACGTGCCAGCCGATGATTTGACTGATCCTGCTCCTGCCACCACTTTCGCCCATTTGGACGCCACCACTGTGTTGTCCCGCGGTATTTCCGAGTTGGGTATCTACCCTGCCGTCGATCCTCTGGATTCCAAGTCCCGAATGTTGGATCCCCGAGTTGTCGGTCAAGAGCACTATGATACCGCATCCCGTGTCCAGCAGATGCTGCAAGAGTACAAGTCGCTGCAGGATATCATCGCCATTTTGGGCATGGATGAGTTGTCTGAGGCCGACAAGTTGACCGTCGAGCGTGCCCGAAAGATCCAGAGATTCTTGAGCCAGCCTTTCACCGTGGCTCAAGTCTTTACTGGTATCGAGGGTAAGCTGGTCGATCTTAAGGACACCATCAGCTCTTTCCAGAAGATCATCAACGGCGAGGGTGATGACCTGCCCGAAGGTGCTTTCTACATGGTTGGCGACTTTGAGAGTGCACGCGCAAAGGGTGAGAAGATTCTGGCTGAGCTCGAGAAGTCTTCATAAGCACCAAGTTAGCTAGTTGAAGGAGGTGCAACAAGGTACTAGGATGACAAGCTCGTTGCATCGCAGAGGCTAGGTAGTCGGACTTTTGAAGACTACACAGCAGAGAGTGTTCCCAAAAATCAAGTTCTGTACATTGACAACCGTTTGCAATCGATACGGGTAGTATGTTGTTTGGTTTTACTCTGACCCTATCTATGCTAAGCATGGTATCATTCCATGAACGTTTGGTGGTAGAATGCAGGGTTAATGGCAACCACCTTATTGCCCTCATTGGGGGTGACTAGAATGCTGGTGACTGTTGAGCCTTGGACCGGTATTGTGTAGACTTACTTTGACCTTTGAGGGCTGAAGCAGTGTTCAAGATCGAGCGCAGTGTGTTCATCAGCAGAGCTAGAAGGGAGGAAGGGAAGAAGGAAGGGTGATGATGTGGGAGCCATTCAAGTTATTGCTCCTGTCTCAGGCTGTATCAGGCTTTATTTTTGGCCGCATTTAGCCATACCAGGTAGCTGACATACGACCTACAGGTTACAAGCAGCAAACAACTTGAATGCCAGCCGAAACTGCAACATGTATGAGAGTCTCGGCCAGATTCAACTTCCACGCCGTTGCCCAGCGAATCCTGCATGCTTCCGTTTAATGTCTCGACTTCAGGTCTGGATACAACAGTGCATTTTCTCCACAGCCGGCTCCCCATGCTGGGGCCTGCGTAGAAGTAGGATTGCATCACCGTGTTGTCCTTGTGAGCTGTGAAAGGATACGAATTGTGTATCTCTATCTGTGTCTGCGTCGTCAATTACCAGGTAGTCCAGGTTAACAGTGGTGTTTGATGAAAGAATGGACATCAAAGCTGCCACCAACCAGTGGATGGTCCCCGGAAAAGTCCGGCACCTCTTCCTCCTAGGCTCGGTATAATAAACATGTTGCATGATATATGTCCAACTTCCTTTCCCTTCTTCAGTACACTCAGCTGGTCCATTTCTTTCTCCACTGTCCTCATGGTATCACACGCGGCGGTAGGCAGTCAGCCGACGGAGCAATCAATGACAATGGGTCTGATACTGTAAGAGTAGGTGAAAAGCAGCCCGGATCCCCATTTCCACTCCTTGCGACGGACAGGTTCTTCTCTTTCTTTTCTTCTGCGCATGACACGTCTGCGGCTCGCACATTATTGGTATATCCAGATCCCGTCCGGGACTCCCTTCTGTATAGCTACTTTCCCGATCCTGTCTCTGTCGATATGCCAAGTTTGACCCCGGACCATGGTCGACGGGCTGGCGCGGCCGCTGCGATCGCGATCAAAGGCAGGCAGGCAGACAATCAGTCAGTCTCCCGCGCCCCCTCGTTGGTGACTGAACTTCCCCTCGTGGGAGCCATGCGGCCAGCTCTGGCTGTTGGAATCAGCGGAGCCTGCTACACGCCAGGACAGGACAGGACAGGTATTGTTTACCATGAAGACACGTCCCTCCCGTTTCTCTTTTCCCTTCCTTTTCCTCTCACCAATATCCATCCAACCTTTCAATCCCCAAACACTGTCATTGAATCTCATTTGCAACCTCTACGGTCAAAGAGAGTCAGACATAATCTGAGCCATCATCCTGATCCTTTGTATCCCGCCTGGTTCGCACCATGGCCGCATCGAAGAAGGACAAGAAACCTGCCGAATCCAAGGTGACAGGCAGGAAACCAGTCGCCGAGATTCCAGCCACATGGAGTACAGCCAAGCTGACTTTATTTCTCCTACAAATTGTGCAAGAGACCAACGCCTCTCCCGGCGCGGAGCAATGGGCGGCTATCGCAGAAGCCATGGGCGAAAGCGAGGAACTTTGTCGGTAAGCATAAGCACACCCAGGGGAATGAATCCTCCTCTCTCCAGCCGGAGCAGCTGGATTGCGGTCTTGACTAATCATTGCTTTACGTTAGTTCCACGTTTGCCAAACTGTCCATGCGCAAGATATTGGCCGAGAATAAGAATAGGAGGGGGATTCAACGATACCGACAAAAAATCATGAAGAAGCTGAAGAATATGAGAAACCCACGTCCGCGCAAGCGAGGAAAAAAGAATAGCGACGCCAGTTCCTTGACCGGCAGCAACGGGACCACACTGGAGAAGCCAGGGGACAAGAAGTCTGAGGAGGGGATGCCGGAACAGACGAAGCCTGACAGCGACAAGCCAGAAGACGAGAAGGCTGAGGGCAAGAAAGGCAAGAAGCCAAAAGGGAAGAAGTCAAAAGACAAGAAGCCCAATGACAAGAAGTCTGAGGAGAAGATGCCGGAACAGACGAATCCTGACGACAACAAGCCAGAAGACAAGAATCCCGATGACAAGACACCAGAAGATCAGAAGCCAGAGGAGAAGCAGTCTGAGGGAAAGCAGATCGAGACCGGTATGGCCTTGACCGAGGCCGAAGTCGAGGCCGAGATCAAGAACAAGCTCAAGACGCAGAGCAAGAAAAAGAGGAACAGAAAGACTCGCAACAAGAACAAGGTCACGAAATCTGGTCCAGAGGTCGCGAAGGGCAAAGCAGTTTCCAACGAGCAACATGCTAGCGGAGTCAACACTGTACCACTTGGACCACGAAGCAAGGACTTGACAACTGCTGCCCCGGTAGCGACTGATGCCCCGATGGCGATTGATGCTCCGTTCACGACTGAGGCTCCATTGGCGACTGATGATGTGCTGGCAACTGACACTCCGATGGCGACTGAGGCTCTGTTGCCAACTGATGCTGTGCTGGCAACTGATACTCCGTTGGTGACGGATGCATCGCTGGCAACTCAAACACCGTTGGCAACTGATACTCCGATGGCGCTTGACGCTCCTTTGACGACTGATGATGCTTTGGCAACTGATCCTTCGCTGACGACTGATACTCAGATGGCGATTGATGCTCCGTTGGTGACTGATGATCCATTGACGACTGATGCTCCACTGTCTACTGGTACACCTTTGCCGACTGACTCTCCGCTGACGCCTGATGATCCATTGAGGGCTGCTGCTTCGCTGGCGACTGACGCTCCGTTGACGACTACTGCGTTGGCGACTCCTCCTACCTCTGAAACTGAGGTGCTGACGGACCACGAGGTGCCATCCTCTCGTAAGTTTTGACACTACCGACACGAATCTCTTGGTTTGACTCCTCTTACGCTGTTGCTGACCTTGTCATTTCGATTTAGCGGACTTTTTCGATGAACTTTTGGCGTACTTCGACCAGGTGACGGAGGAGAGTGAATCAGCCACAGCAAGTGAAGACGTTCAAGAAGACAAAGACATCACTGGATAGGCATCTGTCTGACCTTTCGAATTGCGACTTTCTAGTTGAAGATTTGGTGAGGTTCTCGACGCCAGGATAGACATCCGTCGCTCCTGAATAGCAAAGGAGGAGACCGTGTGCTTTAGGCATATCCCTCAGGAAACGCGTGTCGACTTTTTCTGGCTACAGACAGCGGTTGGACTACGGGCTGGGGAGAGGATGACTCCAAGCTGTTGCGTGCAAAACGGCTCGGTTCGCGAGGATCCGACGAAGAGCTTGCTTTTGTGCTGGCAAGTGGCCAACGTGTATGATCGAGAGAGAAAATCGGAGTCGAGCAGGCTTCCTATCTCGGAACCGAAGCAGTTCAAACTCTTGATCTTCAATCAGTGGCACCTCTTTGAATCCATTGTCTTGTCCATGATCATCGATGATCTGGCTATCAGTCTTCCGCTACAGTACGCATACCTGGGCTCAGCAGGTCTTCATGAAGCGAACAGGTCAAATAGTAGACACGTGTAACGATCAGTTGGTGCCCGAGTGATCTTGCCAATAGTTCACCCTAGGCAATCGAGATTAACGGGGAAAACTGCTTGATGTTCAAAACTTTCGTTCGACGCCATCTTGCCCTTCTCCCTTCCATGCTCCGCTGTGTCTGTTTTACACGTTGAACTCGGCTTCAAGGATAGCTACAGTTAAGCCCCGATTGGATATCCCCTCCATTTTGCAGTCTACCGACAGCGTGAGCTGCTTTGTCCTGTCCAACACACTTTCAACTGTCCCATATCGGCATAATATTCGACCGTGTTGCTTTGACTCTGGTCTCAACAGCTATACATGCAACATATCGTAGCATCAACTGTATTGTGTATGATCACGATCTTTCCCTCCGGTGACTGCTACCGGAATGGTCTGTGATGACGTCTGGATCACGCGTTGGATCCTCATACTCAACCTTGTAGTCGATGGTGTGCAGGATAACATCGTCTGTGAGACCCTTGACGCTCTCGCTGCGGTCCATTTCCACCTTGCTGCGCGCCTTCGTTGCTTGTGGTCTATTGTATCCGAGCTCCATGTTTTCGAGTACTTGCTTTTGCTTTTCCGCCCACATTCCCGACGAGTTCCCGCTATTGCTGGTAAGAGTGTGTCCTGTCCGGCTAGAGAGGCCCAGCTTATTTCTGATACGCGAAATGCCTCCGGAACCGAATGTGCGTCCATTCAGGCCGCTCCGATTGCGCGAGTGACGTACATAGGATGCGGTGAATTCGTCTTCGGGCACGTTGACGACAATCAGGCCTGGTTTGATATCGTGGAGGAACGGCTTCAATGAGGGAATGCATGATGCGATGATGGAGGTGTTTATCATGATCGTCGCGAATACCTGGGGAACAAGGTAGTCCCAGGTGATGTCCGGATGGGCGGACCTAAACACCGTTCTCATATACACGAGCATAGTAACAGTAAAAGGAACAGCCCTGTTGGTATGTAAGTACCAGGTGTGGCAGAGATAAGGGCAGAGTCTCAGAGATACATACGCAAATCTAGAGGCAAAAAGACCGGTGACAATGAACCGCTTGTGGCTCGTCACCTTCACCTTCAGCATCATGGCAAAAGGAATGAGTACGATGAGTACGTCGGAGAGAATGTTCAATGTATGGATGGCCACGTTGAGAGCAAACTGATCCACACATTTGTTGCCCTCTGAGTTCCATGGATTGGGCGGGTTACATTGAAACGCCGACGCAAATATGCTAGCGAAGGTCCATGCCGCGATGAACCCCAGGAGTGCATAGCAGCACATAAGCATTGTACGGGTTGGGTTGATCGCAATGATAAGATGTGTCACGGAGGCTTTTGACGCGGCCACCACCAGTATTATGAGTATATTGGAAGCGTATATGGTCTGTTTCCGCGGTCAACGCAAATTCAGAAGCAACACAAGCCTCCCGTCGAGAGACCAACCTTCTCGAATGTCTCGAATTTGAACTGTGAGAGATTCCTCCGGCGCTGACCAAGGCCACAATGGACGGCAACTGTAATGGTGATGGTTTGTACGATGCCGAGGAACTGTATTCAACAGGTCAGCTGGTGCACCGAATAATACACGATTGTGCACTCTTGAACTTACGCCGGCTGTGAGTATGAAGCAGTCGTTGGCTGTCAGGCGATTCGTGGCTTTGAACCGGGTGAATAGTTTGATGAATATGGTCATCACAGTCAAGAGGATGCATACATAGGCACAAACAATCAGCCATGGGCCTTGACTGTCCTTCGAGAGGCTTTGGAAGGGCGCATCGACAGGATCTGTCCCCTTCGAGTCTGTGGACGACATCTTGCACTATGCCCAACGATGTCTATCCCAAGCAGACGTTGTGGGTGCAGTTTCGTCCACAGGAAGGCCAGCCGCCCCTTCTTGTAGATGCTCTTCGGAAGACACCTAGTCTAGCAACATGGCGCGGTCCACGACTTCGCTGGGCCAGGGTCACGAGAGAAGAGCTTGGAAATATGTTCAACGTGGGAAGAGTAGAAACAAGTCCCCCAGTCGCATTCACCCAGAAGCCCTCGGGGGCAAACGAGGCTCCTCTACATGCAGGAACAATCGTGTCGGCAACAACCAAAGTGGCTGGCAAGTCCCTTGATACTGATTGACGAGTTTCCACAGTTCGGTTGAAGATGACAGGGGTGTTGAGCTTCCCGAGTTGCATGAAAGTCCTGAGGGAAGTCAAGCAATGAGAGCTTTTGGTCGATCAGGCTCGCGCCAGCACAGGCGAGAAGGATTCCGGGCAGATGGGAGTAAGAAGCAATATATGGTAAGCTGCAAAAGGCACCAGGATCATCCGGAGCAAGGCACCTTGCGGGCAAGGAGACGACTTCCCGACAATAGAGGATGAGTAGACGGGATCGACAATAGCAGGTCGTCTCTTCGTGTTGCTCTGGCGTCTGGACGCCCCAGCAGCAGCACCGTGGCCGGAGTTCTATCAGGATTCAGACAGGAGAGAACATTGCATACCTAGATAGATATGGAAGACGAGTCTCGGACAGATGTGACGCCGATGTACGCCCCTTGCGTCGCATCGATGATGTTCTGCCCGTGCAGGGTACTGTACAGTTGTCTCTCAGACGGGCTTCGTTCAGATGACTCGCGCTCTTCGGTTGGTGTGAGCCATCATGGCATGTGCTCTGTGAACGACTCGAGCGATGTACTTGTTCGTCCTAGCACTGGCGTTCCTTACCTGAAGCTGTACAACTATCTCCTCCGCCGCCAGGGTTCTCACAGTAGCGCGTGCGAATGCCGTTGAGTGGAAATTTGGCAGATCCGGGCGGCGGCAGGGAGGGAAATGGACGGCCGGGGGCTAAGGCTCAGGTATCGGGCGCCTCGGGGAAGGCGGTTTAGGCGGCGGGGCCCCTCGGGCTTGTGCTTGCTTAGCTGCGTAGGGAGCCCGCGGCGCCTGGACAAGCATACCTATGTACTATGGCCAGCCAACCATCCCTGGGGTTGAAGCGACTATGGCTGCTCTTCCGGCGTCCGCCCAGCACCTAAACCTTAGCGGCATGAACCCGGACAGCTTTTAATAATATACCTGGTACTACACCGCAGTACAACACACAACGTCAAGTTTACCCTTGCAGTGGCAGTGTCAGTGGCAGCAGCCGCAGCCGCAGCCGCACTGTCATTCGAGTCATGATCTGCCACCAGCTGCAAATCTCCCGCCAAACTCAAACCTAGAACTGCCTTTCTCGCCCACTACGCTACTAGGTACATTCCACGTCCACTTTTCCTCTCCAGGTCGTTCGTTGACCAGGATCTACTACTGTACTACAACACTTACTCCAGCGACGGATGATACTGTGCAGGGTGGCATCTCTCAGAGCCAATGACGCCCTTCACTTCCCGCTCGATAGACGGGAAGCTCTCGGTTGCGTGGCTTGGAGGTGAGTTACTGCTACTGCGTTGCATCCCACCCCGGATCCCCAAGCTCCTCCACCCGCTCCATCAGACAATTGTCTGTTTGTAGTCTGGCGAGCTGACAGCGCCTTTGTTCGTCTAGTCCAACAGTCTCCCAAGATACCGACGCTCCTCCTGTCCCACTCTTAAACTTCCACTGGGGCCGTTATGATCGTGGCGGCACGAACCGTCCTGGTCCTCCAGAAGGGAACGGTTTGGGATCGCGGGCGACTGGGACTGTGACCATGACTGGGACTTGACCATCAGAGATCCAGACATTTCTACCCTTGACATTTGTCCGTATTGGGCCTGAGGGCACCCAGCTCGCTGTCTTATCCTAGCAGCACTCATCGATCTAGACAATGGAGGCCTCCTGCTTGTGTCAGCCTCACTGGCCACATGCAGCACCCAGAAGCACCTATGCAAGCCTAGCCACTTGGGTCGACCAGTCAGTCTTTCTAACCTCGACAGCAACCCTGCGCCCGATAAGAACTGCACAAACAGCGGGTCTTTCCACTTCCCAGAAGGCCATCATGCTCTGCTGGGGATACGGTAGGTGTGGTAGACACCTTCTTTTTTTGCATGGACACACCTCAAAGCCCTTGTCGGACGAAGGTGGCACGGAAAACTTCGCATCTGATCATAATGACTGTATCTGGACCGCAGAACACCCGGCCCAGGGCGATCGCCGCAACGTGCTTCACAGTTGATGCCGAACATCAGCCTTCGTTCTCGAAACGACCTACATCAGGCGTTCGGATTCGGTTTTCAGCTTCCTAAGCCATGTTCACATAGGGTGGTCTCGGCTGTTCTCCACTGTTGCGTCGCTGCCAGGGCCGACCCTCGTCCATTCGCTACCGATAGTATTGATGACCCCTGTTTTTGTGGCGTTACAACTTCCAGCATTCCACCTGCTAATCCCGTATTCAAAGTCCTCCGAGCTCATAACTCATTCCCAACACTCGAACCGATCACCTGGCGTTACAACCTAGAGACACGCTACCGCCTGCCGACAGCTTTCCTGGTTCTGAAACTTGACATCCCTGCACTGCGAAGCTCTCAGGGTTGGGCTCTCAATCCATCTCCACTATATTCTAACGGCTTGCTCCAGAACGGTGGCAGCATCCTGCTGCGCGATGAGGCCGCAAAAGCAACGACGCCGGGACCATGAAAGGCTGCCTTTTGACAGGGTTCTTTACTATATCCACTGAGGAGCTTCGGGCTCTATCATGTCATGTCCCTCCCATATGCACGACTAACGAAGCACTCGGTACACCCCTACCCTTCCTGCATAGCATTGCCTCTCACGTTTTGCTTTTTAGAACTCTGTATCCACGCTGTTCGCTGTGCCCAGTATCCTTGGTTCATTTGCCACATGGCAATCGTCTGAGCTCATGTGCATGTCGTCTTTCCTTCCTCTGCCGGCCTCCTCTTGACCCAGACCTCTATGATCTGCCGTGTGCCGGAGACCTTATTTTGTTTTTGAACCAACGACTTTCGCCAGCCCTCATCGTCTCCTCTACTCTTGTGAGCATCTGGCAGAGGCCTCACAATGGGGAACCAGAACGAAACAAACAATATGGAACTTCGCGAAGCAAGTAAAGACTCGTCGGTATCCGTCGATCGGATTTCTGATGAGCAGAGGACCTCAGCGTATCCCGAGAAGAATGTCGCCAGAGCATATCCCTCCACATCACAAAGCGATGGCGGTTCACTTAGGGTATGACTGCCCCTTTTGTGCAGGCCATCATCACTGACACTAGCACAGAGACTGTTCAGTTTTGCTCAGTTGCTTGCGTTTTCGCTCACGTTCATGGAATCCTGGGAAGTCATGGCGATGTATGTAACCACACCCCAAAGACCACCAGCTCCGAGTTAACCAGAGACAGCAATCTTTCGGCAACCTTCTGGAATGGTGGCCCAAGAGCCCTTGTCTGGGGCTGTATTGCCGTCGTTCTCGGATCCCTCACCCAGGCTTATTCAATGGCAGAGTTGGGCTCTATACTCCCCATTGCCGGTGCTCAATACCATTGGACTCATATTCTGGCGCCTGATCACAGCAGAAGATTCATCACATGGATGCAGGGTACGTCGTGAAATCGATACTGTGCAGTACTTGAACTGAAACACCGTAGGGTGGGTTACGTGGTTTGCCTGGGTATCAGCCCTTGCGGGTAGCACTTCCGGTTTGGCCGCTCTCATGCAGTCTCAAATCGCCGACAACATCCCCAGCTACATCCCGGAAAGATGGCACCTTACACTTATCATGTGGGCTCTACTGATCAGTGTTGGGTTGATGAACATGTATATTTTCTGGCTCATCCCTTGGCTCGAGCTGACGGCAGGTATTATGCATGTCATCCTCTTCATCATCTTTGTTGTGGTTCTAGTCACTCTTGCTCCTCGACACGACTCCCATTTTGTCTGGTTTTCTGAAACCATTCAGTCAGGATGGGACCGCAGCAGTGCCGTGGCTTTCAACCTGGGAATGTTAGTTCCCGCTTGGGGTTTTATCGGTAGGCATCTTCCGATTCCAGCTGGAAGTCAACCTCTAATGATGTGGCAGGGTTTGATGGAGTCGTCCACATGTCTGAAGAAGTTCGACGGGCAAAGCATGCCGTCCCACGGTCTATGATTCTCACAATCGTCATCAATGGCGTTATGGCCTTCGCTATCATTCTTGTGCTGCTTTATACCATGGGCAACCCCGATGGGGTCTTAGACGACGCATATCCGATTTTTCCCATCTGTCTTAACGCTACCGGTTCGCGTCCAGCTGCGAATGCCATGGTTGCGGGTCTGGTTATTGTCACTTATTGTGTGGTGGCCGCCAGTGTCGCGTCAGTTTCCCGTATTACTTGGGCATGGGCTCGTGACGGCGCCCTACCAAAGTGGCTTGCAATAGTGCGCACCCCTAGGCTCCTGCTGCTGCTTGCTCACATGTACTAATATTTGGTCAGATCGACGCAAAGCACCATGTTCCGATCAACGCGTTATGGCTTCCGATTGTGATCGTCATGCTTCTTGCCCTCCTCAACGTCGGTTCAACTGCAGCTACTGCCTTCAGCGCCTTCACTGCCCTGTCCTCCCTGGGTCTCTACACCTCATATATCATCGCAATCAGTTGCTTGTTACACGCCCGCTGGACTGGTCGGCTCAGCGACAAACCTGGCGCACCCGTTCAATACGGCGGGTGGAAAATGTGGAAGGGCGTCGGTGCGCCTATGAACGTTTTCGCTCTGTGCTGGACAATCTATCTCACTATTTGGTTGCCCTTCCCGACAACCCTGCCTGTGACGGGTACCAACATGAACTACGCCCTACCCATATATACATTTGTGGTCCTGGCTTCCCTCGTCTACTGGTTTGTATGGGGCAAGAAGAACTGGCCGGGCCTGAATCTTTCTGCGATCGGAATGATCGAGGCTCCCGATTAAACTTTCGAAGCAGCAGCGCTAAGAGGATTGGTATCATTTGGTTCACACTTCACTGACGCAGGAATTCCAGTACTGGGGCTGGAAATTTCCTTTCTTTGTCTGGAAGACGTACTGGGCGTTGATTTGGGATATATTCTCCAAACCTGTCATCCTCAGCTGCCTGCCACCCATCTGAGGCCAGTTCTCTTTTGGTGGTGCTCATGGTCACTACACGTCTAACCGCCTGGATAAACTTTCCTTCCTGAAATCCAACCTTCCAAAAAAGCCTCCCTCTGAGAATTCAATCATCGAGCTTTAACGTCACGATCTCTGAACAACCGCGGCACAGACTTGCCTACTTCTTCTTTCTTTCCTCGGGCGAGACCATCAACCATAGAATGTGTACATAGCGAATCCAGCGTTTTTTTCAACCCCAGTACCCATGCTACTGCATGAATTGATTGTCTTGTCTAGGTAGACTCCGATTACTGCTTTGGAAGCCGTCAGGCACAGCCTTGCCAGCAGTGTACAGACAACCCTTTGTTCCTGGGCTCCGGCGAGTTGATCCCAACACGCAACCGTCACGTATCCTGAGTACAGACTTCTTAGACTAGGTCCACCGAGTGCATCCAGCCACAAATTTATACAGAGGTTCAAAGACCAGTCGTTGTGATCCCAGTTATGCTGCCGCCTACACCATCAGCGATTGAGAGCGGTGATTTGTATGCTGTTGCAATTACTTTTTATTACACTGGTATCTTGGCCTTCACATAACTTACAACCAACATGTCAAAGTAGCCATTTGTGATACATCCCACCCGCTGGCGATCTACATCTCAGCTACTTCTTGCCTCATATTGCCATCACCGGTCTTCTCACTTCCCCACCCTCTCTACGCCCCCGCAAGGCATTCCCTTTGACTTATGGGTCCTTTTCTTTTTCCTTTTGTCAAAACAAGCCGCCAGTTCTTGCAAGTAAATCCGGTACTTTTGGAATCGGGATCGCGGAAACAACACATAGTCGAATATAGATGAGTGGAGTGGTGTATCGGTAGCAATTGTACATAAAAAAGCAGTCTTTCGAGGACGGTTCGGGCTTGGGCCCACGGGTTCCGGATTCAGACAGGATGGCCAGGCAGGTAGAGCGACCGAACGGGGAGACGAAAGCAGTGCGTCGTCAGAGCATTCGGCGTTGTGGGCTTGCAGTGGGATGCGAGAATGAAATCGGAAGATCGCTCAAACGCCCAAAAGTTGCAGTCAGCAAGGCAAATGAGGAGGGACGACTCGGCTAGTGAGTTGGCTCAGAGCTTTGAGCTTAGAAGCCGCCCATGCCCATACCGCCCATGCCGCCTCCCATTGGTGGCATCGGGGCCTTCTCCTCAGGTGCCTCGACAATGGCAACCTCAGTGGTACCAAGCAGCGATGCAACACCGGAAGCGTCCACGAGGGCAGTCCGGACAACCTTGAGGGGATCCACGATACCCTGGGCCAACATGTCAACATACTGGCCGCTAGCAGAGTCGAAACCCTTGTTGAAGTCCTGGCCGTACTCGTCCATAAGCTTGCCCACGACAACGCTGCCTTCCAGACCGGCGTTCTCGACGATCTTCCGGGCGGGCCGGGTGATGGCGTTCTTGATAATGCTGACGCCGAGCTGTTGGTCGAAGTTGTCCGGCTTGAGGTCCTTGAGAGCGTTGGCAGCGGACTTGATCAAGGCAGTGCCACCACCGGGCAGAATACCCTCCTCAACTGCGGCGCGGGTGGCGTTGAGAGCATCCACGACACGATCCTTCTTCTCGCCGACCTCAACCTCAGAAGCGCCTCCGACCTTGATGACAGCCACACCACCAGAGAGCTTAGCCAGACGTTCTTGCAGTTTCTCTTTCTCGTACTCCGAAGTAGTGGGATCGGCCATGACGCCACGGATCTGTTCGCATCGCTGGGCAATGGCGTCCTTGCTTCCCTCGCCGTTCAGAATGATGGTGTCCTCCTTGGTGATGGTGATGCTGCCGGTCGAGCCGAGCATGTCAGGAGTCAGCTTCTCCAATTTGATGTCCAACTCGTCGGTGAAAACGGTGGCGTTGGTCAGGACACCAATGTCCCCGAGGATGTTCTTGCGGTTGTCGCCAAAGCCAGGAGCCTTGACAGCAGCGACCTGCAGTTGGCCGCGCAGCTTGTTCAAGATACAGACAGCCAAGGCCTCGCCGTCAATGTCCTCGGCGATGATCACCAGAGGGCGTCGGAGCTGGGTGGAGGCTTCCAGAGCAGGGATGATATCCTGCACTGCGGAGATCTTCTTCTCGGACAACAGGATCAAAGGCTTCTCAAACTCGATCTTTTGCGCCTTGGCATCGGTGATGAAGTAGGGGGAGACGAAGCCACGGTCGAAGCGCATACCCTCGGTGACCTCGAGCTCGTCCTCGATCGTCTTTCCCTCCTTGACAGTGATCACACCCTCTTTGCCAACCTTTTCCATGGCGTTGGAAATGAGGTTGCCGACGTGGGTATCGCCGTTGGCCGAGATAGTGGCCACTTGTGCGATCTCGGCGCTTGTGGTGATGTCCTTCTTTTTCGACTGTAGGTAGTCCACAACGGCTTCGACGGCCGCCTGTGTGCCTCTCCGCAGATCCATCGGGTTGCAGCCAGCAGCGACGTTCTTGACAGTCTCCGAGAAAATGGAGCTAGCAAGCACTGTCGCGGTGGTCGTACCATCACCGGCCACCTCGTTGGTCTTGGAAGCAACATCCTGGATCAGGCGGGCGCCGAGGTTCTCGAACTTGTCTTGGAGCGTGACGGCCTTTGCGACGGTGACACCGTCTGCACACGCGGTTAGCGATTGCATCTTCCCTGGTCTGGCATCCTAGCTACTTGCCTTTTGTGATCTTAGGAGAGCCGTAGCTCGATTCGATCAGCACATTGCGACCTTTGGGGCCGAGTGTGGTAGCAACAGCTTTAGAGAGAGTCTCAACACCCTTCAACAGCTGGGCCCGTCCCTCAACACCAAACTTGAGCTCTTTGTGGGCGAACCGGAGTTGCTGTAAACTCCTGCCGGCGATTCTAGAGTATGGAGAGGAGGAGGAGGAGAGCGAGGAGCGGGCGGCGGAAGTAAGAGCGCGCTGCATGATGTGTGACGGAAGAGGAGGAGCGAGCGAGATGTACAGGAACAGGACAGAGAATGAATGGAAGCGAGGCGCAGGAAACGAGGTGACTGATCAAGCGGCGGTTTGGATAAATAAATAAGCAGACCAGCAGAGCTACAAGTACTAATCGGCGTATTAGTAGTCGTCGGTGGTTGGTGGTGGTGAGTGGTTGTAATCTTTCGAGTTCCCGTCGCTGGGCCGCAGAAAATTTGGGGGGGATCCGGGTTCAAAGTTCTCGAAAGCAACAGAATCGCGGATCCATCAGAGCTGCCGTTTTAGGATTAGCGTGTCCGCCGCTATGGCTCTTGGCGCCAGCCTTGTTCCGACGAGGCCGAATCGAACTCGGACACTGTACAAACATCGTACGCCTCATGGCAAGGCTGCCGATGCCCGTGGAAGCGGTGCACCAGAAGGGGATTAGCGATGTCTTCCAATACGCCGCTCCAGTTCTTAGAGCGTCACGAGCTCTGAATGCTAAATCGATATTTCAAACTCAAGCAATATCATTGATTCTGTCTTCTGTCATTCTCACCTCTGGTGATTCGCCGCATAATTCATGATCGTTAGAGAAAGCTTTCAGTCCTGAAAGCTTGTTTCACCGCTATGAGTCCTTCCTGGCCATTCCCTGATTGCAAGCCGCCAACACAAGTGAATATTTCCAGTTGACCTGAAGAATGAAAGCAAAAGGATGCATGTGTGAGACTTCCTGCCCCAAACCCTTTCCAGCCTGATGCACCGCCTTGGGCCTTTTTGAAAGTCATGCTTGTATCCAAGGCTTTCGTCGGCAGACCACTCCGCCACCTCCAGTGTTCTATGCAGAGTCATCGGCGAGAAATCCCCCGTCAACGGTATCGGACCAGATGATATCTGACGATGGCAAGTTGGCATTCATGTCATGGTCTTCGGTGACACCCTCAGTTTCAGTCTGGCGCACTCGACGAGCAATGTCCTGGGGGCTTTGGGGCTTGATCAATGTGTCGGACAGAGAAGTCAAGGATGCGTGGGAAATAGCGGTGGTGACGGAGTTGTTACGAGTGGACACGCGGGAGTCGGTGTTTGGGGGTGCTGTGCTTGGTACCATGCTGTTGGCTTGGTAATTGAACGGAAGAAAATTGTTCATCATGGGCGGGCCATAGAACGCGGTTTGACCAGCACTGTATGCTCCAACGTTGGTCAGGTTGCCGCCATAAGAAAAGTTGTTGATGGGTGGTCCTAGGAAGCTGGCGTTGATGTTGCTTGTGGCGGGATACATGGGCATCTTCGCACTGTCAGTGATATCCCAGCCTTCTTCACGTTTGTAACTGACCTGTGCATTGCTGACACCAGCAGTCATACCATCTACCATCCGAATCTGTCCATATGGCACGGTGAGTGTTGGCACCTGAGGGGTGGAGCCGTATTCGGATTGAAGACGTGCGAGATCTGCGGCTGCGGCTGCATCTGTGGTTTGCTGGGCTGCTCGCGCCACGGCCTTCGGCTCCTCTTCACTGGCATCGCTGTTATCCTCTCTCTTCACAGATTCTTCAGCTCCGCTGGCAACGTGGACGTTCAGTGCTCGACCATCCGGGGATTCTTCTTCCGAGGAAGTGGCCTGCATGGCGGAATAGTCGCGTTTGATGCCTCGTGTCCGGGTTGCTGGCCCCCCAGTGTCGTCTGAAAACGTGCTGATGGAATCATCACCCTGCTCGACCTTGATCGTCTGTGCTTGAGGAGTCGAGGGGGGCTTCTGCATGGTCTTCGATGCCCTCGAACAAATGCCGGCCTTGCTCTTGCGCGCTTTCTTCTTTGGGCTCACGAATTCGTCACCGTCGCTGTCGTATGGGTCTGTCTCCTCGTCAGCGTCATTGTTTGCTGAAACCACCACAGGTGGACCTACCATGAGTGTTTCCCTTGGGCATCGGAGATGGCGACCCCTCTTCAACGTGGTCATAGAGGGTGGTCTCCATATCTGAATGCTCGGGGGTTCCTGTGTACATGGGCGAGAACGACTCAAGCTTGTGCTTCGGGGTAGCAGTGGTGTACACCTTCGATGGGGTTCTAGTTATCATACCACGCCGGAGCGGCGGTGGCACTGGAATCCCCTCAGACGCCATGATGGAACGAAGTTTAGCCAAGTGCTGAACTATGGCCCCTTCGGAGAATTTGGGTCCCATGAGTTCGGCGACTCTTTGCCCTGTGATGAGTGCTCGGTCAGCAAGATTGCCCGTGCCCCGAGGCTGGGTGTTGTGCTTACATGGAAGTTTGATGCCGGCTTCAGCGGAGGCGTACTGAATTGCCAGGAGAACCCCCTTGTCCAGATCATCTATCGGCGCGTCAGCAAAGAAGCGTATAACCTCCTCCACCGGAGCAAGTGAAACTTACCAGACCAGCGGACAAGGTTGCGCTTAGCAGGCCGCTTTCGGCTACTGGGCATGTTTGCAGTTGAGTTGCAACCACTGTGCTATCTTCACATTTTGTCAGCTCGGGTCTGCTCCACCACCACCAGAGGGTTGTGTAGTTATTATAGGCATTGGAAGCGGTGCAATGAGCGAGCAGTAGGCCTTGCGGCCGATGCCACTCTCGCGGGAATATTGAGGGAGTATGTGTTAGATCGGCGGCTTGCTTTTAGTAAGGAATTGAAGGAGGAAGTGAAGGAGGAAGTGAGAGAGGAATGGAAGGAAGAGGTGAAGGGAGCTGTCCAGGGAAGGATATTCCTTGGGATAGTGAACGAACGGATCTATAACACTCTCTAAGGCCTTTGTGTCTGATGAAAGTCACTTACCAAACAGTGAGAGACAAGTCCGAGACTGTTGAGAGTCTTTCAAGGTTGAGAAGCAGGGGTAAGTACCTGAGGAGCTTGAAATGGAGGTGTGAGATGCAAGAAACGGTCAAGTGAGGTAAACAACGAGAGTTGAGAACAGGTGTGGCAGGGAGAAGGAGTTACAGAAGAAGGAGGGTTTCTTTTTGAGGTGAGGCGTGTAGAAGTAGGTAAGAGTGTCTGCCAGACCAGCACCCTGCGTTGGTAGTCCTCTAAGTGTCGACGACGTTGTGTTCACGCATGGCGTCGACAGCTGCGTACGGCATCAACAATAGCGTCAGCTCAACTCAATACCGCTAGCTTATATCTCCCTTTCGCAGTCAGGCACCGCGTGTGGGAAGTGTAAGGAACTGATCACCGTGAATTTGTGCTTTTCTTACTTGGACTGGCCTACAACTCATCCCCCGGATAAAGCAACAACGCTTCCTGTACTTCCCAAATGAGCAGCCGAAAGCTTCACCGTCGAGGTTATGCTAGCTTGCAGAATCCCTGTGTACGTTATCCCCACGGAGCTTTCGGAGGTCTTATCGAGCTGCCGTGCATGGCAAGAGCCAAAGCAAGACCCAGCTCTGCTTGATTTCCCGCGCCTCACTGACTCAGTCATCGATTACGACGTGGCCCACCGGCTGCTGCTCTTCTTTTGGTTGTGTTGAGACTGAGCTTGTTGTTCCATGTTGCCGGAGGGGTTCTATCTCTTGAGGCGGTGGAGGGAGACTTGTCGGTAATGTCTCAGCAAAAGCTGGCATCATGTTCTGATGGATGGCCTGTGGCTGGATGAATGCTTCCGGTGCAATACTGTATTGATCGGGCCCATTTCGGTTGTCCATGTCTCGGATTGCCCCTGGCATGTGAGTATTCAGCGGAACGGCATACGGCGCATGTATGTGCATTCCAGGTGGCAGAGAAGCGGCGGGACTATGTGAAAGAGGTGGGTACGCTGGAAACGATGGCCTCATCCCTTGATGTGGAAACGAATAAGGATGCATAGGTCGTGGAAAGAAAGGAGAAGATGCTGTAGGCATGGGCATGGATGCAGTGGTGGGCGCAGGAGCTCCATGACTCTGTGCTTCAAGCTCCGTCGTCTTGTGAGTTGTAGATGGCTTGCTTGTGTGCTCTTTTCGGCTGACTTTGGCATTGCCATTTGTATTGGCATCACCCTTGGGATTCGTATCTTCGATTTTCCGCTTCTTTGTGGACGCAGCCTTATCCGATGAATCCTTTGCCTTGTGTTTTGCTGGAGCGGAGGGTTTTGGGGGGGTAGTGTCGACTTGATTTCCACTTGGGTGGATGCCGTTGGCTTTCATGAGCCGCTCATACCGTTTAGCCCTAACATATGATTAGACCAGAGAGGAGATCGAGTTCAAATCAGCTTACGCTGCTCCTTTACTGACAACTCCACACTCGTTTGCAACTTCCACGAAATCCACCTGGCACGGTCAGCGGTGAGGCTCGGTCTTGGGTTCATCACAAGTTACCTTTCCGTTGTTGGAGTGTCTGACACAGCTCAACAGGAACTTCAACTGATCGTCTGATGTTGCTCTCGACATGGTTGCTTGGTCCCTGATGTTGCAAAGTGCTGGGGTTAGACAGGAAACAGAGTGGCTCCTGTTAGCAGAAGTTGTAAGTGACGGTTCCGTTGAATTAAGAGAAGGAAGAGAGGTTGGAGGTTCAGGAATGGATAAGGAGGTATTTCCCGTCGATGCAAACATACCGATTAGCTTCCTTGGTCTTTTCTTGTCCTGTCACGTCTTTCACTGGGAGGGATTGTCGTAAGTAATCGGATGCTGTGCTTTGACTGGCTTTCCTGCATTCCAATAAAGGTTGTTGAATGCGTGGGTCTCTGTGCTAGAGGGGACAGAAAGAAAGAAAGAAGAACGAGAGCAGATCTGGTCTGGAAGACGTGAAATGGCCGTGGGATCGGAGGTCACGTATCCTGATGGAACAGCTTCATGGAAGAGGGAAATGTCGATTGTCCAGGACCACGATCCGTAAGCATAGGATCAGGAATTGGTGTCAGCCTGTCTTTTGCCTTCGCTACATATCATGAAGGCTTTGTCGTTACAAACCCTCTTAGGTTTGGATCATACTCACCGTCCTTTATTTGTGTCTCAGATCCTTTCATGTCCTCTCTCTGCTCAAGGCTGAGGTAACTAGTCGCCATATGTGTCTCATAATAGACCGACACTTCAACTATTTGACCCCGATCAGCTCCTGGCCAGGCAGTTTGCCTCCCAGCAACTTCCCCAACACAAGCGTAGCTGACCCGAGGGTGACTTATATCATTGTCTCCGCCCATTTTCATTTCTGCATGCCCTCTTGGTTTTGCCTGACCATGAGACCTACCAGTACAGAACCACAGGGCGCATTGAGTCCGCAGTTCTAGGTCTGGATGAGATTATGCCCTAGCTGCTGATGCGTCCAGGTTATGTGCACAACTACAATGTTGTCCTGCCATCATGTTGCCTTATTAGACCCCTACTGGGAGTACACAAAACTTACCAGATCTGGACTAGTGAATGCTGCCAATTTCAACTGCAGTTGATTACATAACCATTTTGACATACAACGTACCAGGTAGGTATTATTGTTACCGTCCTCTGGTCCCAGGCTTCGCTGATTTGCTATGTGGCCCCATGGAGTCTATTGCTTTGATTTTCACTGTGTACTAACGCTAGGTGTCCACCTGATCCGTCTCATCATGCGTGTGGCGGCTGTGCTTATCTGTTTCTGCAGATATATGTGCATATCCTCCAGAGCCAGGAGATCTTCAAGGCGATCTTATCTGGAGCTCTTCGTTAACGGTGGGTGAGATTCCATAGACAGGTTCAGGAATTTTCATTGCACAGTTGGGCAATTCCACACCGTAGGCTTCGAACGTAATCTCATCCGTGGTTGCGTTGTACTCTACCCAACGTCGATTGAGCAGGTCTCCATCCTGAGCACGGTCGAAGAAGTTCTGTGGCGCGAACATGATGTTCGAGACAGCTTCGGTGTAGAGCGTAACTGGAATGTCTTCAGCCCGGGTGAAATGATGCATTCCTAGGTTGAACCAAAGCACCAAATCTTCTTGGACAACGGACTCGTCATCAAAGAATTTGGAGAAGTCCTGCTGAGGAGCAAGCGGAAGATTGACATTCTGCACTGAGTTGCCGTACGGCTCCGTGTCGTGCTGCCTGGTAACAGCCAGGTGGTACTTTGCCATCTCCGAGTTCTTCAAGGACCATGGCGAATTTAGTACAGTAAGATGCAGATCGGCTTTCCCGGGCACAACTCGGTAGCCACGCTTCTCTCCCCACACGTTGGTCTTATTCTGATTGACGATCGTATACATGGATTTGACGTTGGGCGCCCAGTTGAACCTCTTTTCGGTCTCCAAGTAACTGACATTCATTTCGAACTGTTCAAATTCGCCGAGCTCAGGAAACCAGGGCTGGCTCTGGTTCACCACAACGAGTTCACTGATCTCGAAAGAGTTTGCGGTGTCGACAACATCAAAGTCAGCCTTCCATGTGAGGATGTGGTCATGCAGTGATCCTTGTGTTGCTGGGGCAATTCGTGGTCCAAATTTCTTCTGGTCCGGATAGTAGAAGCTTGACTGCAGAAACCCACTGGCGCGTACCTCAACTTCGAAGGACCCGTCAAGTCCCAGGTGATAGTCGAATAGGTAATCGTAGTTACCTACCGTAGCAATAGCCCGGATGACAAGAACTGAATTCTTGACAACACCAAGCTTGCTAAATGGATAGTTGCCTGCGCTGCTGCCATAACGGTGTCGGGAAAGGGGAAACCCAGTATCCTGTTCGAAGATGCAGATGGCATCCTGGTTGATTGTCGTGTGGTTCTGTTCATGGTACGTAACGTTCCAGAAGGTGGAGCCGAAGGGACAGTCGTAGCCCTCCACCAGAGTTGCCATGTCAGTACCAAGGCTGTAATACGTGTCATGATACACTGTATTTGCCGCCTTTGGTTGATTACCCGCGTACTGTGCCATTGCTTCCTGTAGTGACAGCTCGTATATAATTCTTTCGCCCTTGAATTTGATGTCATAAAACATGATACCTAGGGTTCGTGTATACGACAGGTAGAAGCTCCAGCCCATGTACTCAATGTACTGGGCTTCGGGATCTACCTTATAACGTTTGCCACCAAGCTCGACGGTTTGGGGTGCAAATTTCTCCTCAAGAGCCCTGGCACCCAGCTCAGGCTTGTAGTCCACGTCGGTCCAGCTCTGGTCTTGAGGCTGGCTGTATGTTTCGGCAACCTCACCAGCTTCAAAGGCCGTTCTGAGAGACGCTTCGTCAGGGTAATACTTTGAATTGGTGACATAGCCTTTGACTGAATAGTGTGTGGGGTCGGTTCCAGGACAGTCGATCAAGAGATAGAAGTCAATGGGACTCAGGTAGGTGCCAGACCCAGGGAGCCTGAACATGATATTGCGGAAGCCCTGGGATCCATCGTATGAGACAGGAGTTCCCGACGTCATGGACAGTGTCGTGCGATCATCGTTTGGGCCGAAGTACACCCCACCGTCGAACAGCGCCGCAGTTATGTCAGAAATGTTGCTCATGGCAGCGGTGACTAGCGGAGTGACGGCACTGGATTTGATGTCATCCACGTAACGAGCGTTGAATGGGACAGATCCACCTCGGCCACCGTTGTATATCTGCCACCGTTAGCATTGCACATTGTAGACTGATTTTGGGACTAACATAGTCAAGCTTTCGCACAGTTGTCCCCTCGGAGACTGGAAGGGGCCCAATCATGTATTCCTGCGAGTCTGGCTCTGCCTTGCCGCCCTCGAAGATGATTGCTCTGGCATATTTTGGTGGTGCTGGACCGTCCCCGTCAATGTAAGGGAGCACCTCTGTCTTGTTTGTATGTAAAGTGTCAATCCAGAACACGTAGTTGTCCGAGACGGTTGCATCTTCAGGCTTCGTCAAGTTCAATCCTGTGGCCGGATCATGCAGCAGCGTCCACACGTCAATATTGTCTTGGGCGCTGATAGGGGCCCAGATATTGGTTTTGGGAGCCTTCACCAACGGCGCATCCCCACTGTAGCAGGAATCTCCAGTAATTTGCCTCTTGCTGAGGGCTTCGAGTAGGACTCTTCGCTCATACCCAAGAGGTGGAAGGGCAGTTCCAAGAGCAAGACTGGCTCCAAGGAGCAGGAAAATGAATTCAAGCTGCATTTTAGAAAATGGAATCGTGTGAGAGACTTGGGACGCGGTCGGCAAGCAGAGGACATTGCCCCAAATTTATAGATGCAGGATGCCCCAGGCATGCCTGATCTGTTCCAATTGCTGCGTTCGAACGAGGCACCAAGGCGTCCCTTGAGAACTGTGTAAGTATCGTGCATTCAGCGGCGTACAGTGCATTGAACGAGTCCATTGTGCCAAGACGGATCGTTCAATAGAGCAACTGGAACTGCAACAGTTGGATACCTAGGTAGATAAGAGCAGCTGCACAGGCGCTTCAGCCAATCGCTCTCACTCCGTAATGATGTCCTAGATGCCGATTACCATCGCCAAGAGAGCGTGCATGAAGGCCAACCCCAGAACGAATGTATCGACTAGCCCTTTGTCTGGGAAACGGCTCATGGTATAGCGGAAGCTGCTATCTCGACTTCGATTTGTTCTTTGGCGTTGGTGTCCCTGGGCAAGGCTGGGCATCTGTGGGAATGCGGAGACAAATGGAGAAATCAGGCCGGGAAGTTGAGCTGGTCCAGATCTACCACTGTAGTCCACCATAGTAGGGAGCGCGAAACTCCGCTGAATCCAGGCGGAAAAGCTGATGACTGGTTCATACCTAGGTATAGAAGCACTCCGTACAAAGCGAAGAGAACGCTGGTACTCCGCACATCTCAAAGATAAGGGCTCCCTAGGCTGCCGATGCCATCTGACTATGCTCCGATAGTCGCGATATTGTTCCTTGGCACCGCTTCGTATGGTAGTACCTGAAGACTCGTCGAGCGCCGGCTTGCTGGCGCAATCTGCGTCTTGATAAGGGACAAAACAAAGACGGATTGAGGTTGCAAAGACAGTTTGCACTTTGCAGGCTCTCCCGGTTCGGTGAAAGGCAAATAACGTTGACCAGCCTTCCTTTCTATTGAGCTGTCAGCTGGGCGAAATGAAAGTCCTCCACGTCCTAATGTCCCATGTGGGATGTCTGGTAGGTACTCTTTTCCAGGCGGATACGAGGCCTTGTGGTTGCGAGAGATTGTATCTGTACTAGTAGGCCACTATAATAATGCATTCATCACAGTGCATCATCTACTATCAGTGGGGCACAGCACCTAAATAAGAGTATAGCTAGTATTCTAGTGTTATTACTAGAAGGACCCGAAAGATAGTAAACTATACCTGTAGAAGAAACTCCAGTAGAGGCTCACAGCGCTTCTAACGTGCAAATCGATCATCAGATTTGGGTATAGGGTAAGTTAATTTTTGTCTTATTTACTCTCCCCCAGCAGTATCTGGCGGGCAAGTCCAAATATGTGGAGGCGTGAAAGGTTCCGAAGCCCGATCCTCCCAAAAAGCCAGAGGTAGTAGCGAGCACAGATAAGCGAACTACCTCTTCATCATCCAAGTCGATGCTGACAATGGGTGCCTCCAGACAGTCGAAGCCCAACGTGTACTTCTCGGGGTGTGGGTAAGGGACCCAGTTGCTCCTGGCGCCCAGGTTCCCGTCCTTGTTTCTTCGATCTGACTCCCAGACGACATGCGCAGGATTGATGCATGTTTGGGGGAGATTGTGGCAGAGATGGCCGGCCCGAGGAGGGAGTTCGCACCCGGGCGACCCGAAACGCAGGATGACCATGACGTGGGCGGCGGTGGTCTCTAAACCTCCAGGGCTTGGAACGACCAGGACAACCCTCATGCTGGTACAGCGTAAAGATGTCTCGCCAAGCGTGATTGCCGTCAGGCCGGCGTTCGTATCGCCCCTGGCGCATTGCCACCTTGGGCATCCCTCCATTGCCTGTCGAGAAGGTGCTGAACCAGCAGTCCCCCTCTCCTCCAACCCGGCCACCTTCAATCGACCCAGACAGTCGGATAATGGTCCTGTGCCATGTGGGCCAGTTCCACACCCACTGCCTGTCGCAGTCATTGAAGTTGGCAACGCCAATGCGGCCCTTGACGTACGCATTGAGCAGCCCTACCAGGATGAAGTAGTACACATCCTGTTGGAACTGCCCGAGCCCGTCGAACCTGCTCTCCAGTCTCGCGTCACCCGGACGAAGATTGTCCCAGTCGACCTGGTGCGGGTGGAGATTCTGCAAGAACACACGGTAGGAATCCAGTGGACTCTCTACCGTGGCATTGGCATTGGAGGACCTCTTTCTGAAAAGAACAGTCCTCCTGGGTTGCGGAGCTCGCTGCTCCTCCTCCTCTTCCTCCTCCTCCCCTCCTTCCTCTTCCTCCTCCTCTTCCTCTTCGGCCTCCTCCTCGGCCTCGTCGTCGTCGTCTTCTTCTTCGTCGTCTTCATCTGCGGGTGGGGCAGCCGCAGGGAGAGGGCGGAAAGGGGAAGAAGAGAGAGGGAGAGGTGGGAGAGGTGTGACAATGGCAGCAGCAGCCGCGAGAGCGGGTCGCTTCCGTGGAGGCATTTCAATCTGTTCATCATGTCAGTGAGTTCCTCTGTGCAAACATGGGGGATTTGGTATGCTCACTGTTCGTGTAATCGTCCGACCTGTCGAGGAGACATTGCTGATCCTGTGGGATTGGTATGCTCCCAGTTTGATTGAATGTTTGATTCATCTGCCGAAGAGGCATCGCTAATGCTGGGGGACAGGAAGTATATATACCTGATGTATCCAGCGGTGTTGCCCCTTCCTAGAAGATGCTGAACTGCGTGTCCCTGCCATATGTGATCTGATAATTGTGGCATTGCTTATAATATGGCAGTTGCTCTCCGGTATCAGACGGCACTGGCAGTCCACTGCAGTCACATACTAGTATTGGGTTGCAGCCTCGTTTCAACTGTTGGCCTCAGCCTTGCGGGTCTCCCACACGCATCATATGTGACCTCGTGTTTGGGCCTGTCCATTGGGAACTGCGAGGACCTTTATGTTTTCGGCATTGTATCAGTAAATATTAAGAGATGTAACTTAGCTAGAGCTGGGGAGTGTTATGTCGATATACTCGTAGGTAGCGAGGTCGTTGGCTAAGAAGAATTCAAGTTGGCTACTAAGACTTGCCCACATTCTTTCTTGGTTTCCTCGAGCAGCGCCAAAGGATCTCCGGTTGTGCAGGAAGAAGAAGCCAGCATACTTCACCGGAGAGCTGAGGGTTGAATCAGCTCGTGCAGTGGTCAAACACAAAGATCGCGATTCGGTGCTGGCCGTCAGCTGGAGCAGTCAGTGCCGTTCAATTGGCGGGCGACGTCATTTGCGCTGCACGCGCCTCGTCCCCGTCCGGTTCTGGCCCTCGCATGATTCAAGTTCTATTCTTCGGTCGCTCGTCTTCACATCTGGAACCATGCTCCAGAGATCTGCCAGTGCCTCACTTACCTGGGCACGCCTGCGATATCTTTGACTGCAAGTTTTCGGCCAGTCTGATCTCAATAATGCTCTCTCCGCCCAGATGACCTCCAGGCCAGTGCGGAAGCTCCGGACAGCTGCTCCTCGTCCCTCTTCGAGTCTGGCTTCACGATGGGCTGCTCTGCATCCACCGGTCCGGACTGGCGGTCTATCCCGTTCGAGGTCTACAACAACTCCTGGTCCATCGCCGCGGCAGGTATTGTCCAAGAGGCATCTTGCTCAAGTTCGGCCAGAGCCCATCTCCGAGGTGTGGTTCACTTCGTCGTGTCCGAAACCCAGTCCTGCGGATGACCTGCTTGGCCCATCCACGCCGGGAAACAATAAAGGAGCGCAAGACCACCAGCCGCCTGACGAGCGCTTGGTTAGGCTAGGAAAAAGTATGCTTGTCCGAATCTAGCCTTGCAATCCCTTTGAAGAGACCAGTACTGACTGCCTTTCAGCATTGAGAACGCTGTCTCCTCTACTACCCGATATCCTCACCACTCCACTCCCCCATGAAATACTCTCGCCCGACATTTCATTACACCTTTTTCCTTCCACCCATCCTCACCTTCCCGCAGTCAAGGGCCGCGTTGCATACCGCGCTGCACTATGGACAGCTCCAGTGGCGTGGGGCTCCTTGCCGATCCTAGGCAATGTCAAGCTCAAGATCATCTCCGAGAAGATCGTGCGTACTGGGTTGAGATATGCAATACCTGATGACCAAGCCTCAGATCTGATGGAGGAGAAGCTCGTGGTGCGCTGGAAAACCGAGCCCAAACAGAATGGAACTGAAAACCCATCCTCAGACGCGGGAGCCTCGAGCGCCGCCGACTCCAATGCACTCTCGCAAGGCGGGATCAACCGCGGCCTGTCAAAGCTTCTTGGTGGTGATAAACCAATTCTCAATCTGAACAATGGCGACGAGTTCACAGGCCTCTTCATATTTACTTTCGATTCCAAGGGCCGCATCGCTAGCCATACTATCGAACACGCCGACGAGAACAATGGCTTCGATAAGACGAGCAAGGTGGTCACCTTGACTGACTGGTTGCTGGGCAAGGCCAAATGGGGCCGAGGCAGAGACAAAGAGCAGGATATCATGCCCGGACTCGCCATGAGGGTCTGCCGCGATGAGTGGAATGATCGCAGACATTTGCCCAAACCTCAGTGAAACAGCACGTTGGATGGACCCGCGAGGGCGGATGGGAGAAAATGCCAATTGCTGCCCATCCTCGATATCCACCACATACCACAAAAAGTAACGACAGGCAACGGCTCTTTTGAAATGCCCAATATTGATACCCTCCACTCTACGGACAAGGCGGATGAAAAGTCTGATGAATCATACGGCAATAAGCCCTCACTCCCCTCTAACATAGGTAGCTGATGTCCCTATTATTGTGGCTATAACTTGCGGCAAAACTAACGTACGTTCCTTTGGACATAAGTGACCCGTAGGTTTACAACCCTGTCTCAACGCACTTCAGGTATGCTAGAAGCCACAGGACTTTGCAAACGAAAAACAGTTTATGCCATTTTGTCTACTATTGCGCTTTCATATCTGTCGCATGCCGATTGAGTTTTTGGGGAAGCGCCTTTAACCAGGAGATCTTAAGAGGATCCCGAGGCTGAAAAGGGGAATTCGTTCCTAGCCACTGCTTCCTTAAAGCGTCTCCTCCAGAGCCAATACCTAAACGTAAAAGTCAGTACGCGCAGACAAACGAGGATCCGACAGGGGAGTAAGCAGACTTACCAAAGCCGTCCGCGCTGGAATATACACCTGGGTGTAGTTCTTCCGGTTATTCCAGGGGAAGTCCGTGGTGAAGAACCTTGTGTCCTTTGCATTTCTGCCAAAGCCACCGTGCTCCGGTGCATCTGTGTCAATGACAATCCTGTACACGCCCGCCTGTTCCACGCCTACACGATAGTCCGCAAACGAGTTGGTGGGATGGAAGTTGAAAATCCAGAGCAGTCCGGCCCGCTCAAACACAAGGACCTTGTCGCCTTCATGCTTCAGCGAGACGTATGCCTGCGGTGAATGAAGCCAGCCATACTTCTCCTCCGTCCACTGCATTGTGCGGTCGAATTCGTTCAGGAACTTGTATCGGAGCAGATGGTCCTCGGTCAAATTGAACTGCCTCCGGGCGTACCAGAAGGAGTTGTCGTTTCCTGCGCGAGGAAAATCGAGCCATTCCGGATGGCCGAACTCATTCCCCTCGAAGTTAAGGTACCCTTCGCCACCAAGGCCGTGGACGACCAGGCGAATCATCTTATGAAGCGACATTGCTCGCTCAATCTTGGGGGTGAGCTCCGTCAGCGTGGACATGTGGGTGTACATTTCAGCGTCCGCCAGCCACATCATCAATGACTTATCCCCCACCAGCGCCTGGTCGTGGGACTCGGCATACGCAATCGTCTTTTCACCGTGCCGCCGGTTGGTCAGGGTGAAGGAAATGTTTCCAATATCCCATTCATCATCCGATTTTTCTTTCAGTAACTTGATCCACATATCCGGAATGGCCATGGCAAGCCGATAATCGAAGCCCACGCCACCCAGAGACAGTTTCAGACACAGGGCAGGCATCCCAGAGACATCTTCGGCAACTGTGATGCACTCGGGATATAGGTCATGGAGCATCTCGTTTGCCAGCATCAAATACACAACGCCATCTTCGTCAACAGAAGGACCAAAATACTCGTGGTAACCTCCTGAGAAACCCGTGCCTATGCCGTGGTGAGTGTAAAGCATGGAAGTCACGCCGTCAAACCGGAAGCCATCGAACTGGTATTCTTCCATCCAGAAACGGAGGTTTGACAACAGGAAGCGTAGAACTTCATGGTGACCATAGTTGAACAGGCGGGAATCCCACAACTCATGCCGGCCCTTGGCACCTTCGTGAAAGTATAGGTGATCACTACCGTCAAACATGTTGAGACCATCCAAGGTGTTTTTGCTCGCGTGTGAGTGCACAACATCCAGAAGAACGGTGAGGCCCATTCCGTGTGCGGTGTCAATGAGCTCCTTCAGATCCTCCGGGGTGCCGTAGCGAGAACTGGCTGCAAAGAAGGTGTTGACTTGATATCCAAAGCTAGCATAATAGGCGTGTTCCATGATGGCCATCAGTTGAATGACATTGTACCCCAGATTCTTGATCCTTGGGAGCATATTCTTTGTGAACTCCTTGTAGGTTGCGACTCTCAGCTCGGGAGAAGAGATGCCGACATGAGCTTCGTATACCCGAACACTCTTGGGTTGCGGTGGCCGTTTGTTCTTGAACACGTAGCGCTCTGATTCGGGAGGGTTCCACAAGACGGCGTCGTAAACGGGGGAGACAGACAGATCCTGAGTAACTCGCTTGATCCAAGCTGGTAGTCTTTCTATCCGCTCTCCTCCGGGAATTATCATGGAGATTTTAACTTTTGAGTCGTGTGGTATCGCAGGAACTCCGTCTTTAGGGGGGAGCGTTACCTCCCATACACCAAACGGGTTCTTCGTCATGGGTGTCGCACTTCTGTCCCAGTTGTTGAAGTCGCCGATAAGAAAGGCTTGCTCGGCATTGGGTGCCCATTCGCGATACGTGATTGTGCCATCAGGACCGAAAGTGAAGCCCAGATGCTCGTAGCCTCGTGAGAACTTTTCCAAGCCCCCCTCAGTCTCGTCAATCTTCTTGATCCATTCCTGGGTTTTGGCAAACCGATGTTTCAGGGCGTCTTTGTAAGGCTCAAGCCAGGGATCGAGCTGGACAACTCCTGCAGCTGTGTTAGTCAGGACCAGGCTGGACAGAACAGCAACGCACCGGTTCCATCAGGGGCAATCTCTTGGTTGGAAGGCTGTGCTAGCACAGAGTTCCCAGAACTCTGGTTCAGTGCCATTACGGGCAGAGGTCCGGGTTGAGCTGTGAAGTCAACGGAGCCCTGCGGATGGGAGATGGTAGACGGTCCTTGTGAAGTTGGGCGAGAGCTCGAGGTTACCAATCGAAAAGAAATGGCAAAGGAAGACCTTAGTTACAGACGAGCAAAGTAGTTATCGTGTATAGGTAACGGACCACCTTTCGTTGGAACAGTTGAGCATTCGAGGCTTTTACCTGGTACCAGGCTTGCGGGATGTTATGGGCGAATGGCCTTTCTACGGCGAAATTGTTACTCGACAGGGGAATGACATCAACTGCAAAAGGCGACGTGGGGAAGCTCGCTGCCCGTTGCAGCGCAGCAGCAAATGATGGTTCAGGGAGCCTTCAGTGAGTGGGTGCCACACAAGCACTGTCTGACATCGAGTACCCCGCCGTCGCCCATCTTCTGTCGTCTGCCGCCCACCGCCGTCGCCCATCTTCTGTCGTCTGCCGCCCACCGTCCCTCCTGGGTGCCTCACTTGCAGTGCTACCTTTGCTGAGGATCATTCAGAGTGGTGGCCGAGGGTTTACGATCCACATGTTTCCGCTGTGAATGCTCAAGTGTCCTCAAGTTACGTATCTCAACAGCCAGCCTTTTCCCAACAGTAGTGCTGATGGGCCACTCCAGTTTGCTCCATGGGGATCTAAGAACCCCTATGACCAAACCTCTGCCATTTCCTGCTATTGCCTCGCTGTTGCAAAGCCATCATGTGAAAGGCGAGACTGTGTTCAGTCTTCAAATCCGCAACTTGTATCCTGCGCCGTAAGTTGGGTTCCTACGGTAGTTGCAGAGAGCAGCTAAGAGGTCTCTTCATCCTGATCGATGGGTTCCGGCGAAGCGAGGGAATGGTGGATCATTTCGGCCTGTAAAATATTGTAGTATGCAGTGTCATGCAGTGTTAAGAGCTGCATATCATGGGATAGTACTGCTTTGCCATGAAAACGGGCTCAAACTTTGAAGCATGCGCGGCGGGCGTTCACATGGCTGCACGTGATCAGCGGGCTCGAATGTTGAGCTACGCGGACTTAGTAAGCGCTGCAGTGCGCCGTCAGGGTCAGATAAGGGAGCAACAACGTGGGGGAGGTGGTCCTGATCATACTCTGAGCTCCACATCCCTCGACTCATACCTGGAGTACTCAAGACCATCTCTACTGACCCGCGGTGTGCATCTTGGTGGCCTTCGACAGGCAACGTATCGTTCGACAGCGTGTCAGTAAACTGTTTCCGCGTAGACAGTTTTACGAGAAACGAAAAATGCAGGCAGTCGGTGCCTTACCGACCTACCTGTGCCCTGCACTTGCTGGGACGATGGCGGTATCGACGGTGTCGACGGTGTCGACAGCATCGACCATGGCGATGCCAGGCCGGCTGCGTTCATCATATATTGCATTGAGCAGGCGGTCATTCTCTGCCAGCACACCCAGCCTCTCCTCTTCGCAGTTTCATCGGTCCGATTTCTCGAACCAGCCGTTCACTGGCATGTACGAGCCAGGACTGCCTACTTCCGGGCCCTTGGGGGGCGCTTCCATCTATGGCACGCCCAGGCTCACTCCCAAGATGCTAAAGCAACATCTCGATCAATTTGTTGTGGGTCAAGAACGGGCGAAAAAGGTCCTCAGCGTGGCCGTGTTCAATCACTATCAGCGGGTACAAGAGATACAACGACGGCAAGAGGAAGAGGAAGAACTGCTGGCACAAAGAGAACGCAGGGAGCGGCATCCGGTGGAAGACGAATTTCCCGGTCAGCAAGCAACGATCCGAATGGGTGGCCCTCCTACATCGGCGTTCGAGCCGCATACGAGTAACCCGCAACTGGTTGACACAAGCCCGCTCACACTGGAGAAATCCAACATCTTACTGTTAGGACCTAGCGGGGTAGGAAAGACTCTGATGGCAAAGACCTTGGCCAGAGTACTTTCAGTGCCCTTTTCAATGTCGGACTGTACTCCATTCACCCAGGCTGGATATATCGGCGAAGATGCCGAGGTGTGCGTCCATCGCCTGCTGGCTGCTGCGAATTACGATGTGGAAAAGGCCGAACATGGTATTATATGCTTGGATGAAGTGGACAAAATTGCTACGGCCAAAGTCAGCCACGGCAAGGATGTCTCGGGGGAAGGTGTCCAGCAAGCGCTGTTGAAAATCATTGAAGGTACCACCATCCAGGTGCAAGCCAAACCAGAGCGGAACGCCCCTCGTGCGGGCGGTCAGTCACAAACATATCCAACAAACAGCCCTTTGGGTGCTGGACTCTCTTCCGGACCACCAGGTGGTGCACCGCCTCCGGCGAAGGGCGAGGTGTATAATGTGAGGACGGACAACATCTTATTTATATTTAGCGGTGCCTTCGTTGGCCTTCAGAAACACATCATGGACCGTTTGACCAAAGGGAGCATCGGCTTTGGAGCTAGTGTGCGCTCCAGCTCCAACCTGCGCTCCTATGCGCGTGATCAGAAGTCAACAACAACTGCCCCGGTCCCCATCTTGCCCGGTTCTCAGGAAGAAGAACTCTATAAGAAACATTTGCCGTTCTTCACCCCGGCACCTGCAGCTGAACCACCGTCAATGGATGGCACTGGCCCTGAGCCCAACTACTTTAACCCTTTGGATCTTGTCACGCCTGCCGACCTGCAATCGTATGGCTTCATACCTGAACTCGTTGGGCGTATACCCACAACAACTGCATTGTCCGCTTTGACTCACTCGTTACTACTACGCATACTCACCGAACCTCGCAACTCCCTTGTGGCGCAATACGTTACTTTGTTCTCACTTTCCGGCATTGAGCTTCGCTTCACTACGCCCGCCCTACATGTGGTTGCGTCTAACGCACTTTCGATGGGAACAGGAGCCCGTGCTCTTCGCACCGAGATGGAAACCATTCTTGGGGATGCAATGTTTGAGGCTCCTGGAAGCAGTGTAAAGTATGTGCTGGTGACTGAACGCGTGGCCAAGAGAGAAGAGGGTGCCATCTATTTCGCCAGAGGTCAAGGAGGCAAGTTCCATGCTCTCATTGCCCAGGAAGAGGGCGAGTGGGAAGAAAAGCAGAAGCGAAAGGAGGGGGAGAGAAAGACTGCTGGGCCCTCTGCGAGTTTCGAAGACTGGAGGACCAAAGCCACGATTGCGGCCGGCAGCGGAGGCTGAACCTCGACGGCGCACTGAACTGCCATGACTATGACGAGTGACGACGGGTGTATAAACAATTGGGCAATCTGTAACTGTGTTTCCGTATCATGGTTGGTTGGAGTCCACGTCATGGGGGCTTTAATTGTGCTTCGTTTTTGTACGTGCCGGAGGACGGAGGTAACTTTCAACATGTAGGTCTGAACGTATGTGTTCATTTTGACTTTGCACGAGGCCGGGCATTTGCACTTGTTTAATCTTATTTGCTTGACTCACATGCTACTAGTAATAATGCAGTTGTACCCAGCTACTTGACGATCTTGTAGAACCGCTCGTGGCAGGCTGAGGGCGAAAAGGGGCCGGAGACTCGGAGGGGGATCATGGCGATTTCTATTCGTGGTCCGTGAGCAAGTTTCGGCCGCTGTTTCGTCGACCCGCCCGCTAACACCACGGAACCTGAACGTCGTTGACGAGAATCAATGGTAACATCGTTTTATTTCGCCTCTGATACTACCTCTAGTAATGCTTTTGCCTTGTTCTTGTTGGTGGTGTCTTTGCCTTTGGAACGTTCTGCAAGCGAGCGCTGGTCGCTAAATCGAATCCTTGCGGACATATATGCATTGGTCCTCAAGTCTCACATCTCACGTCTCACATCTCGCTCTCGATCTCGTAATCCCACTGTACCTGTGCACCTCTTTCACGGGATTGGCACGTTTCACCGTTGTCGACCTGCGGAACGAACATCTGCCTAATGGAGGCGATCACTCCAGAGCGGCGGAAGAAGATTCTTCGAGTGCTCTTCACGTCTTTGCTGTTGGACTTGGTCCGTCCAAAAACTCATCATTGCAATCCTGCGACCCTTGCTGACAACCATAGATCTCGTTCACCTTCATTCTGCCACTGTTTCCGTCGCTCCTCGCATTCTATCGAGGACTCGAGACTCAGCCGACCTCGGCTCTCAACCGCATCCTCCACTACCTCAATGCGTACAAGCAGTCATTCGCGGTGCCTATCAATGCGAAATATGACATCGTCCTTCTGGGCGGCGCATTGGGCTCGCTTTTCTCCCTTTTGCAGGCGATTGCCAGCCCCCTCATCGGTCGCGCCTCGGACAAATACGGCAGAAGAACAGCGTTGCTCTGGAGCATGGCTGGGAACATTGCGAGTGTGGCGTTGTGGTGTGTTGCGGTAGACTTCTGGACATTCTTGCTGAGTCGGATTGTGGGCGGTCTCAGCGAGGGCAACGTCCAGTTGGCAACGGCGATTGCCACAGATATCAGCACCGACGCGCAGCGCGGGTCGACTATGGCTCTTGTGGGCGCATGCTTCAGCATCGCTTTTACCTTTGGGCCGGCAATGGGAGCCGCTTTGGCGAACGTCACCACCGTTGCTGCCAATCCTTTTGCAACTGCCGCCGGCTTTTCCCTGTTTTTGATCGTGATTGAGACGCTGTATCTGTACTTCCAGCTCCCCGAAACCCTACCAGCGCGCACTTTGACGCCGGAGCGAAAAGACGGTGCTAAGCCGCGAGAGGTCCGTCATACCAACAAACCTGCCCTTCTCAACGCCATACACTTCCTTTTCCTACTGCCCTTTTCTGGACTCGAGTTCTCACTCCCGTTCCTGATAACTTCGGCTCTGTACCCCGACCATCCATCGCCTTCGAAACTCAACGGACGGTTTCTTGGGTTTGTTGGTCTGATTGCCTCTTTACTTCAAGGCTCTGTGGTTCGGCGGTTGAAGCCTCTTACCGTGGTCAGGGCAGGTGTTATATCGTGCACAATAGCGTTTTTTCTGCTTGCCAGAGTTCAGGATACTGTGGGATTGTACTGCGCCGGGACATTGCTTGCTGTTACGTCGGCCACCGTTGTGACAGGCTTGAACAGTCTGGGGAGTTTTGAGGCCAAAGCCAACAACAGAGGGCAGATCTTGGGGTCATTGCGAAGCTGGGGACAGTTTGGGAGGGCATTGGGACCGGTGGTATTCTGCAGCTTGTTCTGGTGGGCGGGCCGAGAGACTGCTTACTGGTTGGGCGGCAGCATGATGTTGGGCGTCGCTGCCCTTGTTCTGACACTGCTGAAGCAGCCACAGCTTGAGGAAACGAATTGAGACATGCCAATGATCATGAATGAGGACTGAATCAGGTGCGACGCCTTGAATCAAAGCAAAATGATGACCGGATCGGGTGACTCGAGGTGCACAATACAACCGTTGAGGGATCAAGATAGGTCCGAAACCTTTCTCGATCCGAATGCCTACATTCCATTTTACAAGAGCATTGCGTCTTCGGTGTCGCTGCAAGTCACTAGCAGGCGCATTATGATATATTCCTTGGCTGGTCACTATTCCCACCGCTGACGAGGCTCTAGTGACAAGGCTGGCCAATGGGACGCGGCCATTGTCACCAAATTCACTACAAGGCGCGTCTGGTGCACTTATTGATTTGACTCTCAGATTTCTGTTCGGGATTCAGCTGAAACTGACCTTCCCCGGGCCGATGGCTTAGGGGTTAACGGAGGGTGCTGAATCCCACGTGGGCTACTGGGGGCTACCAAAAAGGAAAAGGACAAGAACGAGAACAAGAACCAAAAAAAAAAAAAGACAAACAACAAAAACCCTCCTCTTGAAAAAAGAGGAATTACAGGTTTCACTTCCCACCGGCCGAAAAGGCCGTGGGGAGTGTTTTTTTGTTTTTTGGTCCATCCCGTGGTGCATGGCCGATTTACTCGCGACCTCCTTGTTGAGACGTCGAACACTCGTCCCTGACTCGAACAGATGAACCAGCATCGAAATCTACTGCAATGGGTGATACTGTAGTAGTATTGCTATTAGTACATTACATGCTCGACGGTCAGGGGGTTGAAGCCTCAGACATTCTGCATCAAGATGACGCTGCGGTTGAAACCCTCCACAACCCCGGCAAGCCGACGATTGCTGCAAGGGGGTAAACGAAATACTTGGATATCTCTTTCCGCATCAATATACATCGGATATAACATCTGACTTGAAGCGCATCCTCCTACTCTACATTGTAATCTATAAACAGCCGAAACTCCAGGAATTGAACAAGGTCGAGTCGAATCCAATAATAGATCATGATGATGATGATCTGACACCGATGATGATGCGCACACAGACTCGGATCTCCTGGTCACCAACCGTTACCCATCTGCCCTGCATGTAATCATGTCTTCCCGCTCCGCTCTGTCGGAGTTCAGGCCCCACGGTTGATCCAGACACCGGACATACCTGAATCAGGGTTTCAAGTTCCTCTAAAGATGACATGCAGTGAGCTTATACGCAAACAAGCATCGGATCTCATACGAAACACGAAACAAGATCTCCTCTCCCCTAGCATGGCAGTGCGGTGAAGAATGTCCGGCCGATGACAGTCGTGACCTGGCCCGCCCACCCACTGGCACTGTATGACCGGGGGTTTCGCATCAACTCTCCATAATGATACGCCAATGGCAGAGGACATCATCAACGCGGATGTTTACCTTTTGCACCGCACCTGGCTGGTAGGAATACAAATAGAATATCCACTGCTCTCAACTACTACTTTCAATGTGGTCGAGATACGTTCGGTCGGGTTATCATACAGTAACGAAGTCCCACCACGAAGTCCCACCACGAAGTCCTAGGTTCGAAATCAGACATCCATACCAGGGTAGACAAGGTATCTACCAAGCAAATCAAGACAGATTGGCTTGACTGTCCGAGTCTCATCCACTCCTAGTACGACCATTCATCACCAGCATGAACACTCAACAACTGGCCTCCTATACAGGCACTGTGCTGGGCATTGCCGCCACGGCAGCAGGGCTTAGAGCCGTCCTGCGACCAAAAGAGTTTGCGGCATCGTTCGGTCTGCCCGTGGACGTGGGCGTGAACGACATTGGCAATGGACAACAGCACCGCGGTTCCTGTTCCCGCTCCTACTTCCCGGCCCATGTCGACCACCAACATGCGATCACAGTGACCTGGACGAAAGAGAAAGAGGATCTCAATGATGCCACCAACGGACACAGACTCGCGCTGCCTTCCGCCCCAGTCCAGGGTTCCTTGCCGCCGCAAGAAACCGAGAAAGACGGAAACAACAACAACCCTTTCATTCCCCTCGTGGGAGTCCGCACCCTTGCCGTCGCCTTTTGCCTGTTTGTTTTCTCCACGCAGCAAAACCTGCACGCTGCAGGAGTCGTTCTGTTGTGTAACATGGTGTCCATGCTCGGTGATGTCTTGATCTGTTATCGGCAGGGCACCGCCGGGTCGACAAGGTCGCACGTGGTTGCGGCCTTGGTGTTCGGCGGCTTGGGTGGGTTCATGGCGTTGCAATAGTGATGTGAGTGGTGTTGCGTCTGCGGTGGCAGTCATTGTCGAGGATCTGGTGTCATAATGGTATAGATTGATACCTCGTTGTCCCAGAGATAGGTGCCTCATTTATCGCCATTAAGGCGAAAAGACATTTTGACACCATAGCAGCCAGAAGGGGGAAAGCAGCAAACAAGAAATGTAGTGTCGAGAAGGTTATGCGTACCAGCCATTCATTATCATCAGAATTGACATCAGCGAAGTCCGTTCAACTAAACGCCATCCACATATCCATCCAGCTCCAGCACGGCCCTTAGAGAACTCCTGTGCTCTAAAATCCAATTACAGGCTGCCGCTCAGTTTTCCTTTCTGCCATTTCAATCACTCTTCTTCAAGACCCATCAGCCTCCGTTCCGCATACTCTCTGATCTTGTCCTCGAGCACCGTCCGTCCCCATCGTCCTGCGACCTTGGCGGCGGCCTCGAGCATCTTGCCGCTCCTATCCTTCAAGAGCCCAACTATCTCCAGTGCTTTCATTCCTCTGTCCTCTCCCTCTCGACATTCGACGGCGAGTAGCTGCAGCAGGATTTTGTCGACGTCAATCTCACGCTTCAGGACCTCCGTCTTCTGTGAATGGCTCGCCTTCTCGCCCAGCCCCTGCACCAAGTCATCCACCAGACCTAGCAGCAAAGAAGCGCGGACAAAAGACTCTTCCAGCCTGACTCCCGCGGCAGCGTTGGTCTCTTCTTCGCCATCCTCACCTCGCTCCGCAGGACGAGATACTGGGACGTGGAAGTCGAATTCTGTCAACAACGGTCGAGGGAAATATGGGGTCTTGTCTCCGCCTTTCAGAATGATGCAATGGAACCTCTCCCCTGCCACCGCCACCGGCCAGTAGGTCTCTTCCTTCTTACCGTCTTTCACTCTGTCCAGCAGCCTGGTATCAAGCAGAGGGACCCATTTTGCCTGGCCGGGGCTGCGCCAATGCAGCAGGGTGAGCAATACACCGTTGCTGTCGTAGATGCACGGATCTCCCACGTCACTCCAGAAGACAGTTTTCAGACTGGCCTCTTCGTCGTCTGAATCCGGGGCAACAGTACCCAGAGCAACGACATCTTCATTCTGGAAGTTCTCATCTCGCTTCACGTCGTCAATGCTGTACATCAGTTGTGTGCATCCGTCAGCGCCAACAGGTCCGTTGCCGACTGTCATGACATAGTCACCCCATGCGGCGCACGTAACTGCCGGTGTACTTTTCATTCGCCACATCCGCACCGGAGTGCCGAAGAGCGTCCAGACTCGTACATAGTTCTTGTTTGTAACGGCAACAATATATCTGGTGCTAAGCGCAATGCATGTTGCTTCCTCGCCATCGGGTAGGATAATGCGAGAATCTGAGCGGGCGGTCCACGTCTCATGAGGTCGATAGAAGATCACTGCTGGCTGGCCATCTTTCGCGGGAGAGGCGAACAGAGCACCGAACTCGTTCAAACAAGCTTTGTCGTACCGGAATGGATCGGTGAAATGGAAATCCCTGAATTCTTCCCGGTCGTAGAACTCGACCGTCACAGTATTGTGGGTATCCTGATCGACTGTCCATACGAAGCCGATCAGATTCAAGCACAGGTACTTGCGGTTTCCACGCCAGGGTGTGGCGCCAGGCTGGAACGACTCGTGTACTTGTGGTTGCCAGGCGTCCTGTCTGTTTCTTTTGAGCATAGGGCCAGGGAAGTTTCCATTGCTGGGTCGTTTCCCGTTTTCATTGATGTAGCCTGCTCCGTCGTCGTCCTCAATCCAATCATAGTCCTCCTCAGGCCCTAAAAGCTCGTCCAGACTATCTGGGGTCCCTGAACGCGGTTTACCTTGACCGTTGACCAATGGTTTCCGGCCATTCATCGCCGCAGCCTTCTCCTCCAGCGGGTCGTGGAAGAAAGGGGCTCTAACTGCAGGTCCCTTGAGCAATTTGACATGGGCTTCGTCCTTGAGGAACTCCGGGATGATGAATAGCTCGCCATGAGAAGTTGTCCAGTTGAAAATATTCTCACCATGGTTCTGCCAGGTGATATTGATGATTTTTTCGTAGTTGAATTGTTTGAGTACGGTCTGCGTCCGGGCATCCCAGATGACCAGTTGGTCGTCGTCCGCACTGGAGCTCGCCAGCAAGGCTCCATTATGTGACCAGGCGATGGAAGTGATATCACCATTGTGTGCGCCGGAAAAGACTCTCTGATGGGCCCCATCTTCCACCGAAATAACTTGAATGTCTCTTGTCGGGGTAGCACAAGCAAATGCTCTCCCATCTGGATGCCAAACGCATCTCGAGGTGGCATACTCGGCAGTCTCGAGGCGCTTGATGACGCCATCAATTGTTCTAAGCAAGGTAGGCTCCGGCGAAGTCATCGCGTAAATGTAGATCACCCCGTTGGTGCAGGATGCAGCCAGATATTTGCCGGAGGGATCGTAAGTCAAGTGTTTTATCGGCTTTGGGTGGTCCCTCAGTATGGTTATTTGCTCGATATCGTGTCGATTGACGATCTTGACCTCGAGTTCACTGTACCAATTAGACAAGGTATGACACCACTGGGGACCGATCACCTACTCGCTCGAGACGGCGACCCAATTCTCGTCCGGAGACAAGGCAACATCCCTGATGGGGAGCGTTGTCCTCACCAGCAGTTGCTTTAAGTCCCCTGAAGGTACTGCATATTCGCAGACAGTGCCATTTTCACAGCCCAAGATCACATAGTCATTCTGTGCTCTTGTCAGCATCTTCCGCCATATATTGTCTCAAGCCCTCCGTACCCCTGACGCAACTGCATACGTCTCCTCGTGTGTCTCGGGCAGCAAGTCCGGCTCGTTGTTGTCGCCAGTCCTGAAGGAGCGGGCGAAGTTGCCTATGCCTGCAACGATCAGTCTCTTGCCGTCAGGCGAGTACTGCAAGTATGTAGGGCCCGGGGGCTGGGCAGGACGGCCGGGAAATGGAGGTCTATCAGGCATCGTGGTATAGGCCTCGTCGTGGTGTTATGCCAGAATGTGAGATCTCTGGCTCACACGGCGCGCCAGAGCATGAACACAACTTGAGTAAGTGCAACACTGTGGTACTGCTGTGCTGCCAGTAGTTGTAGTACTAGTGATAATATCGCAGGACTGTTCAAGTTGTCGCAGCGTAGAAACGCGTCGATAGCGCGTCTTCCCCCAACGCGTCGTGTGAGAACCACTTCCGAAGTTCAGCCGGGAAATGTTCTACTGTATCTAGCACGTGCAGTACCTCATAATAAGTATGTTTTGGCCACTACAACGTTGTACATTACCAGTATTGACAGGCCTTGGTAGAGGACCAAGGAAGCCATTATACAGGGGGCCAAGCTTGGAGTCCGGTCAGAAGGGAAATGGCCATGAACGGGCTGTAAATACGTGGGATGAGAAACACGCCTTCTTCAATATTACCCAGCTAACAAAAGTGAGGGCGCTCACCGTTTCAGCATCAGCCTTGTGCAGCGACCTCGCGGCACCATCTACTGTATACCGCAATGAAGCCGGAATGATCAGACACATAGTGTAGTAGTGACATGATCACGAGCGTGCGTGGCGATGAGCCACATTCGACAGTCATATCATCCCTTCACAAAGGTGTCTTTACACTCGCTAGGGCAATGTAAGCTCATGTGATCGTTTCCAGCGTCCACATGTGCAGCTTCTTCAGCGGCCGATAGGCCAAAATCACTCTTTGACTTGCCGGCCTGTATTCTGCATTGAAATGAGACCATGGGTGGTGCTGCTACCGGGAGCGGTGCTCTGCAGACCTGACTTTATATCGGTGTGCCGGGTAGCGGGGACATGAAAGCCCATGGACCTCGTTCTTATAATGTTGGCTCTGAGCCCGTATGATAGTGTCACTTCGGCGAGAGTCGGTCTGGTCGACAGAGGCAATTGCCCAACCGACCCACATGTCATCATAGCATGGCGGGATCACTGTAGGCATGTCGTCTTGTCTCGTCTCGGCAACGAAACCATCCCAGAGGTGAGCCCAACCCAGTCAAAGCTGCCATAAATGGCACTTCGTGATACTGAATAGAATGTTGGGTCCTCTTTACTCAAAAGGGAGCAAGAGGCGTAATTGATCAACGGATTTTGCCAAATCCGGGGATCAAAACTTCATGTCACGGGAGGACCAGTTGTGGCAGACCCTGAAGGAGCGGAAGCTGGATATAAGCAAAGTCGAATGTGCGAGATGACATCCTGAACATATTCGCGGCCCTGAGGCAACAGGCGGTCCATGTGCATAAAGTGGTGCGGAACTCCGTTGAACCTCCTCAAAACAACTTGGTTGCCGGCTTCTTCGACCCTTTTCGCATACGCTTCGGCCTCATCCCTGAGTGGGTCCACCTCAGCTGTGGCCACATAGGTCAGCGGCGCCAGGTTTGTGAAGTCTGGAGCATTCAGCGCATCTGCGAACCATGACATGTCGCGCTTTTGTTCTTTGGGTTTGGTAGGATGCTGTGCTCCAACGGACATCCATTTGAAGGTGTCAAACCATTTCAGCTTGTCCCAATTGAGAAGGGGCGCAAACTCGGCTTCCCGCATACTAGGCCAAGGGCTCTGGTCTGGGGTCGCATATTTCTTGACATCACTGATGGTAGGTGTCCCAACGATGACTCCCTTCAATTTCTCGCCGAAGCCGCCATCGCGGAAAAGGTGATTGAGAATGAGTGCTATCGTAGCGCCTGATGATTCTCCGCCGAATGTTATGTTAGCCGGGTCGATGGAGAACGTCTTGTGATTCCCAAGGACGTGCACCACTGCGGCTAAGCCGTCCATGATCCCTATGGGAAAAGGGTACTCGGGGATTAAGCGATATTCGACATCGATGACACAGCACGGCACAGAGGCACAGATGTGGTGGCAGATGTGTGCGTCTGTTTCGAGATCGCCTACCGCCCAGCCTGCTAAGGTTAACGGCTTACACTTGTCCTTGTAGGAATGACATACCACCACCGTGGAAGTTGAAATGGACCGGCCAGACTTTGCGCTTTCCTGGCTCTTCCCCAGGGGGCACAAAGACACGCACATTGATGTCTCCTGGGTATTTGTCCCAACCTGGCACTTGTGTTTCACCAATCCCACCGACGCCGGTCGCTGGGGCCGCTGCATAAGAATAGAGCGCAGAATAGTTCTGGCGAACAACATTCAGATCCTTAGAAATGGGAGGGCCATTTGCGATGTAGTCATTGTATAATTTGACAAAGGCAGGGTCAAGCTGGTCGACGACCGACGGATGAAGGGGATTGCGAAGAGGCAGAGACGGTGACTTGGTCCCCTCAAAGGCGTCCGGCATTCGCAGGTCTCTAGAATTCATCGTGGTGGCAGCTGTCGCATGATCGAATCCTCCTTCACAGACCGTGGTTATCGTCGAGAGGTCTGACGGTCCTTATAGAGCCAGCGATATAGCGGAATGCGAACGAGACAGGTAGCCCATCATGATCGCATCAAGAAAAGGTCGTTGCCCTCGACCATGCAGGGAGGACGCAGGCCAGATGAGGTGCGCCGTGCCGTGCAGTGGCTCGGAAGAGAGGGTGACCCTCGTGTCTTTCTCCTCAGGCTCAGCTCTCCGAGTCCAGCAGGTCGGTCCTTTTGGTGGCCAAACTGACTATTGGCCGGAGGTGGATGAGATGGTCTGCTGCTGGGCCGGAACAGCGTCGTGGATCGGGCAACAGTGATTGGAGTTAAAGTCCGATGATGGACACCAGGGGGACGAAGGCGAAAATGGGCTCGACGCCTGTCAGTCAGTGTCATCTGCCGCCCTTGAACTCCTCAGTCAGATGCCAGTAAGTGATGGGCGCGATCCAGATAAAGTCCGAAGCGCGTTGAAGCGCAATGCCGTGTCCAAGCTGGACGTTGAGGCATCCCCACGTCGTGTCTGACCGGGCATGTCGCCCAGATCATGGCACACGATAGGGTTAAATGTTGTGTCAGACAGAATCATATTCCTGGCGGACATTCTCCCTCCAAACTCTCTCCGCGACTCTACCGCACATCCACTGTGCATCCTCCCTCGTACCACATTCCGTTCATGCCGCCCTCCTCGACTGCTTTTCACCCTCCTATAACCAGGTGTGGTGGTCCCTTCCCCTTACTTACGCTGCTTGGATATGTCCGCATCGGATTGCGCTCATTTTCCACAGACCAACGACCGAGGTCAATTGTCTCGGCCACTGACTACTGTACCAAGGTCTATCCATCCCGATGATGATGCTTCCTGTACTAGTACTGCAGAACTGGCACTCGTCTCCTTATGCTTCCCTTTCCGATCCAAGTCGTCCCTGTACTTTCGGCCACCTCGGAGCTTGCAGACTCCTGCTGGACGGCACGCGGAAGCAGGAGAGGGAATATGTGTAAGCCACATACGTGCAAGCGGATGCTGAAGAGGCAGAGCGCCGACTGCTCGTATATGGAACAGCACTTCTGTTTTCGTGTTGAATCGAACTCACGAGTTTGCCACATCTGCCTTTTGGAACTTGATCAGGCTTTGACATCACAACATGCCCTGCCCACCTAGGCCAGCGAAGTTGTTGAGATTGCGAAGTGACAAGAGACGACAGACCCCGTTCAAGTTGTAAGCTTCAAGGTTTTAGGAGATTAACACCTTTAGCAGCGACACACAACGCAAATATCAGTGGCTCTGCCTCCTCCATCATTCTGCATCAGTTATGCTGACAGTCAAGACGAGCCCCTATGTCTTCCTGCGCCGATCGATGGATACCCAAACCGGTCCCAGTCTCGGTTTTCTTCATCCTGCCTGTCCTTCCACCATCCGTCATTACAGTCATAGCCTCAAATGTCTTCATCCACAGGTTCTTGTCGTCTAAGCGCTTCGCAGTAGCTTTCCTCCTCAAACCACCATCCCTCAATCGACTCGTTTTCCCAGCTTTCGGTCGCAAGGGGAGTTTGTCCAGCAAGCCCTAGATCAGAGCAACAGTGGATGATGGCGCGCACCTCCTCCGGTGTGTATTTCTCAATGAACGCCGTTGCCTTGATCTCGCGGGCGATTGTACTGGCTCGAAGTCCTCGGTCGTGGAGCTGCATGATCGCCCGACATGTGCTCCCCTTCACCAACATCCTCTTCACAGCCAAATAAGGTGGGAACGCGCATAATCGCTCAACTGGAGCTTTCCGGTCATGCCCAGTGGCCTGGATATTCATCGGCGCCCTGTCTGCAGACATATCCATGGTGTTGTGGCCACTGTCCTCTTTTACATTGCCTGCTCGTTCTTCAATATCCGGGTCTCCAGAAAACCACTCGGCCTCGAATCCATATTCGCTCGATGAATTTTGTTTGTCTTGGTGTTCGACAGGATGCTCAATGTTCTGGGCTCGTAATCGCCCTCGGTATCTTTGCTCCTGCTGGATCGAGAGAAGCTCATCCGGCTTGTATTGATGTGTGGAACACGAGGGATATCGCGCCATAAGCGCAGCGTGATCGGTTCGATATGGCCGTAGGCCTGTCACGGATGGGAGAGAGCCGTAGGGAGCGCGGTATCGGGATACGAAGAAAGGCCAAAAGACCTGTGATAAGATTGCTTATGGTGGAGCGAGACATTCGTTGATGGTAGATTGCGCATATCAAGTATCCGCGCAGGTATTTTACGGTACCGGATGGGCATGTCGTAGGCAAGGCACGCTTAAGATGCACCAGTATCAAGTTGGTCAACGCGACTGGAGTGAAGCAAACAGGTCGCCCTAATCGAGGTACTCGAGAGGATTCAAGCGTGCATGGAGCGGCGCCACAGGCTGGGGATTCATTGCTAGCATGACCTGTTTTCTTACAAGGAGCCAAATCACGGCGTGTGAAGGACGAAATACTCGGATCAGGACGTGAAACTCATTTTATCCTATCAGACCAGGTCATACAATAAGCTAGCAAATCAATGTCGCCCTTCTGGAGTCCAGGTTGACCTCGATGTAGTTGGGGAAAGCTAGTTGGGTACGGCCACTGGTTCTGCAGTTTGAAGCACAGCACAAGAGAAGAACACCGAACGTAGGAGCAGGCCCCTTCCACCTTGGTCCTTGATATTGGTCCAAGTAGAAGCAAGCCAACCAAGAAAGACCGCTAAGAAATACCCGTAGCCTTGTTCCAAACCTGTGGAAGCCAAAGCAGTCCCGAACTGTCTATTATCACCATCAACAAGCCTGTCGGCGGTAGAGGTGGTCACTGAGCGAATTGTTCGGCGTTGTGCGCACTGGAAAATGAAAATAGAGGAAGTTGGCTTGCATCACGCAAGAGCCTCGTCGAAGTGTTGGAAAAGAAAGCAGAAAAATGACCCGAACTTTTGAGATTTGGATCGTGCAGTTTGGACGCCATACGCCATCGCCAGGTATGCATTCTGTAACAAGAGCAGGCGTATGGCGCGCCCCTGGCACAGCTTTGTTGCATGGTTTCGTCGTGAGATAAAAAAAGATACATTGAGCTTGGGGTTGACTCGTCGAGGTCGAAGGAGATCAATGCCCAAAATGCCGTGTATTGACCGCAGGGTCAATGGCGTGCCATTACGACGGATTTCAATCTTCTTCCTCGCCGGTCTGTGCGAGGGCAGCACGAGCTGAGCTCGGGGGCGCGAACCTGCTCAGCAGCTCGGATATCTCGTGCCTCTCGATATCGGCCGATTTCGCTTCCTCCTGAATTGCCTCGTGGTGGGTTGCCAATCGTTCGACGGCGAGAGCGACGTCGTCCAGTGTCTCCGTCATGGCATCGAGATGAATGACGACGTAACGGAAGAAGCGGGTGACCTTCGAGATTGGCAGCGCGCCTGCTTGGATGTAGTCCATGTACTCTTCGGACTTGGCCATCCAGTCCTTGATGGTTTGGGACTGCTTGGCCAGCGAGTACTTGTAGAAGACCTTTGTCGGGCGAAGATGCGGCCAGTTGCCGGCGCTCATGGACTTGAGCCCCTTCTTGGACGAGCCAGGGTTGGCAGATGTCCCATTGTCGGTAGCCATCTCGTCAAGCTGCTTGGTGATGAGTTCGGTTTGGCTGCCGGTGCTCTGAGTGCGCTGCGTCTGATCTTCGACCTCTGCCACGGCCACAGCCCCTGTCTCGGATGTCTCGGCGGTCTTCTGACGCTTCGATGACTCTTGTTGGTCTCCGCAGGATGCATCATTGCCACGCCGGCGTCTCTTGCGGCGGGACTTGTTCTTCGATGGGCCCGTTTGTGCTGGTGTAGGAGTATCGGCGCGCGGAACTTGACTGGAAGGGGGGATCTCATTGTCGTCTGCGACGTTGTCATCGCCTTCAAGCCTGACACTGCCTTGCTCTTCGGGAATCCCGGTGACGTCCCTCGTGTGATCCTTAAATTCCACTTTGAGATTGCGCACTTCGTCTTCGTCCTCGTGACTAAAGACACCTTCAGGTTCTTGCATGTGTTTGATTTCACATGAGGGTGTGCTATCCCATGCATCAGGGGCGAGATTTCGGTTGTCAATCTTGATCTTTGCATCTTCTGTTTCATCCTCAACAGTGCCGTCGGAGTCGCTGGAGGTCACACTGCTGTCTTCGTCATCATCCTCGGCATCATCATCCTCTTCTTCACTTTCATCCTCATCGTTGTCGTCGTCGTCATCATCAGCATCAGCATCGTCGTTATCGTCTTCTTCTGCGCTATCCTCCAAAGTACTCTCATCTTGGTCGTCTTTGGGTGTTTCACCACAATCCTCGTCAGGCCCTTCACTTCCGGGCTGAGCTCCCTCGTCTCGGGACCCCTCACGGTATGCCTGAGTGTTGCTGAAGAATATGTGTGCACCATGAACTTCTGGGGGAGGGCTTGATTCAAGCTCTGCATTAACGATGGCGGCCATGTCTATTTCTTCATCTTTCTCAGCCTCCACCATGTCCGACAGGTGTGGCGACATTTCAACCTGACTGAGACGACTTGCTGTGTAGGCCTTTTCCATCCTTCGTCTTTCCCGACGTCTTTTGTTGTGGAGACGGCGATACTCACGTTCTCTGTCCGGGTGCTTCTTTCGCCAACGGGCCCAGCTCATGTGAGACCGAGTGGTACTGTTCGGGACGTAAGTAAGAGAGGCAAGGCGAAAAATACTGTTGAGGGGAGGGGGTAATAGTCCGGCAAGCCTTGCTTTCGTGGTTGAATATCCTTCCAGCGACAGGAGTGGCTTAAAGTGAGAGATGAGGGGGATATGGAAACAATCAGGAAAAAAGGAGGAGATTTAAATGAAACAATATAGGAATGCTGGGCCGCTGAAAAAGCCGGTGAGATAGAGGTGACCAGCCTTCCATAGACTTGAAGCCACCCACGCTCTGCTCAGTGTAGAGGTCCAACGGCGGCCCACAGGATGTATCAGTACCAATGCAGGTCAGGTTAAAAGAAAATCGATGCGTCACGCCGCAAAAATGGCTTCTCTCATAAACCCGATGTTGGTGGTGCTGTCGTGACAAGGTCAACCGCAGTACTTCCCAGGATGACGGAGTAGGACTGCTCTTTTCACCAGCCTCTTCTTTTGCCAATAGATAAACTGCTCAATACGCCAACCAGGGAGAACCCGGAAGTACGGTGGCAGAGACAGACTCAGGCACTTCTTTGTTTGCTGATCAGTCCGTTTCGCATTGAAGCAAAAGCGAAGACTGGACACTTTGCGGGGTAATTGCGTTAAATTAGTCTGAAACGGGACCAGGAGACAAAAGGAAATATCCGAAAGAGAAAAGACGCTGCAGCGATTCACTGTGAAAGTGTTGAGCATGACGGGGTCTGATAGACGGGTTGTGGACCAATTGGTCTTCGGCCCAGGCAGGGACGGGTAGCCGCCGTATATTCAGCTCGCCTCGATGAGAAGCCATCGATTGCCAGCTTGATTGAGATTTCGTCTGGAACCGAAGTGGAGGAACATAAAACTTTCAGGAATGCATGACCAGGTAGAATGGAAGACGTCCATGCAAGGATGATGTGTGCGGCGTGAGGCTTGGCTCTTTAAGAGCAAACAATGCGAACATCCAGCCGACCTTGCCATGCGTGCTCTCAGATTGAGGTCTCGGATGCGAATACAATTCAACTGATCCACTGAACATTGATTGACAAGCCGAGAAGGGGAAAGAGATCAAAGTACTAGTACCTCCTTGCATGACCGGCCAACAACATCGACTCGACTGCCGCAGCCGGATGCACGGGTGGCATGTACGCGTACGGTAGGATTCATGGAAACGTTGTTTGCTTCAAGGCACGCGGTTTGGATCGAAACATTGGGGCTGCAGCAGCATTTGCTGTGGTCATTCGAGGTGTACAGGGAAGAGGATGCTGGGAGCAGAACTGTGAAATTCCTTTGGGTGGTTTCTTAATCAGCAAGGCTGAGTCGCAAGGCTGACCGACTTCTGGTGTGAACAACAATTGCACGAATACAGGCATTTGCTGACAATGGGAAACTATGTGAAGCATTTCTATGAGCAAAAAACGGTTCTAGGCTGTTCGGCTCGTGGTATAGTACAGTAATTAAATATTGAATGTGCAATGAGGTCTGCACCATACCCATCGAAGACGGACCAGCCAACCCCTGACGCCCTGTCCGAGTCGACAGATTATTGAAATGACTTTGGCATCCGTTTTGAGCAAATCCGTTGAGCAAATCCGTTGAACAAATCCGGGCAAGATAAGCAACAAGCCCAGTAGAAGCTGATGAACACCAATGTCCTCGACCACCAACTTGCCAGTCATGTCACACCACAACACCGATGCTTTCGAAATTACCCATTCGCACGTGCCTCCAATCCTCATTGTTTTGTTGAAGACAATGTTTTCCCCTTTACCGTGGTGTAAATATGACGATGTGTTCATACTGGCTTGTCCGCTCGCGCAGTGGACGCGCCTCCTAGAATCCCGCGGCATATCGCACATGGCGGAGCGATTCTCACGCCTTTTTCTTTCCAGCGACAATCCCGGCTTTCCTTCTGGCAGCCACGTCGCCCTCTCCCAACCATTTGCACGCCTTGACCAATTGGATCACATTGATAACCTGCTTGCCAAACATGACGGGGAAGCTGATGCCAGCCAGAATCCACGGTACTGTGCTGTCCATTTTGTTGGCCCGGGCCATTTCCAGTGCGCCAGCACTCCAAGGGTTCGCGAACAGGGTGCTCGGTTTCGGAATAGCTGGAGAGCCAGGCTGGACTGTCAAGGGTGCGCTTTCAGTAGATACGAGAAGAGAAGGGGATAGGAGAGGCGAGGAAAACGACAAAAGGTAGAGGGCGATGAAGAAAAGTTCGTTCAAGGCACAGAAGAGGAAGAGTACGGTCTGTGTGCAAACAAATTGTCAGCTTTATCCTCGTCCTCCAGTAGAACATTTTTCGATTCAGATCAACCATACCCTGTTTGTGTAATAAAGATGCAGGATATAACTTCTGCTCGCTTCCACCTTCTTGTGACTTTGGCCGCTGGAACCCATGGTCAGGGTCGCGTACATGTGGATGTAGTGGCTCGCCAGATCGAGACTGATCAGCCCCTGGAAGACGATGGCCCATCTCGGAAAGGCAGAGGCCAGGAAAACCAACAGACACGACGTCGTGCATCGGTCCGTGACCATGTCCAGCACAGCGCCAAACGTCGTCGACTGGTTATACCGGCGCGCTGCCAGTCCGTCGGCGGCGTCAAGGATGCATGAGAAACTGTACAGCCCCGAGCACGTCCGTGGGTGAAGAGGCATGTAGTAGAGCGAAGCAAATGCAAGGACGATTCGGAAGTAGCCTGGAGTAAGTCCGTTAGCTGGATGCGCAAGGGGTCCGTCCACAAGGACAGCAGTGTCTACTACACGCGCTTACCGATGATGTTTGGAATGAAGAGGAAAATGTTCTCCTCTTGCACAATCTCCTCCTCGATCTTTTGCAAGGTGCCACTCATGGTTGCATGGCCGTTGGGCCGCAGTTGTGCGTGACCGTCCTGCTTCTCGCCCATCCTTCTGTTTCCACACCGGAGGGCCCCCGGAACAAGGATTCGTTCGAAGGGCTGGAAGTGTTGTTTGTTCCAGGCGCAAGAGATGTCTTGAGAAAAGACTGCGGAAGATGAAGACCCGTGTAAAGCTGCGTTCGCAATGTCAAGGGCCTGAAGCCGGGTGTTGCAAAACTATGGGAAACAGAGAGCAGTTGATCCGCGACAAGCGCTTTCTTTTCACTGCAAATCGTGTTCGACCGCGTCGCAGGAGCGGGTGTTCTTGGGAGTCAAGATAGGATGTGCTGCTATCAGTGACTGAGACAAGGGACGAAAGAACGTCCACTTGATTCGAGATACAGTAAACTAGAGATAACCTTGTGCTGTACTAGAGGGCAGACAGCACCACCAAATAATAAAATGGTCGCAAGGGTCCTCGTCTTCATCTTCATCCGGCTCCGAGTCTGAAGCCTGCCACAAAAAGTCCGGAACGGCGGAGCTCTCGCGGACAAATCGTAGCATCGTCCCGGATCTACGCTTCCGCTCCGAGTCTCGAACAAACTCACTTTATGCCTCAAATTCGAGCTGCAATACTAGTACTAGTAATAAAAATGATCGGTCTCTCACTACTACTATAGTACCTACTGGGTAGCTACCTAGGTAGTATCGCAGTTCATAGGAGAGGTAAAAACTATCACCAAATGGCCATCATCAACAACTTGAACCAGCCGATAGCTGATCTCAGCCCCGGACTGGACAGTACTTTGAAAAGGCGAAGCAGGTCTCTTCAGCTTGTACGATGTATCCAGTACTATCTCAATTCCACCCGCAACAAGTCCTACTGCCGTCGAGTCCGAGGATCGGCGGCACTTTGTCTCTTATAATCACGGCTCTCCTTGGTGCCCAAGCTTCCGTGTCCTCCCTCCTGCCTTCTCTCCCATCCACCCATCCGCACGACTAGACAGGTGGCATTGTCGCCCTCGGTCGAGACCTCGGTGGCGAAATTGACCACGTCCCGCGCGGCTTGCTCTGGAGTCTTGGCCTCCTTGACGATATCAACCACTTCCTGGTCGTCCAGAGTTCCAGACACTCCGTCCGACATCAAGACCATGAACGAATACTCGGCGGGACCCAATTCAACCCTTCTGATTTCCGGTTCTGCGCTGACCCCGATGCGCTTAGAGGCAATATCACCAAATGCACGTGTGTTGGCGAGACCAGAAATCCTCTCCTCGCCAAAAGAATCCGTCACAAATGTCGCCGCGTAGCGTCGTAAGCGGTTGCTTTCGACTGGCGACGACGGATGGTGGTTCGTAGTCAGTGGGACTGCTGCACCTGTAGCGGTCGAGCACAGAAGAATTCTTGTGTCTCCAACATGTGCCACCAGCATCGATGAGGTGGTGGCAGGGTTCCAGAAGGGAGTGGCCGAAGGCGTCGAGACCAGGGCAATGCTGCATGTACTGCCCCCTTTGAACCTGACGGGCCCGCCAATGCGAGACGCAAGCTTGCTGGGTTCACCTAATACTTCCTCCTCGTTCAGAGGCCTCTCGGCCCTAGCATTATCCCTGGTCTCACTATCCTTTGCAGCTTGTGCGGCGACAAAGTCATAGTCTGCTTTCAAAAAGGCGTATGTAATGACTTCTTCGATGGCAGCGCCGCATTCCACATCTTTGCCGCTTTCTTTCAAGGCAGCGCCAGCTTCCCCATCCTTTTGGTACTGATCATAGATGGAAAAGTAAGCAGGTCTAAACCGCCGAAAATAACCACCCACAAGATCCTTCCACTTCTTGGTCAGATCCTCTTCCAGTTCCCTGATCTTCTCTTTGGTTGCACACTGGATCAAGGGCGGGTCGCCGGGGTAAGGAGGACGAGTGGTCGATGCGGAGACTTTCGCTTCTGCCTCACCGGATCGGTTGTCCGCTGCTTCTTTTCCGTCCTTGCTGATCTGGACCGAGTCCAGAGCCGCTTTGCTTTTTTGTGCCTGTTCAGCCTCGATGTCGAGAAGTCCAGCAGTAACATCAGTTCCTTCTTTGCCACCGCCCTTCTGGCGTAAGCTAGAGCGGAATCCAAAAGACAAAGCCGACTTTTCAATGTATTCATGCAGCGACGCTCTAAGAAAATCGCTGCACTCTGCGCCGCCATGACCATCAAAGACGGCGAAGTAGAACACCTGGGGATCTCCTGAAGCGCTGTCGGCCGAGGTCCCTTCCCTTGACCTGGCCCGGCTCATTGTTATTGAAGGGGGTGGTCTCTTCGCAAATGCGGGAATCTCGATGATCCCGGCCTGATGCGAATCTTCATTGTAGGGTCGGCTGCCTCGAGAGACTGCAGCTCCGTAGTGATGTTTCGCGCTCTTAAGGGGAATACGCACAACAGTCGTGTCTCTCGAGATGGATGCGTGGCCAGCCGTCGCGGACTTACCATCTGGTGTATTTCCTGCCGCATTTTTTCTGGAAAACTTCTGGGCAAGGCCTGTCAAGGAGCGAGAGTCGGGATGAAGCGAGGAAGAAGGCAAATGGGTGACGAAGTAGTCGTGAAACTGTCGTCGTTCAAGCTCCGCAGGAAAACGAACTCGGGTCCGCGTCTGAGGGCGTGTTTGCCGAATGAAGGTCGAAAGCAGGTCTAGCCATCGTCAGTGAGAGCTTGCCCGGACAGTAGAGAAATTTTCCAATTACCATAATAGCATTCGGTCGAAGGACGCAGCACCCTGCTGCCGTACGACATGGCTGAAGACAAGACTATTCAAGCAGGCCATAGTATGCTGTCAGATGGCTGCTGGAAGAGAACGCCGGACAAGCATTCTCGGAGACCAAAAGTAAAGGAGAGACGGGTGGTTATTCAGACAGCTGGATGAACAAGCTTGAAGCTGAGGATTGATCCCAATAGCAGGAATGGTAGGGTGGTGGTGGTAGCAGCGCAGGTTGGAGAGCGGGAGAACTTGAATGACGCTGGAGGTGGAGGCACTGAGGCACCTTGACGGTACCAACACTTGAAAGCCGACTGGAAGATTTATATTATTGTACCTTGATATCTTTATATATTGGCCCGTAAGCATCTAATTTTCACGGGGGGCCAAATGCATCGTCTAACGTGCGAACACTCAACGTTCCATGCCAGCCAACCTCCAGATGGCAAATGGCATCACGTTCGGTCGCTAAATGTACCCTTCTTACTCTAGATTCCTTAGCCCAAGCTGAAAGCATATTCAAGGCTGTAGTACTAGTATACATAAGTATGCACCATCGAGAAATGACCGAAGGCACCTGGGGCTGACGTGCAGTGTCTCACCTCCCATCTTTCCACGTTGAAGATAAGGCGACGACGGAGCATGTCCTTCTCATAATTTCGAATAGCTAGAGCCTCCGTTCGTAGGTCTGATGCCGATGCCCATCCCCGTGGGCGCCTCGTAGGAGTCGAAACTCTCGTCCCCGTGGAAATGCCAGCCTCGTTCTTCCCCTTGCGACAGATGGCTACAATCACTGTTCAGAATGCAGTCCCATCCTCCGGCCACGCCTCCACTGTTGCGCCAGTCATCGTCGTAGTATGGTTCGCCGGTGCCAGGGACCTGCCGCCGTGTAAACTTGCTGATTCCACACGTAAAGCACTTGAAATCCTCCTCGTCCAGGTCATCCGGCACCTGGCCCGTCAACGCCCGCCCGCTGGCTATGATCTGAGCGGCGTGGCCACAGAGCAGCAGTGTGACCTCTTCGTCGCCCCGTCCCGACCGATGGTACTCCTCATCCACGTCTTGCACGATGTGGGCGAGCGCCCGTGCGACGCGATCGTGCAGAGGCACAATTCTCTCTCCGTGCTCAGGCGGGACAACCCTCGACACATACTCGTCGTCCAGCCAGGGGAAGAACTCCTTGCGCAGTCGAGAAGGCTCGGCCGGTTTGGGTTGCACGAACCATGCACGGCCGAACCACTCCCCTATGCCTCTCTCACCCCGCACTTTCAAGTGTCTGTGCTGGGCTGGTGTCGTCGTTGGAAGACTGATCTCACGAAGTGTCTCGACCGTGGGCCGTAAAGTCTCTAGACATCTATAAAAGAGACTCGAATAGATTCGGACGCGATCTGTTTTGACCACCTCCTCCAAGACTTTGCCGAGATGTCTTGCCGTCTCCCGCGCCTGCTGAACGCCATGTGAGGCCAGAGGAGGATCCGCTGGCAGCCCTGTGGGGAATGGATGATTCGAGGTGTATTCTCCTGTGACGGGGTTCAACGTCCATGCGAGGCGATGACCATGTCGTAACAGCAGAATCTCCGTGACGGGCATCCTCTCGACTATGTCATTCCGCGGACGAGAAAGCCGAAAACAGATATCTCTTGACAGTAACACACCATTGCGGGTGGGCGACAGACAATTTGAATACTAATGACCAGGGCACGCGCCTCGTAAGATGAGGATGATGATGGAACAACTCGACGGCCACGACCGCGACCGCCAAAGTCCGCACAACAGAAAATGCCGAGGTTTAGACACTGGCACACCTGCAGCCTCGTCAACTTCAACCGCGTCAGGCTGCCACGTCTTTTATTATGCTTCATTGACCAGTATTCTCAGGCTACTAAGGCATTTTCTCGCTCGTATCCAAGACCAAAAACCTGCACCCTCACCTGCAGGGTATACATTGTAAAGTCTCTAAATGCTTTATAGATGTCCATAACCACTACTAAGCGCTCCGTCTGCCCCGGATGGTCATACCCGCTACCTTACCGATGCCTCTCCCGGACAAAGAGGCCCCATTTTTGTCGTTTCAACTCTAGCATGAAAAGACTGGCAAGCAGGAAGGTGATCCCAGTGTAGATCTCAGGCCACAAGTAGGGCCGGTGGTGATGGGGCTGACGAATTCCTAGCGCAATCGCCTCCGAGACTACGTAAGGGTTAGAGAGACAAGAACGGGGCGTTCGCGGGAAAAACTCACACAGAGCGGGCATAGAAACGGATAGCCACATCAGACCGAGCGTTGTCGGGAGCTCTTTCAGCTCGACGACCTCGGCGCAAAGGGGGGCGATGGTCTGATTTTCTGTTAGTACAACGCGTAACCTTGTGAATGGATGGGGAAACTGACCCCCCAGTATACTCCGGCTGTTATGCCGAGTACAAACACCAGAAAGAGAAGAAGGCCGAACGAAGTTGTCGGGATCCAGACCGCAAACACCATGAGCGTGTTGACCGCCGTCAACCCAGACGCCACGGTCATCCTGCCAAATCGATCGCTGAGGACCCCAATACCAGGCCTTCCAATCGCCGTCCCGACATTAAGCACTGTAGTGACGATGCCGCCCTGATGTTGAGAGAGGCCAAGTGACAGCGCAAAGGCCGAAAGCGTATATGTGCAGATGATGTAGCCGGAAATCGAGAAGAAGCTGTACCCAATCAACAGCCAGACTCGATATCTTCGGAGCAGAGCGATGTCGAAGGCCTTGAGCCGGGGTTTGATCGTGGCGTTTCGATCCCGCATAAGGACCGTGGCAATGAACAAGACGCCGAAGGATACGATACCAATGATTCGAAGTGACCAGGCCAGGGACAAATTCTCGATCATGGGCGTGGTCGCCGCGGAAAAGATGATCCCACCCACGCCCGAGCCAGCCGCGGCAATTCCCTGGGCCAGACTTCGATTCCTGTTGAACCACGATGGCAGCAGCGGCGTAGCGGGCAGCCAGCAGCAACCTACCCCGAGCCCCACGAGAATACCCTGGGTCAAGATGAGATGCCAGAATTTAGTTGCGAACGAGGCCGCAATGAAGCCCCCCGCAAAGAGGAAACAGCCGCAATACATGGGGAATTTGGTCCCAAACAGCCGAATGCTCACATTGACGATGGGAGCACAGAGCAGTGCTGTAGCAAAGTTGACGCCGCCGACGAATGCAAAGTCCAGGTCCGATGCTCCCGGGAAAGTCTCATGGTTGATGTAGTAAGATAAATAGACTCCGTATGACTGCCAGACATATCAGTCCAGATCTTGAAAGCAGACAAGCCTATCGAGGCTTACTGCAATAATGCCCCAAGTAAACCCATTGATCAGATGCATCGCAATGCAGACCACCCACCCATAAGGAGGCTCGACATTCGGATCGTACGCGCCGGTGCTGGTGGGCGCAATGGGCACCGCGACTTCGCCCGCCTCTTTCGCCTCCGCTTCAACTTCAACCATGGTTCCACGAGCCCGTCTGTTTTGGCTGAGTCAATCCAACCACACCTATGCCAGGCTTAGATATATTAGGATATTAAGACATGGTATGTCGTCGCTGGGGCTCAATGCTGTAAAAAGTCCACCTCCAAGTCCAAAGAGAATGGGGGAAAAATCAACAGCGTGAGGGACCCTGTTTATGAGTCGGCACGATGTTAGAACATGTGGAGTACCGCGATCCACATCAGATCTGCCCGGCAAACGCGGAGCAAGGCCAGGGCCCAAGAGGATCTTTGTTTCTTGGGAGCAGGCGGGAGTTGGACATGGCAGCAGTCGACCAGCCGGCGGCTTCATAGCTGCGGCTGGTTCAAATGGATGAATATCCATCTATCCTCGCATTCTGTTGGAAAAGCCGGCCACGGGGCATTTGTCTTTCTGCTCCAGCCTGAGAAGGCTGCTTGGGCTGGCGTCGAGGTTGGATTTTGCGGCGTAAAAACGGCGTCCTTCTCCGCGCGCCGTTCATCATGAAGTTGCCGAGCGGACAACGAAGTGGAGTCGCCAAAGCGAATGATGAATCAATCACTTGGAGAACAACTTGAACAGGATCGGCCGACGCCGACTCGCTTTCCCGGAAATGGTTGTCTCCTACTGGTCCTACTAGAGATTGCGGAGTTCGCTGCGATCTGATCTTGGATCGGGCTGAGATGGCAACGTACAAATAGTAGAGCCTACACCTCCAGGCACTGACGCTTGAAGGTGGTTGTATGAAGATGCCTTACTCATCATCGGATACGACTCTGGGAAGCATATACAGCATGACTCGCGGTGGGAACCAGTAGGTAGCAGTACACCCAGGTCGGTGTTGTTGGTGGTACAAATACCTGGTATCACAATGCGCCTCAGGCTCGGTCCTTCTAGCCTTCTAGCACGTTACCGTCAATGGTCATGGTCTCGTCGCAAAGTGCCTTGCTCATGCGGCTACCGTAGCACCGCCTCGCCCATCCAGTCGGGCGGCTGAAGGCCAATAACCTTGTCTGCTTCTTGTTCACTTCTGACGGCTTTTTGGTTCTTCCGTTTCTCCTTTTTCCCACTACTGCGCATCTCCCCGGCGCGGGAGTGATCCCGTGAGAAGACCTGGAAACCACGCACGTGCGTGTCTTTGCCATTCTGGTGGTTCTCGCAGATTCGCACTTGCACCACCATAGCCTTGAGCACGTCTCCGCCAAAGGGTTCGCGGCGGTCTGTTTCGAGCGGATATAGCGTCGACTCGACCTGGCCGTCCAGGGCTGCCTCGTCTTCGTAATAATGAGTATCCCTACCTCCAACGCCCTTCAATGGCACATCAATCCATCCTCGGACCCCTTCGATGCTACTGTGCGTTTCTCCAGTCTCGGGATCCGTGGTTTCCGTAACTTCCCATGAACCAAACTCAACTAGACTACCCTCCGACATGCCCGCATAGAATTTCATCTTGGTAGGCGTGTATGACTCATCCAACTCGAAGTCCAAGTAGATCCTCATCTTGACAATGGCCACCAGCTTGAAGAAATGGAGGGTAAGGGTATGTGGCTGCGGGCCGTCACTTTGCCAGAAGAGCGCGGGGCTCGGGTTGCGCAATTGTGGCAGAGCACAACCGGGCTTCGCAGAAGACAACGTCCATGTGGCCAGCGAGGAAATGTCGCGCAAGCCCTTAAGTTGTTTGGCATCCTCGGCGTCATGATGGGCCGATTCAAGGTATGATTGCTCGTCTACGTGGCCGTTCTCTGATGCGATCGAGCCCATTGCATGATGGGATAGCTGCGAAGTGTCTGGGGCTTCATTTTGCACATTATCGTTGGGCATTGGCGTGTGCTGAGCCCGACCCTGTTCACGCCTGGGAGCATTGATATCGGGCACAATAGAGTGGCCCGGGTTGTTTGAGGGTAGCGGCGTAGTCACGAATGGCGCATGAGGAGGCGTTTCGAGCATGAACGGTGGAATGGCCGCCGTGATGGCATTTGTGGCGGTCGGACGTGTAGGCGTCGTCGTCGCTGCGGCGTCGAGCGTCGGATGCGCTGCTCGTCGAGGGGCTCGCGGCATGCTGGTGACAAGAGGCTTTGGGAAGCCTGTAGAGTTCAGCCAGCGTCAAGCAGAAGAGGAGGCTCTGCCATGCATTGCACGAGTGCACGCACCTCAGGAAAGATGCAGCTGCACAGGGAAAGAAAAGGGACAGAGCATTGGGTGAGATCGATGGACAACTTAAAATCGCCGTTCTCTAGATATAAATTATTGCAGTACCACAACATTGTACACAGTACAGTACTATGGTTAAAGGTGCCCCCCAATCGTCCAGGCAACCCAATGCTTGCTCCTTCCTCTGGTAGTACCTTAGACTCGCACTACTTGGTCTTTAGCGTCCTATTTCGCCCTACTAGTATATGTGCAGACCCTCACAGGCACCATGTCCTACTATGCCGTGGTACTACAGTTGTATGCTTAAAGCCTAAATCTGCAACGAAAATAGTATATTGTACTGCGCGTCCTGAGCCAGGATAGATTCCTTGTATAGCCCCGTCGGTGTAGACTCCATGACAGCACTCGCGTTGCGCCGCGTGAAGAGCTAGTGTGTATATTGTGGACATGGCCAGTGACATCCCATCCCCGCCTGATAGCCGCTCCTCGCCGCCCTCACGGCACGCCTCTCCCTTCGCGTGTGGCCTTGGCCAACTCGCTCTGCGCCCGGTCCTCAGCATATCGCTGGTAGATGGGCAAGTAATGTTCGCGGTCACTCAGGGTTTCAGTCACCGATTTCCTGGACTCGATGGCCGTGGTCCATTTTCGCCATCGATCCCACACCTGATCGTCCTCACCTCCGGCACCCACCTCAGGTATTCCGAGACCTCCCTTTTTGAAGTGGTCAAATACCCACAGCCTCACCGCCCACGGAGCCAGACATACATCTGCGTAACTGAGCTCCTTACCAAGAAAGAAAGGCCCTTCTGGGTCCGCTTCTTTGATCCACGTTTTCAGCGTGTCCCGAAACTCCGATCTGGCTTTCTCCAGCGGATACGGGCTCTTGTCGGTGTGTTGGAGGAATCGATGGAAAGCAGGCAAGATTCTGCTGGTGACGTGGTCGATCCATATCTTCATACGAGCCTTTTCGTAAGGATCGTTGGGGAACAGCGGTGTTTGCTCCGGGAAGGACTCGTCCAGATACTCCGAAATGATGTTGGATTCAATCAATGGCTTTTGGGATCCGTCCTTTTGGGGTGCTCCCAGGGTTGGCACGAGGCCACGCGGGTTCAGCTTGAGAAAACTGCGCTCGTCAACAAGACATCGTCACTCGCGCATATGCCTGTAGCTGGGACAAACCTTGGGTCTTTGTGATAAGGATTGATTTCCACGTATTTGTAAGGAATCTTCTTCTCCTCTAGAGTGATCCAGACCCTCTGCACAAAAGGGCAAAACCAGCCAGAGTAGAGGGTGATGGGCGCGTCAGCCAGATGCTCAGCTACGATGCGGGCAGCAGGGCCGGTGGCCTTTGGATACACCTCCGAATCGGGATGAGCTGAACCCATGGTTTCTCCTGATGTTAGAGGTCAGGGCGAGAGAAGGATGGTGTATTTGACAGGACAGGTTAAGTCGCGTGATGTCAACTTAATCTTTGTATGCCGCGCTGGACGATCAATGTCGAATGCACAACTTCCAGTTTTAAGTCCAATTTCAAGAGCAGCACCGGGCTACTACCACTACCAGGGGCCTGACGGGCTGTTCTGGCGAGGATTTGCATGAAGGCGCTCTCAAGCAGTCGTTTCCAGCCCCTACTACTAGACCTAGTAGCCCGAGTATACTAGGGAGGTGATAAACTCGTAGACTTCAAGTTGACGGGCGCTCACGCGATATCCCAGCTTTTTGTTACGTCATTGGTACACGCGCACTGCATGTGAAGATTCCCGTTCTACCACAACATTTCCTTCAACACTTCAACGCAACAAGTCTCGCGCCTCCATCAGAAGGATGTAGGCTTCGTGTTTGAATTTTCTGCGTCCTGACCATCCTGGTTCGGCAGCGTGCGGTGTATCCCTTGTTTACAACGTTGTACGTACACTGCATTGCATCGCACAATGCCGTCTTCAATCGACCCTGCCATCGTTCGCGCCTTGTCGATAGACGACCATTCTTCCAAGATCTCGAGACATGGCGGCTCGGGCTTTGCATCGACATTCCGCATAACTACGCCTTCAACCACGGTGTTTGTCAAGACCTCAACCTCCGCTGGCGCAGCGACCATGTTTGAAGGCGAGTATGCCTCATTGAACGCGATCCACGAGGCGGTCCCGAGCTTGTGTCCCAAGGCCTTTGCGTGGGGAAAACTGGACAATGGCGGGCACTTTCTAGCCACCGAGTTCCTGGAGCTGGGCGGCGGCGGCTCTATGCTTTCGCGGACACGAGGAGCAAACTCGGCCACGGGCAGTGGGACAAGTCTGGCCGGCAAACTGGCCAAGCTGCACACAACGCCTGCCCCGACGCCGGACGGGTACGACACACCGCAATTTGGTTTTCCAGTGACGACCTGCTGTGGCGACACGCCCCAGGACAACACATACACGTCGTCGTGGGCCGACTTCTTCGCCAACCGACGGTTGCTTGCCATCCTAGACCGTGGCGAGGCCAATAACGGACCAGACTCCGAGCTACGGCGGACAGTGGAGCGGACCGTGCAAGAAGTCGTTCCTAGGCTTCTTGCAGACGGTCACCTCGGGGGCTCGGAAGGTATTCGTCCTGTCGTGGTCCACGGCGACTTGTGGTCCGGGAATAAGAGCAAAGGCAGCTTCGTGGGCCGGGGTGATCAGACAGCTCCTGGAGGAGCGGGTGCGGCGGTAGAAGATGTAGTCTTTGACCCGGCCGCATGTTATGCGCACCACGAGTACGAGTTTGGCATCATGAACATGTTTGGCGGCTTCTCCTCTAGTTTCTGGAAGGAATACCATTCGCTGGTGCCCGAGACGGAGCCGCAAAGTGAGTATGCCGACCGCGTTGCGCTGTACGAAAGTTATCACCACCTCAATCATTATGCCATCTTTGGCGGTTCGTACAAGTCTGGCGCCATGAGCATCTTGAAAGGTTTGTTGAGGAAATATGGCCACAAGTGATCGGGCTGCGATCCAACACTACCGCCGTTGCTGCGACCCTCGCTTAATGCACACTGTGTAGACCAAACTCGCGGCTGTCTCAAGTGGGTTCATCAAGTGTCGTTGCACATATGATGATCTTCTGGTGCTGAGTGGACGTGTCTGCTACGTAACTCTCTTGCTCCTATTCAAAACACGAAAAAGAAATGCTGCGTCTTGAGGGACTCTGGAGACCAAAACTCAATATTTCAAGGAAGCCAGGTTATTTTGACAGGCAATCGAATTCCACACAAAGGCTGAGGAGGCCGCCACTATCTCGCTTGCACTTTGAAACCAATCGATCAATGAGTGAGGCCTGCGTCGGTAATCTCCTTGACGTACTTCAGATAAGTGTCGGTGGAGGCCTTGCGTAGCCGTTTGCCGTACTTGACGAAGATGAGGAAGGTCAGCACCTGGGCCAGGCCGGCAAAAGCGGCGAGGATGAAGGCATCCTGGTAGCCCATATTCTCCACCCACGGAGTCAAGCCGTAGCCGATGGCAAAGGACATGGTGTTGCGGATGATGATGACGGTAATGATGGTCTCGCCGGCGAGATCGCGGTAGCTGTCGACACAGTAACTGATGCTGAGTTGCAGACCGACGGTGTTGGTGTAGGCAATAATGGCCATGGCGAAGACGAGGCCGAACCAGTGGACGTGATGCGCCGCCCCGACGCCCCATAGGATGAGCCCGAACGGGATGGCCAGCAGAGAGATGGTGAAGAGCCACAGTCGATTCTCGGGCTCCATGATGCCGCCGCGCTTCCGAGCGAACTGGATGATGAACCAGTCGCCGAACATGCCCGTGTAGGCGGCGCCGATGAACACGCCGATCAGAGGACTGTAGCTCGGTCAGTACCAGGGCAGGAAGCACTGCCAGGAACCAAAAACTCACCTGACGTAGCTGAGACCGACCATGGACGCGCGGAAGTTGTAGGGAGATCCGGAGAGAATCAAAGACGCTGTACCGTTCAACACGTTGAACCAGACCTATGATGTATGCCCCATGTCAGTACAGTACTTAGTCACTCAAGCCTGCCACCACTGTAACGCAGTTCACTTCAAAATATCCCCCAACATTTTCTGCCTTGTACACACTTACCAGATTGCTGCCGTAGGAAAACCCGGCATATGCCACCACGGGGAAAGTGAACATGTACATGAGCGGTCTGGTCATCATGCCGGCGAGTTCGTTCTTCTTGGAGAAGGCTCCCGGTTGGAAGAGCTTCAGTTTCTGCAGATATGTCTTCTTGGTCGGGTGGATGATGCCGAGGTCCTCTTCGGCCGCGGGAACTGGGGTGTCGATGGCCGTCTTCTCGTTGGCGGCCACGGCTCCGCCCTCTGTTGGGATCACATCGGGGGTCTGTGTACCGCTCGCCTCCTCCTTGGATTCTTGCCCGGTGATTGTCTTGCGCGAATAGTTGGTCTCTTCCAGAAAAAGAAAGCAGTAGAAAAACCCGATGGCGTTGAATATGGCTGCCCAGTACAACACCCATTTCCACCCCATGCCATCGGCAATGAAGCCGCCGATGATGGGCGCAAAAAAGTTGGAACCTGCCAGGAACAGGGCGTACAGTGCGAGGTAGAAGCCGCGTTCGTGCGTAAACTGTAATGAATGACAATCGTCAGCTTCGGCACAAAAATGAGATTCGCCAGAGTCGAAAAGATTTGGAGCCCTCGATGGCAGAAGCGCAGGAGCAGGCCAAGTTATAGAACGACTTACGTATATGTCGGTGACGGATATCTCACACAGCGACTCGATAGGGGCGCCAAAGAAGCCTTGAAGAATCTTGTTCGCAATCCATTGTCCGTTTGTTGTGGTATAGCCGGCCCAAACCTGAATGCAGATGGTGGCGATCAGGGAAATGAGGTAGACGGGCCGTTTGCCGTATTGAAGAGCCAGTGGCTGCCAGAAAAGACAACCCCATCCGAAGAACAGGAACCTGATCATCATCGGTTAGATGGGCGGAACCTTACGGGTGCGGTGGAAGAGAGCCTGCATACATGTACCCAGTACCGGAATTCAGGTCTCCAAGCGACATGCCAGTGTCCTCACTGATGGGGACCAGCACCGAATAAATGGCGGCAGAGGCGATGCCCACCTAGAGACAGGGTGTCAGTTTCGGGTTGTGGGCAACAACGAAGCGTCTCTGATAGATAACTGACCATCAATGTGTACACACACATACAGGACGTTGACAGTAACTTGCGGCGACGACTCCAATTGAGCGGATCATCCGGGTCATTGCTCGGAGCTGGAACAAGGACAATGTCTTTGTGGCCTTTCGCATGCTTCGCTCGCATGGTACCTTCCAAGTCAACCAGGTGTACGGTACCTGGCACAAAAGGCCTGTCTTCGGCGACATAGCTCGCCGCTGCTGCTTGGGAGACCATGCTTGACGCGTTCACGCAACCAAAATACAGTCCAACTTGGCCACGGTTGAGGTGTGATTGCGATAATCAAGAGACGGGGGATCCGGGGTTTGTGGCCTTCATTATGTACTTTGACCACGACGTTTCCTTGGTGGACGTGGCGCAACACGTTATCAAGACGCGCTGTCGCACGAGGCAAATAGATGCGCACAACATAGTGTGGCAGCCGTCTGTATACCACAACCACTGATAGCAGCCGACCGTCGCGACGAATCAGATACGATTGCGCTGAGTCTGAATGTCCCAACCCGCCTAGTCGTCGATTCTGGAGCCAGCCATTCCTCTTGATATCTTAGGGCTGTCAAGCTATCGCCCTGGACCCGGGGAATCTCCAGCCCAGGGGTATGAGGCAGTTCACATCACATTGTATCCCAATGCCCAATCAGGTTAATCAACGAGCAGTGTAGATACGACTTACCCAACAGGAATTCCAGCGTGAGGGATCGCGTCAGGCGGATTCGATGGACATTGGTTCCCCAGAATATACCTGGCCTCAACGCCCGGTTGATCTTGATACCGAGCACCCACCGGCAGCAACCATGGTAGTAGTCGTGGTAGTAGAATAACAACTGCTCGTCGCTCATGTCCGTAGCCAGACCCACGGTTGCGAACGGCGTGGAGTCTGTTGACACTAGTTATCTAGAAGACACCAGCCGTGCGTGAAGCAGTGGCGATTTCCTGGGGTCTAGTGTCCTGCCCTGGGGGGGG